GGATCGAACACTGCTCACACTCTGCCCAAAAGCGAAAAGCTGTCACTGCATCCATGTGACTTGCGACCAACCAAATGCGACACGTTGTCCTCGACGACATGCAAGAGACCGTGTACCAAGCCGAATGGCAATGGTTTCAGCAGGCGATCCTGCGTGCTTCGCACCACAGCTTCGACATGAAGGAGATCATGAAGACACTGACCAACAAAGGTGTCTTGACCTCGGTTCATAATCAAGCTCGCTGGTCGGCATTCGCGAACTGCCCTCCGGCAGTCGACCCGGATGACGAGGACACGGTCTTCGCGGTGCTACAAGATATCATCTCGGCCATCCGTGGGTCGAGCAACATTCGTGTGAAACGAGAGACCAACTTCCTTTGCAAGCCGACCACGGTGCCTTCCTCCTCCACCAGGGACAACAAGTCGAAGCCCGATGGCTACTTCGTGGTCAACGACGACAGTGTGGACAAGTCGGCTCCCAGATGGATAGACATAGCTGTTCCTGCAGAGTTCAAGAAGAAGAATACTGACGAGTCGAGGAATCAGGTAAGCGCTCTCGCATTTCTCGAGTGGAGTAAAGAGTCGTGAACTGACCCACACCACTCTGTCAGAACGCCACGCAGATCTTGTGGTCTCTGACACATATCATGCGGGAAGATCCCAGGCGTCGATTCGTCATCGGATTCACCATCGAAGACTGTCGGATGCGGCTGTGGGTGGCAACTCGGTCGGATGTCTTAGTATCTTATCCCATCGACTTCTTGACCGTGCGTGACCATCTGGCCATATATCTGACTCTGCCATACTGATTCCGTCCGCAGGATATCGAAAAGGTTATCGACTTTGTGTTGCGAATATCGTTTGCCCGGAGAGATGAATTAGGCTTCGACGACACAATCGTGCGACTGCCGACACTGGACAGCTGTGGTGGCCCTCAGTACGAGATCTTGGTGAACAAGAAGTGGTATCGAACGCAGCGTCTGATCTCGAACATCGGAGCGGAGGCACTACGCGGGAGAGGCACTCGGGTGTGGGAAGTCAGGGAACTGGACAGACGGGGAGGGAAAGAGATTGGGCCACGTTTGGTTCTGAAGGATTCGTGGGTCGACGCGGATCGAGATCGCGAGGCGACGATTCTCGAGAATATTCGCAAGTCAGCGACGACGGACGTGCAACGTGAGGCGTTCGACACCTACTTGCTGCATGCCAAGGATTCTTGGGACGTTCGCACTGCTGGGAACAAGGTTGATAGTACGCGCAAGGTGATCTGCCGCCGACCACTCCCTCCAGCAATGAGAGCGATGGCCGTGAAGAAGTATCCGGACGAAGACAAGACGGTGGATGTGACGTTACCTCCTCAAGGCGCCATCGCAGGAACACCATCGGAAGGACCAGGACCTGTCACATTCGCTACGAAAGTTCATCATCGGATCCTATTCAGTGATGTGGGCAAGACGATCATGGAAGCCGGGACGCTCGGGGCCGCATTTCAAGTCCTCGCAGATGTCATTACGAGTGAGATTACATGTGTCGCACATCCATTCGCGGGCTAATTCTTGCTCTTTCACTAGTCCTGAGGATTCTGCACCAATGTGGATGGGTCCATAGAGATGTTAGTGTTGGAAACGTTCTCATCGTCGACGACGGTGGGATACTAGCCGACGTCGAGTACGCCAAGCATGAATCCGATGATAGGAGCCATGAAGTGCGGACGGTACGTGTCAATTTATGACCATTCTCCTTGAGCTACCGTCTAATTCCAGTTGACAGGGTACGGCTTATTTCATGGCGGTCGAGGTTGAGCAGCACAGATATAGGTTTGACATGGAGACGGGACAGCCCACGAACAAAGGGATTTCCTCGTCGCCTGACAACCAGGAGGATCCAGAAGATCCCGATGCGGAGACTGTCCGAGCAATGCAACTCCGCAAGAAGCGGAAACCTGCGCTCAATTCACGATTGTTGTCCGACGAGGAGGAAGACACGAGGCCTAAACCGGATGCCTTACTCGTCATTTACTCCATGCCGTTCAGACACAATCCACTACACGATCTGGAGTCAGTCCTATGGATAGCTCTATACATCGTCCTCTGCTCGACTATCGAGAAGTGGGACGCGGATCTCCCCGACGAAGAGTGGGCCAACTACTCCCTGGAACGTAGCAGGCTTGCGGCGAAACTGTTCAACGACAGCCTTTTTCGGGCCGAGGTGGTAGGAGGCGGGAACGCATTCCGCTGGTCACTTCCCAAGCTACACCCCACCCTCCAGGCGATCTCCAGAAAGCTGAACGAGTACCTTGTGGAACTGGTCGGCCTCTACAGGTCTGCTGAACAGCAGCAATTGCGAGCCGCGAACGAAGCTGCCTCTGTCGACAATGCAACGGCAGGTCCAGAGGCGATACCGTACACGGTCGCGTACACAGCCAAGTTCTACAAGAAGGCGACTGGGATCTTTTCGAGCATTTGGCAAGAACAGCCGTTCCGCGCCAAGGAGAAGGAGCACATAGTCTTCAAGCCCAGGACGACCCTTCTCTCCGAGCAACAGAGAGAGATGATTACCGTACTCGAGACTGCCGGACAGCCTACCACGATGGCTACGGTTGCGGAGGAAGATGATACGGACTCAGAACCGCCTAGGAAGACCAGAAAGCTGAAGCATCCAAGACCCGAGGAAGTGGCCGCCGCGTCGCGTCGCGGCAAGATGCGTCAAGATCCACGGCAGAATCGCGATACGGTCAGCAGCAGTGCGGCTCTCGGTGTCGAGCACGCCGAGTGACTGGAGACAGTTATATTGGGCATCATCTCCCTTGGCTCGTGTTGCAGTGGTAAGAGCCGACGTACCCTACTTCCCATCTCCACTTCGCCAGATTCGTATCGTCTATCTATAATTTTCGATACTTTCTACATGTACGTACTCAGCATCTTCAGAGGTCCTAGGGGGTTTAGATTGTTTAAGCAAAAGTGGCGTAGTTAGTACCTGGCCGTCGCCAGCGGGCGCACGATGTTTGGCCCGTCTGCAACACTTCTGTTCGTTCGAATGTGTGCACACGGGTCTGGGTCAGCCTTTGAATTATCTGATAAATTATTAAGAGACATTTCACTTTTCTCATGCGAGCATTGATTTATCGTGCTAGCGATTCAGAAAGGGTTGGGATTTGGTGGCGCAGGGCGTATCAATTTCTGTTTATGGATGCCGAAGCTGCCGCTCCAATATCGAGAGCAGCACGCCGAAATGAAAGGAACAGATCGCTATAATATCGCATGCATATACATTCGTATAAAAAGGGGAATATGTTGCAAATACACCGCCTCCGACAAAAGGTGGCGGCCACCTGGAGGCTACGACGGCCTCGGACCTCTCCGACTCCCAGACTAGCACGCCCAACGGACACAACAAAGGCATTCCTCGAAACATCGCATGTATTTTGGTACATCTGTACACGGGCTAGAATATGACGCGAACACCGCCTCCGACGAAATGTGGCGGCCCTTTTGCGGAGTTGCAATCGAGCGTTCCCACATTTGGTAGTAAACGTTCAACCGGCCTTTGTTCATTTCATCCACGACCACCCTCTGCCACTTTCCACGCATGGTTTCTACTCACCTAAAACGTAGTGCGATGGCAATGGCCACTTGCTATGAGTTTCATAAAATGGGTCGAGCAAGATGCGAGGTCCCAATACCCTCCACACCATGGCTGGACTACCCCCGCGTACGCCTAAACGTTCGCTCCCCATTCCTACTATGCCTGATATCGGACCATCCCCGATTCAAAAAAAGGGTTGCACCAGCGCACCTACAGATCTTGCCACTGAAGGCCAGAAACACCTCATGCTCGATGACCTGCAGGAGACTGTTCCGCAGGTAGACTGGGCGTTCTTCGAGGACAACATTCTCCCTCCTCTGCCTACCTCCGTTAACTTGGATGACATCGTAACCAATCTGGTGGAGAAGCAAGCCGTCGCACATATGCACGGCCAGATGGTATGGGCGAAATTTGAGCTGGGCTCTCCCAAACTCTATCAAGGTGGCGAGGATGCTATCTTTCGCAGAATGGTGTCAGTTGTCGCCGCAGTCAAGGATGCGACAGGAGACACGAAGAAGGCCAGGAGGCTGTTTCGTTGCAATCCCAATGCAACTCCTACGTCCGAGACCAGGGACAACAACACAAGACCAGACGGCTACTACGTGCGAAACGATGTGGCCGCGAAAGACAGGATTCCTCGCTGGAGTAACATCATCGTTCCTGCGGAGTTCAAGATCCACGATAGACATGAAGACGTCAATAGAGTGAGCTTCTCCCCTTCAGTTTCGCATGAGCTTACCCATCCCGATATGATTAGAACTGGGCGCAAATCCTATGGTCACTTAACCACCTGATGCGAGAAGACCCGACCCGTCGGTTCGCGATTGGGTTCACGATCGAGAACACTAACATGCGTTTATGGTTCGCCAGCCGGTCCGACGTCTTAGTCTCTTTGCCCGTCAACTTCATCACGGTGAGTAATCCCTTCTAGTGTCCAGCGCGCAGTTCTGACTTGTGGCCACGACTTTCCCAGGGAATCAGGCGCGTATCCGAGTTCTTCTTGCGCATATTCTACGCCGAAGACTATCAGCTCGGCTTTGACGAAAGTATGAAACGTCTTGATACTCTCGATGCTTCGGGACGTGTCCAGTACGACATTCGAGTCAACGAGACGATGTACCGAACTCAGCGGCTCGTCTCCTCCATAGGCGTCGAAACGATTCGCGGTCGAGGCACGCGCGTATGGGAGGTGAAGGAGCTGGACGGGCACGGGAAGGAAAAGCCGGGCTCCGTCATCGTCAAGGACTCATGGGGAGACAAGAAGAGGCGTCGAGAAGAGGACATCAATAAGGACATCCGCGACACCGAGACTATCGACGAACAACACTCGCAGGTGCTCAATGGATGCTTACTCACTTGTCTCAATTCCTGGGACGTCACGGTCGACACATCCACTGGCCGGAAGATTGACAGCACTCGCGAGGTTATGTTCTGCGGGAACGACCCGACATACCTTGACACGGTCAAGGTGAAGAAGGATCTCGATGCGAGTAAGCGGGTTGCCCCGAAACTCCCGGCACAAGGAACCTTGTCGCAGTTGAGTACGATTGAGCCTAGTCGCTTCGTGTACGGCGAGAAGATTTATCATCGCGTCGTATTTGCGGAGGTGGGCACAACGATCATAGAGGCGCAGACCCTCTCCCAGGTCTTCAAATTTTTATCCAATATTGCCATAGGTGCAAATTGCTCTTTCGTATAAGACAGATGGACGGTCTGCTGACAGTAAGCCTTTTACAGCTCTTTATGGCCTTCACAGCGCCGGCTGGGTCCACCGCGACATCAGTGCCGGTAATATCATCATACACGAGAAGGACGCGAAGCTCGGGGATGTGGAATATGCGAAACAAGAAGCTGATGACACCCGTCACGATGTGCGGACGGTGCGTACAACTGTAGCTTGAACATATGGTCCTCTCTTTCTTATGACTTGATTGCTTAGGGCACTGTGTTCTTCATGGCGGCCGAAGTGGACAGTGGCGAATACCTCCTTCTCGCTCAGCCGAACCGTACCGGATTGGTTCCCATTCCGGAAGGAAATATCATCGAACCGAAACGACGGAAAACATTCAGGCTACCTACTTTCAGCGATGAACAGAAGCCCGGACCTTCGCACGGACCAGTCTGCGAGCCAGCCGACATGCCACAGCAGCCCAAGATAATATTTAAGCATAATCCTCTGCACGATCTGGAGTCGCTGTTCTGGCTAGCAGTGTACCTTGTTCTCTGCACAGTGCTCGAGCGGCCCCCTGACACCTTGGAGGGCGACTGGCAGAAGTATACAGATGCACATGACAAGCTCGCCGCGGAGCTCTTCCATGACATTGTCGCGAGAATCACCGTCGTGACCACCGACTGGGGCTTCGCGCCCAGGCTGAATGGCCTCCACCCGCGCGTCCGCGCGATCTGCCAGGAGCTTGAGGTCGTCCGTTCGGCGCTGACGCAGGCATACAAGTTGGCCGAGCGTGACCCGTCCTATCTCACCTTCGAAGCGATCATGTCCATCGAGCTGGCGCTGCCCTCGGACCCAGAAACTTCCATGCCCCTGCACCACCTGTTCGCGTCTCAGTTCTGGTCGATCTCTGGCCAGCTTGGCGGAGAGCACGACATCAAGTTTGAGAAGCGTCTCAGCCTCTCTGGACAGAGGCAGCTGATGGAAGCTCTCCTGGCCAAGGAGACTGCGACAAAAGTCTCCGGCTCGCGGGCCGGTCAGGACGTCGAGTCAGAAGAGTCGAGCCGTCCACGGAAAAAGACCAAGGTTCTCAACCCGGCTGCTCGCGAAGCGTCCGAACGATATAGACAGAGGCTCCGGAAGCCGGGGCCTGTCAGTGCGAATGCGGTCGGGTTGTGATATCGGTTGGTAAGACGTAGACAGGTCCTTCTACCTCCGTGTCCTTGGCATGTACATCGCTTGTATTGTTGTAGGAATTACAGTGTCTGTGTGCATCAGGTGTCGTGGCAGATACTGACCGAGCAGGGGTAGTACTATGGCCTTAAATGCCGTTGACTGCGAATCGTTCGCTGATGACACAGGTCGGAGATGCACAAGATTGTGCTCTGCGTTCAGATTGTGAGTATTTATTAGCCCAAACGACGAACAGTGGGCCGCCGGGTGGAGATGATATCTTGCAGCACGGTGAAAACCGTGTCCCCGTCTTCCGGGTCCGCTGCTCGAGGGCGGTTTGCGAATGCCGACCAGCGAACTTGGTTATGATCCCAGGCCAAGACACGTTTGTTGGTCAGTGTCTCTATAATCTAGCCGGCGACCAGTGCGCTGGCGTGTCGGGAATTGTATCTGCATCGTACAGCTGCACTACATGGCGCCGATGCCGCAACGTAATTCCGCCGGTCAGAGACTGTCGAACATCGATCTAAGGACAGCAATCACTTCTGGACTCCAGATGTAGTATACGGCGCGGCGGGGCTTGGTGGCGCAAGGCGCATCAATTTACGTTTACGGAAGCTATGACGGCAACCTCAATTTTGAGGCTAGCCGCCGTCCCAATGTTAATATGAGCAACAAAGCATTTCTCGAAGTATTAATTATGTTCAAGCTCTATGTTTTACATAGATGCCAGAAAGTATAACAAGTGCGCGGCTGCTTCCGACGAGAATGCGGTATGCGGAGCTGGAATTGAGTGTTCCCAGATTGGGCTTCAACTTGTCTTGTTCCTTTCATCCACGACCGCCTGCGGCCACTTCTCCTCGCATAATGTCTAACCCCTTAAAACGTCGTGCAGCGGCCATGGCCACTGCCTCTGAGCCTCATAAAACGGGACAGGAGAGACACAAGTCTCCGACATCCCCATCATGGAACCACCCCGTACGCCGTCGCGTGAACTACCCCTCCGAGTCCTTGCGTCTGATATCAATGATACCCCCTGCCTTCAAAAGGTGGTTCATAGTGCTCCTCAAGGTCTGGCGACCAACGCCAGTCGTAATGTCATGCTCGATGACCTCCAAGAGACAGTGCCTCAGGTCGCTTGGGAGTACTTCGAAGACTGTCTTCTACCTCCCTTGCCGCGCGACGTCGACATAATGGCAGTCGTAGACGCACTTAAGAAAACTCCCGCAGTCATATCCCGGCAGAATAAACTCCTGTGGGCTGCCTTTGCGAATGGGACCCCGAAATCGCAAACGGACCGTAGCGAGGACAAGGTTTTCTCCGCCATAGAGAAAATCGTCGTCGCGAGCAACAAGGCGCTCAAGAAGGTCTCCAGTCACTCCAAGAAGTTGACGGTGCGATTCAAGTGCAGGCCTACCACTGTCCCGTCATCAGAGTCGAGGAGTAACAGATCCAAGCCGGATGGTTACTTCTTACTGAACGAAGGAAGGGCCGTGGACGAGGTGCCCCCGAAATGGCAAAATATTGTTGTTCCCGCTGAGTACAAGAAGGGAGACGACGTGTCAGACCTGAATGCAGTATGTCTTGCACGATACGCAACTGTTCAGGATACCGATATGCTCTCAGAACGCCAGTCAGATCTTATGGTCGCTAACACACGCTATGCGCGAGGACGCAAGACGTAGATTCGTATTCGGGTTCACGATTGAGAATACGCGTATGCGGCTGTGGTTCGCCAGTCGCCAGGTCGTGCTAGCTTCGTATCCCGAGAACGATTTCACAACGGTGAGCGGTCTCTCAAGTGGTCTCTGATAACTGTTGTTCATTCACGTCCAGGCCATCGGGCGCGTCGCTGGATTTTTCCTGCGCATTCTGTATGCGGAGCGGCATGCACTGGGATTCGACGAGACGATCGTGCGACTGCCGCCCGGAGAGGGTCAGAGCGACGTACCATACGAGATAGAAGTCGGCGGCAAGTGGTACCGGACGCAGCGTCTGATCTCAGCCATTGGGGCCGAGTCCATCCGTGGCCGTGGCACGCGAGTGTGGGAGGTCAAGGAGTTGGATGGGCCTGAAGGAGCGGAGATAGGGCCGTGTATGGTGCTCAAGGACGGTTGGCCCGACTACGATCGCGACCGCGAAGAAGTGATCCACGAGAAGATCCTGGACGCTGCAGAGAAGAGTGGCCAGGTCGAGACACTGAAGAAGCACATGTTGACTGTGCATGCGGCCTGCGACGTTTTGGTCGAGGGCAGAGTGGACGATACGCTTGCTGTCATGTGTCGTGGAGAGGCACCCCCTTATGGCGAGACGCTAGAGGTTAAGAAGGATCTGGAGGCGAAGAAGACTGTGCATGAAGACCATCCTCTCCAGGGAGCGATGCCTCGGCCGTCCGACGAGATCAAGAGACATTTTGCGTACCACCGGAAGGTGCATCATCGTATCATCTTCGAGGAAGTTGGAACGACTATCATGGAATCAGAGACAATCTCCTTCGCGTTCGATATTTTGCAGGAAGTCGTTGAAGGTGTGTTGTTCCTTGCCTTGCAACTTCGTTCGTCGCTAACCTCTCTTGCAGCTCTCAGGGCCCTGCACAGCTGTGGCTGGGTACATAGGGATATCAGCGCCGGGAACATCCTCATTGTTAATGATATCGCCAAGTTAGCAGACCTGGAGTACGCGAAAGCCGAAACTGATAATAGGACACATGACTTACGAACGGTATGCCCTTTAGGTAATCATGTTTAACATCACTGATAATAGATTGCTTTAGGGCACTGCATTCTTCATGGCCGTTGAGGTGGAGGCCGGGACATATCTCTATGGTCGCGCTGGTCGCGAGATTCTACGGACTGTCTTAGAGGAAGGTACTGTTGGCGCAAAAGAGGCCGGACCATCGGAAAAGATGGCGGCGGACAAAAGAAGAAAGCGGTGCGATCAAGATAACGACGCAGAGGACAAGCGGCGGTCGGACTCCTTGTCTACCCCTGCTCTTGCCCCTAGACCGGCAGCAAGAGTCGTTCGAAAGAGGCCTTTCAGGCAGAATCCTCTGCATGACCTCGAGTCCGTCCTCTGGCTGGGCCTCTACGTCCTCTTCTGCTCTGTCTTCAAGCGGTTCGCAGATTCGGATATGGCTGATGAACAGTGGACAGACTGCATGAAACATCGCAAAGAGGTCGCCGCCAAACTATTCAACAGTCATGCGTTCAGGCACCAGGTCATCAGCACGTCGAACGTCTTCAGCGAACAACTTCCTGGGTTGCATCCACAGCTTCAGAAGATCTGTCTAGTTCTCGAAGCGTTCTGCGAACTGTTGGTATCCCGTTACGCCGAGGTGGAACGAAAGCCAGGTCCGATTCCCTTCGCCTCCGCGGTCACCGAGGAGGTCTACGAGGACATGAGCAGACTCTTCGGGATTATTGCGGACAACGACGAGTACTGTCGCATCAAGGGCAAGCACATCCGGTTTAGCAGGAACCCGGATGATTACTCCCAGCAGCGCGAGGAGATGCAGAGTGTTTTGAACGACATGTCACAGGCTCCACCACCCACGGCTTCTGGACTCGACGCTGCCGCAGACGAGGACTCTGGCCCTCCGGCAAAGGTTCGCAGGATAGGTCTTGGCTCGGCAGACGTGTGGGATGGCAATCTTCCGTTCCACCAGAATCACCGGAACGCTCTCAGCGATAGTGTTAGAATCACATACAAGTGCTAGAATATGTAATGCTGTAGTGACGTGGACTTTGCGTTAATATTATCATGTAATATGTCTTTGAGATCCTGAGGTCGCCTTATCAGCCAATAAATCAATGCCTAACCTCTTCGCTATATTTAAACGGGCGTTCTTGCTGCACGTCACTACCACTTGGACATGAACTCTTAGTCGAAGGTGATCTGGTATCGTAACACGGATTAAAGGCTTTCGGTTCGCTGGGAGTTGCCGATGAACGCCACGAAGCCTATGCCTCCTTTCCGATATTAACCGCCGCGAGTGTGGGCCTCCTCTTCCGACATCGTCTTCGCATCCGCGATGTCTCCTCCACTCTCTGGATATTCCATGTCGTGCTACACCTTCCTCCATGTTGAAGGTACCACCAATCAAGCTGGAAAAACTCTGGCAAGGCCTTGTATCCATTCTTCAACAGCTCTCCCCACGTCCTGTCCGGCAGCAGGTTCCAACCGGTGACCTCTGATATCTGCGTGGCTGTCAAACACACGTGCAACTCGCACTTTTGGGAGAAACTAGACCGTTTCGTGAGCTCTGGTTGCCCCTTGTCCAGCACGTCTAAGCTGCCGGTTGGGCGTAGTCACCGTTCCCACCTACGACAGCCATCATGTCAATAATCCCTCCAGACATGGCCAACCAAACTTATCTGACTGTACACGCCCTGTTGGCTGGAGGTCTGTGGTATCCTTATAGACAGGTCTTTCAAGATAGCGTGCATGAGCCATCGGAAGTTGGGTCGGAGATCCCCTTCATCGCTTTCCTCATCACGCACCCTACACATGGGCGGACGTTGTTCGACTTGGGCATGCGTAAGGCGAGTATTCTGTCGATAGCTCGGATGCATTCCTGATCGACAGCAAGGATAGCATGCGAAAGGATGGCCGCCTGCAGTCAAGCCAATCTTAGACGAGTACAGAGTGTATGGTTACTGTGGCGAGGACATAGTTGATGTGCTGAGGAAAGACGGGGTCGATCCGGCAGAGATTACGAAGATCATCTACAGGTGAGAACACATGCTATGCTGTCCGTTCTGGCCTAATCGCTGAATTCGGTGCGCAGTCACCTCCACTGGGACCACGTCGGCGATCCGACCCCCTTCACGAACGCCGATATCGTCCTCGGCTCTGAAGCCAAGGTGCTCCTCGAAGACGCGTGGCCCTCTAACCCAGACAGCCCGTTCATGGCGCTCCCGTCGAACATGCACGTAGACTTCATCGACTTTGCGGACCTGAAGAAGAAGGACAAGCAGGTCGCGCCGTGGGGACCGTACGAGCGCGCGGTCGACTTGTACGGCGACGGGTCACTGTACCTCGTCGACTCGCCAGGGCACATCCCGGGACACCTCGCCGCGGCGGCGCGCATTGGGCCAGACAGCTTCGTTTTTCTCGCTGGCGACACATGCCACAATAGGCTCTGCTATTCTCCCGGCGAGCGACTCATCAGCGAGCGTGGCCATCGTGACATCGGGTCGGCGCGGAAGACCGTGAAGCGGCTGATAGAACTGGATGCGAGCTACCCGAACGTCGTCGTCGTCATCACGCATGATAGCCTGAGGAAGGAGGAGATACCGTTCTTCCCAGAGTCTGACTTGAGGAGTTGGGCAGAGAATGAGATTGAGAAGCGGGGGCGGAAGCGGAGTACATGAAGTCGACTACTACGTTCTAAATTGACCAAGGCACTGATACTTGTGTATAGTCTCGCCGAATTATAGGACTCTACTCCCTTCACAGTTACGCGCGTATGCCGGGGCTGTTCCTGCTTGGCGTTGCCTTGCGGCACACGCCCTGCAATTTGCTCGGCTGCAGATACACCAATGAGATTGATGGTTTCGGCACGTCTTGTTTTCATAGTATGATGTCTCAGTATCAGCGGCAGTCACGGAAACGCATACAACTCGGGAAACAGCGCTCTGTTCCATCCAATATGTGGAACACTCAACCGCAGATGTTCCCCGGTTGCATACTCCTCTCCTGTTCATCTCACAGCTCACCATCTTGCTCGTGATATTGGCGATGGACATCGAACGTACCCACACAGTGAGCGTGCTGATGTATCTCTTCGACATGTGGGGCCTTCTCTGATCAATCTTGCAGGTCTACACTGGTGCAATGTCAGTCTTAATGCCCGGAGATATTAACGTAGCGTCGACCGGAGAATCGAGCCGCTACCCAGAGCCTTTAAGCATGCTAGTAAGTACTAATATTCACCCATAAGACCTGCCTATATAACTCTGTCGTTTTAAGCCTGAGGTAGACCAGGGCTCCGAGCCCAAAATCGCCTCTGACGGGGCAGGAGCGCCTTCTCCTCACAAGGACTCAGATCCAGCAAGGGTATGTGGTTTTCTGCAGCCTGCTTGGCACATTCCGATCAGTATCTACATACAGCTTTCTTCGCATCGCGAAGAGCTCAAGCGTCAGGACTCCTCGGTACGTTGTACATGCAATCTAGGCAGACGCAAGGTTAAATGACACGTATAGCAACCGGAGGTCAAGTCAGCGTGGACCTTCCTGCTCGACTCAGCCGAGGAGTGCGATCAGATCAAGACAGGGAAGTGGAAGGGTGAACTGGATAACATCCTCGTTTTTGTGAGCTTGCGTACAGCTCCTTCGACTTACGAATACTAATTCGAATCTAGGCCGGCTTATTCTCTACTGTCGTAACTGGATTCACAGTCGAGTCATTTTCCTGGCTGCAAGAAGACCCCGCGGATACGACCAACAGATTGCTTCTGCAAATGTCTGCCCAGATGGCTTCATTCTCCACGTCTCCCGGCTTCATCAACTCCACCGCTCCGCCCGCACCGCAGAATATTACCTCAACTGTCTTTCAACCAGATAGCACCGACGTGACTATCAACATGCTATGGTTCCTTAGCCTTACCCTCAGTCTCCTCGCAGCATTCTTCTCCATCGCCGTCCAACAATGGCTTCGCGCTCTCCCCCTCCCGGGGCATCTACCTGTCCTCGATAGCATTCGGCTCTGGGAATACCGCACCGACCAACTCGTTCTGTGGCAATTGCCGAATATTATCATCCTCCTGCCCGTCAGTTTACAAGTCTCCGTCGTCTTGTTCCTGACAGGTCTCTACCAACTCCTCCGATCTCTCAACCACCCAATCACAACTGCATATGCCGTGGTCGCTGGAGCGCCCTTCTTCCTGTACGCTGCCTCTTTACCTCTGCCGCTTATCTGGCCGCATTGCCCATACAAGTCGCCACTCGTCCCCTCATTGGTGTTTTTCCTGCGGTGGTGCATAATATTACTTCTACTCCTAGCCATGTTCTTGGTTGTCATTCCTTTCTTCGCTATCAGCCTTCTTATCAAGATGTGCAGCTCGGAGGACATTGCAGACTTCAATATGAAAAGGCTGGGTCCTGAGCGTAGCTGGGACTGGGCGGCCGAATTAGTTGCGCGATACGTTACAGCTGCATTCGACTCCGACCAGGACTTCTGGGCCAAGCAGGAGGTCAAACAGTTGGCGAGGAAGGAGGAAGGAGATACTATGCACGGCGGGGGTGGTGCGCTGGCACGGGCACCTGCAGCCGTTGCGCGCAGCCAGCTGGACCGCCTCGAGCCTTGTCTTCTGTCGCTCCCTGTTCCGGAGCGAACGCGCGTTATGGTGCAATGGATGTCGTTTTACTTCGGTGTCAGCGGCGAAGACTTTGCCCTATTGGACCACAGGTCGCCGATTGCCCTGAATATTTTGTCTAGGGTCAACCGTGCTTTCGCTGACACGTACCATCAATTCTTGCTCAAGACATTGCCGGACGAATGGTCATCTCGCGACTGGGTATACAAGGACAAGGACATGGCCTGTATTCTCATTTTGTTAACTTGGATATACAAGGCCGATTTCGCCAGTCAATTGCGACCTATCTGGGTCCCGTTACTGATCGAAATATGTGAATCACAAGGTACCGGCCTCGATCTCGTCAAGTCGAGCAATGATTACGACGTACTTCGATATCCCACCGTATGCCTCTTTGAATCTACCGTGACAGGTCTACATAAACCCAGTTCGATCGGTACGTTCTCGTTTTATATTGACACAATGACCGGTCCTCATTAATGTCCTGATATGTTAGAGGTAGACCGGATGGTCTCACTGGCAACCAAACGTATCCCGCGACTGGTAGAGATTAACCAGCGGTTTGAGAACGGCTACCTCGAGCAAACAGTGGACATGGCGCTCGGAGCTGTCGCCGCGTCTCTCCATGCCGTTTCGCAAGACGAGCATGCCACGTACGACAAGCCACAGAATATCCGTCATCTGCTAGAGGAGTTCGATCGCTTTGTCGTCGCCCAACGGCAGGGAATTCGATATATGGCCAATTTATCCCTGAAGCAACCGGACCAAGTCTTGGTCGTCACTCGCAAGGCGATGAAATCCGTCGTGGACTCCCTCCTGGATCTGGCACAAGGCGATCGGCTACCCATCGAAATAGCTCAGGCACTCGCTCGAAATCTCATGGAGACCTGCAAAGAGCAGCGTGCGTTCGAGGACATCATGCCTTCCTTGAATCGCTTATCCGAAATAGTTCCAACCTCTACGGCTGCGATTTCAGCCCCTCTGATGCCAAATGCATACATCACCGACAGATTCTCGACCGACCCTTCTTATATCGCTTTCCCTGATCTCCCGTCGCATAATCCATCATATTCGCAATTGATGGCACGCGGGGACCGCGAAGAGACTGACTGGCTGTTACATCGGAGCACGAGCTCGATCCCCATGGTGCGTGTCGACCCTAGTACATGAGCATCTCACTCAAGTGTTAACTGCTTTCGTTGGCATAGCATACCTATCATCTCCCAGAATCATTGTCCGCAGACGGGGTTGAAAGTCCACGAAACCTGTAGGGTGTCTCCGCGTCCCACGCTCAGACAGAGTCTGTGGGCTGAGGATAAGATCTGCTGTATACGGATAGTACTATTGTATGACAGCTGTGCCACATTTGTAAACATTATGTATCAGCATAAGATTACATCAATTGCCATGCAAAGGCGGCGGCATTGATCTTGTCCGTAGACGAATAACCTCGAAAAAAAAATCCATCTCTGTTGTACGACGCCTCTACATGCCGCAGCTGCAGGCCACCGATATAAATGTGGTCTACGTGAATTCTACGCATACATGCGGACTTCGCGCTAAATTCGAATATGAAGTGTGAGAGTCGGGCGATCGTAAAGACGAACGCTCCTCGCTTCGTCTCCCGCGGGGCTGGCTCGAGTGAGACCGTGAGAACTAATCCGCCTTGCCCGACGGAGGCGCCTTGATAGCATTGGCGCATCAAACCTTCTTTTCGTCACGTCTAGGACTCCAACGCGACCTTCTTCAGCCCTCTCTTTCTCGCTCCCAAACACTTATGGCTGACTAACGCCAAGTCATGTAGCTCATTTTTGTGTCATTCCAGATCATAAATACTTTGCCGAACTGAGGCTACTTGGTCGGCTGCAGGCATCGTTACGCGGCTTTCTGCTGTACACACCAGGTTTTTCGTCGATGAAAGCGATAATTTCTGCGCAGAGATCCCGCGACGTTGCATACTCTGCCTGCCAGAGGCATTGACAGAGCGGTGGCCGAAGAGTCAAATAGCGACCTGGGTCCTGTGAGTGTAGTGAGTGCCATTATACCATTTCTCGAAAATGCCAATATTGACCTCCAGTTTCTCCAACAGGCTGAGAGCAACACGGACCCTGCAGAGTCACAGTCGCACACTGCCGGCGAAGCCGGAGCGCAGTCGTCTCAGAATCAGAATCCAGTACCAGCAGGCACAGAAGTGCATGTTCACATGAAAGCTGATCTCGCTGACTAATGGTACAATATTTGGAGAAATACTCCTCCACCTCGTGAGAAGCCCAGACGTTAGGATCCATCGGTACGTCTCTGGCACGGTTAGAGTGTGTACACGGCTAAGATTTGTGTGGCGACCAGAAGTCAACTCTGCAAACCATGGGCATGGTGCCTGAAGCTGCCGCTGTGCGCTTTTACGCACTTCCGCGAGAAGAGTATGCTGCGTATGGCGAGACACCTGTCGCCTCATAGAAGGATTTGGTCGTTTTGTCGGTGCCCAGCAACAGGGTACCCGGTACATGGAGCGGCAAGAGCAAGTTCTGATAATCATTCGCAAGGTGGTGGAGTCTATCGTGAATTCTCATTTGAGGTTGGCACAAAGCAACCAGCTTCCTATCGAAGCAGCTAGTCCGCTTATGCGACATCTCGTCGAGACCTGCAAGAAGCAGCCGGCATTTGCGGACACCATGCTCCCTTTGCGCAATTTCTCCCAAATAATCTTTATCCCCACCGTTGTGACTACTCCGACTTCAGCCCCTCTGACGCTTAATCCAGATTTTACCGTGGACAGCCCGAATTCGACCCTTCTGATGCTACTCTTCCTGTTCACTCATCTCAGACGACGCGTCAGACCCTCAAGTGGTGGCAGTTGGATATCGCGAGGACACTGGCTGGTTACTGGATCGAAGTACAAGCTCGATTCCCATAGTACGTCTTATGTTTTGCTCCTAGCGCGTCTGAATCCCTCCCGCTCGTTCCTGTGTTCAGTAAACCCGTCATTCCTGGAGATTGTCATTATCGGAAGAGGGCGGGTAGCCTACGGGATGAGCTGTTGTTCCTTAAGGGTGCCTCAACGGTAGTTGGAGCTTCGGAGCCTGTGAACTGAGAAAAGCTTGGTATGCTGTGCTTGTTGCTTGTATGTTCAAGCTGTATAGTAACGCGCAACGGCTGTGCTGCAGTTATGGATTTAAGCACTGTGGGTCCTCTTGCTGTCTGTTTCCTGAGTCGGGTAGCCGTGGTACCCATGCCCTAGAAGTGGCGCAGCCTCAAGCCATAGCTCCAGATGGACCCCGTTCAACGTTGTAGCACCACGCGCTTGAATAACTGACACTTAGATATATAAACAAATGCTGAATGTCCCTGAGCAGTCACAATGATAGACGCATAAGAAAAGAAAGCTAAACCGAACTGCTAGACTGCAAATGACGCGTATCTAAAGTCTACAGTCGGAGGCAAGCGAACACGGAGAGCAGAGGGAGCGGCGAGTGGACGGTGAGACGGATGATGGGATATGCGACCGACTGACTGTGCTGTATGAAGCTATTGATATATAAAAGAGCGAAGATTGAGCGCAAATTGAGGAGAGCAAATATAAATGAACGGAAGCAACCTGCAAAAAATAATAAGGGAGCATGCGACACGCATTAGTTGAGAGCTGCTACACGATATAATCAACGCCGCTCGGATCCGGCGCTCCCTAACACAAGGATACAGACACGCCCGAGGAGAATTATACTGGAGACATAACATATGACGATATGAGTGATCAAGATGTGACTGAAGATGAGAATTGCTTGTGGGAAAACGAGTGAGATTTGACGGACGCTGGACGATTCCGGGTAACGAACGAAGGTGTTTTGAGGGTTGGGCAAGGAATGAACCGAGTGAAGACCACATGTGGTCGATCCCAGGCGGTGAAAGGACATAGTACGCAACGAGTCCCCTATGCGTACTGCTGGACGTAGTCGCCGAGGCCGTCCATCGCTATCGACGCAGGGACACACATGGAACCGAGGTCCACAGCGCCATTGGCGTACATTGGCGTGCCCGTATGCAGGCCATAATCGTAGTACGTCGTGAGTTGCTCCTCCGGGTACGTCGCGAGTTGCTCCTCCGGGTATGTCGGCTGCTGTTCCGGGTAGGCCGGCTGTTGTTGCTCCGGGTACGCCGTCTGCCGCTGTTCCGATGTAAATGAGCCGTATGAGGTGACCTGCTGCTCGTACGACTCCTGCCCATAATGCACAGTCTCTGCCGAAGGAGAATCAAATGGCGCCGACTGGTCTGGGGCTGTTGGCGGGTGTACACTGCCTTGGCTAGCGCTATCTGAGTAACCGACGGCAAACCGGGCATTGTTCTGCTGCGGAAACCAGAGTCAGCTACAAGCTTTACTCGGGCGTGGTCGTGATACTTGCCATATTGCCTTGTGGATGCAGCGCGTACGCAAGCTCGCTTGAGCTTGACTGGCGGAAAGGCTGCATTTTGAGAGGATGGTGAGCCTCGACGTGTTGCTGGATATCCGTCTCGCTCATCTGTGCATAGACGTCCCCGTTAGAAGCATGTGGATCTTGGTCCGTCGATGGGTATGGCATGTGATGCTCTTGCGGTGCATAGTTGAACTGATCCTGAGTAAGGTATACGTTCTGCCCGCCGTAGATATCGTGCAGGTGTGGTGTGTACGCCGCCTGTTCAGGCTGAGCAATGCTCCCTCGTCGGCTTTCGGCAATTTCAGGAGGGATTTGATCAGACAGCCCGTCGTTCGCGAACGAGTGAGGCTGTGCTGTTCCCGCATCCGCAACTTCTAGCCTATCCATCCACTGCGGAAGGAATGTCGAAGCACTGAATATTCAATTGAAATCAGTAAATTGGAACCGGGTAAAGATGAAACAAAAGGAGCATCGACCCCATCATCGAAGCCAGGGCCCCAGGTGCCACGTAGCACGGCTAACTACATATAATAGATAGAGCACTCACAAGCTGCCTCGTCTTGCGTGGTCAAAACCCTCCGGCGCCTCAAGAGTCTCAGGCTTTTGCGCTTGGGCGTCGGCAGGCTCGCTCCGGTAGCTTGTCCAGCTGCTCACGCTTGCAAATGAGCCGAAACGGGACAGCGCATCGTATCCAGAGGAGTCCTGGCTGGTATCGTCGCCGTTCGGTCCGCCGCCAGAGTTGACCGAGTCGGCCGAATCCCGGCGTATAGGTCTGTCAACAACAGTCGAATGGTCTGAAGGCGGCGAAGACGCTACAGACGAAGAGATCGATGGTGAGCTCGAGGGGTCGCCGAACGAGAAGGACGGCTCGGGCAGTGGACCCGGGATCGGCGGCTGCACAATGCGTGACGGGACATGCATGCCGTGGCCGTAGCTGTGCATAAGCGACTGGGAGATGGGTGGTGGCGACGCGGAGCTTGGGGACGGTGGCGGCTGTGCGCCAGACGCGAGGGGCGACACGGGCGTGTCGTAGTTGAATGTCGGCGACGTCCCTGCTGGTAGCGTGGGCGCGAATGGGTTCGGATTCGTGAAGATGGAACCGGACAGCCCTGAAGACATAGAACGTGGCGACAGGTAAAACTCCTGAGACGACTCGCGGAACGCGGGCAACGAGTGCTTATGGGCGAGGGTAGGCCGCGGCGGGGCCAGGTCCCCTTGTGGAAAGTCGACGTTGTACTCCTGCATAACATTTCCGCGACGCTGAATACGGCTAGGTACGTCCATTGGGGCAAGCACATGCGGCATCGAGCCATGGCGCAGAAGTCCGATCCGACCTGGCGCGCTTTGAATGCTATCCAATCTGCTGGCTCCGTCGCCATTGGCCGCCGGAGCAAGGCTATGCATGTGAGATAGATTTGCGCCGTGGAATCTGTCGTTAGTTCCTCGGGCTAAATGCGCGTAGGGATGTGCGCCGAGGCGCTTAGCACTCATGTCAACGCTGCGTCTCCGCATTGGAAGATCAAAGGCATGCGGCTGTCCATTTGAGGCCGAGAGGAAGCCGCTGGTGCCGCCGCCATGGATGCTAGCTCGGGTGGTCCGGACAGGTAGACGGCCTGGCGACGACGCACTGGGTGTAATGGACAGGATTGGGAGCGATGATCGCCGTTGAGCCTGAAGTTCTGCGGCAGACGGCGGGGGTGTGCTTGACGGGTAGCCAGATGGCACCGACGCCTCGCGACTTGGAGGGCTTTGCACGAACGGTGACTCTTCATCCTGCTGAATACCTGATTCCTCGGGCGGTGGTGCTAAGCCAGCAGGAGTAGGTGAAGGAGAGGAAGCCGACGAAGTCGCTGGCGGTAAGGTTGCCGTCGATCCAGGAGAAGTACGAGCAGAGGACGACGCTTCGCCTGCTTTCAGAGGTTTGGATGATACAGGGGTTGGAGACGAAGACTCTGGAGCAGTAGACGGAGACTCAGGAGCAGGGGACGCGTTCAAGTTCACCGGCTTTTTGACACCCGCGCCGCCTTCTCTGACCTGTTCTGCTTTGCGCGCGAGATTCTTCTCTTTTGCTCGGCGATTTTGGAACCAGACCTGCGAACTTCTTGAGTGCCGTACCAGCGCATTATGATTGGGAAACGTACCTGGACACCTCGTGGTAACATTCCCAGCTCATCTGCGAGCTTTTTCCGCAGGCTAGCATTGGGCTTCTTGTCGTACTTGTAAACGTCTTCCAGGACCTTCAGTTGTGGCCGCGTAGTGCGTTTGCGGTGTTTCACCTCGTTGGGTTGGTATCTGTGTAGACATCTTGCGCATCAGATGGGGGCATATATGCAAGAAAATTGCAAGCGACTGACGGAAAGAACGTTCGTACATCCACTTGGGATGGGTCAACACCCGGAGGAACGAGAGATGGGACATAGGTTGTTGAAGCACGAAGGGAGGGAGGGCCGGGAAACATGTTGCCGTGTCCGTTGTTGTTCGGCTCCATGGCAAATTGGAGTAGACAGACCAGAAGACTGTAAATGAGGATTCCAATGAGGAGGAGAGTCCGTAGATAACAGGGCTAGTAGTAAGGGTCGAGAGTAAATATGCACGGTGTCTGTATATCCGAGTATCCCAGATGGAGTTGGCCTGCCTGCACTCCTAAGCAAATGACGAAGAACGAGGTCTAGCGGGAATACGAATGTCAGTCAACACAGAGTCGATTGGTGGGCACGAAAGAGGAGACGAGGACAGGGGGTCTCTTCGTCCCAGAGTGGTATATGGTTGTCTGGCGACGTCTCCCAAATGAGGCTGGTCAACGGTCGACAGCTACCGCAACACGCATTAAGAGACTCAACGAAGCCTGTGCGTAGCTCTGACGACCAGCCTAATCGTGTATGGCGAGGTACAAGCAGGTCGAAGTACAAGGACGCGCAAAGCGCAAAGCGTGGGACGCACCGATTACCCAGGATTCCAGATACACCCACACACGCGCCGTGTGGACTCAAACTGCCAACAGGTCGGCGTCGAACGTTGGGAACAAGCGACGATGACAGACTAGATGTTAGCGATGGATGTTCCTGTGAAACAGGCTCTTCGAGCTTTAAAACTTGAAACGGGGGGTAAGGAGCGATGTGAGTGCCGAACAGCAAGAGGTGCGAATAGCGGCCTCGGAAGAGGAGACTTTGCGCGTTCGACGATGTCTCGGGCTTGTTGGCGGGGTATATGACAGAGATGACAGGGAACAGACTGTGCTGGGAGACGCAGAAAGTGAGCACTGCCTGTGCCTTTAACCGCTGGCAGCCCCTTGCGCAAGTAAGCGCAGACCGACGATGATCACTGTTGGGAACAGCGCCGGCAATGCCTCGTTGTCGCAGATCAAGGCGTGAACGCGCTGTTGGACGTCAACGCCGCACTGGACTGAGTTGGGCGAGCGAGAAGAGTTCAAGTCGACTTCGAGCCTGCGCAGGAGGCAAGCCACGGACGACCGTGAGAAATCGGTATCGAAAAGGCACTGGAATTTCCAGGCGGTTTTCGTTTAATTTACGAAGTTTACCCTCTGCTCTCCTCCGTCGACACAGACCTACGTAAATCGCGGTCTCATGCTCAGAACCATTCGTTGCGCTCTCTGAATAGCCCGTCATATGTATCCTTCCCACTAGAATCTGTTTGGACGGCCGGCTGCTCCTGACCCGTCGCGCTTTCTCACCATGCGTTACTCTGCTTCTCACTCATTCAGCGGTATTCCCTGCTGACGGAAAGACCACAAACGTCAGAATCGCCAATTACAGGGTATCTAATGCCGGACCACCTGACATGTACGCTGGCAAGAACCTCTGGCCGTGATGCGCCTCATCCTGACCCACACGTCTGCAACAACTTCTCAGAAGTAAAGCCGCGCTTGCAGCGCACAGAGCGGCAAGTTCGTTGCATATTCAGTCTCTAAACCTCCGTCGAAACCGTGGGTATTGATGTTTGACCGATGATAGGAAGCCTACATGTCGTCTGCGACGACTGGCGCCACGTCCTATACCCGTGGGAAGTGCTCGCGCAAACGTTCACATTGCCGCGCAGCCCCAGCTCCGCGAAGGGGAGGCGGTTGCTCGCCCTGTTAAGAGCAATCGAGGTCTCCTCGATTCGTTGCAGAGCCAATGAGTTCACGCCTGGCCTGACCTGCTGTTGCCAACGAGGTATCATGAGCAACATAGTGATGACGAAGTCTCCGAGCGCTGCAACGGCGAAGCTATGGCCGTAGGTACCTGACCTCAATCCGTTGCCGTAACGGTGTGCGGTTTGCGGCCGCGCAGAGACCGGAAGGTATCGTAGAGATAAACCTGTGCGACCTGTAGCTCCATGGTACAGGCTTGGGTCGGTAGGTCGGGTTCGCATGGCCCATAATATCCGATATCCCGAGATTTGTTCGAACGCTGACGCCCTCGGAAGCAGGTGGCGTAGAGCGGAAGGGAAACTCACCGCAGGACGAGCGTCTCCGTGATATGGCGCCTGGCAATCTCGGTGGTCTAGAGCTTGCTGTCTCGCCCAATCACGAGCATGTTTCTCAACCCGGGTGTAGCGCTTTTTTTTTTTTTCTTTCATTGCCTGCCAAGTTCTGCGCGTCAAGACTCAAGCACTCAAGACGCAATCTTTGACCCTGACGAATCGACTGTACAGTTTGGCTATATCCGCGCCGGTCGAGGAAACTCCATATGGTCGCGCTCCGCTCGAGTCCGCCTGTCTTGCTCACCTCGTGTCTTTGGCGGTCTTATCCTCTGCCTTCCCGTACGTCTCGATCAGTGGCGTATGAAACATGTTAATGTCCAAGTAGCCGTCAATATGCGCGGCCTGTGCGAGTTCGTTAGCTCGCGGTAAGCTTACCTCACGGCAAGACTCTGGAGCATCCTGCATTGTCGAACAGAAGATACAGCAGTTGAGCGGATACAGTGCCCATTCGGCCGGATAGTACCGTCACTGTAGAGGATTGGTGCTGAGAACTATAGATCAAGGGAGCAAGGGAGCACGACCCGTGTCGTTCCAGGATAGCAGACGACATCTTGGTTGGTACGCTGGACGGTATGCCGAAGGACTTGTCGGCCCATACAAATTCCCTCTGCAGCTCGTAAAGTACTTTGCAAGACTCCAACAGTGCCAGTAGCATACATAAATACTTAGCGAAGACCATACCAGTTCTGGAGGGAGTCAAATAAAGCAGAGCAGAACGTCCACATACCAACTGTTTGGCGATTTAGAGCGAACATCGATGTTACCCAACAGCATGCTAGTACATTTACTTCCCATCTAACTCTTAGCTCGCAACGACGATGCAGCCTACAAGATGTTCGGCGCAAAACCGAGGCGCTGGTTCCCAAGATCCCATACGCTATAGTAGTGCTTTAGCAAGCTGCCACCGATGATATTGAAGTCCTCGAAGGCGTTGATGAGCGTCTGGCACAGCTCTGGGTTACTTCTGAACGGTCCGACGCTGAGCTCGCTGCTCGGAATCGTCAACGTGAATGCCTCGCCCTCCTGTGAAGTGAACGTGAAAGAGATCTCCGCTGGAAGGGAGGAGATCTCGGAGCAGGCGATGCCGTAGGTACCCGGCTCATCGCTGTTGGGCTTGATGTTGGGCGAGATCTGAGCATAGACAGCCTGAATAAATTGAGGGTCAGAATATCACCTACACGGTAGAACAGAAGGATATACCTCGGTGTCGGCCTTGGGAAGCACGATGTTACTGGTACCGCTATCGAAGATGAAGACGCGCGATTGATTCAGCCCCGATGTTGACTCTCCGTTCACAGTGATGCCGGTAGACGTGAGCTGCCAGGCCTGGCTCTCCACCGCATCAACGAGAGTACCAAAGGTCAAGTCGCCTGCGTGTGTGAGACGACCCATCAATATGGCACGTAGGACATTGAACAGACAGCATACCAGTGAACTTCGTAGAGTCGATACCGCCTAACGTCAGCTCTGCATTGCCGACGGACTGAGGCGTCAAGTACAGGCTAAATAGCGATGGCAGGCCCTGTGCCTCCAGACCAGCAAACAGGCCAGTCGCAATGGGGCCCATGCCCTGGATACCGCTGAACGGATCTGGCGCGAACGTCGGCGTCTGGTCAGTGATGAGAAACAGGCTGACGTCGGGAACAGAGATGCCGCCGACGGTGACGGTATCAGTCGCGTTCCGCAGCGTGAGCTGCCAGTTGTTTCCCACCACGGGGTCAACGCCGACACCTGTGGCAAAAGTGATCGTGCCTGTGCTACCGCCGTCGACGAAGGTCGAACTCTCGGATGGGTCGAACTGGACTTGGTTCGCACATGCGGAACCGCAAAGGGTGCCTGTGCAATGCCAGGTGAGCAAACCAGTCGGACACCAATGTATTGGTTATAAGACGCGTACTAGCAAATTCTAGTGTTTGGCTTCCGGTGTCGAAAACCACGCTGATCGTCTGCGGCGGCGTGCCAACTGAGGCGAGGTCAGTCCACATGAACGAGATGATAGCATGGCGACTGCGCGCATACCTCCGATATCGCCAAACCATCTGTCATGTCACATTTAGAATGAACCGACTACGCCGTGAGAACTACTCACTGAAGGTCAGTTCCGTTGAAGTAGTCGGCAAGAGGTACACCGATAGGAGAAAGTGCACGACGGGCGTGAGGAGCACCTCTGGCAACCTTGCGGGACGTAAGCGAGATCGTCTGTGGTACACCTCGAGGACGAGGGGTGGCCGGGCTAGCGCTCGCGCACAATGCGAGGAGCAAAGTTGTCAACGTCGCGCACAACATAATCGTGGCTCGGAGGATGCAGGAGACGACCTGAGAAAAAGCGTGGCTGCAGACTGGTCGCATTTATACGCCCCCGTGGTACTGGCGCCACATTTCGGGCGGGCTTTCAGGCACCGAAGCGCATGCGAGAGAAGGATCAACCCTGTTGATGCTCGCCCAGGCTCGGGGTAGCCAGCGGGATTCAAGGCCACATGAGCGGTGCCAAGGGCAGTGCGCTGGAAACTTCAGCAGAGGCGCAAGCTTTAGCACTTATACGGGCAAGGACATAGGCATACGCACATGGGAGAGAAGGCAGGAACTTGGCAGGTGCAAGGACACGGTAGGCGTAGTCAAGCAGTATCCATCAGTCACGAGTCTGCCGAAGCGTCTCCTAGGCCAGGAATGGTATGAACTTCGTTCGCGTATCTGCGAGGAGCTGTGTATGTTTTGTTTCACTAGGGCCAATGTCGTAACTCGCGATGGTTCGCGAGTAAGGCGATGCAGATAGCGACGAAGCCGACCGTGCAAGTTTTCTGGGCCCACACTTGCAGCTCATAACCAGTAGCTTTGCACTTCAGGAATAGAAGGAGAAAAAAGTGTGTTTCTTGCATGAATGACAAAGGCACTCACGCAGCACTGAACTGAGCGTAACTTCTCAAGGTACTTATGCCGCCGCTCTGACAACAAGAAGTAGTAGGGCCTGATTAAAGTCTGATGGACTGCATCGCGAAGGGGACATGCTTACACCTAGCCTTGATATGATATGATGACAAGGAACGAGACAGAACACAAGTTACGGTAAAGGCATTTGAACACGAATGTGGCTGATACCCCTCCGTTCAATCTCAGCGCGATATAATCTGGTCTCCGATTAACAAGGGGCGAGTCAATTCGATCTCCGCAATCTCCACTCAAAGCCAAGATAATGACCGCGTCTCGTGGATCGAGTCCCACCACGTCCCAACTACCACCTGGCAACAGATTCTATGGTATACCTACTCTGTTTCTTGTGTTTTGCAGTGTTAATCTGTCTGTAGCCTGCCCCTCGTCGTATCACCAAGCGCCGCCGCTCGGCTTCGCCTGCGAGAGGTCCACCACCTGCGGCCGTACCCACAGCTTCCGGACGCGACGCCGACGAGAGCTCTTCACTTCCTCCCTCATCGCCCCCTGCGCCCTTCTCCGATACGGACGAAAGTCTTGATGAACGAGATGCTGTGCCAGACGCTGACGAAATACCAGAAGAAGAGGAGGATGGGGAGGATCTGTTCGGTGAAAATCTCGAAGAGTGAGTCTGAAGTCGTGGTCTCCCCCTTTCGACGCGGCATGCGTCTTGTATCGCCCCCCACAATGCTTTACCGTCACTTTGCATTCTTTTGACGCGTCGTAGCTCGGTGACTGACCACGTCTTTTCTGCGCGTTAGTGACTACGCTGTGAACGAAGCTCTTGATCGCTACTCCGACGCAGATATCGATGATGACGAGGAGCTCCAAGAAATGACTGCAGCTCAACGGAGAGCGGCGGAAGCAAAAATGGCTCGCCGCGATAGGCTGGAACGACGCGGCGGACGAGGTGCACGTGCATCCAGGCGAGCGCGTTACCCGGGCTTCCTGGAATCCGACGACATGGAAGACGAGGATACGGGCGAAGGTGGTCTGCTTTCACAAATGAAACGTCGCACAAGAAGGCAGTATGATGAGCGCCGCGACATGGACGACCTTGAGGGTGTTGAAGACGTAAGTCCCGCGGTCTTTCCTCTTTCGTTCCGCCCTGATCGTCCGCCGTCGTCGCATAGGAAATCCCGCTTGAGCAACTGAGCGATATCAAGGCGAAGTCTATTGCTGAGTGGATCGCCAACGAACGTGTCCGCCGTTCGATTGTCAGGCATTTTCGGCAGTTCTTGATGACTTACGTTGACGACAATGGCGCGTCAGTGTACGGCCAGCGGATTCGTAACCTTGGTGAAAGTGCGCAGGTCATTTTTTCGCTGTCATTCGCATATTCACGCCACTCTTCAGACAACTCGGAGTCGCTGGAGGTCTCCTATCTTCATCTAGCCATGTCCAAGCCGATTCTCGCTTACTTCCTCACAAATTCTCCTTCCGCAATGCTGGCAATCTTTGACGAGGTCGCCCTGAATGCCATCCTCGTCTATTACCCTTCATATGAGCGGATCCACTCGGAGGTGCATGTGCGCATTACGGACCTGCCCCTCAGCTCGTCCCTCCGTGATCTCCGTCGCAGTAACTTGAATAATCTCGTCCGAGTATCTGGAGTCGTGACCAGGCGTACTGGCGTCTTCCCTCAGCTGAAATACGTTAAGTTCGACTGCAGAAAGTGCGGCGCGGTTCTCGGTCCGTTTTACCAGGATGCGACGAAGGAGGTTAGAATCAGCTATTGTCCTAATTGCGAGAGCAAAGGCCCCTTCTCCGTGAATTCAGAGCAGGTGAGCATAGCTATGGCTCTACACGACTCTTAAGTGACCCGTGTTTTATAGACTGTGTACAGGAACTACCAGAAGATGACTCTGCAGGAGTCTCCCGGCTCTGTTCCTCCCGGTCGTCTGCCTAGGCACCGCGAGGTTGTGCTTCTCTGGGACTTGATCGATTCTGCCAAGCCTGGCGAAGAGATCGTAAGCACTGCCGGTCTTCTGAGTGATCCTGAGCTTACAGCCACAACAGGAAGTTACGGGCATCTACCGCAATAACTTCGATGCCTCGCTGAACTCGAAGAATGGCTTCCCTGTGTTCTCAACTATCATTGAGGCGAACCACGTCAACAAGAAGGAAGATCAGTTCGCTGCATTCCGTCTTACGGAGGAGGACGAAAAAGAAATTCGCGCGTTAGCACGAGATGACCGCATTCGAAAACGCATCATCAAGTCCATTGCCCCTTCCATCTACGGACACGAGGACATCAAAACCGCCATCGCGTTGTCTTTGTTCAGTGGTGTCTCCAAAAATATCAACCGGAAGCACCCTCTTCGTGGTGATATTAACGTACTCTTGTTGGGAGATCCCGGTACTGCCAAGTCGCAATTCCTCAAGTACGTCGAGAAAACAGCGCACCGTTCCGTCTTCGCCACTGGCCAGGGTGCTTCCGCCGTCGGTCTTACCGCGAGTGTGCGCAGAGACCCTGTGACCTGCGAATGGACGCTCGAGGGAGGTGCACTCGTTCTTGCAGACAAGGGCACCTGTCTGATCGATGAGTTTGACAAAATGAACGACGCGGACCGAACGTCAATCCACGAGGCCATGGAGCAACAGTCCATCTCAATATCCAAGGCTGGTATTGTCACGACCTTGCAGGCGCGCTGCGCCGTCATTGCTGCGGCTAACCCGATCCGCGGCCGTTACAACCCGACGATCCCCTTCCAGCAGAACGTCGAGCTCACCGAGCCAATTCTGTCGCGTTTCGACGTCTTATGTGTCGTCAAAGATGCCGTTGACCCTGTCCAGGACGAGTTGCTCGCACGGTTCGTCGTCGGCAGCCACCTGCGGAGTCATCCCAAATTTGACGCGGATAAGGATGAGATGAACGTCGGGACGACGCTTGATGCAGATGTGGGTCGCGTTCGCTCATTCTCAGGCCCGCCATAATATTAATGTATTCCCACAGCTGATTCCTCAAGACACTCTCCGGAAGTACATTATGTATGCCCGCGAGAAGGTCCGCCCCAAGCTGTACGACATGGACCAGGAGAAGCTTTCTCGGCTCTTCGCCGATCTCCGTCGCGAATCGCTCGCAACTGGCTCGTACCCCATCACCGTCCGCCATCTCGAAAGTATGATCCGCATGGCAGAGGCGAGCGCGAAGATGGCGCTGCGCGAGTACGTGCGCGCAGACGACATTGACACGGCAATCTCTGTCGCTGTCGGCAGCTTCATCAACGCGCAGAAGATGTCGATCAAGAAAACTCTAGAGCGGGTATGTGTCAGATTCGTACTCTTTCTCTTTGCGGGACTGATGTAGTCGTGCGCAGGGCTTCCGCAAGTACCTCACTCAAGCGCGCGATCACGAAGAACTACTCGCATTCCTCTTGGGTCAAGTTGTCAAAGAAAAGGTTCGCCTGTTTCAGGTCCAACGGCACCAACAGCCGGATTTTGTTACAGTCAAGGCCTCCGAACTCGATGAAAGAGTATGTGGTTCTGTAGCCACTGCGGGGAGTCCGCTAATCAGAATTTATACAGGCGAAAGAGCACGACATCTATGACACTGCGCCCTTCCTGCGCTCGAAGCTGTTCGCCGCGAACGGCTACAAGCTGAAAGACGATGGCATCATTGAGAAGGCATTCCGTCGGGGCGACGAGTAGAAAATTATTCCGTATCGGGCTTTCCAGGGATTGTATATGTAAGACTAGTCTTGGGTCATGTATTACTATTGTTCGCCGCCCTGCTCAATCGCATCTTTTTCACATCGATGCTGCGACTGCCGCGGGCCGCGCTCCAGGAGTTGATAGGAAGCCGCTTCGGTGGGCACATTAGCTTGTGCAGAATTCCGTTGACTCCATGGGAGATGCCAGACTTCTGAGACAGCCTCAGCTGCCACAAGATGCTATTACACGGCGCCTGGGATCTGGCTGCCACCGCTACCTATTGTCCTCTCTCCATCAAGATGACATCCAGGCTTCGACGTCTCATATTGTACGATGCAGCACTTGTACCCCTGATGCCGTAAGATCTAGATGCGAAGGAGCCGTTGGGGTGGTACTTCTAAGGCACGAGGGCCGGGCTGGTAGGGCATCTTTGGGATGCAGACCCAGATATTTCTCAGGACGAGCGGAGAAAGCAAGGGCGGGTAGAGAATGAAGGAGGTGCCATGACGACTCTTCTATTTGTCTGAGTAATAGTCTCATGAGCACGGGGTTTAAATTGCGTCTTGACTACTAGTTCGGCCAGGCTGGCTGAGGAAACCTGTGGCAAGCTCCAACAGCATACTTACCCGAGAATAACGCACAGAGAAGAGCAGAGACAGAGAAAATTATTCATGTTATTTTTGCTGCTCGCACCTTTTTTCTTGGAACAGTGGCCAACGAGGGAGTAGCTCAGATATTTATATTCAAAGGGCGCATCATTGCCCGAAATGGTAGCGGGGCGGGGAGCCAAACAAAGCCACAACCTACACTCGTCCCTACTGCAATTTGTCTTATTCACGTCGTTACGCACTCTTTTGAGCACTGCGCCTTAGCTACGACTAATGCCTCACTCCGTACTCCCTTTGGCCTGCCGTCCCGCTCGCTCTTGCCCCGAGAATGATGCCGGTAGTTAGGCGCCTGACTGTTCGCTGCGTCGGTCGACATTCTCATTCTAAGCTGCGAACGGCTCGAGAAGGAGGGGCTCACAGGTGATTCCAAGCATGATTAATTCCTCAGGTTTGTAGTTGTTCTGGCCGGGTCAGTCGTTCGGTGCGACGGTGTCAACACATATTTGGGTGGACCCACAGAGCCATCGCGGTGCACAACAGTTGGCGGGCGGTGAAATACAACCAACCCGACAGTCTTCGTCCTGGTTTCCCACCATCCCGCGCACAACTCGACTATAGCGGGGCCTCTCGAGGGCTTCCAGCCACCCACAACAACGACCGCGACCTCGGGTCTTCACTATCTTTAGGCGCCATAGTTCAATATGACCCCGCTAATTGACACTCCCTCGACCAACCCCGACGATCTCTCCGAACACGTCGATGAAGAGCCTGCTGTCGATCCCGACACGGGCAAGAAGATCCTCCGACCACGAAACGCGTGGATCCTCTTTCGCAACGAGATGCTCGATCGCGTTCCACGCCTCCCTGACGGCTCCCGTCAGCCCATGGCCGATGCGTCCAAGATCATATCTGCGTGGTGGAAGCAAGTAAGCCCAGAGGAAAAGTATCGCTATGAGCTCCAAGCAGAGCAGGAGAAGGAGGAACATAAGCGAAAGTATCCCAATTATCGCTTTCAGCCAAAGTCGAAGATGCAGAAGGCGAAGGAGAAGGCGGCAAAGAGGGAGGCAGTAAAGAAAGCGCAGCTGCAGAGCAAGGTAAAGACGCGCGCGTCGACGCCGCCGCAGGCGTACGCGACGTCGCACGCCACATCCTACCTTGCTGCTGCGTTGGCAAACCAGGCCAACCAGACCGCCGCCACAACTCCCATGCCCGCCTACGGACGCGAGGGTCCGTCTCCCCCGCTTTCTTTGGCGTCAACTCCCACCACCACCCCCAGTCCCTTCCCATTGTCAGATTTTGAGCAAGGATCTTCGACGTCCACGTCCGCCACCTCCGCCCAGGCTCTGCCATCACCCTCAGACGCGCTTGGCCTTGGTCTGCCTTCACCTCTCAACTTCAACGGGCAGGACGAGGCGAATGCGCGTGTGCCCCAGCGTCCGCCGGCTAGGCTGCCACCACGAAAGAAAGGGCCGAAGATCAAGACAGACTTGTCTTCAGAGGCCACGTCGTTCTCCAGCAGCGCCGCACGAGCTCAGACTCCCGCCACTGGTACACCGTCGGCGCTATCACCACTACCATGGCCTCTACCCAACGACGATGCGCGACAACCGCCACCACAGTCGCGCGAGCCCTCTCCTGCTAGTTCGACTGGCCCACCATCGGCCCCATCGTCCGATCTGTGGGACGTCGCGAACTCCTACAATCCTGTCTCTGGTTGCTCTGACAATCTCTCTCTTGACCTGGTTCGTGTTAATACCTTGCTCTTGATCACAATATTTACGTGTCATGTAGAACCTCGCCATCCCAGACCCTTACAGCGAAGACTTCTTCAATCACATATCCTTCGGCGCCTCTGCTCTGCATGAGAACGAAGGTATCTTCTCGATGTCGATGGACTCCTTTGCCGGTCACCAGCTCCCGGACCAATTCGACGTCTCTCTGACTGCTTCCGCTCCAATGATTGCGTCCGACCTCTCGCAGTCGTTCAGTGACTTTTTGAATACCTTCGACTTCCGTGCCCATTCTGGCGATCCCCTTCAAGACCCGTCGCCGCCGCACGTCGACACCGTCCCGGAGCTTGATCCTAGCCCCGAAATTTGGCAGATGTGGACCAGGACAGATAATGCGTCGAGCGACGTGCTGCCGTCTGCTGCGCTTACTGCGGGCCACGAGCTCCCACCATACGACCAGATGCACATGGAGCAGTCGATGGTGCAAGAGTCTACGCCTTCCGCGGATTACCTGCACACGTTTCCAGAAGTCGTTCACGAAGAATCAATACAAGCCCAAGGGCCGCCACAGGTGCAACAACAGCCAGACTCCTCGCAACGGCTTGCGATACCATCTCACTACCCACCTCATCTTGCAGAGGACCCCGATTTCGTGGAAGTATATGCACAGTATGTTTCCAAAATGCAGCAACGGTGCATACAGGCAAATGCGCATGCCGGGCCGCACCATGACCATCTCACATACACGCCACAGGACCAACCGCAATCGCAGGTTACCCATGACGAAGTCCAGTATCAGGCGCAGGCGTACACGCCCAACGGGTTGCACCATACGTCGTATTCAGAGCCGCAGCCACTCTCGCCGCCGTCGAGCACTTCGGGCGACGTGCATTGCGGGAGCGGCTACGTCCCTCCCTCAGGAGCTGCGACTACGATTGGTCTGCGCAGAGTTGGGGGTACCTGGAGGCCGCCGGTCGGCCCGCCACCCTCAGAGGATTCCACTTCGCGAGTTCCGTCCTGGGGTAGCGTCGCGTCCACGTAGATCTGTTCACAAAACATCATGACCATCACGACTCATTGCATAGTTCATCGCTTATGGAGACATGTGTACATATTCCTCATCTATGGTGAGTCAGCAAGCCGTTCCTGCACCGGACGTGTGCTGATGCCTATTAGTTTATCATTATTTCTCTCTCAATCTGCACGAGCTCTTACCCCTCAAACTACATCGCTGTATCGTCCACAAAGAAAGCTCACCTAATTCGTCTCCCCCCTGTCTCACGCCTCAGGCAACTCCCTTTGCAATCGTCGAATTACATGTCTTGCTGCACTTCCTTCGCTTTTCTACCGTCCACAGTCTGTTATGCCCCCATCATTTCTCCGTTGCTTTCTTCGCATAAGTACTCATTTCATGCGTGCGCCCCGCCGTAGATCTGTTCATCAATCAACACTCACCACTTCTGCTTCTGCCCTCGCAACTCATCCCCATTCTGTACGCCTTTACATTACCGTTTATACGCCATTACACCTCTCGGGTGCCTCACTGAAGCCTCTCCTTTGGTTTGGCTTGACGTACTTGCTTATAGTCGTCGCATCTGACTTTATCCTCTCCTTCCTGTAAATATTAACGAAGGGTTGAATCTCGGGGCACTGTACAGGTTGCTTAACATCCTTGCTTTGCTAAACTCACCGGCGTGCATGTCCCCCAGGTCCGCGCTATTCTACGCCGGCGCCAACCCTGAGATGATGTCTACTGCGAAAATCATTGTCCTCGAGAGCCATTGTCCTTCCGACGCTCTGCGGCAGGAGGTCTCAGTGTAGGTGAGTGTGTCTACGCTGTTTCTGTCTGCCTACAATTGATAATTGATTCCGCGTGGAAGGTCTCAGTGCGCAGCCATCTACTGGCCTCGAGGTTAGTAGGCGGCGTCACCCTTACCTCTCAGTCTAAATCTGGCATGGATCCGTGATGCGGAGGTGCTCACTCGCGTTGGTAGACCATGCGCGGAGCCAAGTACGTAAAGGCTTTCGCCAGCATCAGCGTCGGCCCCAGAGTCCGCAAAGGACGCGGAACAGAACCCGCCTTTGGCCTCAGCTGGATGGACGTCTCGGCTGCGCCCCGCAATTGCGTCGCGCATCTTGAGGTGTCATCTCGTACATCTGTGGGTCGGAGCTGGTATGCGCCTGCACTCGCTACTGGTGTCGCTGAGCGCGACCCGATTCTGAGGTAGGGGCGGCGCGGTTCGGGAAGGCTGGCAACTTTTCCCGTTGGTTACTCAGGCCTTTATATACAGCCCCATGAACAGCGTTGATCTGTCGCATCAACCATTGTTCGTCTTAGCATGTTTTCGCGCCCCGCTAGGCAGACAGTGAGTGTCCGACCGGACACCGGAGCTTGATGCCCAGGGTCTCTGCACAGGCTGACTGTGCTCTATGCTCCACCGCCTCTGTTGTATGGGCGCAGTACGAATGTGCGCCTACGGACAAGCTAGTACTATTTCATGCTGTTGGGTTGTGCTGAGAGTCCGGCGTAGGTTGGCTCGTCGCCTGAAGGTTCTATACTGAGTATACAGTAATGCAAAGCTAGCGGCCCATACTAGAACCCAGATCATAGTTCTGGACACCCGAGCCCCTTTCCGGTAGGTAGCATACTCATGTGCTTTGCCCGCCGCAGTCGGACTGAGTTTGCTCGCCGCTGAACAGTATCATAGGTGAGCGGCTGCGCTTTGCTAGTTCACTTCTTGTGCTGAAAATTATTCCTAGTGCCCTCACACGCACCAGGCCTCTTATACGATGTCACTGAATGCTCCAGATACCACCATCCAGACTCACGATGGGATCCCACGTCGCGCCTTGCTGTCCAGATTCTATCATCCGGTGCGAGATAAAATTGAATGCTCGGGTTTTGCTTCACACAGCAGAATAGCCCTATTATGTTAGGCTGTCATCAAGGGACAGCTCCAGCTCTGACTAATGTGGCAGACAGAGCAGACATCAGTGAGATTTTTCAGGTATTGTAGGATCCGACGATTCTTTTGTTGTATGTACAGCTGTGTACGAAATTTAGTGACACCGCCAACTATCCAAGCTTTTCTGCAGGGCTCAGGCCGAGCCCAAAAAGCTCTGGGACAGACAAAGGAAGTGATGAGTCTGCCTGGGTTCGGACTGAGGACGACGGATGCAATAACCAACCCTGGCACCGACCCTGCAGACTAAGGCTGTGTTGCTTGGATACTTCAATATGCGCACAGTTCTTGGATGACAGTGGCGGAATTCTTATTTACCAATCTTTGGTAACCCAGAAACACTTCTGCATTACTGCGATGGTCAGATTGCTGGCCCTACATGCAGAACAACAGCGCAACCTGAGCATGGTTCATTGAAAGATGTTTACACTACGTCCGTATACGTATTTACAGCTCAAGTGCTATGTGAAAGGGTCACTGAGCTAGCATCCACTGTACGCCATGTAGTTTGTACTTCGTTGTCATATGTGCTGAATGGAGTTCTCTGTTTGGGTTCAATCGCGACGCTTCCTAGTATGGATATCGGCGGTAATGCGCCATGACGCGCCCACCTTCGATCCCAAATTTAACGCCAGACGTCTTGTTCTTGACCGCCACGCCGCCTTATTATTGAATCTATTGCAGCTTATGCACTGTCGCTGAGAGAATGGACCTCTCGCCGCCTAACGGCACACATCCTGCTGAAGGAATTCCTTACGGTCTACCCGACTCGCCCTCGATCGAACAGCTCGAACACGAACTGCCGTCCGTGAGCGATGGGCAGGTGCCGCTAGGGGAGCTTGTTTCCAGAGTTGCTCAGGCTGTCTATGCAGAACTGACCGAGCTGGCCGAAACGTACGTTCCCGCCTTGTCATCCAATATAGCTGCTAGACTTGGCTAGATTTTACCCACAGCATGCCCCACATGTCCGACATTCAGCGGAAACGGACCCTCGCGGAATGGGTCGTGAAAACCAAGAAACAAATTGTCAAGCTCTACGCTGTAGTCAAGTGGTCTAGAGATGCTGCGGTCGTTCAGAAGGCTATGGTACGCATCTCCGTCCTGACAAGGCGTCATGGCTTGCTAACGTCGCGGTAGAACATCACGGGGTTCCTAATGGACCAGAACCGCCAATTCGAAGATGTTATCAATAGTCTGAAGTTCTCTAAGGACAACCTTGACTCTGCTCGACTACGGAATCACGACCTCCTCACATCCCTCGATGTCTTGACCACAGGTTCCTACCGCCGCCTGCCTTCCTCTATCAAGGTTGGGTTCAACATCGACTTCCCAAAACTAACATCTGACATGCGGATATAGAAATTTGTCGTACCACCCACCCCACTCGCTAACGACCAAGTCAGTCAAACATTGGCAGACGTGGAAGACACCATGCGCTATCGTTTACGCATGCATGAGTTAATTCCGCGCAAGATGTCTCATTACCGAGTCGCAGATGGACGCGTCCACTTCATTGCATCCAAGCTGTTTGAGGTGTCTTTGTGCCTTTTGGGTGCAAAGAAAGAAGACGGCTGGTTCTTCGTGGATGTTGAGTTCCTTTTCTCTGTGGGCGGGGATGTTTCCGGCATGCAAGGTGCGTACTTGGTAGCGTTGGCTATGTTGTAGTTTAATTATATCTGTCAGACTTTCCTCGACGTCCGGCGGGGCCTTTAAAGAGACACATCACCGAAGAAGCGGATGCACGACTAGGATTTTACTTGCCGCCGCCTGAACCGCTTCCAGACGCGATAGTCCCGGAGCCCCCCAGGCCTCAGCTACCGGACGGTGTCTTTGATGCACCTCTTGTTCGTCTCTTCAACTTTCTACGTACGTATCGTACGGCTCCACTTATCTTCCTCCCTGACGATGTCCAGAGATGATGTCGCTATCATACCAGCTCGAAATTTTGTGGTATCAGGTATGAATATTACAACGTTTGCTTGCTTTCCTCGCAACTTATCTTGCCCATAGGCTGAGCGCATGCGCTCACTTGGTTGGGGTGAATACCTTAAGGTTGAGATGAGCAACGATCGCAAGACTCTCACCCTCACATATTGGCTGTATGTCACGCTGTATTTTTTTTATTCGTAATAAGAATGTTAATTCTAAACACAGTCGTAAGCCTCCGTCGCAACAGCAGGCTCAGCGAGCGAACGTGCCGAAGTTACCTCTGTTTGGAGGAACGCTCACAATATCCATAATCCCCACACAGCCTGCCCCACCATTATCCAAGCAACCTTCTACATCCTCCTTCCGTCCTTCGCAAAGCCAGACGCTCCCCTCGCAGTCGTCTCAAACTTCCCTCCGGCCTTCCCAAAGTCAAAAAGAGAATTCCGCACAGCAAAGCACGCAGCCATCGGTCGACGGGCGGTATCGACGGCCTCCAAAAGACAAAGTTCTCGTGGAGCTGCAGGAGCGTGCAAAGCTAATCGTCGCGGCAAAGGACCAGGCGAAAAGGGTCGGCAAACCATCAGACGAACCGGAGGGCATGGTGATGCATGTCGACTGGCAACCGCAGCCAGGAGCGTTGGGAGTCAACATAAAGCCGACGGACATGTCGATCTCTCCGGATGAACTCGTCATCGTCAGTAGTGCCATACAACCCGCTCGGTCGCTGGATCTCATACTCTTCTAGAATCCGGACGACTTGGACGTAGAAGCTCTTTTACGCAAAGTAATTTGGGTGCACTCGAAGAATCTCTTGCGTTACTTCGAGGTGCAGCTATCTTGGACTCAAGCATTCGAAACTGTTGATGAGGTTGTGCTCGATGTTGACGGTCAGCCGGGTTTTCCTGATTCTCCCGTCTCAACTGGCTGCTGACGCATCATTTTCTCAGAGTCTTCTTCGCATGCTGCCTTGCGTGTGAACCTCTGTGCCGACGAGACTGTTGTTATCACACTCGATCCGCGGACAGGTCGGCTCAACATCGCTGGTACGGGTGACTTGGCCGCAGCTGGCCACGGCCCAAGGTTTTCTGTCATTACTGTGGGGATCAATAACAATCCTACCGTATTGGTTGAGGCAATCATGACTCTGAGATACTATGTAGGAAACTCACTTATTCGAATGCAGCTAAGGCTAAATTTCTCTACAGACTATTGCAGATCTGGTTGAGCAGAAGGCGAACTATTTGGGACTGCAGACGTTTCGCCAGCGACCATTCCGGACCGAGGGTGCGTGTCATATTTCATCCCTTATATGATAGACTGTCTCATCGTTTTTGACTCAGAGCTCAAAAAACTCGGCCACCAAAGGGGCATGCTCTATATTCAGCTCTCGAGCTTTCCCATGCACTACCTGGTCGTCGTCATTACGGATCAGGACTTCCGCTATGCGCTCATATCCGCCCAGATCGTACCGGGTACGATGTACACCGAGATGATCATGGGAGACATTGGGTGGCTGGATGTGAGTCGCATACACGGTGGGGACCTTATCATCTCGCAGTCGGGTGCTGCTGCTATCCCGGTCGCAGAGACGGTGGCGAGTGATGTTGGGGCATCAAAAGGTCCCGTGAGGTTCAGACTGGAGACACAGGTCCTGCGCGAATTGTATGCTTATTGTTGGTAGGTCTTGGACCGTGTTATGCATCGCTGAACGCGCTAAATATACTTGATAGTGCTCGGGTAGCGTACACTAAGGTCGAACAGCAGCTGAAGTCGCGCGGTATCCCGTACACGCATGTCAATCCCTCGTTTGGATCCGGCATTATGTCCGCGCTTAATCACATACACTCGACGTTGGCCCGTTCCATACCGGCGCTGTGTGTGCAGTCGTCGGACATCCTTTCCGGTGCGCCAGCTGCTGAGGCTGCTATGCCGAACATACGTGTCATTCCTCTGAACTGGTGGGCCGATCAGAAAGTGCAGGCAAGCTAACTCCACCGTTCCTCCAATAATAGTTGTATATTGAGACATTGATCTACTCCAGGTCGTTACGTGCGTTAAACTGAAGTACGTGCAGCAACCCGTAGGCAAGCGGGCGGGGAGCGGGGCCGTCATAAGGCCATCGAAGCGAATTATCTACGACACGCGCGAGGCTGTGGTGACATTCCTCTCCGAGGACGTCGACAAATGTGTGGACGAGTTCCTGGAGGAGTGGGCCCGGGTGTCGAAGATGGTCGTCATCGCGCGAGAAGGTGGGTCGTCGCAACCCCAACGGCTTGCGACCCTTGCGCTGACTTTCTGTGTGTGTATGCAGTTGCGCAAATGTCGACCAACAAAAAGTGGACAGACGTGCGCTTGCTGTCGTTCGATCTGCAGACGGTCGAGTTTGCGTACGCCGAGGACTACACCGTCTCGATCACCTGCACCGACCAGCTGGCGCCCACCGGGGGCTCGTATGACCTGCGCTTCTCGCGAGTGAATGACGCTGCGGGCATGGATACCGACAGCGAAGACGTCGAGACGGTTTTGTCGCAGTACAACCCGCATGAAGACGTCGAGCAGTTCATGATCAACCTCTTGCGGTCAGGGTCGTTGTCGGCCTCGCTGCCCAAGCTTGTCGCCATGCTGCGGGACACGCTGCCAATCGTGGCCGAACTCGAGTATATCCGGGTCACAGCGCAAAAAGCGGGGGACAATGTTGATACGTTCGCGAGGTCAGCCGGATGGTTCAGAGTACTCTATGGCGATTTCAGGTGAGGCATCTTGCATGTGTGGTTATGTTCTTTCACTGACACTACACTCCAGACATGCACTCGACTTCAGATTAATGGCTGGTGCGCGAGTGTCCATCCTGGACGCGTCGAAGACGCTGTTCCAGATCGACGACAGGTCTGTGCCGCACAGTAGCCCGCCGGTGGAGAGCGAGCTCCTGCTGAAGCCGATTCCGGGCTTCAGCGCGCTCGTCACAGAGGCGTGCAAGGCCGTCGCGGGGACGGTTGGCCGCACGAAGGCTGCGCCTGTTGACGTTGGCGTGGTATGCGATGGCACCGCCCTGCGCACGGTGGCGCGGGCGCTGCACGAGCGGGTCGTGCAACGGCTCAAGGATGGGACGGTGACGGTGAAGACGGAGCCGACGTGACCGGGGTGGCGACGCCTCGGCCCTCCTCACGATCTGGAGTCCATTCCGGTCAAATTCGATGGCAATTTCAACTATGGACCCCTATGTATACGATTGAATACTGCCCTTGAACTGTCGATGCCAACTCCTTTCGTGCATGCACTCGCCCTCCCTCGTAAGACCATGATGAAGCTGGCGGAAAATGAGGTGAATGGTGAGCACGATGCAGGAGGGGAGATGCTGCTTATCTAGAGATTGCCATAACTGGACACTCGCGCTTATCAGATTGGTTTCCTTCTGCGCGGCCGAATCATCCACTTACTGAGTACTTGCCTTCCACCCACAAGCAACCCATATCGATCCACTCTGTGCTATTCTGACTCGCCACAAGGTCATCAGGTTCACCTTGTGGGTTCAGACAAAGTTACATTGACTTATGTACGCTGAGTCGAGCGTTAGCACTGTCGTATTTATCGACTGTGGTCCCAGTAGTTCCCGCCTGAACAGTTGTACCGTTGGTGCTTCCTCAGAGGGTATAGAACGTCTCGCTAACCCGGAGAGTTGCGACCGCGGCTTCTTGCCACGGAGCTTTGCAGTTGGAAGCTCTGCACGGGGGGTGCATAGGAATTCGTACGGAAGCATATGCCGCGAAACAGAGACCGCTCGGTCGCAAATTATCGGAGCATCGCGAGGGGCGACCAATGGGAGGCGGTGGCGGGCAATTCGTCGACTACAAACTTTGAACAGCGGGGCTGCCCCGATAGGTGCTATGTGCCGGGAACGAGATGCTGTATCCAGCCCGCATCCTGTGCCCGTTGCGGGAGCCCGATATCTAGAACGGTCGACTGATACTGGGTCGGCCGCTGTACAAACGACAGGGTTAAACCCTGCAAGTAGCTGCATTCTTGGGGCACATCCCGAGTGAATTGTCCTACAAATTTCGAAACATGGCGAGCTGAAGATACGAGATGGTCCCGAGATGGGTTGCAGAAGGCGATGGTCGGGTTAGGTGTCCACATATGGCATGCAAGGGGAATCACCTGCGCTTGGGATCTACCGTCTCGCTGTCGTGTGAGTTGTCTTCGAATTACTGCCAACGCATGCTTTCTCTGCCAAATATCTTTGTCTTGAACCTCGACGACGACGAGGAGTACGTTAACGTCCCGCGCGGGGGGCCGTCTGCGGACAATACCGGAAGGTAAAGGTCTAGTAACGTCCCGTGATTACACACCGTTTCCTCTTTTGGATGCAATAACGCTCGTGAATGGGGCTGCATCTTGGTATAAAACCTCGACCGCTCCTCCGCTTTCCTTTGCCCCATTTCGTCCCCTCACATCCTCTTAAACTACGGTTCTCGTCCGCGCTCGCTCTCCAGACCAAGGTAGCTACCTCCCCCAATTTTGCGGACCTCGCGGACCTCGGAATACCCGTCGCTGCACGGGCGAGATCCGACTTTGGTCATATGCGCATGACTTGGTCTGACGACTATTTAACCTAGGCGACATCCCCTCCGAGACCTTCTGAAGTATCCCTGCCAAGCACCATGGTCTACCACGGCTCTACTCCCTACGTGACTCCTCACATCCTCCACAAGCACTATGCTCAGTCCTTCGATGCCGAGACAAACAGCCGTACGTTTCCCCCTTCTCTATCTTCATCCCTCAATCGATCTGCTAACGGATGCTGCACCAGTCGTCGGCCGTGAGCTCGAGTATTTCTCGCAGGCAGGCTTTGACATGGAGCGCATCCAGATCAAGCGCAATGCTCCTGTCGCACTACTCTACGAGGACGCCATCCGGAACGAAGGTGCCATCATCTCCTCCACCGGCGCGCTGATTAACTTTTCCGGCAAGAAGACCGGCCGTAGCCCGAAGGACAAGCGCATCGTCTATGAGGAGACCTCCAAGGACGACATCTGGTGGGGATCAGTGAACATCAAGCTGGACGAGCGTACGTACTCTCCGTTCTTCGTGGAAGTCCGCTGACCGTGCTAATGTACCTGCAGACACCTTTGAGATCAACCGTGAACGTGCCATTGACTACCTGAATACTCGCGACAACGTGTATGTCTTTGACGGCTTTGCAGGGGTGAGTGTCCTATTACATCATGCCATATGTCCCAGGACTGCCCATCCCCTGCGAAGCACATTGACGGCGTCTTCAGGCGCGTCCCCGCGTGGTGTCGTTCGTGGCGCTTTACAATGCATCGATGCTCTTTGAGCGCCACAAACGCCTCCCGCTTCCTTCTCGCGAGGTGGCGAACCTGATTACCGGGTGTCGCGGTAATCGATACTCTACAGCATGTCCGGACTTCAGTGGGGGATATTTTTCAGCCTTTCCAACTCCTCATCTGCGCTTCTTGAACGACAGTGGCTCACCTCGTTGCATAGTGGGATCCCAAGTACCGTATCAAAGTCCGGGTTATTTGCGCTCGCGCCTACCACGCACTATTCATGGTCGGTAGTAACTCTATCATATCTTGACGTTTGCTGATGTTCTGCACAGAACAACATGTTGATTCGTCCGACGGAGGAAGAGCTGGCTAGTTTTGGCGAGCCTGACTTCACAATCTACAATGCCGGCCAGTTCCCTGCGAATCGTTTCACCAAGGGTATGTCCTCGACAACATCTGTCGAGATCAACTTCAAGCGCATGGAGATGGTCATCCTGGGCACCGAGTATGCCGGCGAGATGAAAAAGGGCGTCTTCTCGGTGATGGTAAGTACTGCTGATCTCTGTTATTCTTGTCCTCTGACATGCGTTCGTAGCACTACCTGCAACCAGTCAAGTTTGGCCAGCTCTCCCTCCACTCGTCCGCAAATGTCGGGATGGACAAGGGCGACGTCACACTTTTCTTCGGTCTTTCCGGTACCGGCAAGACCACGCTCTCCGCTGACCCACGCCGCTTGCTCATCGGCGATGATGAGCATGTCTGGTCCGACACTGGCGTTTTCAATATCGAAGGTGGCTGCTACGCCAAGTGTATCAACCTCTCTGCTGAAAAGGAGCCTGAGATTTTCAACGCCATCCGTTTTGGATCGATCCTCGAAAATGTCGTCTACAACCCCATAAACCGTGTATCCGACTATGACGATACGTCCATCACAGAGAACACTCGTTGCGCTTACCCCATCGAGTTCATCCCTAACGCGAAGATCCCCTGCGTAGTCGACCAGCAGCCCAGCAACATCATCATGCTCACCTGTGACGCCTTCGGTGTGCTCCCGCCTGTCGCCAAGCTCTCACCCGAGCAGGCACAGTACCACTTCCTGGCTGGCTACACCTCGAAAACACCCGGGACCGAGGACGGCGTGCTAGAGCCGATCCCGACGTTCTCGACGTGCTACTCGGCACCGTTTATCGCGCTGCACCCCGGACGGTACGCGGAGATGCTCGCGGAGCGGATGTCGAAGCACAACGTGGACTGCTGGTTGATCAACACGGGCTGGACGGGCGGCAAGTTCGGGACGGGCTCGCGCTGCCCGCTCAAGTACACGCGCCGGATCGTCGACGCCGTGCACTCGGGCGAGCTCGCCAAGGCCGAGTACGAGGCCTTTGACGTCTTCGGCCTCCAGATCCCGACCGCGCTCGAGGGTGTCCCGCGCGAGCTCCTGAACCCGCGCCTCGCGTGGAAGGACAGCGAGGCATTCGAGCGCGAGGTGCGCAAGCTCGGCGGCATGTTCCGAAAGGCGTTTGCCCTGTACGAGCGCGACGTCGACGAGAAGGTCAGGGCGGCCGGACCGCAGCTGTGAGGCACCGCGGGCGACGTGGCTTTCTCGTAACCGTTACTTGTTACCTTACATTCACATATCACAGTCTAGTGTGGATCGCGGACTTGTATCGAGTAGTTGAAATGTACCGTTAGGAATTGGATTATTCTAAAACGACTTCTGTGTGACTCAGAGATGTCATGGATTTCAAGCGCGGGAAATCTGACGATGAAGGCGGGTTGTGGCTGTGCTATCCAGTTTACTTCGTAAGCGTCTGCCTCTGGGAGACTACCCAGTTTTGTCACTGTACCAGTCTGCTACGTTCGCGCCTCCCCATCAGTTGACCTGACGGATCAGACTTTTCGGGTGTCGGTATGTGGTCCATATGTAAGGCTGTGAGCAAGTTCCGCTATTTTCAACCCTCTCTCATGACGAGCAGCGGCGTCTCGCCGTCTTGGTAGGTCTCACCGAAGCTCGCTCCGGCACAAGGAGCCTCGGTTACAGCAGATCGAAACGTTGACACTGTGCGGGCACCTTGCCATTCAAGATGCAAGTACTGCACTTCAATTTCTCCGCCATATTCTAACTCTGAATTGCCAACTACTACTCGCGTGCGGGTTTAGGACAAAGCGACTCGAGCGTACTGCTCCTTGCTTGCATTCAATTGACTGCTATTAAAACAAGACGCATAGCCGTGTTGGAGCAGATGCTGTCATTGTTGTTTGATAGGACCGCCCGAGCTGAGTGAGGATCAATAGGGCTGATGCTTGTCTCGCATGCACATGCTGACACGCCGCACTCACACTACCGAAGCGTATAAATACGACTCATCTCCAGCCTCGCTCTTCCCTAGACCGCATCCCGCATCCTTTGAGTCACAATCATGCTGTGCGCAACGTTGACAACTTTGCTTCTCGCACTATGTGCGAGCGCCAGCCCGACCTCTCCTCGCCCTCGAGGTACACCGCAGACAATCTCGCTCGCGTCCCGCAAGATTGCCAGAGGTACTGTCCACGCTCGCCGCACGCAGAATCCCATAAGCGTACCTCTTGCCGACTACTTCAACGAAACTGACCTCCAGTGAGTGGCTATATGCACGGCATGGTCAAGCTTATTCTGACTGCGACATGGTAGATGGTTTGGTGAAATCGGAGGTATGCGCGCAGTCGGTATGCCATTATTTCGCTCACGTAGACTGGCCTCACCTCAGTTGGCACGCCCCCGCAGACGATCAGCGTGGTTTTCGACACAGGAAGCCAAACACTAGAATTTGCTAGTACGCGTCTTATAACCAATACATTGGTGTCCGACTGGTTTGCTCACCTGGCATTGCACAGGCACCCTTTGCGGTTCCGCATGTGCGAACCAAGTCCAGTTCAACTCATCAAAGAGCTCGACCTTCGTCGACGGCGGTAGCACAGGCACGATCACTTTTGGTACAGGTGTCGGCGTTGCACCCGTAATTGGAGACAACTGGCAGCTCACGCTGCGGAACGCGACTGATACCGTCGCCATCGGCGGCATCTCCGTTCCCGACGTCAGCCTGTTTCTCATCACTGACCAGACGTCGACGTTCGCGCCAGATCCGTTCAGCGGTATCCAGGGTATGGGCCCCATTGCGACTGGCCTGTTTGCTGGTCTGGAGGCACAGGGCCTGCCATCGCTATTTAGCCTGTACTTGACGCCTCAGTCCGTCGGCAATGCAGAGCTGACGCTGGGTGGCATCGACCATAGCAAGTTCACTGGTATGCTGTCTGCTTAATATCCGATGCACCATATTAATAGGTCGTCTCACATACGCAGGCGACTTGACCTTTGGTACTCTCGTCGATGCGGTGGAGACTCAGTCCTGGCAGCTCACGTCTACCGGCATCACTGTGAACGGAAAGTCAACATCGGAGCTGAATCAATCGCGCGTCTTCATCTTCGATAGCGGTACCAGTAACATCGTGCTTCCCAAGAACGACACTGAGGTACATCCGTCCGTTCTACCATTGCAGGTGACACTCTAACCCTCGATTGATTCAGGCTGTCTATGCGCAGATCTCGCCCAACATCAAGCCCAACAACAATGAGCCAGGTACCTACGGCATCGCCTGCTCCGAGATCCCCTATCTTCCAGCGGAGATCTCTTTCGCGTTCACCTCACAGGAGGGCGAGGCATTCACGTTGACGATACCGAGCAGCGAGCTCAGCGTCGGGCCATTCACGAGCAACCCAGAGCTGTGCCAGACGCTCATCAACGCCTTTGAGGACTTCAATATCATCGGTGGCAGCTTGCTAAAGCACTACTACAGCGTATGGGATCTTGGGAACCAGTGCCTGGGTTTTGCGCCGAACATCTTGTAGCCTGTCGCGGCAGCTTGGTGAAGCACTACTATAGCACGTGTGGCCAACGCTCGGGTTTTGCACGGAACGTGTTGTGGATAGTACACATTGCTGTCATAGACTAGCAGTCAGACGGGACGTAGGTACATCACCGTGACTGTGCTTCGGAGTTACGGTAGAATCAGTCTCGCTCCCAGCAGCCGTATAGCCGTTATTTAGGGACTTTGATCTTCGTAAGATATAAGACGAATAGCAATACACATGACACTGAAAGTTTTGGACATACGCCCGTCATAGCATTAAATATTGTACTTGTCGTCCTCGCCTGAGGTCATATCTTCGGGGTCTAAATCGCTAAAGCAGTCCCAGGGAGGATGTTCACCAGGCCTAGCGCAATGGTACCACTTCCAGAACTCCTCGAGTTTACCACGGAAGGCCTGCGGTTCCCAGCCGTCAGGCAGGTCGAACGTATCCAGGGTGTCCCGTGGAGCAGTCTGCAGGTCGCGGGGACGGATTTGTTGGCCGCTGGTCTCGGACCCCGCTCCGTGCGCGCGCTGGGTATAAGCCCGTCGTTCCGCGCGGAACTCGTAGTTGAAAGTGGCCTTGACTTCGTCGCTACACCAGTCCCAGAGACCCTTCGCGATCTCAAGAACACCGTGTTTCGTGGGTGGGTGTCCCGGCGCAATTCTTTGGCGGCGCGCGCACAGTGCCGAGAAGATGACTTGTCCGAAGTAGGCCCGTATAGTATTGAAATATTGGTAGGATTTTTCGTCCACGATCAGAGCGTTCCTGGGCTGGCCATTGAACGCGGTGATAACTTGTCCTCGAGACAGGCTGTGGCGCTCAGAGAGAATGAGATAGATGTGGCGCATCTCCATAACGACATCGGTCTCTGGCATCTTGCCCTTGACGAGGTAGTGGTCCACATGCGCCATGACGACGTGGTCGACGGATGTGTCATGAGTGTGCTTCGTGGGTGACATAGCGTTGAGAGGGAGGTGTTTACAGGAGGAGAAGAAATTTGGGACGAGACATACCTTGTGACGCAGCGTTATATAACGATGGGAGTCGGTGGCCTCGGTACGTGATCTTTTGCATACCAAAATCCCGGAACGGCTTTTGCGCCACAAAAACTCAAAGGGCTTTGGGCGTCAGGTTTGTTAACAAGGAACACAACGCGGAAAGAAGACAAAAACAAAGCGTTCGGTCCACCAAGTTCCTGGAAGCCCGGGTTGATCCACCGCGACGTGATAAGAGCGCAGCTCCATGCAGCTAGGCAAGTGGCCGCTGGATCTTGAGGCTGTGCCGATGCCAAAAAATTTGTCCTGCCACTAGGTTCAGGGAGTTGTATGTGACAATCGAGACTGGAGGAAAAGCGTATCGTGGGCCACTGTCAGTACTCGAGTACTAAAGGTTCCTCGGGGATGCACGTGCGAGCAGTAAACTGTAGGCTCTCGCCGGTACTGTTGTTGAAAAGGACATTAGAAAATCGTACAGTATATATTATATTACCACACATACGGCACTTAGTAGGCTGGGGAAAGTGTACATGGTTAAAACAGAGAGCACCTCCGACGTGCATCGGTGCGCCAAACAGGGCCAAACAAAAGCGCATCAAAAAGGTACCGCGGTCACGACCAGCAGCCTTTGATGGCGACATGTGTGGCCCATATGTCAGTCGTCCTCATCCCCCGGGCCTCACTTCGGTCATTTTATGCCTTGGTTACCCTCTCTGAACCTCTTGCCAGCACTAGCGGGCGTGCCGGTCCCAGTATACGGACGTAGTCAAGTTGTCTTCTAGCGGCTTCACGCTGCTCGTACGTTTTCTTCCGCTTGTTGACAGAAAGTGAGGTGGATTCATGCAGTTATATTCTACAAGGCGCTATAGCTATGACGGATGCGTGAGTCGACAACAGTGGCTGGTTTCAAACTTCGTTGGCAGCAGTGCTCATAGGCATGTCATGATAGAAGATAAACCTCGATTGGTATGATTTCAAGGGGCAGCGCAGAGATAACATGACACAGGGAACGGGCTCAGATCTGCGTTGGTGTACTGCTGTTCGTGTTCTTCAAATATGGGTGGCAGCTCCTCGATGACGCCTGACTCGCCCCACACATGCCAAGTTTCCCAGACATGCTCGCGGAGCTGAGCAAGCTTGTGCGCGATGCACATGTCTTCCTTAGCGTAGCGGCCCCTCTTCGCGCGTGTGTCATCGATGTGGGGGTCGAGGTCGGCGCAGACGGCACAGCGCACCATGATGCGAAGGGCGTCCGCCACGAACTCAGGATGGATTATGTCGAAACCGACCACACCGTCGGGGAGCGGCTCGGTGTTCCGCGACTTGCGCTTCTGGGCAGGTTGGGGCTCTTGTCGCCTTTTGTCTTCGAGATGACGTGCACCAGCTTCTATGAAGGGCTTCCGCTGGACCTCCGTCATCATGTGGTACAACCGGGCGGCGACCATAGGCAAATACCCGGCAAGATTGTACGTGCGGCGATCCTGGAGCGCTGGCCGGACTCCGGAGAGGAACTTGATGAATTTGTTCGGAGGCTTAGGCTCTTTGCGCTCTTCTTGTTGGCGAAGCTGAGTAGCGGCTTGTTTGTAGGGCTTGATAATGCCTGGGCGCCGTTCAGTAGCAACTGTCTGTCTGGTTCTCCCTGGTGCAGTTACGAGTTGGCGAGCATTCTCGGCTGACGGTCGCGAGAGAGTTGGCGGTAGAGTAACCGAATGAGACCCAGCCCGGGTACTGATAGTGGTGCCGTTGCTTGAAGACGTGGAGCCATTTGGGGACTAAACAGAGCCGAATAAGTCGAGTGAAGCCCATCGACGTCGCACAAAATTCTCACTAGTGACTGTGACAAGGAAGGAGCGTTGAAGTTATACATTTGTGCGTTGTCTGTTAGGGGACTTGGTCGGCAAGGAACAGAGCGTTGACCCGCAGTGGCGAAGCCCGGAAAAGGAGGCATCCAGGACCATTCGTCGGAAAAGATACACCGCTGCGAGCTATTCGTGTGATTCGAGTCGAAGGTAGCATATCCGGCAGACATAGCAGCAATGATGAAGCTTAGGCAGATATGACGAGGGTATGGTACTCAGAGAGTACTGAACCCGCAACGGCGGCGATATATATGCATGGCGGATAACTCTCAGTTCAGAGTCTCGTGCATTGATGAACTAACGCCACGTACGAGACGCAGCGTTCAGGGTTTAAGCGGCCGAAACGGATCACCATGGTCTAAGACGAGCCATCGATCGCATGTGCCACATAGGCAAACTCATTGAGAAAGACCTTGTTGCTTGCGATCTCGTAAACAAGAGACCAAGACAAACGCGTGTTGTATGCGCTAGTCTGGGCACAAATTCATATCAGCGAAGAACAGGGTTGATAAGACAACAAAGGAACCTCGCGTGCAGGCCACTCCCTATCGGTGTTCCAGCCTTTGGCGGAGCTGCAAAACTTAACAACACAAAAATGACTCACGAGTGTCTCGGAAGACATCTTGTACAAGGAATCCTCAACGTGAGTGCACGGACTTCGAGTGAGCTGAAAATTGGCTCATGTTCTCAACTTATCGCCCTCAATCGATCCTGCTGAGGTTGCGCACAGAGGTATAAAGGATGATCGCAATGTGGTCGGGGCAGAATTTCCTCGAAAAAGAAAGAAAACTACCACCACAACAGCACTCTGTCACTGAAACTCAAGTCGAAAGGGACACACCTCAGTGTTGAGTTTTCTCCTGGGTCAGACGCGACCTTGCATGGCTCCAGCGATCGTCTCGATGAGTCCCAAAACATCGAGCTCCAAGGGTTCTACCGGCGACGCGGAGCCGTCCTCTAACGGCTTGTTGACCCGAACATCCTGAATGTCTTCACCACCATTCGTGAAATCGAGGTATATGTACATCGATCCTGAGGTTGTCCTGCAGCTCCACATGCATCAGGCCGTTGGGCACCTCCCGCTTATGTCTACCCACGGCCAGCCGCCTCGCATTCAGGTTTTGCAGACGTGGCAGACGTCTTGCGTCGGTAAAGATGATTGCCCCGTGGATGGCGCTCTCCTTCGAGTGCACGTCGTCCCGGAAATAGTCGTCACCGCCGCTCTCGCCACCGTCCTGGGCACAGCAGCGCTCGGTTTAGGCCTTCATCGCGAGCCGATGGTCCTCATTGTGTCCGTCTAGACTTGCGTTTGTGCGTAATCGTCTTTCAGAGCCCGGCCGCGTCCGCTCTGGGGTTTTTCTTCACGGTCGAATGAAATGGCAGCCTACACACTTGCGAGATAAAGAACGTCATCAATAAGGAGGCTACCGCTGAGATGATGGGGATCGTACTCGTGCATCTATGCAGTCTCCGCATCGCTACCCCGGACCCGGGACTGGCGATCGTTTCAATGATGTAGTATTAGATCGATGTGAGGACCCTGACATTAAGTTGGTACATATCCAAGGACCAACGGGTGAGCGGGGAATGTAAAAGAGCTTCCAAGGGGCCATACCCGCTAGGAGGGGCCGTATAGAGAGCGCATACACCCTGCGGTGGAGGGGACGATCGCGCGAGTCCTTCAACTAGATAATTAATGTAGTCTTCAGTATATGAGTCGACTTTGCCTGCGTAAGACATCCGATGATGTGTTAAAGACACCCAGGAGCCGAGCAGGCTATAGCGCACTTATGCCCCGCAACAACACCGACTTCCATGGGCAATGTAAGGTATGCGAGAGGGTATCGCACCTTGACACGAAGCTCCTTGAGCTACCTGAAAGCCCTCTCCGCATCCATGTTCTGACGAAGCAAGATCTCGAAGCCGCAGCCATCGTCGCCGACTTTCTGCTTGCCAAGGGGCCCGCCTCCGTTGCAACAACGCATATATCGACCCCCCGCGGAATGACGATGTCACCATCTACACATCGAACCCAATAAACGCCCCCCTGAAAATCCCTCGGTACAGCAAAGAGTCTATCAGTGAGACACTGCCATTGCTAGATTTGCGTGGGCGACGCACCTCAAGCTTAAGGCTCCAGGAGCAAACTCGCACAGAAAAGCGGCACGCAGACGCATTCGTCCCTCTCGCACGTCTCCGCCATTGATCGTTTGTTGGCTCGCAGTGAAGAGTGCCATGTCTGGACGTGTGGGAAGCGAGGGACGTTCACGGGAGATGCGAACATCCGAGACATCTATAATGACGCACACGAGTCTACGCAAGTACTACTCGTCCAACGTAGCGATGGCTGCCTAAGGCCTTCTTTCACAATATGGGTCACGCAGATATCACGCAAGCACTGCGCAAGGAAGAACCAATATCAAGCCATACTTCGTGTGCAGCGATCAATGGTAGTACAGGAGTAAGCAGAACAAGGGCACACCCACCCACAACTACGGAGACGGGCAGAAGGGAGAGCGACAAGACGGGTAACGGGGGAAGGGGAGCGATACACTGAGTAGTAATCGTACAAGTACAAGCCGGTATGGGAGCACGGACACGACAAGTGCAAGTAGTGACAACGACGACGAACAGTAAGGACAGTCGTGGATGAGCGGGTGCTGAGCAAGAAACTTGAAATCGAGAAATACAGAGCGGGGGAAAAGGTGAGACGATCGCAGCAGCGAATTAGGGGTACACAGGGAGCTGTAGGTATTGTCAGCGGTGAACAGGAGTGGTCGATGGAAGCGACACACCTTAGTAGCCGCCGCTCTGACCACCGTATCCTCCGCCACCGTAGCTTCCACCACCGTAGCCACCCTGCTGGTAGCCACCCTGCTGATAGCCGCCGCTGGGGGCACCGCCGTAGCCTAGCGCATTTTTAATATATGGGCTGCACACACGCAACACCGAGTCACTTACCACCGTAGCCTCCGCCGCCGCCACCACTGTAGCCACCACCACCACCCTGGTAGCCTCCGCCGCCGGAGCCGCCGCCACTGTAGCCTGTACAAAAGCATTTCTAAGTAAACAGGGAGCAGATTCAAAGCGAAAGGTACTGACCACCGCCACCTCCGCCTCCGCCGCTGCGGGCATTGGCAAGGTTGACACGAATGCGACGGCCGTCGAGCTCCTGCTCGTTGAGAGAGGTGATAGCGGTTTGAGCCTCATTGGCGGAGCTGAAAGTGACGAAACCGAAGCCACGAGAGCGACCAGTATCACGATCGCGCATCACGATCGACTATTAAAAAGTAAGAGGTCAGGTAAACGTTCCTTTCGAAGGATCCCTCGCAGGTACGAGCGGCGGGGAAACGGTGCAGCGACGAAGGAGACTGAGACTGACGTCGAGGATCTGGCCGAATTGGGAGAAAGCCTAAAGAAACGCAACGCATTCGCAGACACGAGCGCACGGGAGCATCAGACGAGAACATGGAACACAGCACGACCCAAAACTGACTGTACGGAGGGAATCATCCGTTGTATTCCACGACAAGTTGCTACATGACAAGAGACACGATCAGCCACGGAACGACCTCCCACAGGACCTTGTGAAGGGTCGAGGGGAAGTACCGCATGTTCGAGACACGGGGGTTACGACAAAACTGACCCAACGTAGACCTTTGCAGACATGATGGTGATAATACAATATGAGACCTGAGGACCCTTGGATAACTTGGAAACCGAAACCGGAACCGGAACGAGGCCCAACGGGATGAGGGGAGTGCGAGAGAGGTTGGAGATAGACTCGAGACGCTGCCCCTGCCTTTTATGTGCTCAGGCAATTTTTCACACTCCGCGCTCGCAAACTTACGGCAGCGACCTAGGCCATGGACGCCTTCCTTTTGGGGAACTTGTCGGTCCCGCAGCGACTCCGCCGGTGCCCCTGAGTTTGTCACGAATCTCCGCTTCAGGGCAGCTCTCCGGTCGAAATCCACGGCCGAGACAATCACGAGGCCGCCCCCTACCATTCCTCGCCCCTAGGGAACGTGCCCAACGCATGGTCAACAGCATTATATTCCAGACAGTGATGAGGATGCAAGCAAACACAAGAGCTATCCATGTACAAGGTGCAGAGCTGGTATTACTACAATATGGAGCAGGAGATAGGAGATGGAGACGGATGTGGAGATGGGAGTCATGGGCATGTCATCAAACGGTGGTCAAACCGTGTGCGGCGGGAAAAATCGAGGGCTAGAATCTTGCATGGGTATGTTGATGAGATGATGGAAAATGGAATCCCGAAAACCCTGAGCGAACCGAGTCCAGAGCAAGGCCATCTGTCAATCCGGCCCTTCACATCGGACCCATGCTCTTCCTCTTCTTCTCCTTGGACTTCTTCTTGTCCTTCTTCTTGTCCTGCGTGATGTCGCTGCTCACGCTCGGGTTAGGACTGTCTCTGCTGCTGCCCTCCGTTGCGAGCGCGAGCGAGCTGTCCTCACGGACGATCAGGTTGTCCTTCGATCCGTCCTTGGCCTTGTCCTTCGCGGCATCCTTACCATCCTTGGACGACTCGCGTGCAAGGCTGCTGCTCTCGCGCTTGAAGCTGTTCAGAATAGCAGCCGGGAGTGAACTGCCTGATCCCTGCCGTTTCCCCGAAATCGAGATTCGCCGGGCGAGGCGCTGCACGCCTTGCGTTGACAGCGTCCGCCGCCGCTTGCCCTCGTTGGTGCTCCCCTCATCCGGCGTGCCAGAGCGTTCCGGTGTGGGTATGTTCTGGAATGTGACTCCCGGAGTGGACGACCCACCACTGAGGGCGGGCGTGTTTGGCGTCGACTGATTCTCCGAGCCCGGGAAGGCGACGGCCGCAGGCGCGGCGCCGTCACCATCCGTGGGGAACGCAACGCTGTTGTCGGGAGAAGCAGCAAGCACGTGTCCAGAGTGACCATCTTCAGAGAGATCGATGGCAGAGCCGGATATCGGGAAGGCGACCGGTGCTGGGCTCTCTTCTGCTGGCTTGGGCTCATCCTCCGCGTCGGGAGCTGCCGTGTCAAGCTCGCCCTCGACCGGTGGTTCCGGTACGAGGACGTCGCCAGTAGCGGGGATCTCGACGGGCTGGACATCAGGCTCAACAACCAGTGGCTCTTCCGCGAGCACCTCAATCTCCTCAGCTTTGTCCTTAGCGGGTTCAGCGTCTTCGACAGCGTAACCGGTCGCAGGTTCCATCTTCGCCTGGACAGACGATGATCCGTCCTCGTTCGAGATCTGGTCGGCCCACATGGACGCAAAGATGCCGCCCTTGCCGAGCAACTCGCCAAAAGTACCCTGCTCGACAATCTGCCCCTCCTTGAGGACTAGAATTCTGCAGAAAACGCCTAAGCCACCCTCAGCGGAACGATCAAATCGGGCAAAACTTACAAGTCAGCAGACCGGATGGTCTGTGAAAATTGTCGTTAGCATTCAGGGGAATCGATGTACTCGGGCTAAGGGTTACGTACAGAAAGGCGATGGGCGATGGACAGCGATGAACGGCCCTCCATAAGGTGCTGCAACGCCTTCTGAATATCCTTCTCAGTCGACGTGTCAAGCGCGCTGCGCAGTCCATCAATCAAAAACGAGCAGTCGTCGTGTAGATGACGTGGCGTACCTGGTAGCTTCATCAAGCAGAAGAATAGGCGGGTTTTTGAGAAGGGTTCGAGCAATGGCGACACGTTGCTTCTCCCCACCGCTCAAACGGACGCCACGTTCGCCAACTTTGGTCTCGTAGCCGTCAGGGAAGCTCAGGATGCGTTCGTGCATCTGCGCAGCTTTAGTCGCGGACTCGATCTCCTCAACCGACGCGCCAAATTTGCCATAGCCGATGTTGTAGCCGACAGAGGCATTGAAGAGCACCGGGTCCTGGGGAACGACACCGATGGACTTGCGCAAGCTCGCCTGAGTAACGTCGCGGATGTCCTTACCATCGATGAGGATGCGGCCCTCGCCGACCTTTAGGTCATAGAACCGGTAGAGCAGGCGCAGGATGGTGGACTTGCCGGAGCCAGATTCACCCACGAGAGCGACGGTGGAACGCTTTGGAACCTTGAACGAGACGCCGTTGAGAGCAGTCGTGCGGCCATCATAAGAGAACGTGACGTTGTCTGCGCGCGGCCAGTCAGCAGTGATGGTGATAGAGTTGAAGACACAACTCACCGAACTCAATTTCACCATCCTCAACAATGAGGTCATCAGCGTCGGGCCTGTCAATGATATCGGTAGGCTCGTTCAGCAGCTTAAGCAGTTTCTCGGTGTCAACTAGCGACTGATTGATTGAGCGGTAGATGTATCCGAGCATGTTCAGAGGGCCGTACAACTGTGCGAGCAAGTTAGTACCAAAGGCGTGTAGACAAGGCATAGCAACGAACCTGCGCCAGGTATGTGATGAAGAAGACAAACTCATGGGGCTCAGACTCGCCACGGACGACACGAAGAGCAACGATCATGGAACCAAGGAGCAAACCGAGAGTCTGAGACGCAGTTAGCTCTGCTCGCTCTGCTTGCAAACTCGGCGGTAATGCGACTCACAATAATGAAGTTCTGTATCAGGTTGAGGACGTTCAGAGATACTGTGCAATAGGTGAGCCACGCGAGCGGGGACATTGTAACGAGTACCCTACCCAAGACTTTGAACTCGACGGTCTGGTATTGCCTGATGGCGTCGGCGTAGCGTTCGCTCTCATGCTGCTCGCCACTGAAGTACTTCACAGTCTCATAGTTCAGCAGGCAGTCAGTATGAATCCCGCGAGTGATCTGTGGGAGAGTCAAATCGCGTAAGTTGAATGTTGGCATGACATCACTTACGATGTCGCGATCGTTCATTTGCCTCCGCAGCTTTGTACGCCATCGTGTAAGAACGACGCTAGCAGAAACTAAGGATCAAAGTGAACACACGCATGGTAGGATGTACGGATGTGCTGAAAACTCACCATACGCAGAGAAAACAAAGAAAATCACGACAGCTAGAGTCCATTCAAAATAGACAACGAAGAACACGAGAGCAACAAAGATATCGACAAATGTTGGAATGATGTTGAACAACAACAATTCGAAAATGTGATTGATAGCTGCACCCCGGTCGAGGATGCGGAGCACTTCGCCCGTCTTGCGGTGCGTGTGGAAGGACAAAGACAGATTGAGCAGGTGGGTGAACGAAAGCATAGACATCTCGCGATCAGAGTACTGCATGACCGGAGCCCAGAATGTCTGTGTTCCGCTTGTCAGACGATAGATCACATTCAGAGAGCATAAACACGTACATCACGCAGAGCCGACAGCCCACCAGAAGATTGGAGGAACCGAAGTCCGACATAGAATAATAGGTACGGCCAGACGGAAGTCTGGGATCCTGTTTCGAACACGCGAACGATCTCGGCGAATGTGAGGGGAACGAAGAAATTGACAAATCGGCCGATAACAACAAGTAAAACACAAACGGCCTACAGCACGAGTCAGAACATAGCAAACGCGGACAGAAGTGGTGCATACCGCGAGTAGCCGCAAAGGCCGGCTCTTTGAAGGCCAGAGGTATGGTGCGATGTTAAGGAAGCGCCGAAGAAGCTCACGCCAGGAAGGATCGAGAGGGATCTCCTCCTTCTCTGCACCCTTGGAACCACTTTGCTTGCCTCGTGGAATGCGGATATGTGATCCAACAGGAGTCGGTGCCCTAGTGGTCGGACTAGACGCAGTAGGAATAGCAGAACGAGAGGTTCCGAATGTACCATATTTGCTAGCTTCGGCAGCTAGAGGCGACAGCCCAGTGGAAGGAGCGGCACCGTGGTCCGCGGGAAGGAGAAGGCTGGTAGATGTGGGTACTTCTTCATCTCCGCCATTCTGCACCGGTAGATACGACACACGCGGATTCGCGAGGCCAGCGAGTAGCGGGATCTCGAGGAGCACACGAAAGGCGGGGAATACAAGGTGCACGAGCGCGCGAATGGTGAATGGTTCTGCCTTTCGTGTGAGCACGAATGTGTTTGCGGCAAAATCGTATGTAACTCACCTCTGAAAGTCAGGCCGAGTAAAACAACCTGCGCGATATCCAGTAGAAGAGCCCAAGTGACTCCTGCCTTGACTCGCTTCATGAACCAGACCTCGACGCCGTGGATATCCTTCCAAGCCCCAAGGGCAGCCAGACCTGCGAAGGCGGTGAGACCCTCGATAGAGGCGACTTCGATGCCTGTCCATTTCGGCCAGATCTTCGTGAAAACAGCGTAGACAACAAAAGTGAGGCCATCGAGGAGGAAAGTTAGAGCAGAAAGGGAAAGAAGAGATAGGATGAGGGCCCGCCGAGGGGTGCGAGCAGCAACGACGACAGATATGATTGGGGAAGGCGATTTCGGTGGCGGTGGGCGAGTTGTAACAATAGAGAGTGCAGACAGTAACAATAGGGTCGGCGAGAGCACTCGTAGGAGGAAGAGGGCAGTCTGCATCGGGGATACTGGTAGGTGCAGCTCGGCCACCGCCACTGGGTTGGCCATCACCGTAGCCATTGTCGTCGTCGCAGTGCTCGACGCGATGTCGGCTGCGGTAGTCGTGACAGAAAGAAAGAGAAAGGTCGTGGCGGTCGTGAGCAAACACGCCTCGTGGTGGTGTCGAACCAAGCTCTTATGTGGCTGCGCTAAGCAAGAATTTAAGCGGCCTATCAAGTACTCCCCGTTGGCGCGCGAAGCCAACGTTGCCCACAAATGCTAATCAAGGCATTCCGCCGAGGGCTTAGGTTATCTCTGCCGAATCACCGCGACTAAGCGAGACGTTGGAAACTGTGCTGGAACGTTGCTTGCGAGCGGTGTTCGACGAAGAACGGCTCCCGCCGTATCTGCCACGCATGAGACACTCCCTATCTAGAACAACGAGCTAACGCACAACGTTGCACAGTCGTGCTCGCGCTCTGCGTCCGGGTGAGATATCATGTACTGTTTGGAGTATAGGTTCATCAGATGACAAGAGCTGTGCTCCGAATCCTTGCTTTCAGCCAGTGCCAGCCTCATGTACATCAATCCGCTCTGGTGATTTGACCCCCTGGCAAGACGGAACGTGCGGAGCATGTAGATGAGGTGCGATATCGAGAAGGGCAGACACAGGGATCATACCGTGCTACGTATACTCAGCGGCGGCCTCGTGTCCGGCGCATCGCGAAAGACAATCCGGAGCGAATGGGAAACCCGCTTGCGGGTTCCGAGACAAGCCTCTTCCAGCGACAACAAAGCATATTGCACACGACTTGACAACTGCATGGCAGCCCTTGGATCCACACAGGCATGATATAGACATATTCTCGGTCATAAATATCAGTAGCGCGTCACCATTACCATCATAATGGCAGAGGGATCGGGCGAACATACCGCCGCAACCGGCTTCGTGAACCACCCCGGTCCCCGCCAAGCGAAATCCAGATACAAACCTGATTTTCCAGGCTGTGGAAGCACAGCCCATCTTTCGTAGAACACAATTCACGCTTGATCTTCGAGCCTTGGGATTGACTTGAAGGAGTCCGCCTCGAAGCACAACTACGCGCAGTCAATGTCAACCATTAAAATGAGATGAATAGGGCACGTACTCTAGGTCGCTCCTCGGCGTTTTGGTGAAGGTGGTGCACCAGGCGGAATCGCCAAGGAAGTCACCTCTCTTATTACTATGTGGACATTGCCACTCTCGCCCGTCGGGTGACCAGTTCGCTCTCCACCTCGAGCCTTAGTTACATTCAACTATGCGGACGTGACCAAAGAGGAGGGATTATACATGTCTTTCGGGATCATCACAAGTAAACCAAGTCGCGTTGAATCCGACCTGCGGATCGATCCTCGGCCCTTTTATGTCCGCTGTGGCAATCGGTTTGAAACCAAGGTGCACATACCAATCGACCTGCGGACGCCATCAGCTGACACTTAAGGCAACGTCGTAAACCAGCTCACAAGTGGTTTGTCGTAAGTCGCGAGCGCCGCAATCGTTCTGTCCTCAGCTGCCTAAGGACACAACAGCTGAGCAAATGAACTTCGCGTCCCAGGAACTGTGAGCTTACACGCTTCAGACCCGCTTGAACCATCAAAGTGCCATACCTTTTCCCTTGGTGCGGGGGATCGGTCAAAATACAGTTTGCGTACCAGCTATTGAGCCTGCCCTACATAATAGTCAGTGACATGCATGTTCACAGAAAGAAAATTCAGTTTACATCCTTGCCGTACGCTGCATCCGCGACTTTGAAGGCCTCAGAAAACTGATTGAGCGTTCAGAAGTGCACCTGTCTCCCTGTATTAGATGGCATACCTCTTTCAACCACCAATGCCTCGTCTCCGAGTCGAGCATTTCAATGAACTGATCAAATCCTGCAGCTCTCTGTTCCTCCCTATTCCCGGTGTTTTCAGATCGGTGACTGCGCCGGAATCGCTTGACCTCTGCCAACTCACGTATTCATCATGATCGTGCCGGGTCCGAACCATACGCCTACTGATAGAATCTTGTCCGAGTCTTGTGGCGTGACAACATACGTTTGGCCTGCTACTCGCGCCGCACGAAACTGCATGCGGAAATACTGTGCCTTCAAAGCTGGGTTGTTGCCAGTCAAGGCGATTGTGAGGCTGCCTACAGCGAGGTTTACTCTTGAACGGCGAGGTGAGATGGGATTGAGACTCGCCCCATGGAAGTGCGCGTACACACACTGCCGTTGCCTCCTCGATTTGTTCATCTTCATATTGTGTTTGGATGTCGGTAGAGATGCTTTGCACATGTTCCGACAGTTACGTACCCGTAGGATGCTCGAGAAGGCGAACTCGTACTGACGGGTCTGTGGGCATGGAAGAGGTGAGTGTCCGTTCGTAAGTCTTGGACCAGAAGACGCCGTTTGCAATTGCCAGATATATGGCTGTGGCGATAATGAAATTTAAGACCTAGGGAAGGAGCACATGGCAGCTTGCCCGGTCGCTCGTCTGAAACGCGAAGAGCGTGAAGCTGGTCGGCAGCTGAGAATATCCCGTTCCAACGGAGAATAGCCTGACATCTTCACGCATACGGATAGGATAGTAAAACGCAAACGGTCTCACGGGATTACGCTATGGCCACTTCTAGATAGCCCGTCTCATGAGCATCGGACGAGGTTAACGTCGGTTAGATAGGCGGCTGCGGGTAAGACATAGACGACATATGCTCCTATTTGCAAAAGAAGGGTCAGAAGCCCTGACAATGTTGCGCTCAGCGGCTTCGTGTGAGGACATGGCCGCCAGTACCGCTCACCGGCGCAGATCGCTCAGTACCAGTCACTGTTGAGATTCTAAGCCTCGCTTCGTGTCTTCCAACGTGCCTCTGATATCCTCTACGCGCGATCCCTGCCTCTCCACTTCTCCCCTGTTCTGAACCTTCAAAGCTCCTCGCGCTTCACGAACGAATTCGTATGAGCGGTCAACAGACTCGTCTGCCGGTGACTTCGTGTCTGAGGCAGACTCGGGAGGCAGCACGCTCGCCAAGTCAAGATCGCAAGCACGTAGCAAAGCAAGGTCGCGCAGGGTGTCGTTCAAAGAGAGGGGGTTAGCTTTTGAGGCCATGGTGGTCGTAGGAGAATCCGTGCACACTGCTTCTCGCGTTTCGGAGATTTCGTGATAATATTGGCTGAACAACTCCGCAAAGCTCAGATAAGTGGGGAGTGCTAGTAGTTGTCTAGTCATGGTTGCTCCGTGATTAATTTTCTGGTTAATTGTTTAAAGACATCTACTCCTTCGGCTTTTGTTCTTCACTATGCTGTGTAATGCATGTAATGAGTTGGCTATGAAGGGACGAGACTTTTGGCCATCCCCATCTAAGTTGGTGGAAATGTTGAAAAATAATCCGGAAATGAAATGCACCAGGTGGGACGCCCTCGCTAAGTTACACAACCATTCATGTCCTCTCTCGACTTCGAGGCCACGGTTAAGCAGGAGGAAGCGTATCTTCGCAAGGTGCATCCAACCGCAGAAGATATCCCATCATGCATGAAGTTCTTTGACTTGTTCTTGCAATGCAACGGTACGTTGCCCGACCTCTCCAAGCTCACTTGAAACTCACGCTTGCACAGTGGTTGCTGCCCAGATGAAGTCTCTGTACAGGTATGGCCAGATGTCCGAGTGTGGACAAAAGCTTGAAGACTTCAAGTTCTGTATGAGCAATAAGAGCATGCACCCGCAGGAGAAGTACGACGCGTGGATACGTCGCAGAGCGGAGTGGTGGGCGCGCAGGCGGATGACGACTAGTAGTGAGGACATCTGGGAAGCAAGAACGTACGAGGTTCCAGCTTCTCTTATCTAAGATTTGCTGACTGTGAAACACTTTACAGAGAACCACTTAGAGGGTACCCTCCAGAACGACGTAACTTAGACAGCAGTCCGACTGTCGAATAGCCCGTGTGTAACCATTCGTCGTTCCTATAAGCAGTTTTCATTCATCATAAATGCACTCTGAGCTGACTGGTTCGACTTGGGAAAGTACCTTCGGAGAATACTGATGTCGACAATCAAAGAAGCTCGAAGAATAGACTTAGTCGTCTCGAATGTTTTCATGCCAAACAATAGCCTTCCTATGCAATAACTTCAGCACCGCACTGTCCAGACAGTAAGTGTCTCTTCATCTGAGTGTTTTGTCCATGTGAGCAGCCTTGTCGCAGAAATGAGAGCCCCTTTACTCCCCACATTGTCGCACAATTGTCGCCTTTGCTGTGAGCATAATTGACACGGCAGAGTTGACATCGAAGTGAATTTTCCCGTAGGCCTACCAAAATAGACGCGCCACGAACCAGAACTTCGGATCGACGGCGGCCTTGTCTTTGGTACACATCGTGGCCAGTGGCCTGGCGGACTTTTTTAACTGATCCCCTCTTGGATTGGTATATAACACAGCGTTCCCTGTTCAGGTTAATCCCTCTTTCCTTTCCGCTCAAGCCTCCGAAGCCATCCCAGCTGCCGTTCCTGTCCCACATCTCCGTTCGACTATCTTTCGACTACATCATGGCCAAAGGAAAACGCATCACAGAGAATGCCGGCGTGCAGAGGAACCGCATCGAGTCACACGTCAAGCCGAAGTTCGTTAACTCATTTCTCCTTTACAAGTCCTACGTCGGCTTGCACTGGACTGGCCCACACCAAGACGAGCCTCTCCGCGGCGGCGGAGTGACCATAGGCAAAGTGGCCGGTGAACTGTGGAAAGACATGCCTCGTAACCGCAAAGCCTTCTGGAGGGCCATGGCTCAACAAGGCTTCGCCGTAGTATCGATCGAAAAGACCAGACGCGCCATGAAGGCGTTCATCGAGCAGTATCGCAGCAAGGACGGGTATGAGAGCGACGCAGACGGGTACGACTGGAATGCTACCGAGTTCATGGAGCAGAATATCTACGATGCCATCGTCGAGGCTAGCGACAGTAACGAACAGGACTTCCGTGAAGTGAAGGGAAAGAGGCCAATCTCGGACAAGGATAAACGAGGCCTGCTCGACACGCTTTTCTACCTCGCTCTGCAGTCGAACCACAGCAAAGATCTCGCTTCCTCCTGGAGCGGCCTCGACAAGGACACGAAGGGCATATGGCTGGCCAAGGGCGTCGAATACTTCGACTACTGCGGCAACGAGAAGGACCGCCGACACATGATGTACACTGCCGCATTGGCCGAGCTCTTTGCTCAAGGCGACCACGCTCCGATTCAGTCTGCGGAGGACTTCTTCTCAACCACGGAGATTGCTCGAAAGCCTGCGATGAAGCCTGCTCGTGACATGCCTGAAAACCCGGTGTCGCAGCGCTCGACTCTCTTTCAACAGCATGGGCCGACCCCTCGGGCACCCGCCATTCAACAACCAGCAATCATAAGTGGCGTACCTAGATCTCTAAGCCTTGGCATGCGCGCACAGTGTATGTCGGCAATGCTACCTTCCGTGAGCTCCCACTATCGCGATACGAACCAGCACGCCAGTCCTCCTTCGAATGCTTCGATGGCGATTGGAGGAGCTCTTGTCGGCCACGCTGGTCGGAACCAACACGCGGACTCGCTACCTTCTGTTGTCACCGGTCCTCAATCTTTGTACAACGCTGGCTTGACCGGGTACGACTACATCAGAGCCTCTCAGCGTTACGGAGCCCAACCCCTCGTGCCGCAGCACAGCCTTAACGTGAGCCGTGCCTATTGTTTCCCTGATGCCCGGTCTAAGTCTTCTTAGCAGTACTCCGTGATCGATCCCCGAATCGCGTTTGGCGACAAGCAATCGGTACCAAATTGGGCCGATGGGGGATTTACGGTCAGTTGACGTCAGTTTCATTGCCGTGTTTTATCCTCTGAACACAATCGCGGCAGCACGCCGAGCAGGAATCCCTCACATCTGGTTGGGGACAACCGAACGTAGCCGTCGAGAACATCTGGGATCTTACTGGTGTCCCGCCCGGACAGGGACCTGGATACCTATGGAACGATGCGGAATGGGAAGCTCTACTCAATACTGTCAATCCCTATCTTTCTCACAACGACGCACAGTGATGAGTGCGTGCTCTTCGCTCCGAACGCTAAGCTTGGATATATAGTGATAGCTGGGATCTTTGGGAATTGAAAGACCGATTCTTATGTATATTTATCGGAAACAATAAGGTCGTATCTTGTCGTTCCATTATATAACGTAGTCGAAATTACGGGGAATGGAGAACGGATGAATTGAAGTTGACTGTGCCAAGTACACAGCTCAGGTAAAATACACCTCGACGACTCAGATACGGCCAAGGATAGAAAGACAGGTGAAAAAGAGGAGCAGCGAAAGTAAAACGGGAGTTGCGGATAGGCGTCTATTATATTTTGTGGCGCTCGGTAAATGCTGCTCACACTCAAGAACCCGCCGGGCGCTCGAATTCCGTGCCACTCTTCCACCAATTGATCTTCTGGATACTGTAATCTTCTGGACCGCAAGGTGCGCTCTTGTGCAATTTTTGATCTACAGAGTTTAGTGTATCGCCAGAATTTCATGCCACGTCATCGATATCCCGTTGGTAAAAGGTTTGATGGAATAGGCTGGCCGCGAGACCTCCAACATGTAGCACGACTGTGCTAACCAACTATAACCTACATGCACTTTTTGTAACTTTTTTGACCAGAGGAAGTGTATAGGCGACATCGAAGGGTTCAGAACGTCACGCAGTGGGGCTCAAGCGATGCCACCCATCCTCATCAGGTTTGAAGACGCATTTGGCGACTTCATAATGCTTCGTGCACCTTGACATTGGACATGTCTCTACGGAAATTCTCAGCTGCATTTTAGCTGCAAGCGCCAAGTCTGCATTCACTGTGGCTGCAGTAGCATATGCGTTCCGAATGCAAAAATACGCTTCTGATGAGGGCCAAAGCCTTAGTGTAATCCGGGTGTGGCAAGCTTACCTCTTTGTTGCCATCCTCCCGCTCCAAGTACGCCCCTAAATGTACATCGGTGTGGCCCCATTAACCCGTTGCCAGTTGCCGATACGCGGGAGCTAATATTGTATGTGGGATTGAGTTCTGTGCGTAGTCATGCTACCAAATGAACAGCTACGGACACCTCGTCCCTTAGAGTCCTCTGAAGCTTTCCAAACAGCGTCTGAGCTATTGACATGCAGAGAGGGGTGTTCCTGGAAGGCCACTTGGTGATCTAGCTGTCCCGACATATACTATACTAAGCTGATACCTCACACTCGCATCTCACTAGAGCGCACATGACTCCACTGCCTATGCTTCAAGCGATTCTCCGCTCACCTTCAACATTATGTCCACGCACACTGCCTTCCATCCGACGAATAAATTTCCTCCGCAGCATTACTTCTCTCCAAAGGGTGCCTGGTTATCCTTGGCCGCTATGCCGGGGATGAGCGCTGGCTTACGTTCTTGGTCATTCTGACTTGGTCCTGAAGACAGAGCTACGACAGCCCCTCATCAGCTCCTGATAAATCTGCAGGTATACTATCTACTACAGACTAGGCTGTGCTCACTGATTATCGTATTTAGACATTCGCAGGCTCGCTACAAATCTGCTGACGTCGTCTGGGCACAACTCTCATCTCAGTCGCCCATAGTCCGTGTCTGCCGTCCCGTCTTCAAGCAACGTCAATAATTCTGAAACCCCGATGAAGTGTGCCAAGCAAGGAGCTGTCGTTAAACTGCACCTGGAGAGCAAGCATAGCCGACATTATGCGAAGCACAAAGCTCACAAGGGGAGAGGGAGTATTCCGGCGAACGCAAAGCCGCGAACGACTTCTTCGAGTTCCTGGCGAGGATAAGGCCTGCGTTGCTAGACAAGCCTTCATGCGATCTCTATGAAGACGCCCCAGCAGTTACTTGGACTCTGGCGACCCGTGGAAGAGGCCGAACGAAGTTTCTAGGTCGAGATGGGCGAAGTATCTCTTAGTAATATCTAAGATACAAGGCCCACGACGACAGAGCAAATGAACCGTCGCCTAGCGGTATGTCCGGCTTTGGCCTGGTCCAAGCCAACTACGCTGCCGAGGCTCTTCGCATCATGGCCTACTCCGTCTTCGACCTGCACATAGACGAGACGCGCAAAAGGTGCCGGCGCTACGCGAAGGAAGACATGAACCTCACACTACTTGCTGCGCATCCGGAACTCGTGGCAGGCGTGGCGGGGCACGACGGAGGATCTTGTACCGATGTTCAGCAACGACGACCAGATCCGTGCTCAGCGAGACTTGGGGCCCTTCCTCAACGCACATCAACGCACTGCTGTCGAATCTCCAAAATAATGATTTCTTGGCATCACTTCGTCATGTTCTTCGACAGTTTGACGTTGTTCAACGATATTAATATACATCATCTGCCCTGTGGCTATTCATGTCTCGCTGAGCGAAGACTAAAGTTTTAGAGACAGTCATCGCCTTGTTGCTTCATACGACTTTCTTTTTCTTTTTCGCAGACTTAGCCCAACTAGTAATTCTGGTCATCCTCAATCTTGTACTGTGAACGTTCCTCACAGCATACATTAAGTAGCGTGTACTCACGTGAGGCCCGGGCCCAAGGCTATTTGCGTTTTTTAGAGACCTCAGTCTGTTCGCAAGGGCACGAGAAATGTATAACCGAAACCTTCATATCCTGTCTTGCAACTGCCACGTCTCGCTATACTCGGTAAATGCTCTATCCAGAATTCAGGATGTCAGCGCGCGTTATTCATTGGTAAACGTGTGAATGCCGATTACCCATGGTGGACTTTCTGGTGGCAAGTGGGACTGCCGACATCTCGTCGACGAACGTGTGCGATAGGGTAGCATACTTATATCAGATGAAACACACTGATACTGCGCCTTCGGTCGCGTAGTGCATATAAGACAGCTTTGTACTTTTCCCCCTCAAGCGACGCGCGGGGTAACAACACGCAGTCCTTGGCCATCTGCTGCGTCGGTGTTGCAGCGTCTCAGGGTGTGCATTACCACCTTTATTAGGTGTTGCAGCCGATGCCCTGTGAGAACCTGTCAGAGATACATGCATAGCTGCTGGAGCTCTACAGTGAGACCTGAGAGCAGATGGGATGCCGGGGCCGAAAGACGTTCGAGAGATCGTTGCTCGTTCCGTTACTGCCCGTGTCTGATGGTAACTGTCCAGATGGCCAACAACGATGCCCACCTCGAATTTTCGCGCTGCCACAAACCGCCACGTCCGTACGAATGCGGCACTATTTACCGGTCCTGTCTTTCCCGCAGACCCCGCCGTTATCATAAAATGACGACCAAGATCTCGCCAGGGTGCTCTCTACTGACCCCATCAACACTTTGAGTCAGCTTCATTGACGACTACTTCTTAGAGCTCGGCGACCTCCAAATCTTTCTGCAGTCTCCTGGTTGTCTGGACAACTCTATATTGCCGTGCCGAGGCCGTATATCTTTCGTAGAGTTCGCAGCTTCCAGCCTTCATTTCCCATTTCACCACTGTAGACCGTTACTCGACCGCTCCACAAGATGTTCTCGCCCGCTGCCGATACTGAGACGTTCTCGACGCCTCCTCAGAGTCCCATGCCCCTGATCGTCGACCGAGACATCCTCGATCGTCCTTCGCTCTCACGAAGAAACAGTCGGCCGTCGAACCTTCGAATTCAGCAGTCCTTTTCAGGTTTGAAACCCGACATTGTCATCGACAGCCAACCGTCCCCCAACGTCAGTCCCATCATGCACACATCTTCGAGAGGCTCGACGCCGAATACGGCTGTTCCAAGTGCGAATGGTCACGCACACACCATGTCCGTGACGAGCCCACTAGCAAACTCCTTGACGCCAAATCCAAAGTCCCCACATCCCCCGTATGTTGCATCCGAACGACGAGCATCTTCGCCCATGCGCTCGCCCTGTTTCGTTCATTCTCAGCTCCAAGGACCGTCTTTCACGGAATGGTTACGGATCAAGCACCAGAAGGCGCAACAGGAGGCCCGCATCGACGGACCGCCCAAGGCGGGCGACGTGAATCCCATTGGCCAGGGCTACCCCAATGGCACCGTCACAGAGCCTGCCTACGAGACTGGCTATCTGCATGCTGATGAGGACGAGGATGAGACGGCGAGCAGTTTGACGAAGCAATTGGCTGAGACGGCAGTCGGCGTGCGCGAGATGAGCAAGCAGCTCGGTGAGTCCCATTCTTGATCTCTATCTCGGCCGCGGGCTTACGTTTTCAGGCCGCACCCGTGTGCATTCGAACATCCAATCCATCCTGATTGTGACAAAGGCAAGAGATAATCGCCTCATCAAGCTGACGAGAGAGCTGGCTCTCTACTTAATGCTCAAGCCCCGTAAGGGCGGAAGGGGCCTGATTGTGTATGTTTCTATACGCATATACCCAGCTTACCGTGTCTGAAACTTCGCTGCAGCTATGTCGACCATCAGCTGAAGACGTCCCGACGCTTCGACGCGGCTGGCATGGAAAAGGACCATCCCGAGCTTTTCGTGCCGGTCCCCCGCCGTCGCTCATCCAGCAGCTCCTCTCTCGCGTCTATGTCAAGCACAAAGAGCGACACAACTATGCCCGAAGGGCAGCTACGCTACTGGACTCCTGAAATGTGCAGCCGTCAACCACACCTATTTGACTTCGTCGTTACCCTCGGCGGCGACGGCACCGTACTGTTCACCTCCTGGCTTTTCCAGCGCATTGTCCCACCCGTGCTTCCCTTCGCGCTCGGCTCGCTCGGCTTCTTGACCAATTTTGATTTCGCGGACCACCAAGCCGTCATGGACAATGCCATCGATGCCGGCATCCGCGTCAACCTTCGCATGCGTTTCACCTGCACAGTCTACCGTGCCATCGCTCCCGAGCCCGGCAAGGGTCGCCGGGCTATTAAGAAGGCCGAAACAGGCGAGATCCTCATGAGGAACCTTGAGAAGAGCGGCTGGGAGGCGCTCGAGTCGGGGTACATGGGTGGCATACCAGACGGCAAATGCACGAAAGACAAGGAGATCATGTGTTTCACAACACGCCCGGTCGAATCGTTTGAGGTCTTGAATGACCTTGTCGTCGACCGCGGCCCGAGTCCCTACGTCAGCCTGCTCGAGCTCTTTGGCGACGAGCAGCATTTGACGACAGTGCAAGCCGACGGCCTGACGATTTCGACACCCACCGGCTCGACTGCGTATTCGGTGAGCTTTTTTTAGCCCCTTCGGCCTTACTCGCGGCTAATTTCCCACAGCTGTCTGCGGGCGGTTCCCTGGTACACCCCGAAATACCGGCGATTCTTATCACGCCCATATGCCCACACACGCTGTCTTTTCGGCCCATGCTCCTACCCGACACCATGGAACTCCGGATCTGTGTACCGTTCAACTCTCGCAGCACAGCGTGGGCATCGTTTGACGGTCGCGGGCGCATCGAGCTCAAGCGTGAGTGTAGACTAGTACATATCCGGATACTGTCTGACTGCCTTTCAGAGGGTGATCATATCAAGGTCACGGCTTCGAAGTACCCTTTCCCCACGGTCTGCTCTATCAGCCAGTCGACTGATTGGTTTCAATCTATCTCGCGCACGCTCAAATGGAACGAACGAGAGAGGCAAAAATCTTTCGTTGTCGTTGAGGAGAGTCCGGTCAAGAAGCGGCACAGGCGGCGCTCGTCATCGCAGTCTACCGCATCCGCCGATGCGCCGGAGGAGGCAATCGAAGACGAAGAAGACACGACGGAAGAGGAGAACGAGGAAGATGAAAAATTCGACATTGATGACCTGTCGTCGGCCGAGTCGTCGTCGCCGCAGGCCAAGTCAAGTCCAGACAGGCCGCAGGGGCAGATCGGCGTGCTGCCGCAGCAGATCGGACGCGAGAAAGCGGCCGAGCAAGAGTTTGACGAGATGGGACATCGGCTGCGTGCAGAGATCGCGGCGCGCGCGATCGCGCAGGGAAGCCCTATCTTGAAGAAGGGTCGCCGCTCGCGGTCGCGGCCGGGCACCGAGTCCGGCATCGAGACACCCGACCGCTTCACCAACGGACACCCACACCCGCCGAGGCTCTCGCCGCGACACGTGCAGTTCCAGGCACCGGAGGTGTTCTCGTCATCGAGCTCGACGTCCGTGGCAGGCGTGAATCACATGGAGAGGGAGGCCACCCTGCGAGGCGAGCGCGGCGCGCGGGACGATATACACTCGCCACACGGGATGAACGGGAGCAGGAATCGGATACCGCGTGACCGGGACATCGAGAACGAGAGCGCACGGACGCCAACGTCGCCTGTGGACAGGCGAAGACGGTCGCGCGAGCGCACGGCGCACGTCGGGTTCGATGGGGACACGCACCCGCGAAGGGCGTTCGCGGTTTGGGGTCAGGATGAAAGTGACAGTGCTACCAGCGACAGTGATTTATTTTAGTGGAATTCAGCTTTAAGGTATTCAGCTTCTGAGGTAGGAGGTATGCGGGCAAAAACGACTGATATAGACGGCATGGATGTACTGATAGCACTGATAGAAATTAACTCATACGTGTACATTATGCATTTGATAGTAAAAAAGCTTGCTCCTGCCCTGGCCTTACTCCTTGCCCGACACCTTGAGACAGTTCTCCCAGATGAAATCTGCCATCTCGCTGACCATGCTCGGCGTACACTCGTGTTGGGCGTCAGGCTGGACAACCACTTTCTTGATCCCATCGGGACCAACGTTCAGGCCCTCGACGAATTCTTCAGAGTACGTGAACGGAACAAGCGGGTCGCTGCCACCAGACATGACGAGGATCTTCTTGCCCCAGAACGGGTTCGAGGTGTCGTTGGCGGTGTACGGCGCGCGTGCCGGGTCGTGCTTGTCGATGTACGCGCGTAGGCTGTCAGTGAAGTACGGCGGCTCGAGGGGCACGCCGGAGTACTTGGCGCGTTTGGTGATGAGCTTCATGTAGTCTGGGCAGGCGATGATGGGGATTGCGAGGTTGATGCGGGGTTCTGTGGTGCGTGCAAGGTTAGTCCGGGCGGTGCCTGGCATGTCGCGTGCGTACCGTGACGGAGCGCGATCCAAGTTGAATGGCCGCCTAGGCTCTTCCCTGCGACCAGCCAGTGGGCTATCTGCCTCTCACCGGCAGGGAAGAGATAGGAAGGAAGGAAATCAATGAGGTAGGAGACGTCTTGGGCAGTTCCGGCTAGCGAATAGATACATGAGTTTTGTTCGAAACTGTCAGTCGGATGCTCACTTTGAATAGCATACATATCAATTCTATGTGGAAATATATCAATGTCGTGATAAATAGGAGATGTATCAGAGCATACGCATGTCTGTCATTGTTGCCTTTCTTCCAAGCACCATTTGCGTGCGCATCGACGAGTCTGTCGCCATGGTTGCGTTGATCCTGCAAAACCGCTGTTATCACAAGCCGCTCTTTTTGACCAAACTCAACTACTTACAAATGTGACCACGATCAGGTCTAACGCCAATTTGGAGTGACAACGCCTCTTCTGGCCGACCTGCTTCAAGGTGTCCTCGACGATTCCTTCGATGCCCTTTGCGCTGCCGGTGCGGCCGTGCAGGAAGAACATGATGGCGACAGGCCCGTTATGCTCCGTCAGGTGCCGTTCAGAGTAGATGTGCACGGGGAGGCCAGCGACGACCATCGTCTTCTTCGACAGCGTCATGGCAGATGTGAGATGCATGTAGACAAGTGCGAGCAGAAGCGACGCAGCACAGATGATAGATTTTAGTAGTAGCTTATCCAGTGATAATTGAATAGTAGAAGGCAGTGGTGAAAAAGAGAACCCATTTCCGAGTAAACTTGTCGAGCCGCTGTGACTGACGTCTTCAAGCTGGAAACGTCCTACCCGCTAGTGGAATGCCTGCATCCTCAGCAACCCCTGAAGATTTCAGCAAAAAAAAAAATAGCACTATATCTGCACGGCAAAACGAATAAATGCATAGTAGAGGATTAAATGGGCAGAACTCACTACCAATAGATCCCGCGCCGTCGTGGTCGTGACAGAAATAACAAGCGCCGAAGGGTGTCGGGCTGCGCCATTGATGCGCCCTATGCCTTGTTATGGAAAGCCAATACACTTGGCATCAGGGCTCTCCACTTGATTGGTTCCTGATTGGCAGCCCGACACATTCCCAGGATCTCGATGTGCGCCTTGATCGATGCATGATCCTCAACCGCTTTTCATGGTGTCGTCTAGGTGACTATGAAGTGCAACCGTTACCACAGTGAAGCTGGGTAAATAGTATGTGCTCAAGTTCGCGAGAAGTAGCATCACATTAAATCTAGTAATACATGGACTAATAAAAAAAACTGGCCACTCCATCGCATAATTAGGCATCAAACGAATCAAATCATGTCGGCAGCGTCGCGCGTGCATGTATCAGGACGTCTTCAGCTCTACAAAGCACAAAAGGGGGGAGACGTCAACAAATCATGAACGCTTGCTGTCGACGCGGAGGATCTCCTGAACCGTACCATCCTTGGACTCGTCGCGCGACGGCGATAGGTTGTTGCCGCCCTCAAGGTTGCTGAGCTTCGAGTCTGTCGGGTGGTAGTCGCCGAGATACCACCACACCGCGGGAAGACCGACGAAAAGCGCTCCCACGATGTTGCCGAGGTACGCCGCGATCAGGGATCTGTGGGAACGTCGTCGTTAGACTTGCCCCCGCATGAAATGTTTTGGCTGTGCTCACTTGCGAATGTACTCTGCCACAGTCAGCTGCAAGTTCGCGGCAGAGGTCAGCCTAGGTCTGGCGGAGGGGTCATAGGCGGTACACGTACGTCTGCACCATACATGATACCAAGCGGGACGGAGAACATGTTCGCGACGACTGCAACGAGAGTTTAGTTCCTGAAACTCAGCAAGAACGAAAGCTGCTGACCGTGGTCGAACCCGCAGGCGACGAAGATCCAGATAGGGAACCAGCAAGCGACGATCTGCATCGACTCTCAGCAACATTCCCTTACCGGAAGGCGAGTCGCACATACCTTGGAGATAGTGTCACGAGCGCCGTACGCCTGCCAAACAGCAATACAGACGAGCCAGTTGCAGCCAATGCCACGAAGGAAGATCTGGTGCCACTCCGGTTCCGACGCCTTTTTCCTGGGGAGCAACGTCAGATCGCGATCTCCCCGCACATCGAATCAAAATGCCGCTTACAGGGCGAACGACACTGCAAAAGATTTATACGGGTCGTCATCTATGACAGCGCTGTCTATAAGAGGGCAAAAAATCAGAGCGACGGACGAGACCCGGGTATAAGGATGACAGCTGGAGGAAGGCACATACACTTGGTGATGATCGCCGCGAAGAACAGGCTGCCCACTAGGTTGCCGAAGGTGACTGCGAGAAGAGTGGGTTAATGGTTGTCGTCAACGGCGCCTCGGGCGCTCCGAGGGGTGCTCACCGATGAGCCAGTTGAGTGGCAGCGACCAGAGAGGAATTGCCCGTTTGATGGCAGCCATGGGAAAGACCTGGGTGACGTTGGCGCCCCGGTCAGGCTTCTTGCGGGTGCAAGTCGGATGGGGAGTAACGCACCAGCATGTTGCTTGTAAGAAGCTCATGGCCTCCGAGCACGATCCTGGGAGCGAAAACCCGTCGTCAGCGTCCAAGCTGTGCAACCCGCGCACGGCGCTCCGGGTAGCTAGGGTGCAACGGACGACGTACATGACCAATCCGACGGGGAAGACAAAGCCGCCGAGCACCTTGACGATTCCGGGATCGGAGGCGGTGAGAGTTGGCGCACCACCCTGGATGACCTCGGAGAGCAGTCCACCGAATGACAAGAGGATACCAGCGGTGAACTGGACGTGGGATCAACGAGGGAGGACGGAAGCGAAGATAAGAAAGGGCTTACCGCCTTCATGAAGATCTGGAGCGGATGGGTCTCGTGCTTGTACACGGCGAGCTCGACCATCGTGACCGCCACCTGATTGGGCCTCATCGTGCTGACCTGGTACGCCATTTCTTCTCTCGATTAGCGTGCAAGAGGTGGGGGAGATGGAAGAGTGCCGCGAGGGGGAATGGTCGCCTTAAGGGAGCCGGGCTGGGAACGGCAGCGCAAAGAAAAGGTCAAGGCGTTGCGCCGGGGGTCTTATAAGGAGGGGGACATACCTCGCCGGCAGGTTCCCCATGATGAGCATCAAACCAAATGGGAACTCTTGTCTGCGGGCTGCTATCATCAAATTACTCACAGTAAACCCGAACCTAACCGCCTCGGCGTTGCACCCTGGCGTAAGACCTGGCACAGATGCGGCAGGAGAAGCATTTGCCCATGGGGCAGATGCTCGGATAGACGCTGTCAGTGCGTTCATCAGAAGCTGGGATCAATCCCATCGCCGCTGCGGCATGCTAGTTATCATTATCCAGGAGGACGACAGAGGCCGACAAGCACCCCGGCCTGCATGTCCAAAATTACTCTGGTTTGTGATGAACTCCTCGAGATGTTTGAGCAGCGGGGGAGCTAGACCGGGCTGCGGCAACTCGAGTGCAATGCAGGGGTTTTGTTTCTGTTCCTTTCCTCGACTGCAAGAGCTTAGCCGAACCTTGTGAATTGCGTACTGAGCGCGCCGCTTTTGGCGCACCGGGGCATGGATGGATCCGAGATCAGCGGTGCACCTGTGGGATACCGTAACTTCGTAACAATCAGAGACTGACTAGATACAAGCAAGAGACAACTCTAACAGCGGACCACGGCTCATATTCAGGCCAATTGGCTTCGTGGTAAGGCACGAGAAGGTGGGCTGCGGCAGACAGCAGTGCTGGACACGAGCAAGAGAGACAACAACGGCAGCCGCCGCACTACGAGCGCTTTTGGTTCCAGCCTCGGCAATGCCGCACTCATGCAGTCGAGCCTCTCTGGCCTTGCTCTGGCCTCGGGTTCAACAGTCCTCTTGCATGTAACAGAGACTGTTTCACCGCTTCCTTCCCGTTCACATTCGGATCTTCCCCAAGCTTCCCTCACGTCGTGACCTATTGCTCCAGCTCTTGTCGTATCCTACAGAATGGAAAATCGCCTTGTTCCGTTCGGTGAAGACCTGGTGCAGTGCGAGCTGCAGAAGCACGCAGTGTCAGGGTGCGAAGCGCGACAATCACCTGTCCGCGCCTGCGAGAGCAGTGCGATTGGCCTGTCAAATTCAGCGTCCAATCGTCGTTATGAAGAGTCCGGAGAAGCCCGCGGAAGCAGTAGATGCTTCTCCGCAACACCGAGCTCGTTAGGCAGACTCAGCATGGGCGGAATACTGTCTGCTAGAGACTGCCTCGCCCGCTGTCGTTTGGCCGTCTGGCATGTGCCTCTCGCGACGATCCATTTTTCCAGCGTTTAACCTGGATGAGGATCTCTACCTAATCTAGGGTACTTGCTCATGGTAGTCTGTTATTTTTGAGCTGCATGTCGTTGTGCCGAAGAGTGTTTCGGACTTCGCATGTACGCCCGGGTGCCATGATGCGCAATCCAGGGCACAACCCCTTCGGACTCTCGATCATCGATCAACTCCCGATGAGTGTCATGTCGCGCCAATTGGTCCCGTCTGCTTCCGAGTGACGGAATTCGGGGGAACGGGCCTCACTCAATTTGACGACAGTTGTCCGTTGGAAGTTTTGCTGCTGAACAAGCTCCATAGGCAGTTCAGATATCTGTCTCTCTGGGCATATATCATGCAGCGGTGCACATGGCACTCCTGCAGCTTGTACAAAGATTCAATCTATGGCGAGCATCAGTCTCCACTCTGTCAACATCACTATAGGCTAATGTCCCAGAGAACCAGGGTACTTCGATCAGACGCCCAGCAGTTGGCGTGAACGAATCTCCGTCTTAGTTCCAGCTTTTAGCCGGCCGTGCCTGCACCAGATTGTTGGCCTCTTCTACTAGTGACCTGCCGGCCTATATTACTTTGTCGTAGCTGTAAGTACTCGTCTTGCGCTGGTGTCTAGGAACATTTTGCAGATAGGTCTGGTTCAGGAGAACGCCTAAGTCGCTACCCAGAGTAGCAGGATACCATTTACAACAGAATCTGCTAGGGCTCGCCGCTCGAAATTCTTCTAGGTTGTTATCTAAAAGCTGTCATCCTCGAAGACGTGCCCACGGACTGGGGATTTTCAAAGCCGTAAGTTGGTGTTCGCCCGTAAACCTGTCAATGATAAAGGTGCCAATTGACTTCGAGACAAAATCAGAATTAACCTCTCCCCGTAGTGATCTGACAAGAAATTGCTTCCGCAAATCCGAGGAAGTTGTGATGCGCTGCATGCGTCGGTGTCTGATGCAGCATGTCGGAAATGACTTTGTTTTGCATCATGAATTTGACCATGAGCTTCCCGCAAAACTCGTTGGCAGGCTGTCAGCGCCTTCAATCGCCCGTAGGTGGTATTGATGTCTCATCCCCGAACCAGAGTATCGACCATGCAGACTACCTTGTTTTTTCTACGGTAGAGTTCAAAAAAATTCAATGTACTTGCCACTGTCCTGCATCGCCGACTGGCTCGTGTCTTCCTATCCGTCGACGCTCAACCCCTCGTATGTGCGCCTGTCAAGCCCGGCGCACGCACACGCGGGGTTCGTCTTATGTATCTATCAGTAAACTTTCCTATGGCCTAGATGTAGTTCTTTATGCGCGGTATCTCACCTCGAACAACCACTTCTTTGCAGAGTCGCGCCTCACAGCCTTTTCCTGGGAGGAAAGATGAATTCAGCACCCTCCGTACGCTCAGATTGATTGATATTTCAGATGCTGTCTAAGCTTACAAGAACAATACTGGAGTCGCTTGACAGCCCTGGTCTGCATCTACATTTTACTTGGTGGTGTAAACAAAAACCCCATAGCGAGATAGCTGAGAAAGTGGAGTCTAGTGTTCCCGTGACAGCTGGCTGTAAACAGCACAGAACGAGGCGTACTCACAGCACGACTACCTTTGGAAATTGTGATTTATCATCCATTTCACGATCAGGACACTCCACCATATCCCCATCCAAGCTATGTGCTTTGCCGCAACTCTGCCTGGCCACTACAAAAAACGCTCGCAATGGTAGGAGCGTGACACTGCGCAAGCCATAGATACAAGATTGAAGAGACTCGGTACGCTTCTACAGCAGTCTCCCGCGCTGATGAGCCGGCAGATCTCGATCGTGCGTATGGCCGCTCGTGTTACCGAGTTGTCTGTTGCGCTAGTCTATGTCGCTCCGCGTGCTCTGACGCATGTCTGTTAAGCCGGAGGATGAAGCTGCGGGCGTGATGCGGCCAGTATACGGCTGAGTGGCGAAGGTGCTTTTGAAGATCGAGAGAGGTGAGGAGTAGAGACTTGGAGAGTAACGGGAGAGTCCTGGCACCCTAGCACGATCACCTGCAGGATTCGTGGGGCGTATAGCTGTAGCCTCTGAGGCAGGAGATGTCGTCGGCATGGCCTTCACATTTGCAGCTGAGGTGTAAGGCGTCGTCAGGTGAGGATGGCTGCTTATGGCATCTGCTATGTTCTGCGGCTGAGAGGAAGGGATGACTTGTGATTCGTCAGCGATCTGAATGAGTGCAGCCGCGCCCAGGAAGGAGGAGAGTCCGTCGCTGTCCGACGAAGGTGTTCCAGCGGAGCCGCGACCTGGGTCGTGGAGGGAGGACAAGTCTTGAGCTGGGGAGCTGCTACAGTTAGCGTCTTGATCATTGAAATCACCACTTTCTTGCGGTGCGGATAGCACTTCCTCTGCCAAAAGAGATGAGGAAATGATCAGAATAGGTAACATTGCGCTTACCATCTTCATTGACCGAATCTAGAGCGCTCCGGCACTCCTGCATACCATTGGTCTGATGGCGGGACGACGAGGACGTCGGCCAAAGATCAAAGCTGCGGATCGAGTCGATGTTTGCCTTCCCGAGGTCGGATGCTGGCGAATCAGGTATGCTTGGTGGAAGTGAATCGATCGTGGAGCCAAAACCTGGTGACATCGCAGACATGTAAGGTCCTTCCTCAGCCAATGTCATGTCCATATCTGTGTCGCATGTATAAGTCGGGTAGGTGATATTCTTTGTCCGCAAAAGTTTTAGTCGTCTTCTGAGTTTGTGTAGCTGCTTCGGACGAGTCGACTTTGAATTCACAATGCCCCAATAAATAATCAGAGCAAGCTCGTTAGTCCGACTCGACTCACGCGCTTCGCTGTATGGCTCCGTGCTCTTCGAACCGGACATGTTCCGGTCTTTCACTAGAGAGATTGGGTTTCAGCAGTGGGCGTATCAATGCGATAGTGAGAAGTACCGAGACCCGGATCTCCAGGGTTTATGGGGTGTGCCTGGCTGTGCTCCATTCTGTGGCCAAACTGACTTTTTAACACGGACTTCCTTCCAAGACCGGAGCCTGGACCAAAATTTGGCGCTGAGAAAGGACGAATTTCGAAAATTAAGTCTCCATTGCGGCTGATGACTGGTCGCGCCAGGGTGTGAGCCACCACAGAAGGGTAACATCCGTACCATGTCCGGTCGATAATCTTCAACTCGTCCAATATTTCTGCTAAGTCGATGACCTCGGGAACGATCCCCATCAGGAGCTTCACCGGGTCGTGTGTAACTCCGGGAGGTAGCTCGCCTATTGAATTTGATTTGGGGAAGTGTGTGCGAGGCTGAAGCACGGTGACTCTCAGCCCGTTGGTGCCAGAGCGCATGGTAAGCGAGGCCTCCCATATAGCACTCGACTTCGAGCTACCACAATAAGCAGACGGACTCTTAGCGCGTTCAAGACAGAGCAAAGATTGCACATACCGCCAGTCCGTGGAGGTGCCCACCGAGAGCTCAAGACTTACAGTGCCACCTAATGTAATTTCCAACTCGCCGCGCTCGAACGTGTTGATGATCTCCAAGTAATTCTCCGTACGACCTACATAATAATGTCAGCTGAGACAGATACCTTCGGAAAGAAGACGCCACTTACACACGGCCGCATAGCTTCCGACCATAGTGTGATCCTCGCCTTCATGTTCGTACAAACACCTGTCACGAAAGGACCATCGGTATCTTAGGGAGCTGCCGGTACCCTTTCCAGATTCGAGAACAGGGGTGCAATCCTCGTATTTCCGCTGAGGTTGATCGGACCAGCAAGCCATTTTGAGCTCCCAGACATTCTGCTCAATGTATGCAGAGATCGGGACGACGGTCGTTCTTGCATTGATTTTGGAGAAGGCGAGGAGAAGCCCGTCTTTCAGGAATAGACTGCCGGATATGGCCGCAATGCCGTATGATGAGTGTGCTACTGCGCAGGCGACCCAGTTTCTCGAGGACGGTGGAATGGAGGCGGGCAGAGATCGACCTCCACACACACCCAAGATGATGATAATTGGCTCGGAGGCACGGATCTGCTCGTTCCGGCTGTACTCGCTCGACGTTTTCTCCAAGTAGACATGGAAGGTGGCGCTGATCGGGCACTTGTACAACCCTACCGATTCCGATTCCCCTAGAATCGGGTTATGGACCGAACCGTGCACGCTCAAAAGTCACGTGACTATCAGCCATTGCACCCGAGCTTGCGCTAATGTGCCAGCCGGCGCCTATGAGTCTAATTCCCAAGGCACGAACAAACTTGTGTGCAGTAGGCTTGCGCCCGCCCCATCCGATTTCGCGAAGCTTTTTCCCAGACGTCGTCGCGAGCACGCAAGCGTGATACAATCCATTCATACAGATTATATTGCCTATTATATATACTACATGATCAACTGTAATCAGTCTGCGACGGCTTTTCTTAGGGTACAGTTGTGGGACGAAATTTGCATAAATTGACTATTGATCATATGGGAGCATGGGAAGGAGGTGTCAGCGGCGTCGCTTTGGGTAGATAATGCAGGTGAGGAAAACATTGTAACATATGATGAGGAATACTATGACCGTGCGTCTCCTTCGTCACAGCTGACCCACACGGTTTTCCATTGCTCACTCACAGCCTATGTAGTGCCGTCGGAGCCCTGGGTGCAATGGGTCCACCCGTGCAAGTGCACCCTGATCACGCACGAGAGCTGTCTCCTGAACTGGATATGCAACACACAGCAAGATGCCTCGCACTTGTCAAACGCCCTGAAGTACCCCCAGTGCAGTGCGCAGTACGAGATCCTGAGCGAGATCCTGTTCCCGCTGCGGCTGCTCAACCACATCAACACCTTGGCGTAGTACTATTAGCAGAGCGTGAACATGAGTTGCTTATAGCACAGCAGGAGAGATAGCAGCATTGTATAAGGGCTATAAGTACATAGGCAGATTGCATAGGTGTGTTACGAGCAGGCAGATGAAGCTGTGGCGAGATGCGGCGTGTTTGCAACCAGTCTTCGTTCAGGAGTCATTATTATGGTGGAAAGTATAGCCCATACCATTCATCATGCACGACAGGTTTCTCAAGACTTAGCAAGCACTTGTCTGTAGGTGAAATTAGTTTACTAGGGGAAGGATGGCGCAAAATTTGAAAGATTTATTGCTCTTGAACATGTCTGTACATAATTTAATGCTTACAAAATTACCTGTCACCAGCTATGCTGGTGGAAGGTCATCCTAGGTCATCCACTCCCTGGAGCGCTTCTGGTCAGCTGAAAGCGGCACGGCTTTGTAAGCAAAGCTTCCGGCTGTCTGCCTCCGGCCCACTGCACTCGAGCCTTTTGGGCCACTGCCCTCGACAACATCCAAGTATGAGTATCAACCGTTGCAAATATAATCATTTCATTCATATTTCAACGATACAACACTTAAACACACAAACTATCAGTTAGGAACGTCCTAAACGGATGAGACCACAGAGTGGTGAAAGCCTTCGCAGTTATTTCCACCACATCCAGTCCCTCCGCACTTCCAAAATACCAGGTCAGAGTTTCCCATGTGCTCATATATGATCCTTGCTCTGGTGTTGTGCTCAAACAAGAATCTCACAGAGTAGCAATCTGTCTTCCATGGAGTATACTCCATGGCTGGCGCTCTCTACCCCTCATCTTGCACTGCCTACAACCCAGACACAAGGCCCAAGGACCACTCAACATGCTTGTGACGTCAGCCTGAGACTGATACACAACTCGCTGCGTGTCGCCACATGCCCCGGGCCAGCACACCAACAATAGCACTCGACCTTCGCTCTGCTGTTGTGCAATGCACAATGCCCAGAACGTGTCATGCAGCACCGCATGCCATCTAGTGCCCCGAGCCAACCTGCAAGCTGCAGTATCACACCACCTCTTCACGTGTCTCCACTATGTCCATCAGGCATTGCAGGCTCAAAGCTAGAAGCCCGCGACTTGCATCTCGTGGCTGATCGTGGTGCCTACTTGCTTCGGCAGCTGACGCCCGACTTGAGCCCCCGGGCAGCCTGCATATGAGTGACAACTCATGTACCTGCCGTGCGTTATCGGTCATACAAGCTCTAACTGCAAGGTGCACAGCTCCCAGTGCAAACACAGAAAGGACTAGACATCCTTGGGCACCAGCGATTAGCGGAGCCTGGCAGTTCTTGCGTGAGCATCCTTGTGTGAGTTTGGCTGGCCCTGGGACAAGGCGCAGCTGTCACTGGCACCGCGACCTTAACACAACGGCTTGGTACTTCCAGTCTTTGCCACCGAGTAATGTCTGTAAAGGGTACATTCTCTCTCCTGTGTCCTATGGTTCAGCAGTTTGCAAGGATGACTAACACCCAAATCTTACTCACCAACAGTGCATGCACCGTAGTTATACATGTATTGATTGACTGGCTGATGTAGTATGCAGGGCCGAATGGAAACGCTGCAGGCACAGGCCGCACAGGGGAAGGCACAACAGGGCTTGAACCTCGCATACCCTCTGCCCGTCATCACGTTGGCCAGTGCCACCACTGAGCTGCACTGCAATGGTGGACTCAGGTGGAGTGAAGAGTTCCTGTTTGGTAGCGATGACGCGTTGTTTGGGTAGAGGGCCATGTAACGACCCTCTGTGTATGTTAATACTTACGGAAATACCGCTCTCCAGTGATGCTGCTGTTCTTGGGTGCCTTCTATTGTCGTGGTACGATGACTGGGCTGCGTGAGCGCGAACTGGCGAGTGGCACGCGGGCACGATCTAATACACACGGTGTTAGTCTGAGTGCGAAGGGAAAGAGCACGCTGTATAGCTATGTACCTAATACACACGGTGTTAGCTAGACAGGGGTCCGGTAAGCATACTGCATAGTGCGCAAGGGCGACGAAGGAGACTTACTCTGAGTGCGAAGGGAAAGAGCACGCAGAGTGGGGATGCGAGAGGAGTCCTTATATACTAAAAGGAAGCAAAATTGAAAGTCCGCTAGAATGGGGAAGCCTGCCATAAAGAGGTCCGTGCGTGGGAGCACTACATATGATTGTCCAATCACTATCTACGTATTAGCAGCGCCTAATCTAAGATGTTCACCTTAAGTCCATGCCGGGCGGAACACCGAGCCAGAGCCACTAGGCGCTTCAACACTCCCCCTTGGTGAGGCGATACGGAACGAGGCCAAGAGACTGGGTGTGACGGTTGTGTACCTCAGCCGGTAAAGGCTTTGTGAGAATATCAGCCGGATTGTCGACACCGGGATCCTAACGAGTTCGATCAGACCTGCTTCGAATTGCTCGTGAACAGTGTGAGCTTTGACGCGGGTGTGTTTCGTGCGATGCTTGACGTTGGGTGACTGGGCAGCGTCAACGACAGATTTGTTGTCGCAGTGGAGAGGGACAGGCTTCGCGAGTGGATGTTCGATGTACTCAGTGAAGATTTCGAGCCACTGTAAATGTCGGACTGCTTCGTCGGCTGCGAAGTACTCTGCGTCGAAGGTGTCTCGAGCCACAGAGCGTTGCTTGCGAGAAGACCAACTGGTCGCGCCTCTACCGAGTTTGTAAACCCAGCCAGATGTTGAGACGGAGTTGTCCTTGTCGTTCGCGAAATCTGCGTCGGTGTAACCGAGCAAACGGCTATCGGTCTCGTCGTTCTGACCTAGACAGAGTCGATAGTTGGAGGTGCCGCGGAGGTACTTGAGAACACGATAGGCGGCAGCTACGTGCTTCGGTGAAGGGTTTGCCTGATATTGGCAAAGTCGGGCGACGGCGAAGCCGATGTCGGGGCGAGTCCCGAGCATGGCGTACATGAGTGAGCCGAGGAGTGAGCAGTAGAGCTTGATGCGGTCTTGTGGACAGTCCGCGGGGTCTTCCTCATTCTTCTCGAGTACGATGTCAGTGCCGAGTGGTGTGGATGCGGGGTTGCAGTCTTCGTATCCGAATCGTTTGAGAACGGACTCGATGTACGTTTCCTGGTCGAGGTATGTAGCTCGACTCCCCCTATCCCTCGTGACACGGATGCCGAGGTAGTATTTGAGTTCGCCAAGGTCCTTGAGTTGGAACCTTTCCTTCAATGCCTCTTTCATTTGTTGGATGAGATCGAGGCTGTTTCCCATCATAGTTAGGTCGTCAACGTAAACCACTAAAATTTGAGTGGATCCCCCTCGTTGACGGCGAATGAAGATGGATACGTCGCCGGTGTCGTGGCATGCGAATCCAATGTCCTCGAGACAGGCTTTGAGCGTGAGGAACTATGTTCGTCCCGCTTGTTTTAACCTGTATATTGCTTTCCGCAGGCGGCATACTTTGCCTGCGTCCATTACGAAACCTTCAGGTTGCTCCATGTATAGCTCCTCGTCGAGTTCTCCGTTCAGATATGCTCTATCGAAGTCGATCTGGTGGATTTCCCAGTCCTGGATGGTCGCTAGGGCAATGAGGTATCGCCAGGACTCCAGACGGGCGACGGGAGCGAAGGTGTCTTCGTAATCGATGCCTTGAACTTGCGTGAACCCCTTGGCTACGAGCCTTGCCTTGTAGCGATCCACTTCTCCATTCTCGTTGCGCTTGACAACGTATACCCATTTGCACTTGATCGCCTTGCGACCCTTTGGTAGGTCGACAAGTTCCCAGGTGCCTTTTTCCAGGAGGCCAGTGACTTCGGCCTGCATGGCAGTCATCCACTCCGCTGAATCCGGTGCATCGGCTGCTTGTTTGTAGGTTTGCGGCTCTCCAGCGATGGAGGAGTCGCCTACGATCGCAGCGATGTTGCCCGGTTCCTTGCCTGTGTTCAGTGCTTCCTCGATGTCCGCTTCGGTCGCTCCGGGCCAAATACTCGTCCATTTCTGAGTTGCCTTACGCTCGCGGGTACCGCGGCGGACGCCTGACGACGTCATGGCATGCTCAGGATTGGTGAAGGGATTGTAGTCCCACGAGGTAGTGTTGGGATTTGGCTGGAGTGGCGGAGGGGCGACGACGCGAGATGGTGAGGCTTTGGCCTTGCCTTTGAATTCGGGCTTGACCGGTGCACTTGGCGGAATTGGCGGAGCTGGATACAACTCTGTTCGAGGTGTAAGGCGTGGTATTTGGGATGCTGTAGGCGGTTTTGGTGTGATGGGTTGAGTAGGAGGTGGTACAGGCTGTGGCGGCTGCGTAGGAGCCGGTGGCGTGTTAAGGGGTGGTAGTTCGAGTTCGACAGATGACGGCAGCGTGGATGTAGATCCGGTCGGTTGTGTCGAGGACGGTGAGGGTAGGAGTTTGTTGGGGAAGATCGACTCGTCGAATATCACATCAGTACTCGTGGTGATCTTTCTGCTACGTTTATCCCATAGACGATAACCTTTAGAATTCGTCTCGTAGCCGATAAACACTAGGCTCTCAGCGTTAGCGTCGAGTTTCTTGCGTTTATCCCTGAGTATATGGCAATAGGCCTGGCAACCGAAGACTCGGAAGTGGGACACGTCCGGTGTGGTGCCAGTGAGTCGTTCCAGGGGCGTACACCATGCAATGGCTTTCTTAGGGCCTCTGTTGCGTACGTGCACAGCTGTGCAAACAGCTTCTTCCCAGAATCCGTGTGATAACCCAGCGGTTTGTAGCATTGACTTAGCGGCTTCTACGAGCGTGCGGTTCATGCGCTCAGCTTTGCCGTTTTGCTGTGGGGTACCGGGTATCGTGCGCTCGTGGATGATCCCAGATTTCTTCAACAAGTTGATGAACTCGTTGGACTGGTATTCACCCCCTCGATCTGACCGAAAGACCTTGATGACCGTGTCGAACTGTCGCGCGACGAGGGCTACGAAGTCTTTGAACGCGGAGAGGAACTCATCCTTTGTTCGCAGATAGTAGACCCATGTGACGTCGGAGCAGTCGTCGATGAAGGTAGCGAAGCATCGGTGGCCTGTAAGGGATACCACCGACATAGGTCCGTCGAGGTCAGATTGAATGAGGTCGAAGGGTTTGTTAGCGCGTGAGGTGGACGATGTAGGGAATGTACGCCTGTGTGCTTTGCCCAAGACGCAGCCTTCGCAGGGATGCGAAGGTTTGTCCATATCGGCGGCGGTGAGGCCTTTGACCAGAGAGGAATCAGCAGCGGCGAGCTTGCGTACTGCCTCCCAGTTCAGGTGGCCAAACCGATGATGGATAACGTCGAGCAAAGTGGCGTTGTGCGTGGAGACCGCGACAGATGGTGGAGGTGGAGTAAGGTCCAACCAATACTGACCGCGGGACTTAGTGCCTATGCCAAACGTGGTGTTGCCATGCTTGATTTGGGCTCGTCCTTTCCCAAAGACGAGATCGAAGCCTTTGTCTTCGATGCATGAGATGGAGATTAGCCGTCCGGACATTGCAGGGCTGTAGAGAACGTTCTCTAGCCTGATGTTTACTGGTTTGTTGTCGACGAGCATAGTGCCCTCGACAACACCTGAACCGAGTGTGCTTACTTGCGTTTTCGCCTTGTCTGCTAGTGTTGCATATGTAGGCGACGCAAAGGCGGTGTACTCAGTGAAGTCGTTCAGGTCGTTCGTAATGTGTCGTGTACAGCCGGAGTCTAACATCCAGCGTTTCACACCGTGGAGATACCAGGAAGCGGAATGAATTTCGGCCTCAGGAGCAGCAGCTCCTTCGGCGGTGACTACATGTACAGATGCGTGACCAGTACTACTACCGGACGGATTACTTTTACCGTCCTGGGCTTTGCCATTGCTGTCCTTCCGCGCCTCTTCGGCGGCGGCCTTTTTCTTTCTGCAGTCCTGCTCATAGTGGCCTTTGTAGTGGCAGAAATTGCACTTGCCCTTCTTGCCGTCAGGTTTGCCAGCTTTGGCTTTGCCTGAGGTAGATGCCTTCGGTGCGTGGAAGGCGGCGACGTTGGTGGAGGAGCTGCGACGCTTCGCTTCGTCGAGGAGACGGTTGCAGATGTCGTCGAGCTTCAAGTCGGCGGGCTTGGTGACTGCGAGGATGGGCTCCACGACGTTGTTGAATGAGTCGGGGAGGGCCGTGAGCAGGCCGAATATCTGCAGGAGCTCCGGGGTTTGGAGGATCCCGGAGGCGCTGACCTCTTGCCAGAGTCGGGCGCGTTCGTCGAGTTGGGCAGCAAGGTCATCGCTGTCCGTGATCGCATGCGAGAAGTACGCACGGAACTTGACGAATGCCGACATCGTGGTGGAGGCGGCGTAGTTGTCCTTCAGCTTCTTCCACAGCACGGCGGCTGTGATGTCCACTGGGTTCGCGAGGTGCAGGAGCTTGTCGCCGAGTGTGCTGAGGATGTAAAACCTCGCATATGCGTTTGTTGTCTCCCATGCTTCGACGTCCGCAGCGGAGACAGTGCTGCTTTGGATGGGGGCTCTCTCGGTGCCGTCAACGACCTTCCATGCGCGTGCAGCAATGAAGTACTGCTGCATCATCAGGGACCAGCGTGGGTAGTCGCTGGAACCTTTGAGCTTCCCGATCGCGTCGAGCTTCATCGACGGCGGACCGGTGGCTGATGCAAATGCGGAGGCGGAGGACATGGTTGTCGTGCGGCGAGGTGCGGTGGACGCGGATTGAGAGGGTGTAGTGGGAGCAGCGGGAGTGCGACGTGTAGGACGGGGTGCCGGTGCAGGTGCAGGTGTCGGTGCAGTTGGTGAAGGTGGGCGTGATGCGGATGGACTAGACATACACTAGAGTACGACTCTAGTGTGTGTGTGTGCAATGTGGAGTAACACTTGGGGTAAAGACCCTGAGGTGTTATGGAGCAAGTGTGCGGCTGGTGCCGGATCTCTCCGAGTGAAGACTCGTGAGGGATGGAGGGTAGATGGGGGCCAGTTACAAGCTGGGGCTCATAACCTATTGTCGTGGTACAACGACTGGGCTGCGCGAGCGCGAACTGGCGAGTGGCACGCGGGCACGATCTAATACACACGGTGTTAGTCTGAGTGCGAAGGGAAAGAGCACGCTGTATAGCTATGTACCTAATACACACGGTGTTAGCTAGACAGGGGTCCGGTAAGCATACTGCATAGTGCGCAAGGGCGACGAAGGAGACTTACTCTGAGTGCGAAGGGAAAGAGCACGCAGAGTGGGGATGCGAGAGGAGTCCTTATATACTAAAAGGAAGCAAAATTGAAAGTCCGCTAGAATGGGGAAGCCTGCCATAAAGAGGTCCGTGCGTGGGAGCACTACATATGATTGTCCAATCACTATCTACGTATTAGCAGCGCCTAATCTAAGATGTCCACCTTAAGTCCATGCCGGGCGGAACACCGAGCCAGAGCCACTAGGCGCTTCAACACCTTCCCACCATCTACTGCACCCGGCCTACTGCACTCGAGCTTTGGACATTTCGCAGCCGCGTGTACCTATACCATGACCATGTATATGACTACTCACCTTCGCAAATATAAATATACAGATTTGTACCAGTCTGCATGCAACAACTGCCATCTGCAGTTCAAGATCATATTTATTTTGAGTGCTATGATTGTCCTGAATGACACTATGCAGGGGAATCGGCAATGGGTGTTTGATGCCCATATTCACGAGTGGCCTAATCAGGATCGGAACGGTGTAGAGCACGTGATGGCCGGCAGCGACGAGCTGCCTGAGATAGTAGTCTCGGACATAGACGACTATTGCGTACACCTTGGCAACCAAGTGCTTATCCTGAGCGGCGAATAGTCCATCGAAGCGAGAGTACTTATGCAGGAAGGCTGCATCTATGAAAAACGCATCTCAATAATAGGGTGTCGAAACCAAAAATCGAAGGCGACGTACCGTGCAAATTGAGACAGATGTGCTTAAAGCTGACCATCCCGTTCACTCCGTGCTCTTCGTAGGCACGAGAATTTCTGAATGCGGCCTGCCACTCAGGAGCAACGTCCGACAACGCGGAGTGATCGCACATCTTCAGGTCGACCCAAAAGCAACTCGCCAATCCTTGAACTCGAACCTTTCGTCACTGCAAACGCTGGTCAGCACCACTGATAGCAAAAAGTGCGGGCAGATCTGTACTCAGCATGGACCTCGCTACTTAAATATCTCAAGGAGCCGTACTTAGGGCGGAGGAAAACGACCGCCCGACCATCCTCGCGCAGGTGCACCATGAGCGGCTTGAACTCGGCCTGGAAACACTCCTTGAACTTCCACTGGAAGAGAAGCCTATCAGCAACGGACGCGCTGGTGGTGGCCTGAGCTTGGGTCCAGCTGTGACGGTAGTATGTGTTGATTGCAGCCTGGGGGAAAGCTATGATCTGGTCGAAGCCGAACAGGTCACTATTCTGGATTATGTCATGCCAGAGCATAGTCCCCGACACGGCCCGCCCGCTCTCGGCTGCACTAGTTTGGGGTCCGCCTGAGGAGCTATCGATTTCCGGCCAAAGTGCGTTGTAGTGATGGATAATGTCGTATTGGGCATTTCCAAGGAGATCTAGATAGTCACCCGTAATGAAGTAGATGATATGACTCATGTAGTACAGATCGTCTTCGTCAGATTCAACGTAGTTATTGAAGGTAGAGCGTTGGTGCATATAACGGCCACCTGGCAGTGGTATAAATAATTCACCTGACGGATTACAGCCACATAAAACTTACTACGCATATCGATCTTATATCGAATTGCTTCGCCTTTGCCTTCCGACTCATGCATAATGTTGAAAATTATTGCAACCTTCTAGTCACTGTAGGTCTTAATCGGCGCTCTGAAATGTTAGTCAGAACAAGCTAAGCATATCATCGACTCTAACTCACGCTTGGAAGTCATCGATATCATAGAAAAGGATCTCGTCGACAGCGAAAAATACTATTATATCGTCGTCGCACAGGGCAGCGCCTTGCGGGGAACCGAATTTAAGGTGGAAGTAGACATCCCTGCCATCCTGGGCCCACTTGCCGTGATAATCGGCAAGCGAGACTGTAAGATAGTCGGAAGCCTGAGAGTGGCTGTTCTGGGCCTCCACCAGCATTGCTGCCCCAAACCAAGAAGTCTAGAGGTGTCTGTTGATCTGCTCGATTGCTACACCACGAACTTCAGCAACACCGGGGGGAATGCCTGCAGTTTGCAAGAATTCAAAAATATCAGCGCTTAGAGCCCTGATGCTAAAATTTGGCGGTAGGGCGAGAACGTGATGGCCCGCAGCCTCAATGAATTCAAGGTAGCCGTGAAGATACGTCTCGAGAGATCGTTTCTCACTGTCTGCTATCTCGGAAGAAAACCTGGTAAGCTTCGCATCTGCACAGCGAATAAGCTTATAGCTGAATGGAAAGCATACTACGCTTCCTTACCCCTGCAACTGAGGACCAGCATATTGACGGTGCTTCGCCCTTCGCCAGTAACTGCGCTTCGGTCTGTGACTCCGATCACTTCGAACCGTATGCGGAACATAACAGATAAGGGAGATATGGTCCGATTCTGTGAGCTAGCGAAGATATCTTTTAGTGGGTCGGTAAAGTCATGTTGTCAAATCGACACACTGGTCTGCTGCTGTCAAAGGAAATGCCCGGACGTGGTCAAGGTTGAGATGACCTTCCTGAATTCTGAGATGAAGGACAACTTCGTGGTTACATAGGAAGTCGAGAGTGGGAGCCATGAAGCTCGCATGAAACCACATGTCTTGCTCCGTCGCCTCTGATTGCGAGCGGTGCTTTCCATAGTGGTACTTTGCGAGTGCGAGTTTGTAATCTAGCAGGGAAACACATAAACGTAAAGATAAAGCGCACGACATACAAGACGAACCATGATTTGAGTCGGGTTCAACCCCGGTTTCGCGGGTCTTTGCAAGCAATGATGAAGATATTTCCCACCGGGCATGGAGCTGACTGTTGATGTGATCTACTACTCGCTGAGTGCTATTTACACCGCGCGATATTGCAAGACAGATCCAACTAGGGTGTATACAACATTTGGCCGCGTCCTCAGAGACGCCTCGAGGCATTCCTCCGTAAGCGCGCCGAGGCGCCGAGGACGTGACCAGTAGCTGCCGGGTGCAGTACAGCCATACAGAATATGAGATACCTACTCGCACATACCCTTTTAACCTCTGGCATACCGCCACCAGCTCAGCGTCCCTGGAGCATTCTCATTCTTCACCATGTCTTACGGCCACGACGATGCTGAACACATCGTTGAATACTGTAACTATCAGCTCGCGTCTCTCTGGTCCATCGCAAAACGTTGTTGGGAGAAGCATTTGGAGGATCATGGACCTTTCAAGCCTGAAGAACAGCAGTATTTTACGTCGTCCTCTCGATTTAAATGCTTATTGCTAACACACAATCCACACAGGAGATTTATTTGCGCTCGCTGCCTATCACTTTGGCCGGTATCGGACGACAGGCTCTGAGCGTATGGAGGGCTCGAAGGACGATCTGATGTTTCAAGCCTTCTTCGATAAGCCAGTGCTTGTATCCCTCTGTAGCCACGAAATGCTCCTGGAGATTACAGTGACCGATGGTCACTGCAATCTCGACCATGGACGCGCAACTGAGGCAGCGGCTGCCAACCAGTATGTTTTGATTCACGTCGCTTGGTACTCATCCCGCCATACACTGCATCGTCACTGACAGTTCGCGCAAGAGAGATATACCGAAGAATATCTTATTTACCTACTGTGTACCGTCCGCAGTCGACAAGATGGCAGGCTGCACTGCGTTGATCGGGAGCGAAAGGCATGGGGTCCAGCTACTTGTGTTCGACTATAAAAGTAAGTTCACGAATGATAGTTTCGGGCACAGTATCAAACGAGAACCAGGCGCGAAGCTCGTCCGATCGTCCGTCCGCGCGACAGACGGGACGCATCAGCCGATTCCCCAGGTCGAAGGACAACAGTCTCTCGAGTTTTACCTGTATCAATATCTCGAATTCTTGCAGTCCGCTGGTCATCACACCCTATCCTCCCTCCCCGGCTTCGAGGACGACAAAGGAGACGTCCCTACCACAATTAACTACTCGTGGATCGCCGACGTCGCGCTGCGACAGCTGGTTCAGCTAGACGAGATTCACAGCGTTTCACTCTGGAAGATCAATGGCTACTTGTCCACCGTGTGGTTGAAGGCTGCTATGCTTGTCTCTATCCAGACCGATGCACTGAGCGACCGGTCAGGTACATCTCTCGCGGAATATCGTGGTACGTGGCGGTACATGGACCAGGCGTGCCCTTATTAAATCACGTTTGGGACTCCCCGAGTCACGGCTTGGGGCAATGATGAAGTCATCATGACATTCGTCGTCGACGAAGTGTTCCTTTACAGTGGTACCAAGTGGGAAGGGTACGTCTGTCGCTTGCACATGATTCGAGCTATTCTGACTCCTTTCTTAGGCAGCCGGTGAAGAGCTTCGGCGAATGGGAGATCGCTGTGATAATGAACTTCTCCTATGAGAAACCACTGGAGCACGATGGCAATGTTATCCGGTGCAAAGTCGATATCGCGAGTATGTCATGCACCCCCACCATCACTTCCACGTCCTCTTTTTGACCTCTATATCCAGGCAGTCATCTTCTAACAGCCTCCTCGTTCTTCGGAGATGTTGATTTCGACAATGAAGACGCGACCGTGCTGTCATGGGTCGATTACATCATCACCTTTATCTCTAACGAATACTTGAATATCATCGAGAATGCCGGGTACAATATCATCTACGAACACGATCTGCGCCGGCGCTCTATCACAGGGTACGGGGAGGTCGGCGACTTTGACTTCGATGGGAGTACCGACCGGTACGCTTGTCGAGATGGGACCGAGGACAGCGGGATGCATGCGAGGACTATGGCATGGCGGAAGATCACTCAGGGAGACGACATGTGCGATTATGACCAGATTACCGCTCACGGTCGAACGGCGCCGGAGATGACGATCTGGCACGAAGTCGCTCAGAAGAGCGACATGTACGGCTTCGACCAGATTACTGCCCTCTCCCAGGCCGCCATCAACATGTACTACCGCTCCATCTGGACACAGGTCCAGGCCTCCGCCAGCACATCTGTCACTGAGACGCTGCTCTTCCTATGGAAGTTCGAAGACTATTTCTAGGCCGAATTTAAGCCGCCAACGGTGCGCCTGCGCGGAGATGGTCGAGCGATAGTCTTCCTCTACATTAAACGCGGCTTCTTGAAGCCTCTGCGTAACGGGGCCCCGTACCCCGAGTATGTTTGCGATTGCGCTCTGGTGATATCGTCGACGCTGACCCAGATATTAGTGGCGACAAGTTCGAGTTCGAAGATTGGCGGATCGCTTTCGAGGCCGACCTCAAGATGTGCGATCACTCAGCGTTGACGGAGATCGGTCCCGAGTGGCAGGCCGCGTTCAAGAAGTCTCGGGTCTATGAACAGTACGGCACGAGTGAGATAGTCGACTTCAAGCACATTTATCTCGACTTCCAGAGTGCGTTACTCTCGTCACTGACCCTGATCTGCTACTTAATTGTATTTCTCATAGATGTAACCTTCCTGCATGAGTCTTCCCGCTTCGACGGGCTGCTCACCGTTCTGAACAAGCGCTCCATCGACAAGGTGCAAGCAGCAGTTGTCTATCTCCGCGACTTTTACCTCAAGCAGCTCGTTTCCGCGGGCCACCATGTGCTCTACACTATCCCAGTCCTAAACAGGCCGTCAGCAGAGCTATACCAGTGCCTCACCAGCGTCGTCTTCCACATCTACTCGGAGACATCGAGCGAACACAGCTGGAACGAGCAGTCCCGTGCCTCCGAGCCGATCGTTATCATCTTGGGCATGTGCGGCGGCCGACCCATGCCCGCCTCGGCTCTGCGGTATTCGACAGAGTGGATCGTCCGCGTAGGAAGATTCTCATCTTATGGTACTGCGGCTATCTCGGGTGGTCTGTTCTTGAGGGAGAAGCTTCTGCGGAAGTTGTCCGAGATCAACACCAGGACGACTATCATCCCCTGATTTTCTGGTATCGAACGCGATACGTGGAAGCTCAAGCTCTCTTGCTGGTCCGACCACCCGGAAAGGCAGAACGAGAATTGCGTCTTCACTCTCGACCCTGAAAATCGTGCGGACGGCTCCCTGAGGTACTTCTGGCAGCACCACGACAAGTACAACTACGAGCATCGAGGCGGAAACTACATCATGACTGGACAATATTCAGTTGCATGTAAGCACCTTCCCTGTCTCACGTTCATGCGCATATGCTGATTTCACCGTGTAGGCATTACTCAAAACTACCTGGAAGTTCTCACCGGTACGATGGAGATCAAACTGGGCGGCACCGTCAGCATCGAGGTCTTCGTGAACACTTCCTCGGCCTGGCAGTATGTGCGCTTTAATGTTTAAGATGACCAACAGTGACAGAACCCGTTCACAGTTCATCATCGGTCGCCATCTGGCAGGCTTCCATCGCTGTCCATTCGGAGGCCAATGGTCTAAAGGCCAGCTCAGTGCGCAACCAGACGCAATTCACCAGGTCAAAAACGGAGGGCGAGACGTGCTCTTCTTTAGCTCTCAATCCCGAAGCATTACTCAGGAGCGTAATTCCCTCCAGTGTCGACTTGACCGAAGCAATGGAGGAGTTCAAGACTTTCGAGCAGGCGTGGTACTCGTGCTACCCGGGTATGGGCACGTACAACCTAGCTCAGCCTGTCTTCAACTCGAGGGGCGACTTACTGTTTGAGCTTCAAGCGCGAACGGCGACGGCAGCTACTACTGTCAGCTCCTCATCATCGTCTCCTACTTCGAAGTTCAAATCAACGCAAAATGACAGAAATTGCGACCTGGCTCGACCAGGATATGATTTATACATGGGTCCGTGGTTCCCACAATCGCCTCATCTCGCGAGCTACACTTTCAATATGAACGGCCTTCGTTCGCCTCCCTTGACTGGTATCAAGTGTCCCATGTCCTCCACAGGAAGCCGTCCTGCATCCTCGGCGGCCAACCATCAGGACACTACACCTCCCCAGAATGGCTCCTACCCGTTTTACGGCACTTTGATGTACTCGATGTCGCCACCGCAGCAGCATGAGATGCCTTCCGATGGTCCCCACTTACGTGCCGCGGGTCCGTCCGCTGGCCAGCGCAACCTCGACTCTGGCGACACCCGAGTCCGCGGCACCGGCGGCGGACAGGCCAACAACGTTCCGGATTTTCGCGTCACCGACATGACTGGCTCTCAAGGGCAGACCTTTTCGTCATTCCAGCAGCTGACTTCAATAGCCGCTCCACACCCCATGCCTGCAGTCGGGATGCAGTTCCGCACGTCTGGCACCGCCAGCGGACGTGCGGCGCCAGTGACCCAGTACCTGACTGGGTCTGCCGACATCAGCTCCCCTGAGGGTCGGCGGGCGATGCGTGAGGCCATGAGGCAGGAGGCGGGCTTCTGAATAAACCTACCTGGATATATCTCACGTTTACGGGGGCTGGCGCCTTCGACAACGCCACTGGCTTCAGCAGATTCCCTGGAACGAGATACAGGTCGAGCTCGCGTATGTCGAGCAGAGGTGGGATGATGTCTGGAGGTGGGTCGAGCATGTTGGGCCGGGGAGAACTTCCAGGCGTCCGGCCGGTATGGCGATTTCTCTCCAGTGGACTTCACGCAAGTGTCCGTCGTCGAAGGAGGCCCCCAATCACTCCCTTGTAGTATCCGCATGCCTGTGATGTATGCAACGTCTTTTAGCACTATTCCGAATTTACATTCCTGGTGCCACGCCCTATGGAAGATAAATTAAGCGCCAATATGTACGAAATTAACCCACTGCTCCAGCATAGCACCATCTTTCCTCATCTGCCTCGTCGCCGAATGCAACGCACGCGCAGCCCTTTTGAAGCCCATCTCATCAGGGTATCCTGCTTCGGCGAACATGCTCTCGTAGACGTTGGCAACCAAGCTCGGCCCATCGAGGTCTTGCATCGCCCACATCGTACCGATGACGCTCCTGTAACCGCAAAACTGCACGGCTGCAGCAAGCTGGAGCACCTCTTCGGACGCTGACCCTTGCGTCTGCTCTGCGGTGTGACACGCGGACAGGAAGGCAAATTCGGCGTTCGGGATGCGGCTCCCCATGATATCAGCCAAGGTGAGACGATCGTCCTCTGACAGTCGGAAGGCAGACTTGAAAGGTTCGCCAGGTGTTAAGCTGCCGTGGCAGGCGATATGGACCCACGGATGCTCCCGTAGCTCGCGCATCACCGACTCACGCTTCGCATCCCGACCTTGCAGAAACTTCGTACGCTTGAACCGGCGGTGGATAGCGCGCATGATGGCCACCTCCTTGGGGACCTGTTCCAAGTTGCCCCCAGAGTGCGCTATCACAAGTAGAGACGGCTTGTCAGGTGGATTTCGCTGGGTCGCTCGCCCGGCTGCTGCTTGCCCAACTGACGCGTACTTCCTGGCCTCCAGCAAGGCGCTGAGCGTGGGGGTGTATGATGAAACGTAAAAGTCCTGGAAATAGTATCTCTTGCGTCGTTTCGCTTCCCCTTGCTCTGAGGCGATTGTCTCTGGACCTGCAGCGTGGAGGGGTAAGGCCGAAACGGCAGAAGTCGGGCACCACCAGACCCGGGAGCCTTTATCCACCCCAAGCGAGACTAGTGCGTCCCTAACAGGACGACCAAGCAGGAGCCACACGTCCGCCAGAATTTCGCGCAGCTCTTTCTCGTATTTTTTTGGCTTTTTTCCGAGGTACGTTTGAGCCTGGCATAACCTTTCGGTCATCTCCAGAACCTTCTGATAAAAGCCGCGGTCAAGCGGTACGCGCGTTGGAGAACCACCATGGAGAAGGATGAGTGCGTCGGAATGATGTTTGCTGTGATTGACGATGATGACCGGTCCTTCTGATGTCACGTCCCTGAGCATGTCATAGGACGGTACCAGGAAGAAACGCTCCATGCCTGGTACCTTGCGGAGGGTCGATATTATGGTGTCAAGCTCTGTGACGAGCTTCCGATGTTCTTTGAAGCGCGCTCCGACGTCGTCTATTAGCATGGCAGAGCCAGGTGTTCTCGGAGAGTCATCATCTTGAGTGCTTGCATCGAACGATAAAGCGAATACCTGGAGCGCTTGGGTAACTCGTAGCAGGTCGTCGCGCAGATGAGGATCAATGGACTCGATCATATGCAGAGGTGGTCTGAGCTTGCGCAAATGAGACCAGAGAAGCGCACGGCCCTGCTCAAGCATCTCCACGGCGATAGTCAGGTCCTTGTTCTCAATAGCGCACGACGCTGCATCCGTCGCCACCGATTGCGTCTCCTTCAGGACGTAGTCATGTCGCACCTCACATATGGGATATGCAACGAATGCGCATTCGGCGAGCTGAAGAGACGTACGGTACGCCTCTAGTGCATATGGATGGGCACTAGTATACGCCGCGTCCGCCCAGAAAGTGGCGGTCTTCAGCCGATGCAGGAGGGAGAGCTGACCATCCGCAGACGTACAAACCCTGCGAAGGAGATCCATGGCCTCGCTCAAGTACTGGCCGGCATTAGCTGCGACTTCGTCAGCGGCAGTTCGGATATGGGCGATGAGGGCAATAGCAAGTAGCCTCGAGCACGGCAATCGATCAGGGTGGCCGACCCGACACTCTCCGAGTGCCTGGCGCAGGTACGAGATGCATGAGATCAGGTCTTGTTGCGTCTGTGAGATCTGGGAACGCGCATAGCTGATGGCGGCGAGGTTGTTGAGAACTTTGGTACGATCTAGATGGCCGACGGAGCAGAGGTCAAGTGCTTCAATTTGAAGAGAGATGCATCGGTCTGCGTCTGTCTTGTCCCCATTGCGCAGGAAACGTGTGTGTAAAGCGGATGAAAGGTTGATTAAGGAGGTATGACGGGTGGGGGAGCCTTGTGCACGAAGGGATAGCGCCTCTTCATGGAGATCGATACACTTTGTTAGCAGCGGGAACGGATCTGGTTCTTGTAAATGCGAAGAAAGAGCATGACAACCCAATGCGAGGTCACTCAAGTGAACGGAGCGTGTAGCGGAGTTAAAATTGGACAGTTCCAGAGCTTCTTCCTGCAATTCGATACAGCGTTTTAGATCTTCCTCGCTCCTGCCGTGGTGGTATCGTGTAAGCAGAGCGTAGGATAGGCTCCTGAGATGCGGTAGACGGCTACCAACAGCGGCAATAGGGACCAGCTTCAATGCCGTGGACGAGTGCTTGATGGATTCTTCAAGGTCTTCCATACGACCGGTCGCACGAAAGCGAGCCTCAAGCAAGATCGCGAGGTCGTTGAGGGTATGGAGTTCGTCGGGGTGTTTATGGGGACATAACGCGAGCAGCTCGCGCTGCAAGCTGACAGATTTGTCCAGATCCTCAGACCGCCCTAAACGCTGATATCGCGCACGGAGGGCGATCGACAGACACCTTGTGGACGCCCACCAAGCTGGGTCGCCTGGCTCAACGAGAGAGCGCGACTGGCTGCTATGCGTAGTGGAGCTCTCCAGGTCTTGCAGATCTCCACGAGCCTCGAATAGCTCGTACAAAGCTTTCGATAGTTTGTTCAGCGCTGATACTTGCATGGAGAGGGTGGCCGTGGAACAGAAACGCAAGATTTCACGCTGATGCGTGATGCACTCCTGCAGGTCCTCTAGATCGTGTAACGTCTGGAATCGAGTATAGAGGGCTAACGACAACTTGCTCAATGACGACAGTCTATTCCGATGGCCAGGCTGGCGGAGCGCAAGTGCATCGCGTTGCAGAGTTATGCAGTTGTTCAAGTCGTCTATGTTGCTGGTCGCTTTGAAACGGGAATACAGCGATGAGGACAGGCTACTTAGCGAGCTATCGCTGTATTGGGTAACACTTTGGTTCGAGTCATCCATGCTGCGAACCTTTTGAAGCGGACACCCAGCGCGTTTGGGCGGTAATGTCCTTGAGAACATGAATAGATAGATGATTTTACAAATTACGTCTAACTCACAAGCCACTTTGCACGTGGTTGTAGAAGGCAGCGTGGACGTCGTGTTTCGCACGCTCTAGCTCACCACGAGTGAGGATGTAAGATGAAGCTTAGACCCTACTGCACTAGCCAGGTGAGCCGTGAGCAACAAGCCGTCTGATTCCCAACTTACTCTAGAGCTGCACGATCAAAGATGAAGAGTACTGGATGCAAAAGGACGTTGGCATCAACGAAGAACTAATAGTTCAACTCTAACTTACAGGGCAAACTCCCACGATGCAAAAGGCGCCGGCACAGGACCACATCAAATTTGACAGCCTGCTCGCTCCCACCCCTCTCGATCTTCAATTACCTCTTCGCCACACACTCATATATCGGCCGCGTGTCACCCGCGGCGGCACATTTGGTCTTAGCGAGTATGCCTCTAGACGCGTCAAGTAACATTGAATAGCTTGGTGGGCCGCTCAGCAGCCCGAGGAGCATACGAGCTGTGAGCATCTGCTGGCTTGTCAGCGCCGTTGGCTGTGTGCCAGTCGTAAGCGAGGATAAGTACGATGCGGAAGGCGAATCGGGCGAGGGCGTTTGTGTTGCGGGCGACTGGAGGTGGGCGCTACAGGCGAAACCCTGTTAGCATGTATCCCGTTCTCTATCGATGAGTGAGTCGTACATCGTCTCCTGTGCGTTCGATAGCTGCGTAGAGCCGCCCTGGTATGATTTTCTCGCCGATCCTCGCTCAGATCCTCGCCTACATTTGAAGCTGTCAGCAATCCGAACGCACCAACATACACCACTACTTACAACAACCGCCTCCAGCTCGGCCGGCGCTTTCGTCTTATCTCGCTTTGGCACCGTGTGGACGGCAGCTTACACACATCGCAGTGGCTCTGGCTGCGGTAGCGAGCGCACCATCCTGCGATTTACAGACGGCTGTCTCTGCAAAATCATAGTCACATCTTCGTCAACCTCTGGTTCTAGCTGCGATGGTTCTGGCGATTCATTAGGTTCTTCCACATCCCGCGATGGAGGTTGCCCAGGCTCGACGGATGCCGAGCGCGAGCGCGAAGTAAACTGCAACGCTCGCGAGCTGGTTCTGCGCGTGCGCGACCCGGACGCATGCATTGGGACCTCCAACATGTTGGGTTCCCAGGCGACCCGAACACGCCGCCGACGTCGATGTGTTCATCGGTAAGCGGCTCGCCTGTGAAGTGTAACGTGCGTGCCGCCGCATCGAGTGTATTCCAGAAGTCCTGCTCTTGTTCATCCGGTAGTGGTGCCTGCGGCTCAACGGGTGCTCGCGCCGAGCTCTTGGATGCCTTTGAGGAGGTACGTTTGGATTTTCAAAGTAAGGCTCCTTTCTGTCCCACAAGAGTTAACAATATTATTTACAAAGGCGGAGCTGCTAGCGCACCTGTTTCTTCAGCTTGACTATTCGCGCCTGCGCCTGCGCTATCCGTCGTTCTTCCTGCAGTTCCCCAAAGCTCATGGGTGACATTCGAAGCTGATTAGTGTCTGACGCGCTGCTCTAGACTTAGTTGACGACTGAGGCCTAAATGACAGCGTCGTACCCACTTACTTGATCTTCTCGTTCAAACTGCGAATGTTTTCTCGGAGCGTTTGCAGCTGCTTAATCTTATGCTCTGCTTGCTCTTGGTATCGATACATGGGTCGGATAGACTGGCCCATGCTCTCCAGGCTCCTGCCCTTCTTCTCTCTTGGGAGGTCTTCGCAGAGGAGTCGCGATTGACAAAGCCACCCGCGTTATCTCGGCTTTAGGACCAGAAGGCGCGTCTTTCTACGCGACGTAAGACGTGCCAGATTGCGGAGGTTGAACCAGGATGAGGAGTCCGAGCTCAGAAGGGTCAATGTCGCGGATGAGGTCGCCAAGATGGGTCTGCAAGACTGCACGCGTGAAAGGGCCTCTGATGAACTTGACACGACACGACCGCACGCTCGTCTTCCCGCGGCAGCTGCATTGGTTCGTATGGCATTTGCAAAGTGTGCAAGACAATCGATATAAGGCAACGGGGAGGATAATGGTCGAAGATGGAAGTTCTAGTGAAGGGTGTACGCAGGCGCCGAATATATCTTCCTTGCTAACTTAGGACCACAACATTCAACATCAATCATAATGCCTGAAATGACCGCAAACCCCAGGGGAACCAAATTAATACCTCGTAACTTTGGTGGGGTTCAGCTCTGTTTCGTATTCTCACGTCTTCTTGAAGTAGCCGGATATCATCTGGAGCTCCACACATCCCGCTAGGATTCGTCACGCAATGCCTTACCGTAAAAATATTGCTGAGCAGGCAAGGCTCTACCTCAACAGCCAGCTCCGAACCCACTGGAAAATCTCCTCGTTGTTGCTCGCAGAGGCTCGCAATAATGGCATTGAGCCCAACCTGACTCGCAGTTCGTCTTTTTTTTTCTGGCTTTTGTTGCCCTGTGTCGTCGCATTTACGTGCTATCTGCCAGGCGGTGAATATTTACTCGCAGAGTACCATTATAATGAGGGCAGCTTGAAGACGCGGGCAGCAGTAGAGGATCTGTCCTTCTACGCGAAGTTTACGGCTCCCACCATCGACTGGATGTGCAACCATGAGGCTGTCCTTATTTTCAAAATCGAAGAGGGGCATTGTTATCAGCATCGCCCGCAGGCATCGCTCTCGGTAGTGGCAGACAAGTACGCTGGCTTAGAAGAATTGTTTTGCGGAAACAGCTGAATATTTCCACCAGCTCTGGCAGGGCTAATATGTCCCATGCTTCTGCCGCATTCCGTGTACCATATAAGGTGGTTCGTATGAAGGCTCAGCAGGACGAGGTCATCGGCTACGAGAATAGCATTATCAGCGATATGCTAGTGTTTGATTATGAGAGTAAGAGTGCTTATGCCGGCAAATTGACCACAAGCTTACTCACTACGCAGAGGCGAAGCTTACCAAACTCTCACCCGAGATGCCGCACCATAAGCAGTCCTTGGCGGAGTACTTCCGCATCTACCTTCAAGCTCTCCAGTCTGCAAACCATCATGCTCTTGTCTCCTTGCCATACTTTATCCTTGGAGACCCTAAATTTGCCATTAATTTCTCGCAAGCCGTGCGCGCGATCCCGGATACCATCGAGGTGCATCACGGTATGCAGGCTGACGAGTTCAATTACCATCTCCTTCGCCAGTTTTTCACGGCTGCTACACTGGCACGGGCTCCAAACCTCCTCTCCGATGATCACTCTCGGGCTGTCACTTCACTTGCAGAGTATCGCGGCGGATGGGCTACGAAACACCATAGAAACGTCCACTTCCGTCTGGAATTCAGTGTTCCCCATGCCACGGCTGTGTGTGACCAAGAGATAATAATGCACTTTCTCATCGGTAAGGTACTCTTCTATGGCAGCGAAGATTTCGAAGTGTAAGCGAACACACGTGCGGCCTGTGTAACTTGCTCTCACTAGTACCATAGACCGCCAAGGAAGACCTTCCACGATTGGACGGTTACCATTCTCTTCCGAGTTAAAAACATACTTGGAGCCCATGGGTGCCGCGAGATTGACATATCCAGTAGGCTCTGAATAATTATTGTTGTTGAATATGGAGCTAATTGTATTGAAGGTGGTCGTTATATGCACCAATTCTCCACTTTCAATGGTTGCGTCGATTCTGATAAAGATGACGTACAGTATATGAAGTGCATAATTGGCTTCATCAAGGAAGGGTACCCGCATGTCCTCGAGCGTGCTAAATACCACATTATCTATGACCCCGGACGGATGCGACCGCCAACCCAGCTGATCGATAACGGATCAATGTACGAGCCTGATAGCGACTGGTCGCACAAAGCATCCATCGAGGACTGCCGAACAGTATCGCAGCAAGCCATCTGGCGCGACATCTCTCAGAGCAGCAGCATGCGCGGTTTCGACCTAATTACCGCTCTTTCCCAGGTCGCCATCAACATGTATTTCCATTCCAGCTGGGCGCGGGCCCAGGCCGCCACTCACACGTCCGCCGAGACGTTGCTTCTCCAGTGGAAGCTTGAGCGGTGTTTCGAGGCTGAGTTTAAACCGCCCATAGTGCATCTATGCAGCAACCGTCAGGCAATCGTCATCCTTCACCTCAAGCGCGGCTTCTTGAAACCCCTGCGCACCTGGGCCTCTTGCACCAAGTAAATTTACAATTACACTGTGGTTCATATCAATGGTGCTGACCCGGATATTCAGCAGCGATGTGTCCGAGTTTGAAGACTGGCGAGTCGCATTCGAGGTTGAGCTGAAGATGTGCGACCACTCTGCATTGACGGATGTAGTCAGTGCCGAATGGCAAGCCGCATACAATCGGTCTCGGGTCTCTGAGCAGTACGGAACGACCGAGGTAGTCAACTTGAAGCACGTCTGCCTCGACCTCCAAAGTACGTCACCTCTGTCGCCGACACCTAAGTTTCCACTCAGATGCATTTTTCGTAGATGCAACCTTCCTGCGCGAGTTCTCACGAGACACCTCTCAGAATAAGTGCTCAAAGGACCACGCGGTAACAGCAGTTGCCTATCTCCGTGACCACTACCTCAAGCAGCTTGTCGCTGCAGGTCATCATATAATCTGCTCCGTCCCGGTCCTAAGAAAGCCGTCCGCGGAGCTCCGTCACTTGCCAACTAGTGTCGCCTTCGAGGTATCGATGCCTTGGTGGGCTGAACACGGCGAGGAAGAGCCGATTGTAGTCGTCTTGGGTATGTGCGAAGGCAGGGCTGTGCCCCGATCTCTTTCGTGGTACCCAGCACGATGGCTTGCCGGTGCGGGGGGGATTGTGTTGTATGGCATCGTAGCCATCTCCGTCTGCTCCCTCCCTGTTCTATCAGAGATCAATGCAAAGACCACCGTCGTGTTCCTCAACTCGACCAGTGAGCAGGATATATCACACCTTGAGCTCACTTGCTTGGCCGATCACCCTGAGCGGAAGGCTGTGTCCTGCCCATTCTCCTGCCATTTAAAAAGACCTGCGGGTGGTCCCATAACGTACCGCTGGGAACATCGCGATGAATGCGATATGGCGGGACCTTACTCGGTTGAATGTGGGAAGCACTTCTGTCTCTTGTTCGTGAGTTTAGGCTGACACCACTGCGTAGGTGGTACGGAGAACTACCTAGAGATCACCCCTCGGTACGAATATGGGGCGATGGAATTCAAGTTGCGCGGCTCCGCGAGCCTTGTGCTTTTTGCAAATACTTCCACTAACAAAAGTCGGCGGTATGAAGAAACATTTGCTTTTTTTTAGTAGACTAACGTTTTGCCTACTTATTGGTGCAGTTTATGGTCCAATGCTATCTGGGAAGCCTCGTTCAGACTCGAATCCGGCGATGGAAGGTTAAAAGTCATTCCGCTTGAGCAGCGGCGTACGCGATTTTCCAAGGCAGCATCAGGGAAAGTATCACCTGGCATTTCGTACGACCCGGAAAAGCTTCTTAGGGGGGTAATTCCTGAAGTAATTGACGTGTCGGATATATCAAATCGGCTCCGAGTACTCACGCAGACGTGCTACTCATGCTATCCCCCAATGACGACATACACTCTAGCGCAGCCAGCTGTCAACCACGATGGTGACCTGGTTTTTGAACTCCGCCCTTGCACAACATTGCAGCCTGGTCAGCATTCTGAGTCTTACAGACGATATGCCCTCTGCTGACATAACTCTGAAGGGAAGATAGCTATTCCTGACGCGAGTGGTGCGGAGCCATTGAATGAAGCACGTAAGTCTTGCTAAAATGAGCTATCCCGCTCAATGAGTTCATTCTAATTGTTCTCTGAACATCACGAAACCAGCAGATGACCACAGTAGTTCTTCGAATGCACTGACTGCAAAGGCCAGCTTGCAACATTTGCAAATAAGTGATGTCACCTACACACCCTTGAGCCTCGACTGGATGCAGGCTCAGGAAGCTTTTGACATTCGCCCGATGACGCCAGTTTTCGGCTCCGTAATCGACTCGGCTACATCAACCTTACCAGGCTCGTCGGCACTCAGCCCTGGAGGAATTAACGCCGACCTGGACCATCACTTCTCTCCGCGGCGAATGCTTTCATCATCCGCTCTTTGGCGAAGTGATCCAACGGGACCTCTGGGCTCTTTAGATACGGTCAATGAAGATAGTAAGTGCGATGCCAATTGTCTTCAGTACTACTATACCTACTCTCTTCTTGCAGCAGAGACACTGCCTACGCCGCACAAAAGCAGTGGTTTGGAGAGCTCAGATGTTGGAGGTAGTATCGTAGTTGACAGCTCATCCTCTTACCACGATACGGAAGATGGCTGCTCTGCAACTGGCTCATCGAGTAGCGATACACTCATGCCCTTCGGCTTGACGAATATGCGTCCAAGCATGTCGAACAACGCTACCTGATTCGGTGGGCTGGTCGGTGGGATGAGCAGTTGTGTAGTTCTGCCATGAGTGATGGCGGCTGTGGCGGACAACAGGTGCGGTGGCGCTTATATCGTGCATAGCTGAAGGCGAGTGTGACAGAGGAGGCTTCTTCTGCATGTACTTAGTATCCTAGCCTCAAATATGATGCTGCCTAGTCTAATTTTTGCAAGCAGTCTTCACAACTCACTTGCGATTGGCAGAAAGCTTCATCTCGACTCTAGGTCGGATGGGGCAGCCGACGCTGACATGAAGAAGGGCAACTCTAAGAGCCGGTATCATCTTACGCTGAGGGTAAGAGCCCCGCTATCCTAGTAATGTCTTTATAATTGGTATTACTATTGAACATGTATGGGCTCAAAGTTTGGGGTGCAGCTCGTATGCCCGAGTTCAGCCAGAGTATTCGCTGGTATTTAGAAATAGTGCAGGATCAACGCAAGAGCACAGGAAAATGCGAGATTCACAGTAGATTAGCCGAACTAACATCCACCGAGCTCGAAAGGCCAGAATCTCAGCAACCTGAGTTGTAATTTGAAGCTAAGTTCAAGTTGACAGTTACAGTAGTACTAGAGCCGTTCAACCACGTCATGTGCCGTTGAGGCTATTGAGCCTCTCATATACAGACGGCGATACAGAAACATATCAAAGTAGTGATATTCCCGCGACTTTCGAGGACACACAACGGAAAACTAGCGGGGACATCGTGAAAGCTTCAGGACAAAGAGCTATGACGCGGCATGTGCTGGCGCCGATGAAGTCAAAAATGGAAAGGGCGCGTCAGATGGCGGCTGCTGTGATCTCGGCGCCTCCACTGCTACCAGGACTTCCGCCAAGCATGCGTAATGTCTTCGCTTCGTTCTCTGCGCGACCATTCCCACACCTGAAAGCAGCCCAACATAGATGGAAGGAGTGAATTTACATTTTGATTAATAACTTACGGAACCAGTCCAGGGTCCGTATCACTCGCAGCTCTGGCAAGACTCATACATTCGCGCCGGCACAAGCTTGGCCTCTGCTCACGGGTCATGCATGCGACATTGGATGTTCTGCGTGGACTTAACCCAGGATGAAAGGCAAGACGACAAATCAACTGACTTTGTCTGGCCCGACCTCACTCTGGACACTGGTGGCTGCTGTCAACATCACCGCATGTTCGTCGCTCGCAATGACCAGATTTACCTCTCTGGACTTTGGAAGGACGGCTCATTGGATAGAGCCGTGGCATCGACCCGCAACCCCACTTCATTCATGGCTCTCACGGTGGCAATGCTAGGGGAAGGTTGATCGGCTCGACCCCCCCGCGCTCATCTTAGCTCTCACAGGCGCGTTGCCCAATCAGCTTCTGTAGTCTCTGAGTACGACATGCTGTACAGAGAGAGTGTGGTCCTGTATGCTCAAAATACTTACATTCCCATTTACCACCCCTGTTTTTTGCCCTTAGGCCGGTGTCCCCCGGGGCATTGTAGCACAGCTTCAAGGTCTGGGCCTTGCGAGTGGCACCCAGCGGTAGCCAATGTTGTTTCTAAGTCCAACCACCTGTAGCCACGCTCTTTCAGCCCGCGACGAGGATCAAGTCGTCGATCCGGGCGAACATCGCTGGTACGTGCCATATCGAGCTCTGGCTGACGACCCGAATTTATTCAAGCTTTGCAGGTAGGTCCGAAGTCTGGCCGCGTACCGCTGCTTGGCGCACCTCCACAACCACCGAGAGCGAACGCGTCGGCCGTCGCAAGTCGGGGCTGCGAGGCACGTTCCGTCTCTGTGCGATAGTGAGCTAATTGCGCGGTGCGGAGGCAGCGAGGCTAATGCGCGGAGGTAAATGTGAGCATGACCGCGGTCTGGTTGACGTCACGATCGGAAGTGAGCCGGCGGTATCTCGAGATTCATCGGCGGACGGAGGCATCTGCAGGTCCCTCAGTGCGTCGACTTTGTGCGCGGTCGACGTTCGCGACGCTCGCCCATGCACTGTGTAACTCCTGCAGATAATCGGATAGAAGGAAGGACATCCTTGCCTTGAGCTGTTCACGCGCGATGCATGAGGCCAACGCCCCGGACCGGCCAATATAGACGATGCATTTGGGTTAGATAAGATTAGATCAGGCGGCCTGCCTGCAGGAATGTTGTTGCGGAAACTAAGCAATAAATTAGCGAAATAGCATGGCACTGTTCATAGGTCGTCGTGAGGAATGGCATTTGCATCGAATCGCGTGAAGAGGTTGCAGAAAATCAAGAAAGATGAGATAAAGAAAATATTTGATGTCCGAGGTGGTCAGAACTTGCTGAATTGGGACAGGACGTGGGCCACCTGAGTGCACGCTTAATGGGACTTTGACAGCCTCTCGTGGCCTTTCACCTCTCCCACATCCATCACCTTCAGACTACCTCCCGCTCGCCGCCCCCGACGCTTTGCGTATTGTCTTGCACGTCCCGCGGACCCTGCAGCACACGAGCGCGTTAGTCGGACACCCCGAGCCCGGACGTAAGTGGGTCGGCAGCAACTCCCCCGATGAGACTTGGAACTAACCCCCGATTCTCCGCATAAAGAGTACCTCTTGCACACTAGGAGCACCGCGCGGAAGAACAGCCCAGAGTATACAGCACGCTTCCAGACATCTACTTTCCCTCCCTGCCACGGGGGGCCACACCAAACCACACAGCCTAGCCACATAGACACCGACGCACACAATCACAACACAGCGATGGCCCTCGTGGAATTTATTCGCTTTCCGTCCAGTTCACATTCCCAGATAGAAATGAGCGAATCTCGTGGCGAACACTGGGTGCGCCGTTCACCCCGCAAGCACGTCGGCTTTGTTGATTCCTCCGAGCCCCGACCTCTTCCCGACATTCTCAGCTCAGATTACAAGAAATACATACAGCCCCGTCGCGTCGAAATCGTCCCTGGTCTTCAGAACGATGGCAAGATCACCATCAGGCACCCCTTCGTCGAACTCTACATCGCGAGGATGCCTACCATTTCTCCCGCAGAGGGTCGCAGGCCCCCGATTGAGGCGTGGTGGAAGAAAGGGATCAAAGAGAAGACCGTGAGCGAGGTCCTAGATGTGGGAGCAAAGTTGGACGAATACCAGAGCGATTGTGTTTTCGCTCTTGCGGCACTGAAGGTCCTCCACCATCCCAAGCATCCTAAACATTTCGCATTCTGGGGAAGGGATCCCGCGCAGAAGACCGCAGAGCGTGTTCAGAAGGTCATCGGTGAGTGCTTCAGGCTGTTTTCCCTTTCTTGTAGCCTAATATATGCCAGATCTGTCGCCGTGCCCAATCGAGTCCCCAGTCGGCTGGCTAGGCATCCAAGAGAACCTTTGGCTTGTTGACGGCCTACAAGCATCTCTTTTCCCAACAAAGAAAGAGGGCAAGAAGGTCGACAACGGTATGCTCCTTCGGAAGCGCAAGGCTCAGGCCAACGCCGCAGCTATCTCCCAGGCGCAGGCTGGCGCCACAGGCGAGCTGGAAGAACGCCCTAGGAAACGGACGAGGACAGCGAAGGCGAACGAGAAGGAGAATGCTGAACAAGCTGAGGTCCCGACTGCTCCCATGCCACAACCTGACATCATCGAGGCGCCTGATGCCCCTGCAGAGAACATCCACGCAGACAAGGTCACGAAACTTGAGCTCATAGGTGCTGAGCTGCCTCCAGCTAGCACTCTAGAGGTCGAATCTGCGACTAATCGTTCCGCTGGTCACCAGATGGCTGCGCCGTCGCCCGAACCGACACGTCGCTCCACTCGACAGGCAAACAAGAAGAACCCTACTCCTTCCGCCGCCTCGACTCCCATGACAGAGATCGGGTCTCTTCCTGACACCCTTTCGCCTATATCTTCGGCTCCTGCTTCAGTGGATGAGCCACGTCCTCCCCTCAAGCGCGCCCGGTCGTCCTCCAGCTCGTCGGGCTCGAGTACGGCGGTTAGTGACACCGGTTCCGGCGGCGATACCGCCGTCGAGCCAGATTCTGGTGAGGGCATCAACAAGGGAAAGGGAAAGGGCAAGGCTAAGCAGGAGGAGGACGTTGACGCTGTCGACAGCGAGAAGGCCCCCGTTCGTTCGAGTGGACGCGTGCGCAAGCCCGCCAAGAAGGCCCTGCACGTCGAAGAGGAACCCTTGTTACCGAAGAAAGCCGCTGCCATACCGACTGAGACCAAGAAGACGAGGACAAAGCGGTCGTGACGACCACAGACGACCTAACGATTCATCTCGTCCGGTACCCAAGCATTGACATACCTGCATCTTGCATATCCGGGTCCACACTCATCCTCTAATCACCCGCACACCACCCACTCTATAGACGGCTCATTCACTTGGCCACACCCGTATATAACGGGATCTTATATCTGGTCTGGTCTCTTGCATACGTGTATCGAACACTCATCACATACCACTCGCATTGTATCGTGCGGTCCCACATCTCCCCCATGTATCGTCCCCATCGCATCCATCCGACCATCTACGCGTCCTGTCTCGTCTCCGGTCACCATTTCTCCTCCTATTTCTCTTTGCCACATACGCGCATTCGTCGGCTACCCGGTCTCGTTCCCAGTCCTCTCCTTCTCGTTTCCTGTATTAAGATGTAACACTAATTCTGGTAGTGCACTGCGTGCGCGCATGGGTACTTATCCTCTATCGTATCGGCCTTTCTCCTTCGTCCACTTCGTCCCCTACCCGTACCTACCCACTGTCTCCTGTTTCATCGTCTCTGCCTGGATCCCCGCCTAATCTCCATCTCATCCCAATGTGGCTCGTGCCCGATTTCGTCATTTTCCTTCATCTCCTCGTCCCATCCTTTGCATATCTATTTCGCGTTTCACGTGTCTGGGCTCGTAATACATCTCATTCTCCTCGACAAATGAATGGACGGCTCGTGGTCTTAAGGTTGTTGGGATTCGGAGGCCACGACGGCCGTTCCGAGATCTCTTCATGCAACGTGTCACTCAAGACTCTCGCGAGCAAACGCTTCGGCACAATCTCTGGGCATACGTCGGGCTCTTCCCGCCAACGTGTTCCGCGAATACTCCTGTGTCTTCAACAAAGATGTATGGCCGCGTACTAATACAGCTGTAATGGCAGATGAAGTATAATGCAAGAACGATAAACCAAATCGCAGACTCTAAGCATACTGTAGTTCCAAGTCGGACGACCTTTCTCTCAATCTGTCTACAGCTTCCCGCTGAGCTCGCGCTCAATCTGGACGAGGTCCCTGACGTGCTGATGCTCCCAGAGCGCCTGGGCAGCCTCAGACTTGATGGGCGGCAGCGGCTTGCGCGGGAGGCCGCCGTAACCGTACAGCTTCTCGAGCAGGAACTTGGTGCCGGAGATGGACGCCTTGGCGATGGTGAAGTCGCCCCTGGCGACGATGCCCTGGAGCCGCTGAGCCTCAGCGAGCACGGCGCGGTCGGACAGCGCCGCGGCGGAGAGCTCGAACAGGCGTGCGCAGGTGTACTGTAGAAACGCGAGGTCAGCGAGGTCTGAGACGCGGGGGATAGATGGATGGAAAGGCGTACCGGCGCGACGTTGGCAAGGCCGATGATGGCGCCGTGCCCGTTGGCGAAGGCCGACGGGACGATGAAGTCTGCGAAACCTCCGAGGACGAGGAAGGGCGCGTTCGGGTTCTTCCGAGGGTACAGGTCCACGAAACTCTGCTCCGAGACAGTCGCACAGATCCTCGTAAGCTTGCCTACGTTTCCGCACCTGCCGCCAGCGGGAGAACGTCAGCAATTGGCCATGCAACACGCCGCAGAATGGGGTGCGTACGTGAGTTTTACACCGCAGAGGTTTGGGCATTGTTCAGCAAGCTCAGTGATCAGGTCAGAGTCGAGATCAATGCCACCACTAGCCCCGGGATCTGCTCGGCATGTCAGAGATCTGCTCGGAAAGCAGCGGAAACGACAGGCGTACAGTTGTAGACGATCACGGGGAGCGAACTCTTCTCCGCCACCTCGACGAAGTAAGCCTTCAGAGCGTCCCTTGTGAGCGCACCAGCAAAGTATCCACTCGTAATGACGATAACGTAGTCAGCGCCTGCCGCCGCGGCCTCGTGACAGAGCTCGATCGTTTCGCGCGTACTCCCGGTCCCGGTCCCCGCAATGACAGGCACGTCAGGCAGGCCTGCATCGTCGAGAGCCTTACGCGCCGTCTTGATAAGGACCGCTCGCTCGGAGTGTGTGAGGTGAATGCCCTCGCCCATTGAGCCTGCAATAAGCGGGCGGACGTTAGCCTTCGCGAGTCGCACGACATGCGCGGCAAAGGATTCGAGGTCTAAGAGATATGAAGTCAGGGCTACTCGTGCAATTTGAGCTAGAGCATGTTTGACGCACCGAGATCCTCTGTATCTGGCACGAAGAAGGTGGGTATCGGTGCGTAGATACCAGGTTTGAGAACCCGAGAACCGGCAACGCCGTTCACCCCGTTGGTGTGTCCTGCCATGTCTGTCGAACCTCGCTGGCTAGTGGTAATCGTCGAGGGGTGGTGAAGCTAGCCAGATTTCCCCATCCCGGGCCAGGTGGCCCGCTTTAAGAGTGCACTCGATCCTCGAAACGGACCGCCTTCGGACAGTGTTGCCGGACTGCAGGAGGCCATCACGTGCCGGGTGCGCCGTCTCCCGCCGCTGCCGGTCCGAGAAGGGGACGCCCGGAACGGGGAGCGCGGACGCTTGGTGCCCATACACTTAGCCGACAGAATGCATTCGCTGTACAGGGACACTGGCGGGCGGGTGCAGACGGTGCGGAGTCGTGTGCATGAGAAGCAGGGCTCGGACCCGGCAAAGCGCATGTCCGAGTCGAGGAAGCGTTGGCGAAGCTTCCTCACACCTGCCTGGGGGTCAGAACGATGCAGAGTCGTGACCATAGAGTGAGCACTCGTGGCCCGGCCGCGCTTCGCAGCGGCGTACAAATTGGTCGAGAGTTTCGCATCGAGACGTCGAAGGGAGCAGCTGCTATGGCGGTCGCCGGACGAAGACGTGATGACGAATGGCAGTCCTGGTCACGAACATATCAAAGAAGTTTGCTGTGATGCCAGAAGCTTGCAGAGCCAAGCGAGAGGATAGCGTCCTGAGTATGAGTACGAGCTTGAAGTTTGACCCTGACGAGGATAGTGAACATGTGGCCTGAGGTTCCGGAAGAAACCAGTCTTGAGCGTTCATGCGTATTCAAGCGAGACACTCGCCTGACCCAAGCCGTGTACATCTTTCCCCACGCCGCCACAAAGCTGGCTGCTGAAGGAGCTGACAGCACCCGCCGTCGTGGACGGTAGCTGCAAGTCTGGGTGGGAAAGCAAGGTTGGGAAATGCAACGTCACTCAGAAATTGGTCTGATGCGCCTCCTTCCTTTTCTAGGCTTCGGCGCCCTTCGTCCTGCACACCAGCAAGCCCAGACAAACCCGACCAGGATCGCCTATCTATACCCATGGTTCGAAATCCGTGACTTACCCGTCTTTTGCCTATGTTATGCCTTGCTCGTCTTTTGCCTGCACTTACCGCTTAATTTATTGGCGATCTGGACCTGAGGACATCTTTCTACGATCCCCGCACGAGCCATGCAACTGCGATATACGAATGCTCGGTATGTTTACGATGTGCTTACTCTCTGGCTAACGTGAACTTAAACTACACATTCTTTTAGTAACAGATTAACTGCTGACCTGCGGGGTCTGCGAGCCCTGTTGCGCAGCCAGGTCGGTTCCTGCGATGAGATACCAGAATAGAAGCGGCGCAAGCTCTCTAACATCAGATGAGGAGAAAGATGTACTGGTAACCCTGAGCAAACGCTATGTCACAGAGGACTATAACATCGTACGTAGGTCTCGTGTTACGTCAGTCGTTCACTTTCAAGACTGAGATGACAGAGACAGGCCGTCGGCGAAGACGTTACGCATTAGATCATCAAGATGTGTACGTGAACACCTACAAACCGTCCACATTCTCGCACATCCCTTATCCTCGTGCATACAAAGGCCCTTGTCAGCCGCCGAATGGCATTCACCATTTGCAACTTCGATCTAGGCGTGTCCTCATCCGAAGATACCTATGTCACATCACACATGAGCCGCCCTTCCGTATTGCTCAACCGGCGTGATATCACTATGAGTGGCGGGCGGTTTGTATCACAGCTGCCCGTTTCAGTTAGTGATCTCCACTCGATTGGTTCGGCGAGTGTTGCAAGTAGCACGAGGAGAGTTTTCTAATCTAGATATTTGTCTCCAAACATGTCTAGCTTGCCAAGGGGCTTATCATCATCAACTGCGGAGGGGGGGTGGCACAGCAGCGGGCCTGCGCTTCGATCCGTCAGCGGGCGATCCAGAACCCCGGGCGCCCCGACATACTCTTTCCTCGCAACGTGGTTGGTGAGTTCCATTGTCTCCGTGATTTCCCACCGTCATATCACCGCCAGTGTATCGTTAGCCATTCACGTACCGTAACTTCGAGTCTGACATGCCTCATTTGGAGTGGCGGGCTCGCTGCCCTCTTTATATATCGTCAACCTGCGACCACATCGAGGCCACAATTCGTCTCTGCCAGAATTTTTCGAACTTGGACCCCGCCGAAAGCATCCCATACCCAACAACTTTTGTTTCCTTGAGAGCTATCCACGGCACAATGTCTAACGATAACTTGCTAAGGCCAGAAGTCCCTCGCCGTTCCCGCTCCAACGAAGGCCCAGCTCGACAGGCCACCAACGCCAATAACGACCTTAGTCTGCCGCCACCGCGCCCGGACGTCCCATCATTGCCTCCACGATCTCTTCGCCCCTCCTACCGGACCCTACACGTCCTCGCGGGCCCGCACTGCGACGAACCTAGTACGCCTTCGTGCCCCGTCAACGCCGAATCACCTCCGGCAGCGGCACCAGTATCGCAGAAGAAAGGCCACAGCGCACCGCTGAACGCGTTCATGTTCTGGAAAAGACATCTTTTGGACCTGGTGCCGAAGTACCTACCCCAGGCTCGGCTTTCACAAATGGCGGGCCACATCTGGAGGCAGTTCTCACAAGAGGAGAAAACGCTATGGAAGCAACGCGTGGCCACGGCGCGACAGAGGTGTCTGGAGGAGACTGGACGCCCAATCGAAGGCCACGCGAAAGAGTACCTTGTGGAGGGTCTCGAGCCAGAGGAGATTGCCCCGAACCTCGACGACGCTCTCCACAGATTCATCGACGCCATTTGCCCTGTGGAGCTTGGTCCCACTGTGCCTGAAGGTCCCTCCGACGAGGTCAAGGAAAAGAAGAGGCGGAGGAGGTCAGAGCCGAGCGAGATGGCGAAGAAGGCAAAGAAGGCAAAGAAGACAGAGCGGCCGGACAGTGCGAAGACGACTAGCGTGTCGTCTCGAGCCAGGAATAACCGTCGCAAGCTTCCACTTACGCTGAATTTGGCTTCCCGTCGTTCCGTTGACCCTTCCTTGATGGTCTCTTCGCCGTGGCGTGCTGCTACCACCAGTATCGAAAACGACACTTTCGACATAGCCGCCCTCGAGCGTCTGTTGCTCGCCCGCCCACTCGAGGATTCTATCCCGCGCGATGGGCACTTTCCGGCAGACGACTATGACTTCTCCATGGAGCGCCTCTACCAGCCCCCTTCTGGGTTAGACGTCAGCCGAGGCCGCGACCCGATGTATGCGCCTCAGGTGCCTTACGGCGCCGAGGTCCCTTCTCTGTATAGTCTCCCTAAATGGCATCCGGCGTCGCTGATGCCGTTCGGGCTGCCCACATATCCCGCGACTCAGGCCGATTTTACGATCGATGACGTCGGCTTCGAGGTCCCTCAAGGCGGCCACACTTCGCCTGGCTTCGAATTCCCGTTTGACTTCGCCCCCGACGTCTGGAACGCACCCCCGACCGGCGGTCATCTCCCCCAGGCCACTGACCCGTCCACCATGCACGGCTTTCACCAGGCAACCCTTGCGTCGCCGGCTGGGGACGTGCTGCATTTGCCGTCGCCGGCCGCTGCAGGCCCATCCACCTCAAACTACGACTCCCTCGCAGCCCAGTCTCGTCTTCCCGAGTGGCACATGCGATGTGGAGTCCTTCCCGACTCCTCAGGTGTCTCCGAGATGGAGCAGATCGTCGAAGTCGGGGCACTGGCAAATGTTGGCGAACAATATTTGGCCCCGACGTCGTACGTTCCTGCATGTTACACCATGCACATGACGTAAAATTATATTTTTTCCTCGCCGTGACAATGCGTACCTCAAGAACGCGTGTCATACATTGCAAGTTAGTTTCAGGCTGACCAAGCTAATGCCTTGTGCCGAGTTTATTTATCTATTGTACTCAATGTGGAAACTAGTTAGTCGTCTGTACGCTTCGCTCCGTTCTTAATGTCAGCACGATATTTAACCCCATTTGGCAATCGTTGTGATCTATTGTATTTATAAGATGTGTGATACGACCCGACCTACCAGCCACCCTTTCGCACCCCAACCTTCCCCCGCAGTATCCTCTCGAGACGATGGAAAACTCGTCGCACTGTTTCAGTACAACATGGCTCCAGGAATTTCATGTCACAGTGCATGGACCTATGTGCTAAAGCATGAAATGTACAGAAGCACAATCCACGACATGAAATTTCGTATGCGCCCCGCGGTGACGACGCGTACGTTGAGACCAGGCAAGCCAAGCCGACGTCTTGTGCTAAGTCAAGGGAAGAACATATTTTCCACATTGAGTACAAGGCGGCCTTGTACTCGCTGTGGAAAATATGTCCTTTCTTATACACAATCTGAATTTTTTATTGTCTTCGTTCCGTTTTTAATGTCGGCATCATACTCACCCTCATTTGGCAATTTTTGAAATCTGACATATATCTAAGATGTTCTCGTGATACGAACACGACCTGCCAGCCTCCGTTCTGCCAGCGTAGTCTACTTTTCTGTAGATCCTCTGACTATCTTCCTGAAGAGACGAGATTCACTGAATCGTTTCGGTAAACTATTCACCGCTTCAGGCATTTCACGTCATAGTACATATTGCTGATGCACTAGGGCATGAAATGCGCAGAATCGCAACCTGAATGCCGTCCATGGGTCGAGCCAACGAGCTCGTGGCTGATGCAGCATCAATTTTTCTTTTTCTGTTCCTCTCTTTTCTTGCAATTCTAACCAGGCTACATGTCATGTCTTTTGCCTTCAACTTTTACGATGCCCTTGCTAACTTCCCATAGTCAGACTCCAGTACGCTGCGAGATTAATATTGTCTTGTAGAGATGTCTGCATCCACATCAACAGACAAGATCCCACTCGATAACCTGAACGGCACACGATAGCGTTGAACTCGAGTACCAGGGCTCTGCGCCCTTGAGCGCAGTCAGTATTAACTGTACTTCCAATTATCACAGTGACTCGTCGCGTGCTTCTCCTGCCTCGTGTCCGCTCGCGTCAATTCCGTACCAGTTCTAGATCTCTGCAGGCTAAGTTACTGGCAGCTGTAGCTGTGCTCACCTCAACATCTTCTTATCTACACGCGGAAGTTTTTGTTGGTGTATTTGCATACACACACGGAGCTTCTGTTGAGTGTGGATCCAACTCGACAATCTCCTTCCGCCCCCCGAATGCCTTTGTCACCTTTCTGACGCGGTGTTAAGCACGGTGATTTTCACAATATCACGAGGGCCGTCTCAGGCATTTCATGTCATATTGTGCCTATGATCACGCTGTGATATAGTATGTACAAAAGTGCACTCTGCAGACAGTCTAGGGTTCGATACTACCTGCATTGTTGCCTGAACTTCGCCTCTGCTAAGTTGTGGCTGACATGCAGCTCTCTTGCATTGCTATTCAAGTTGACGTCGAGTCGGCAGAGCATTCGGCTTCTCTCTCTCTGGGAGTTACCTTCCAGTTCCTCTGGCCCATAGCCGTCCTGAACTTGTGATGGGTAGCGGACTAACAGATGTCGTGGTCACGATGGCGATCAGCATCATTTGATGTGTCTTTCCTGCCTGGGCTCCTTCGCGAGCGGGCGCTAATGTGCAGCTCGTGCCTTCAGCTTTCACGAAGTCCTCGTCGTTTCAGAAATGTCATGCTCAGGATATTGCGGGACTGCAGCTGTTACAAAGCTACTAGCTTCCTCTGCAGAGGGGAAACTTGGCAGCTCGAAAGGCACATAACGGGGTTGCCAGTCGAACGAAGTTCAAGTTTAAACTCAAGTAATGGAGCCCCAATGCTCAGGCAAAATTCCTTCCAACCGCCTAACACAAGTCTTACACCTCTTCCTTTTTTCTGTGTCTACGCTGATTCTATGTTAGCTAGATGTTCGTGGACCCACTGGCTTCCGTGAATTGCGCCGCTTGTTGCGAAACCCCGGGTCTCATGAATCTTAATGGTCATATGGCTGTCCAGGTGTCCTGCATTCACGAGGCAGCTATCGTAACCTATATTGCACCATGCACTTCCATAATATAAATATGATGGACCATTGTTGTATACTTGACACAGTCCACCTGTAGGAAACTCATCGGTGGACATAATAACGATGGCTGTACATGGGTGACGTCGCCGGTCATCCTGTGAGCCCCCTTATCATGAACTTGAGGTGCGTTCTTGTGGCTCATGCCGTAGGAGAAATGTCATGATTGATGTTCTTGCCAGACAACTTGAAGCTCAGTCACGGGCAATAGACTCATCAGCGCTCGTGTAGCCAACGCTCGCTTTTAGGTACAACTCCATTTACTCGTAGGTGAGTGCGCGATGTTCGTACGCTGTATATGGTGTTCGTACCACCCGAAGACTTCGTCGATGTGTTCTGCAGTGGCATTACGTCCAGAGCGCTAAGTGGTACATCTAAAACTGATGCAATATTGACCGTCTCCCTGGAGCATTGCTGACGCTTTGTAGGAATAGCTTTATCCTTTATTGGATGCCTTCCCTCAACGAAATCTGCGTTCGCAGTTACAGATCGGAGGCAATTTGTTGGCGTCCGGCGCAGCATTGGGCAACCAGTCTCGTAGGCGATCGCTACAGACGCCCCGTTGACAGCAGCCATCAAGCAGAAGACGGCAGCTATTGACAAGGGGCGCTTCAGAGACGCCGAAGGAGCACGGTGGTTGGTGAAGGCGCACCAAAGAGGTCTGTAGAGGTCAGATCTCGTCTGGAAGGAGCCTTTTCCAGAGTCAATGCGTCCTCTGCGCCGACACCATAGCTCCGACGAACGTGCCGACAAGGCTCCAACAAGGTTTATACCAAAATCTGGTCTACAAACCACTTCAAGTTGCTGCGGGAAGGCACCCGCTCTGAAGCTAGCAGGGTATAAAAGGAGCTGCATTTTAGCCTCTTTTCATCAAGTGCCCCACACTTGCTTCGCACCTCAATCCACTAAATCAGTCATCATGAAATCATTTGCCTACGCTGCTTCACTCGTCTCCGCTGCAGTCTTCACTTCTGCAGCGGCTGTCGACACCGTAAAGGTGCTTGACGGTGAGGTGACACTTCCTTTGTACCCTTACTCTGTCTGACGCAAACGCTGCAGCACGCGTTCCTGACATGGAACGAGCTATTGCTTCCAGGAATATTGATGGCAAACTGTACGCAGTTTGCAACGTCGAATCTTTCCACACACTGATTTTTCTCGTTTTCTCTTAATGCGTGTCGCTACTACCATCAAAACCCCTAGCTGTAAGTTGTCCTTTCGACCTGCGCCTACATTTATGACGCTCACTTGTGCCCTAGTTTGCAAGCCTGGCACCATGGTCCTTGTCGAGAGCATTGAAGTCAATGGTATTCCCTTCACGCAGCAGACTTGTGAGTCCAATGTGGTTACAAGTGCCACTTCCGAGGTTAGAGACGAGGGCACTGCATCCCTCACAAAGAGGAACCTCGACTTGCGTGGTGCGCCGTGCACTACTTACTGCAACGAAGGCATCGGAGGCCCCAACCCAAATGGTCAGCAACCACATAAGTTCCTCTGGTGCCATATACTGACTTTTCCCTTTGCATTCGGCAGATTGCTCAGTCCTCGCGAGGTACAGTACTATTCATCGTCTCTAAAAAAAACAGTTCAGCTGACGACCATGAAGCCAATGGCAAAACGACGGGTCCTTCACCATCGGCTCCGGCTACACAGTATGGTAGACCTACGATAGCTGCTAGGCGTGTAGGGTTGACACCTCAGACCAAGACCTCTATTACTGCTACGACTCGAGTGACTGTAAGCGGCTTCCTCTGATTGAAAGCGCCCCGCCACTCACTGATAGCGACTTCCAGGGGCCGGCGTTGTGAACTATCTCGCTTGGAACTGTCAAGCAAGCTCCCCGGGCGGCAGCTACAATGGGGGCAGCTGCCGCTTCTACGACAACGCTGGAATTGGTAGGTCTAATCCGACGGCACGCGTCTCGCGGTCACTGATAGGCTGTCTAGGCTGGGTCCAAGTTCAGACCTCTTGGGTCTGCTCAACGGAAGTGATGTTTTCATCTGAAAAGAGTACTGTACGAGTTTGAATGGGAGCAACCAACCCCGGGGTGTGACATCCAAGCCAGCATCTGCGCGAGCAACGGCGGGCGCCAAATTGCCAAAAACAGTAATTTTGGGGATTTTTCGTTGGATTTATCTCGATTTTGGCCCAGATTTGGTGCAAAGTTCCGTGACAAGACCCAAAAATTACAATCCTGGAGAGGCTTGTGACGCGTGACGTTGCTCCCATTCAAACTCGTACAGTATAACTGGCGACTGAGTATTTCTTGTTGAAGTTGCGAAAGTTATTGTACTATAGCTTCTGCCGGGGGAATTCTGTGCAGCTTCGCTCGATGTGATGTGTGCTATATGACGCCCGTTTGTACCGTCGGCGACGAAAATATATGCGAGCTTTTACCCGATGACGGCCACCCCACTCTACGTGGTGAACGAATGGGTGTCGAAAATCGAGGACGGAACTTTGTGGCGTCGGAGGATGCCGGAAAGACTTCAGAGTACCCACTTTAGGCGCCAAATCAATTTGTAACAGTCACCTCACTTACGCCGCTGAGTTCCCGCCAGGCTCTGTCCATACTTGCTGACAAAGACGGACTACGTGTTGATTTGCGCATCGAATCCGAACTCTTCTGGCAGCTGGCGGCCTTGAGCTTGAACGGTCGCACCGAACTCTGACTTCTCCTGTCTGCCGCGACGGACCGCATCTCGGAAAGGGGTACACATCCTGTGAGCCCTCTGATGAAGATTATTGATGTATATGTACCATTACAAGATGCTGGTTTGAAGTCTTTATCTTACAGAGGACGACAGCAATCGCCGGTAGAGCTCTCCATGGGCTGGTGTTTATCTTAGGCCGCTTACCGCACACAATACTCGTGTGCCACCGGCCTACGCCTTATAATCGGAGCCTACATTCCGTAAGCAGAAGCCCATTCTGACAGTGATTGTCAGGGATGAATATGTTATTCTCGCCATGTAGCCCCTATTGGAAGCTTATTCGACGTCGCTTAGGTCAATGCTTTGGTTCTGATGTCCGCCGCCCGATGCAATGCCGTGTGGCCCTACTTACGATCGATTCCTCGACCCTGGGCCGTGGTAACCGTTCCTTGTGGAACATAAGGCGAAGGTGCCTAATTAGCAAAAATGTCCTTTGGTCTCTAGGCGCCATGGCGCTGACATGCCACTTACGCGAGGGCAGTGTCTTTTGCTTCTCGGCACCGGTATCGTCATGCCGCCCCCTCTACAACGGGCCACGATAAAAAAGAGTGTAATGCGTATGTATATAAGATGGCTCTGTGGGTCCACCTCTCGCTCAACTTACTGTCCCAGTCCCACGTATCCCTTCTCTCCTGCCATGTCTTTTCTCAACGAAGTCCCCGCCTCCGTGTCGACGCAGTACATCGCTACTTTTCCTCCGTACCCGCCACTGCCGTACGTGGACTCCGCCCTCCAGGACGTACAACACGCGAAGTATGACCAGCGCGACATCGGGTCCGGGATTCAATCTCAGCAATTAGATTGCTCCAAGCTTTTCGACGATACGGTCGGCTTCTTCGACTTTATCGTACGTACATCTTACATACCCCTTGCGTGCCGTACTTACCACAGTAAATCAGACATCACTGAGCCCCTCCCAAGCGAGCAATGCCGGCTCGGGCAGTCCCCAGACCAATTGCTCCCTCGCTGCTCATCATTCAACCGCCAGCCACGCCACTTCTTCCTCAGGCACTGAACGTTCCGAGGCAACACCCCAAAGAAGTTCTGCTCGCCAAGCTCATCTCCAGGATGACAGGGGTTCTGTTGGTGCCGCACGGTCTATGAAACCCAAACGTTCCAGGAAGCACGTCCCTTACGAGGCTGCTGTCAAGCGCAAAGGCATCGTTGCGGCAGAGGGAGTCGAGCCAGGGCCATCGGAGAAGAGGCCGTCGAATGCATACTTTGTCTTCTTGCGCGACTACCGCCCAGCTCTCGCGGATCCTGGCAGCTTCGCGCTCTCGAATAACCTGCTGCTCCGTATCATGGGCAAGATGTGGTATCTTATCTCTCCTGAGAAGCGGGATTACTACGACAGGCTCTCTCGTGCCGAACAGAACCCCGCGCCCGAAGATTCTGTCGCCTACAAGTTCCACCACGGCACCGCGGCTTTCAAGGTTGTCTCCGTTCCCCTCGTCCTCGAAGCGATGCGCATCCTCATACGCTGCTGCGTCGACCGCGTTTTCGACCCGAATCTGACCGCCACTCGTGTGTCCCGCAAGAGGTTCACAAAGGAGTCCGCGGAGAACGCGCTGCACTTTGCGGAAGAGCGCGAGGAGCTGTGGAAGAGCTGGAAAGAGTGGTTGGGCGAGCCAGTCGCCGCGCTCCCTCCTCTATTCTCACCCGAGGACGCATTCTGCACCGCGCAAGATCTGAGGCCGTTTGGCTTGGTCGTTGGGTCACAGCTGCCGCTTGCTTCGCCATCCGCGGTGCTACCTGCAATGTCGTCTACTCAGTCGACCATCCGGCTCCCCGTCATGCCGACTATGCCAAACTTTGCCGCCCCTGCCTTTGCGACGCCGGACAATTCTTTGCTTTCTTACTCTCACACTGTTCCTCCTGTATCCCCCAACATCATGGCTCTGTTAGCTGGTTATTCTACGCCAGTTATCTGGTGATGTTTCTCTGCTCTGCACATTGGAAATTGGCTCATTCATCATCGATTCGAACTTTTAAAACACCACAATTCATACCTTTTCAGTGACTAAACAGATCTCTCTATACAAATTTTATTATTATTTGGAAATTACTTAATACATCACATTTGTGTCAGAGTAGAGCACCTGCCTGCTGCTTGCACGATGGGGCCGGGAGCTGAGGCAGTGAGATATATACATGGCAGACGGTGTGCTCATCTAAAGTCCGCGGAGGCCGTCGCCTTCGTGGCGTCGGGCGTCAGGTTCTGGCGCTTGTAGAGCGTACCCTATTCCGAAGGGTTTCATCACGACTGCGACAATCATGCCCTTGCAGACTTGGAGAGATACTGTATCATTCCGGCTGAGCCTGCTACAGTTCCCATCAAAGTTGAATCTATATAGGTCGCAATTCAAGCCGGGCTAATCAAATACCAGGGTCGTATGCACGGGCCCGTGGTGATGCGCCCACGAGTGCCGAAGAGAGCCGCGTCCCTGCCCTGTCATCTAATGTTATGGACAGCATAGCATGCACTGGACTTAGTTGCTTTATGCAATCTCGAAAAATGGACGATCTACAAGTCTCGGAGGTAGTCACCTCTCGGATGTGCGGCGTGACATGTTGGCAGTTCACCAGGTGCCACTGGTCTGCGTGAGCCAAGTCATCTGGACGGAACAATCTGCACCCCTCAATCCCCCTATCTGTCATTTCCTGGGTGCGTGTTCCTTTCGGCACAGCCGTGCAGGTATAATGTTGATTTGCGGCACAGCTCCTCCGGCTGGTTGCGTGTCTACGGGTGTCGCGGCGTGCCCGTACAGGAAGCAACACGTTCACAGGTAGCTGATAAAGGCTTGCATTTGAGCGTTTCTTTTGCAGAGTCACATCAACTTTGTGCTGTGGCGATGACTATTTGTTCCAAGGGTTCTCTTTCCGGCTGGCTCCCTCCATACCTGTCCCCACCATCAACGCGTTCTGATAAGTTACCACATGGAGAATTTTTTCAATCTTCTTTTAACACCGCTCCCAAGCTCCGCCGGTGGGCCACAGGGGTCATAGCCATCAGCGAACATGCCTGGGCCAGGCCGTGCATCGCATCGCCGGTCGATCACTTTCATTGTCCACATTCCCCACTGCCGTTTCCCGTATCCTTCTAGCCCGACCCTACCCACGTACCGGAATCCCGTTACCAACACGCTTCATTTGGTTTGCAAGACTTGCGCAGATTATATCGACACCTCCGCGGGCAAGTTTTTACGAGGCTTTCCACTATTGTCCTCACCACCGACCTCTATAATCAAAATGACTCCACGCCCCGCAACTGTTGACAATGAGGCGACAATGGCGGGACCTCCTCTTTACTCGCACTCGTACACATATACCAGTTTGCCACAGGCCACTCCCACTTGTCTCAGATCTTCTTTCGCGGCCGCATCCGCCAAACCACCCTCGATCCCGTCCAACTCCAGAGAATCTCTTCCCCATCGCCGCGCTCCCCACGTCGTTGGTTGGTGGTAAACGGCCACCAGCTCGGAAGGAGCCTAAGTCCGAGTCGCGCCAGCCGTCCGAAGGCCGCTCCGGCAACCGCTGGTCAACAAATCCATGTAATTCTAGTCTCACCTTATCCTGGTTCTCAAACAGAAGAGGATAAAAGGCTCTCAGATTTCCCGAATCGCGAGTACAACTGTGGCACAAGAAATCCGACGAGGGGAGAACCTGGTGGGACCGGCGGCTGGAAGAAGCTCGGATTCCGTGCGAGCAGGAGACCGGTCTGCCTTTGGAGAAGCAGGTGAAGAAGTATCTCGCCTCGGATCTGAAGCAGACGCACATCGCACCCGAGGGCCAGCTCGAGGCTGTTTGTCGCGAAATCGAGAGCAATCCGCCCGCACAGCGCGGAAAGAAGTACTCTGCCAAGAACGCGAGGCGGTCTCGTCGATCTGCGCCCGAACACCCTCCTTCACAAGTACAGTTGACGCTTCTCCTCCGAAACCGCCTGCTGTAGGCCGCCAAGCACCCCCGATATCTCTCATTTTGGACTGTCTGCTGTGGCTTCTAAGTTACTACTAAGTTTTCCGATACTGGCCGGGATATCTGCAACTTGTGGCCGTGGACGACTTCACGCACGGCGGCGTTGGTTAACGAGGGCCCTGCTGTGCTCGCCAGCGACCACTCCACCGTATCACACATGCCCTTTGTCCCTGATATTCCCCATGTTAGCCTTGGTCATCAAGCCCGGCGCGGATGCGTATGCCGTCGCATATCCACTGGTCTAGCAGAGCTATTTGCCATGTCGCTACCTTCTGCGTACGGTATCGGGACGCAGCACATCTACGATCACAATCTTACCTCCCGGCCGCACCTGCGTTCGGCATGGATTTCCCTTCGACCTCTCCACCACGCCCTCCCATGTAGTGAAAGTCTTCGTCAACCAGAGCCAACTCCCTTACCGGCTTAGCACCCAGTGTTATTAACTTCCGGATCCTGGGTCGCACCATTGAGTAAGGCCATTATCGACTGAACTTTATGCTCACGAATATTCTGGCGCTCTCGATGAAATGTATCCTGTGCAGTAGCATCTCATTTAGCGACCGTCTTGCAAGGACAAGGGTCGTTGGCTTGTAGTTCATAAACATGGTGCAGATCGCTCGTAGCGACTTGAGCCCTGCTCTCGCCTTGTTCATCGACCCAGACCTTGTATTCCGAGCATTGTCGTATTAAGTCACATATACGTGTATAGTGACATCATGATAGCGTCGTTGCCCGGAGATGGGGACCCTTATCTACTACCCTTTCCGAGTCCGTGTGCGCGACAGACTGGAATCCCACTTATATAGTAGTATCTGGCAAGCTTACTGTGAGGTACTCAACACCACTCGGGCTCTCGTTGCGGGTCTGTGAACCGTCATTTTATGCCGTAATTGATGCAATTAATTCCGGCGTGAAATGTCGTCGCGGTGCTGCAGCAGCCTGAGTCTTGGGCTATCAGAAGCTGGCGGTAGCCCCAAGGTTAAGGCTGTGGAAATTTCTTTGACGCCGGCGTACATCCCTCACCGCAACTTCCACTGGCAATCTCCTCATTACCTTCTGTCGACGATTTGAGAGCGATGTCGACGCTATCTGAACACGTCGATCGTCTCGCCCACCTTGCAAATGCCATACGAGCCAACGCAACCGCCGCGGGAAGACAAGAAGGCGGTCGTGTCGCGTCGGGCTCATCAGCAGGCCCTTTCACACGTGCAGTCTTGCAGACCCATCTTGGCGACCTTATTCGCGACATTGACCCTTCCGAGCTCGGACTCTTCACCCTGGTGCAACCTTCGCAACCTGGTGCGACTTACGTCGCGCAGGAAGACGCGCCTCCAGGTCCCAAAGCTGAGATAACGCGCGTGGCTTTGCCAATCGCGACCCCACTGCGAAGACCACCAGCGAACTACAAGAGAGAGGAAGGGCAGAAGCCCGGAGAGCATGAACCAGAGGTGTATGCGCATGCAGCGCTGAAGTTTCTCGACAGATAGTGAGTGTCCACGTCCTGCGTTGTTGGGTTGGGGGCTCAGGGCTGCCTTGTCGTAGCCAGTCCATTCGACCCATGCCACGATACCAAGAGCAAGCAGAACATATACTTGAGCAGCTACAAATGTTCCGAGAGAAAATTCGCAGTTTGAACGAAAAGATCAAGCAAGTGAGTGCGATGATGTCATGTAGGCCTCAATCGTCAACTAAGTACAGAGCAGCGTGTCAGAACCTAATCAGCCTCAAGTGTCACCTAAGAGTCTCGGGAAGCAAGAAGAACGACGGATAGCGCAGGCGCAAGCGCGAATAGTCGAGCTGAAGAAACAGGTGCGTTGGCTACTCCGCTTCTGTAGCATGATGCTAACGTGGGGGACAGAAAGAAGTCTTGCTTCGAAAGTCCAAACTCGGCCCTTCAAAGGGACCCAAGAGCTCCTCAAGAGTACCTGTTGAGCCACGGGCACCACTACCTGATGAACAAGAGCAAGACTTTTGGAACACACCCGGCGCAGCCGCGCGTACGTTGCACTTCACAGGCGAACTGCTCACCGACGAGCACATCGACGTCGGCGACATGCCCGAGTCGCTCGGGAGCCCGACGCGTGCGTCCGCACCACGCTCGCGTGGAACTAGCTCGCGAGCGCTACAGTTTACTTCGCGCTCGCACTCGGCATCCATCGAGCCTGAGCAGCCGCCAGAGCAGGATGTGGAAGAACCTGATGAACCGCCAGAACTATCGCAGCTAGAACCAGAGGCCGACGAGGATGTGACTGTGATGTTGCAGAGGCCGCCGTCTGTGGAGTCGAGTCGCAGGATGGTGCGCTCGCCACCGCAGCCTGAGCCACTGCGACGTGTGCAGGCTGCGGCCGACGTGATACCAAAGCGAGAGAAGACGAAAGTATCTGCCGAGTTGGAGGTGATTGTTGTAAGTAGTGGCACACATTCGTGTGTTCGAGCCGCTGACAAGTAAACGTATAGGCGAAGATCTGGGCAACGGTTGGCGAGACAATTATGCCAGGGCGGCAGTACGATCTCACGCGGCCTCCAAAAGCGCAGGAGACGATGTATGTCCCTGCTTACTGCTCCGGCAATGGGTACCTGCTCACGAGCCTTCTTCCGTAGTGCCCACCTCCAATCACTCGCGACACAAACGCCCTCGCTTGACTCACCCTCCACATCGAGTCTATCTTCGCTCGCAACCGGTACACAACCAGCTGCGCTGACAAGCCAGCATATTCTTACGGCGTGCATGCTCCTCGCGCTGCTTAACAGCCCGCCAAACTACGCGATGTCGCTCGGTGCGCTCAAGGACACGCTTGCCAAAGCAGAGGGCGCCGCCGCGGGCGTCACGCGACCGATATATGGGTGTGTGGCGAAGAGGCTGTTGAAGATCGAGAGAGGCGGAGGCGAGCAGGTCGTCAAATTTGATGTATGAGATGAGGTATTCTCTCTCGCACCGGCGAGATGGCAGATTGTGACCATGCACATGCAGACACAACCACCGTGAAGAGGTCCGCCTCGACTCACGCACCACTCGATGATATTCAAGTAGTTGTAGGAAACAGAGGTGATGATGTAGTTCACCCATACCAGCATCGTCGCGTCCTCATTGCCAAAATCTACATCCTCGAAGAGCGAGGAGGTCGCTAGAAGGTGACTGCCTGCAGTGTGCGTTCAGCACCGCTGAACCGGCCCAGGCAGCTTAGGAACCAGATCGTTCGAATTTGTCTCACCAGGGAAGCTCAACTACGCCGCGCAGGGGCAGTACTACATCGACCGCAACCGAGACGCCAAAACAAAAGAACATATGGCCGCTGAACAACAAGGATCCGGTGGGTGCGGCGTTCGAGTCGCTGTACTCGATCCTGAGGCCTGAGCTCGTTTGACCCCGAGCGTCATCCAGGCGGCCCTCAGCCATGTCTGGGCGCCAGCCCGCTCAAGTGCTTGTTTGACGCCGATGGCTCTCTTTGCTTAGTGCTACCACTGCTATCTCCAGAAAACTCGGCGCCGAGCACCATGCAGTCAACGTCAGTGCTTTTCCGTTGTTAGAGTTTATTCTATTGTATTCTCCAACGGCTGAACGCGAACCGCGCTGAATTGAAATCGAGCAACGTGTTCTACGTGGCTCGCCGTGGGTGTTGGTGCCGACTCTCGCGCGTTGGTGCTCGTCTCTGGTGACTCTGTGTCGCTGAACACGCTGAACCAAATCTCGTATACTACGATGGTCATGACTGTAGCTAAGATGGATGGCTGTGTTGCATGAAGGTGGCAGCTGACACGTCTCCGCTGAGCCGAACCACGCGCTCTACGGTAGAGCCTTTCGTACGCGTTTAATGCCTTTTTACGCGTCCTTCGTTATGAAATATGCCTGGCTTATATCTGTTCAGGTCGCAAGGGAGCTCGATCTACGGAACGCCCTCTGGCTCACTATATCCCGCTGTTTACAAGGACGATGTTGAAGAAGGCCCGTCTCAGCGTGGTAAGTCCAGCAATCTTGAATTGCGTATGGTTGAGCCTGCATCGCCTGACTGCTCTCTGTCAATAGATTTTTACTACCAGCAGCCTCAGCCTCCTTCCCCTTCTGTGACACCAGTCGTCAAAAAGCCGTGCCGCAGGGGCAAGCGAAAGAGGAACAAACAGCAAGCCGCTTTCGCAGGACCTGGCTCCCCTGTTTCCTGCCAGAACCCAAATCTGGTCGCTCCAATCTTGTCTTCAGCCACCACTACCAACGTCGTGCCCACCACTGTCTCCATAACTAACTCGGCTCTACCTATGTCTAACGAAGAGCCGCCAACAGCAAGTGAGACGCCGACTGCGAATGAGCGCAGAGTCCTCACCCGTGCCCAGCTCCGTTCACGCGCCAGGCGTAGACGCAAGACGGAGGCGGCCAAGAGCGTGCCGAAGAACCCGGCTGAAATGAAGATCCAGTCATCTGACTCCCTCAAACATCAAGATATCGCGTTCGTCAAAATGGATCGCACCCTCGAAGACTTGATATGGGCCGAGGGCGGATCCAATGGTCAACGGGGCCACGTCACGCAAAAGGTTCTGTCTGCAAGAGCTTGCACAGGAAGGGTTCAAGGTGCTGGAGTGGGACGGATGGTGTGTAGACCCGTTTTCGGGTCTGTTGCTTTACGCTGAGCCTCCAAAAGCACGCCAGGTGTCCTGACGTTCGCTGACAACTACGTCTTAGCGAGCCTACCTGGACGGCCTGCCAAAGACCCCACGTGGGATGACACCACTGCAGGCGTAGTTGCCGCATTGGAGCATGCTGGATCGAGGCTCAGATTCAACAACAAACGAGACCGACATGGCTCGTGCCTGACCATGGCGTCCGGAGTGTCGTACGGAGGAGGTCAGAAGGTTGGCTCCCTCATCTATTGAGCTATTGTAGTGAATGACACTCCGCCCACAGCAACCAGGGAATATAAAGCTCAGCAAGCGAAATCATGAGATATTGCAGGAGCTTTACAGCAATCCGCATGTTCGGCGTATCATCCGTTTTGGCAATAGTAAGCCAGGAAGTCCAGCTCTTGACGCCCCGGAGCTGAGTCATCCATGATTTCTAGGCGTGTTTGCGTGGTACTTCCCCAAATTATACCGCGAGTACGTCAACAATATGAGGACCCTTGAAAAAGAGCATCCTTACCTGCATCGTAACCACCCCGAAAGCGTGTTCGCTGCTGCGTCTGTCAATTTTGGCTCTGCAGCCGCTTTGGAGCATGCCGACTTTGGTAATATGGCCAACGGCATCTGCCCTGTCTGGTGCGGTGGATCCTTTGACCCGACAAAAGGTGGACACATTATTCTTCGACAGTTCAAGCTTATAATCGAGTGCCCGCCTGGCTCAATTGTCCTCGTGCCTTCTGCAGCCCTTCGTGACGGCAATACTGCTATTGCCTCGGGAGAGAGCAGGGTCTCCCTTACGCAGTACTCTGCAGGAAGGCTTTTTCGGTGGGTGCGTTATGGCTACCAGACATGGGACTCTTTGAGGAAGAAGGGTAAGGCTCGCGCAGATGCAGAGGTCTCACGTAACACTCGATGGAAGAAAGAGATTGAAGCCTTCTCCACTATAGATGGTCTTCATGAAGATAGAGTAGCTGCTGATTTAATTGTGTGAATTATGAACAGTTCAACGATACACGAATGTGTCCTTAAGGAAGAAGCACCCGTTGGTTTGCAGGCTGTTTTCTCCCCAGCAGAAATTTGGTATATAAAATCTCACAAAGCGAATGCTACAAAGGCATGGCCCGTCGAGAGATCTCTCCGCCATTGGCGTACATACACTATATCAGCAAGGACATCGAAATAGAGGCCAAAGGTGAGGTGAGAGGGCAAATCGTTGCCTTGTATAAGTTCTCAGCGCAAAGCGTCGTCAGGTAGAGAATGGTGACGTACGGTTCGAAGGTGCTCTTCGAAAGCCGTTAAGATTTACAAGAGCATATTTACCGCGCATGTGTCGCATCCGGCTAAGAGGCAGATGAGGGAAGATGACGAGGCTATCATGATGCTGGAGCGATAGATCAATTTCGCACATATCGATGCTTGACTTATCGCCCATAGAATACGGCACCAGGAATGTAAATTCGGAATAGTGCTACGAGCTTCTAAAAGACGTTGCATACAGCACAGGCATGCGGATACTACAAGGGAGTGATTGGGGGCCTCATTCGACGACGGACACTTGCGTGAAGTCTACTGGAGAGAAATCGCCATACCGGCCGGACGCCTGGAAGCTCCCTCCGCCCGACATGCTCGACCCGCCTCCAGACATCATCCCACCTCTGCTCGACATACGCGAGCTCGACCTGTATTCCGTTCCAGGGAATCCACTGAAGCCAGCGGCGTTGTCAAACGCGCCGGCCCCCGCAGACATGCCGAACGCCTCCTGCCTCATGCCCTCACGCATCGCCCGCCGACCCTCAGGGGAGCTGATGTCGGCAGACCCAGTCTGGTGCTGGGTCACTGGCGTCGCACGTCCGCTGGCGGTACCAGACATGCGGTACTGCATCCCGGCCGCAGACGTAGGGCGCGGAGCCGCCATCGGAGTCGGCTGCTGGAACGAGTTGCCGGCGAACTGCGGGAACGACGAGAAGGTCTGCCCTCGAGGGCCAGCCACTGTGTCGGTGACGCGGATATCTGGAACGTTGTTGCCTTGACCACCGCCGGTGACATGGACCCGGACGCTGCCAGAGTCGAAGTTGCGCTGACCAGCGGAGGGAGTCGTGGTACGGAAGTGGACACCATCGGATGGAATCTCATGCTGCTGAGGTGGCGACATCGAGTACGTCGAAGTGCCGTTGAACGAGTAAGGGCCATTCTGCGGAGGTGTAGCGCGCACATTGTTGGCCATCGAGGATGCAGGACGGCTTCCTGCGGAGGACATGGGGCGATTGATCAAGGGAGGCGAACGGAGGCCGTTGATGTTGGTAGTGTAGTCTTCGAACTGAGGCGACTGCGAGAACGGCGGGCCCATGGGCGATGTAGAACTGGGCATGTTGGGATAGGGGGATACGCCGGCCGAAAGCGAACCGGGTTCGGCAGAGAGTCCTCCCCCTGCGCTGCTTCGTGAGAATGATTGGCGTATCTGCGTGCTCCCAGTGTCAACATGAAGGTGCTCGAAGCTTGGCTGCCGCGAATGAGAGGAAGAACCGTCCCTTGAAGAGTACGTTGGTTGCACTACCAAGGCGTCAGCATATTGTGGCAGCTAGTACTCAAGGCTAAAATGCTCACATCCTGGTCGAGCCGGGGCGCGATTTCTGTTATCGTGCTTTGGTTTGAACTTCGACGTAGGAGACGAGGATGGGGCGCCGACAGTAGTTGCTGCTGTCGCAGTCCGCGCTTGAAGCTCAAACAGCAAGTCGCCCTTCGAATTGAAGACAGGCTGGACCAGGTTGTACGCGCCCATACCCGGGTAGCACGAGTACCAAGCCTGCTCGAAAATCTTGAGCTCCTCCATTGCCTCGGTCAGGTCGATGCTCGAGGGAATCACGCTCCTGAGCAATGCTTCGGGATCGAGAGCCAAAGAAGTGTATGTTTCACCCTCCGTGTTTGGCCTGGTGAACTGCGTCTGGCTGCGCACTGAGCTGACCTTCAGACCGTTGGCCTCCGAATGAACAGCGATGGAAGCCTGCCAGACAGCAGTGGATGACGACCTGTGAACGGGCTCAGTCAATGTTGGTCATCTTGAACAACAAAGCGCACATACCGCCAGGCCGAGGAAGTGTTCACGAAGACCTCAATGCTGACGGTGCCCCCCAACTTGATCTCCATTGTACCGTGCTTGAAGGTGGTGGGAATCTCGAGGTAGTTCTGAGTGATGCCTGCACGGTGAAGTCAGCATATGCGCATGAACGTGAGACAGGGAAGGTGCTTACATGCAACTGAATATTGTCCAGTCATGATGTAGTTTCCGCCTCGATGCTCGTAGTTGTACTTGTCGTGGTGCTGCCAGAAGTACCTCAGGGAGCCGTCTGCACGACTTCCAGGGTCGAGAGTGAAGACGCAATTCTCGTTCTGCCTTTCGGGGTGGTCGGACCAGCAAGAGAGCTTGAGCTTCCACGTATCGCGTTCAATACCAGAGAAGCGGGGGATGACAGTCGTTCTGGTGTTGATCTCGGACAGCCTCCGCAGGAGCCTCTCTCTCAAGAACAGACCACCCGAGATGGCCGCAGTGCCGTAAGACGAGAATCTTCCTGCGCGAACGACCCACTCTGTCGAGTACTGCAGAACAGAGGCGGGCATAGGCCTGCCGCCGCACATGCCCAAGATGATGATGATCGGCTCTGAAGCACGAGACTGTTCGTTCCAGTTGTACTCGCTCGATATCTTCTTCGAGTAGATGTGGAAGACGACGCTGGTGAGGCACTGGTACAGCTCTGCCGACGGTCTGCTTAGGACTGGGATAGTGTAGAGCACATGGTGACCCGCGGAAACGAGCTGCTTGAGGTAATAGTCGCGGAGGTAGACAACTGCTGCTTGCACCTTGTCGATGGAGCGCTTGTTCTGAGCGGTGAACAGCCCGTCGAAGCGAGAAGACTCGTGCAGGAAGGTTACATCTATGAGGAATATAATTGAGTAGCAGATCAGGGTCAGTGACGAGAGTAACGCACTCTGGAAGTCGAGATAAATGTGCTTGAAGTCGACTATCTCACTCGTCCCGTACTGCTCATAGACCCGAGACTTCTTGAATGCGGTCTGCCACTCGGGACCGATCTCCGTCAACGCTGAGTGATCGCACATCTTGAGGTCGGCCTCGAAAGCGATCCGCCAATCTTCGAACTCGAACTTGTCGCCACTAATATCCGAGTCAGCGTCGATGATATCACTAGAGCGCAATTGCACACGTACTCAGGGTAGGGGGCCCAGTTGCGCAGAGGCTTCAAGAAGCCGCGCTTAATGTGAAGGAAGACGATCGCCCGACCATCCTCGCGCAGGCGCACCGTTGGCGGCTTGAACTCGGCCTCGAAATAGTCTTCGAACTTCCATTGGAAGACTAGCGTCTCAGCGACAGACGTACTGGCGGAGGCCTGGACCTGTGTCCAGATGGAGCGGTAGTACATGTTGATGGCAGCCTGGGAGAGGGCGGTGATCTGGTCGAAGCCGTACATGTCGCTCTTCTGGGTGATGTCGCGCCAGATCGCCGTCTTCGACGCCGTTCGGCCGTCCTCGGTCACTTCGTTGCGGGACCACTCGGCGTCGATCTCGACCTCGTCGGTCTGTTGCTCGTCGAAGATGCTGCCAATCTTCGGCCAACGCGCGTCGAAGTGGTAGATGATATGGTATTGGGCGTTCTCGAGGACATTCAGATACTCGCCGGTGATGAAGCTGATGACGTGGTTCATGCAGTGCAAATCGTCTTCGTCGGATTCGACACAGCCCTCGAAGACGGAGAACTGCTGCATGTAGCGGCTGCCTGGTAGTGGGATTAGCCAAACGGCCGCCAGGAATGACAACGAAAAGCTTACTCTGAACATCGATCTTGCACCGTATCACTTTACCTTCGTCTTCGCTCTCGCGGATGACGTTGAAAAGCACGGCAACCTTCCAGTCGTAGAAATTCTTGATCGGTGCCCTAAGATAATGGTCAGGACCAACGAAACGGGCAATATACATGAATTATAACTTACACTTGGAAATCTTCGCCGTCGTAGAAGAGCGCCTCGTCGACAAGGAAGTATAAGAGGATCTCGTCATTGCACAGGGCTGCGACTTGAGGAGCGCCGAACTTGAGGTGGAAGTGGATATTCTCGTCGCGTAGAACCCACGTGCTTCGATACTCGGCGAGCGAGATGGCAGGGCGGTCGACGGGGAGGCCATTCTGAGCTCCCGCCAGCATGGCGGCCTTGAGCCACGAGGTCGACAGGAACCGGTTGATTTGTTCGATCGATATGCCCTGAACTTCAGAAATATTGAGAAGGACGCGTGCGGCCTGGGAAAAGTCGATGAGGACGTTCGGATTCTCGATATTGAAGTCCGGCAGGGAAAAGAGGACGTGGTGACCCGCAGCCTGGAGGAATTGGAGGTAGGTGCGGAGGTAAATTTCGAGGGACTGCCTCTCGCGCTCTTGCCTCTTGGGTGCGGTGTCGATAAGTACAGCACCTGTATCGCAGATCAACTTATGGACATCTAGGGGAATGCGTCCACATACTCTTGTAATCAAAGACGAGCATATTGATGACATTTTCGCTACTGCCAATGATCGTGTCTCTGCCCTTGATGCCCGTCATCTTGAACGGCACGCGGAACGTGGCCGAAGTTTCGGAAACGGTCAAGTTGCGGAAGCTAATAGGGATGCTCAATCGCATTGGCGGCATGAGACGTGAAATCAACGTACCGGTCGGCCGCCGTAGTGTCCGAAGCCCGAGCATGCTCGGAATTGAAATGACCTTCGTCGATGTTGATCTGAACGAGAGCTTCGTGGTTGCACAAGAAATCGAGAGTGGGAGCTTGGAACTTCGCGTGGAACCACATGTCATCGACCGCCGCCTGCGCACCCGAGCGGTGCTTGCCATAGTAGTACTCCGCCAGCGCAAACGAATACCCTAGGGAAGGAGCAAGTGAGCTACAGCTTCGTGCATAGAGCAGAACATGCAAAGAGACGTACGATAGTTCAAGTCGGGCTTGAGATACGTGCCATGATGTTCAACGCACTCCGAAGATATTTTCCAGAGTGCCTGTAGCTGAGCATTCAGGTAAGAGGTAGCGTGCGGGGCGTTGTTCTCGCCGTGACACATGTTAGAGGACGCAGACAGGAAAGAGGCGCAGACACTGCAGGCCCTGGCCGTTTGAGCCTCCTGACTCTGGCTTTAAGTATCTCATCCCAACCCAGTGGAGATATTCGTCGCAGCGCAGCGCGCCAAACATGCTGTGCGTTTAGAGTCGAGCCTAGGCGTGATCACTTTGGTGAAATGCGATGTAGCAGAGGTTGTTGGGGGCGCAAATGGCGTGTAGTTCATATCCCAACTCTATCGAACCGCGGAGGGCGGAGAGCACCGTGTACCGATGGTATCAAAGCTTCGAAACATTCTCACTGGAATCTCGCTACTAGTATATCCCGGAGAAGGTGAGTAACCGTAAGATATACCGCGAGAATACTTACTAGGGGCACCATATGTCAACTAGAAGCCTACTGTGCACTGCAAGGAATGTTCACTAGCAGGAGATCTGCGGAATTAATAGTTCTTACTGCATATGGTCTACATCGCGCGTTCGTTTGTACGGAAGTTCGCGCGTTAGCCCGGTATTCTGCTGCTTACTGAGGTTATGAGGAAAGGGGAGAAGGATATAGATTTGCCTAATGGCTATACTTACCGGTACGACTCAAAATGAGTTGAATAACAGCGAGCGGGTTTCCGGTGCCCCCTGTTAACGCTTGTGTGGGCACGCATGCGCATGCGCAACGCCACGGCACGTTCCAAACTAATAGGACCATTCTTCATGGCAGAAATTGTGCTTCCGCTGTGCAGTACGATATTAGAGTTTTCAGGTGACCATGTCGATGGAATGGAAGTAGCATACCTCCTTTACCCGTGTGGGTATGCCTGCAGCGCCTGCAGCACCAGCAGGATTACACGAGGTTGCTATCGTGCCTGCTGTTTTCATAGATGACATTTCGGATAAGATCCATGGGAACAAAAAACTTACCCAGAGAGGAATGTGCGAATCCGGAGGGTGCTCGACACCGACGGATCGTGAGAGCACGATCACAGGGCAAATCGCCTGTCCAGGACCTGTGTCACATTGCATTGCATCCCGTAATGAGCCCGCAGATAGCAAGACATAGATGCCCACAGTCTGCTATAGCCCAAAGACGCAACATTCGAATAGGCCTAGGTCGGATAGGCTGGAGTGTCGTCAACTCCGAGTCCTTCCGGCGGGCAACCACCAGGTCGGCGCCGGTAATGACGGGTTACGATATGAAGACGTGGCTATCCAGAGTCATAATCCGTGGAAAAAATGAAATAGAAAAGATGAGGAAACACGCAGTGGCAATGCCAGCTCGAGTGTCCGCGAACCATGGAGGCAGGTTGGTAAATGCGGCCGTAGTACTAGGACAGGCGCCCTGTTACTATTTTAAAATGTTCCCACGTAATCACTATTACTAGTCATCGAACGAACCAGTTCGCAATAGCAGTCATGGTTCTGGTCGTACACAACTTCTCGAGATTTATTATGGCGGAGTTACTAGAGGTCTTGTGGTAAAAATATCTAATCACCATCAACGGCATGATCAAGATCGTTCTGGGCCAACTGTTGTGCTTGCCTCACTTAAGTTCGGCGGCCAGCATTTTTAGCGAGGATGCTATAAGCCGCACCGAAGTATTTAGATTCTAATTTAGAAATTTCCTTATCGCCGATGTGTTTGTGGATTTCGCAGAAATTTCCTGTTGAGGCGTTAGTTTGTCCATCGACGACCTTGAGTCCGTTGCAAGATGCGAAATGAATGGTCGATGGTTGGAAATCACTGACCGCCGGCTAAAGTCAACCTGACAAATTTGCGCCTGCATACTTGAAACATATTGACATGTCGTATAGCGGCAGCGGAATGACCAAACGTGATTACATTTACTGTAATATCGGCCATTCGATCGATAGGATGGGTGTCATAAAGACATAAACAAGACATACATGCCACAGCTACACCCTTCGACAGCAGGTGCTCCTGATGCCGCCGATTGTCGCTGCTGCGCGTCGGGAAGTCGATCAGACGTTATTATACTGAGTAGTCTACGAGGGTGCGATGACCAGATGACAAACGAGATTCACGTCACATGTCCCACTCACAGGATGGCAACGCGCCGGGAAACTATGGGACAAGATCTTAAATTTGTCTATTAGCTAATTTTGGCGAGCTCCGATGACTAGTCTCCGCGAATGTAGCTACAAAGACACTTCATCGCCCAGTTCAGAGATACAAATCCGACACTAAGAGACATTTTCTAAGATCTGTTCTGTCAAGGCTTTTCTCCCCGGAGACATGAAAAACAGACAATTTATTATTGCTTACGAAGCTGGCAGCCCGCATAGGTGTGGTTGCGAACGGAAGGTGTGAATCGGGTGTGGACGCCACGACGCCGTCGGAAATCAAATTCTTGAAGTGGAGACAAAATTAGCCGCCGTCTGCACGTTCCTGGCCCCGTCCGCTTCTGATTCCGACCAGTAAACGCTGACGGCCGACAGTCTCCGACTGGCGAAGTCCGGGCGCGCTAGAATTTGAGGACGAGGCCACTGCCCACCTTCTCTCGTTTAGACGTTCACGCCCCCGTGAAAGCCTTAGAAGGAAAGTCATGTTCGACTCTTAAAAAGATAGATATCTCGCGGGACATCGGGGGCTTGCTGCACGCCAGTCGACGGCCCGGGCCGCTAGACACAGTGAACTTAACTCCCGAGGAACAGGACTCAGAAGGATGAAGCATTGCGCGAAAAAGAAGCACGTATTGACACACCAATGAAGAAAAATATTCCTCACACACAACCCTGGTGAGTCGAGGAAGAGTGCACGCCCTACCCTCCGACATTCTCAGATCCACCGCTCTCAGAACTCGCTCCATGGTGTTTTCCGCCGGCATGTCCGTTCGCGCCATTGGCACCTAAATTGGGTAGGTATATGAGTTACGAGGCCCGGATGAGAACAGCAAATCCGAGTTACGCACCGTTGGCCTTGCGTCTGCGGTTCACTCGACTGAGATTGCTTGTGAGGCTTGGTTTTGGTGCGACACGAGGAGCGGCAGCACCGGGGTCACTGCTGACCACTGACGGAGTGGAAGCAGAGTGTGGCAAGAGCTCGAAGAGGAGATCGCCGCGACGACTGAAGACTGGATGGGCAAGCCGGTACGCGAACATGCCCGGATAGCACGACCGCCACGTCTTTTCGAAGTGAACGAACTGTCCTATAGCTTCTTCCAGGTTGATATTCTTCGGCAGGGCGTCGGCTAGAAGCTGATCGGGCTTGATAGCCAGAGGCGAGTCGGTATCGCCGTCGATCTTGTCAGTCTTGATTTGGATCTGGCTCGGGGCCGCGACCACGCGCAGCCCGCTGGGCTCAGAGTGAACGACGAGCGAAGCCGACCAGGTGGCGTGCGAGTATGAGCTACATGTCCGAGATGAGACTGTGTTGTCATTCAGCAGAAGAGTTGTATGTACCTCCATTGCGTGCCGTTCGCAACGTTCAGCGTCAAGGTAATTTTTCCGCTCATCTTGATCTCCATGGAACCGGGTCTGAAGACCGTCGGGATATAGAGATAGTTCTCGGTCGTAGCTGCATCGTATAAGAAATGTGAGCGCGTGGGGACGATGAAGGGGAAGAGGACGCACATGCAACAGAGAAGTTCCCGCTCATGACGTTATGGTCGCCGTGTCCGTGATGGTGTTGGTAATCCCAAACGTCGCTGCATCGCCATACGTACACCAGCATGTCTTCGCTCACATTGGCTTGCGTGAGGCCAAACGGACAAGCGCTGCCCTTCCTCTCCTCGTGATTCGACCACCCGGTGAGCTTCAGGATCCACTGCTCCTTCTCAATACCGGAGAAGCTCGGGATGATTGTTGTCGCGGCATTGATGCGGGACAAGATCTCCAGGAACCTGTTGTTGAGGAAGAGCTTGTTGCTGATGCCGACCGTACCGTACGACGCGAACCGTCCCGAATGCGCAACCCACTCTGACCAATATTGAAGAGGGATTGCAGGCGTGCCTCTCCCTTCACAGGTACCCACTATGAGGATTGTCGAGTGCGAGATGCGGGTCTGGTCGATAGACACCTGCTCGGCGGAGGCCCTCGAAGTGTAGACGTGGAAGTAGGCACCGGTGAGGCCATAGAAATTTTCTTCAGAGGGTGTCCTAAACACAGGGATGGTGTAGAGCACATGGTGGCCCGAGTTGACGAAGTCCTTGAGGTAGTAGTCGCGGAGATACACGACTGCCGCTTGCACTTTCTCGATCGAGCGTTTGTGCTGGCCGGTAAAGAGGCCTTCGAAGCGGGAGAACTCGTGAAGGAGTGTGACGTCTGTCGCGATTTATGTCAGTGCCCTTCTGCGACATGAGAAGGCTAGACTTACTGTCGAAGTCGAGGTAAAGGTGCCTGTAATCCACATCCTTGCCGTCGTACTCTTTGGCAACAGACGAGTCCATGAAGGTCGATTCCCACTCAGCGCCTTCTTTTTCCAAGAGGGCAGCATGGTCGCCCATCTTGAGCGACACTTGGAATGCAATCCGCCATCCAGCAAAATCGTATTCTTCTCCTCTTCAAGATATCATTAAAACTGCATGTACGGGGCACGATAAGAAGGTGAGACTCACTCTGCGTACGGCTGGTGATTCCTGAGATGCCGCAAGGTTCCACTTTTGAGGTGGAAGAACACGATTACAGCGCCAGAATCGCCTCGGAGTCTGACAGTGGGTGGCTCGAACGTGACATTGAAGTACGAGTCGTACGCCCATTCAAACAGCTTTGATCCCGCAGTGGTGCTGGAGCGGAAGTGGCTGTTGATAGACGCCTCAGAAAGGGCAGTGACCTGGTCGTAGATACCGACGTCGCTATTCTGGATAATGTGACGCCACGCTGCGGTCTTCGAGATTAGCTTGCTGTCTTCGGCACTGTAGCGGTGCCATTCGGCCTCGTTGGACTCGACGACGACCTCGAGATCGTCTGTGCCGCCGCCAACGCCCCAGCGTGAGTCGTGCTTGTAGATGATATGGTACTCGGCACTCTCGAGAATGTTGAGGTACTCGTGCCGGACGAAATCGATGACGTATTCGAGGCAGTCGCGTCCCTCCTTATCCTCTGATTCCTCCAAGTCGAAGCCCCCGAGAGAGGAGAAGCTTCCCGCGAATCGGCTCGCTGAGAACAAAATTCAGGTCAGCATTTCGGCCGGCATGATCAACCACTCACTTGTGACGTCGATCTTGATGCTGGTCACTTCCGGCTCAGGTTTCTCGTACTTATACTCCATGACGACAGCAATTCTCCAATCGCTGAACGTTCGGAAGGGCTCTCTGATGTAAGATGTAAGCAGGCCTTCGGCAGGGGAAGAATGTATCACAAGGAACGTACTGTGTGAAATCCTCCGAGTCGTAGAAAAACACTTCGTCAATGACAAAGTAGACGATGATCTCGTCATTGCACAAGGCCGCCACCTCTGGGGCGCCGAACCTGACGTGGAAGAAGGCACCTCCCTCGTGCGCAGTCCATGTGTTGGCGTATTCCGCAATGGATGCTTGTGAGCGGTCGAGAGACTTTTCGCTCTGCGCACCGACGAGCATGGCGGCCTTCAGCCATGTGGTAGAGAGGTATCGGTTGATCAGAGTAACGGCGATGTCGTGGACCTCTGTCAGTCCCAGCATATCGACGTACTTTCTCTGGGTGTCTCGGGAGTGGTCGATGAGGAGTCTGCGACCCTCGGGTTCATCGTCGAAGTTGGGCAGAGAGAACAAGACGTGGTGTCCGGCGGATTGGAGAAACTTGGTATACACGCCGAGGTAGAACTCAAGGGCCTGTCGTCCGTTCACGACTTCCGGCTCAATATGAACGATCTCGGCATCTACGAGTAGCTGTCAGCGTAACTTAAGGGTACAAGGAGCGATGATTTACTTCGGTAGTCAAAAACTACCAGCGGGATCGTGTGATCGCTGCCGGTGATTCCGGTGATTGTGGACCGCCCTGCGATACCGTCGCCTCTGAATGGTACTCGAAAGACAAACGATTGGCTCTCTATGTCCACGTTCTGAGAGCTACAGATGGCTCGTCAGTCATTTGTTCCGGAGTGGTATAAGGTAAATATGTACATACCGTTCAGCAAGCGCGGTGTCAGAAGCTCGGAGATGATCTTGGTTAAAATGGCCTTTGCGCACTGTAATAGTGACAAGGGCTTGGTGGTTGCAGAGAAAAATCACGTTGGGCGCGTCGAATTGGGCGTAGAACATCAAATCGTTCATGTCCTCCTCGTCCGCATCTGGGCGATGCCTGCCGTAATGGAACTCGGCAAGCGAGACGGAGTAGCCTACTAAATGTTAGCTCAGCATAATCTAGGTCAGGGGACATGCTCACGGTGTTGCTTCACGTCTGGCTTGAAGCCATTGTATTCATTAGAGCACCCAGATGCAATCTCCCAGTGTGTCTTGAACTGAGAGTTGATAAAATGCACGCAGTGAGAGGCGTTGTTTTCGCCGTAACACATGATGGCGGGTGGGTATGGTAGTGGAGGGGTTTCGTGAGGTGAGCCCTGGAAGTGAACCCGTCACTAACCCTCGACCTTATAGTCAACCAACATGGCTATGAGCCCTGACTGCACATCCGCGATGATCTGAGCGCACACTCACCAAGGGTTCATTACGGCCAGTAGTCAGATACCGTTTGCCGCCACCGCTCCAACTAGTACAGCAGAGAGGGTCCTCAGTGTCTTCGAACTGACGGACGATATGCGCGAGGCATTCATATCGGCCTCCATCTGCGCGAGCTATTCCTGCGGCAAACGAGTTAGAAAGGACGCCATGTCACAGGATTCAATTGCACAGCCGTACCTGTACCAACAATGTACTCAACATTGCGCGGTTTACGGGATATGAGGACTGTATTGTGAAATGTCATGATATATGAAGGATACTAGGACGAGCCGACCACCTTCCCTACGTTTCGGGGCAGATAATATCAGCACAAGGTCGGGGACAGCAACGTGTTTTTGCTGGCCATGCGCACGAATACCTGGTTAGCCATCCTTGGAAAGACCCTGGTGGCGATGTCAGTGTATTTGGAAGCTGTTCTTAGATGATCGATCTGCCGACATGGTGCTCTGAGGAGCGTCCACAGAGCAAAACTAACGGTAATGAAGTGTATGACGGTATTTACCTAGTCCGAGATGCCTCGAGGATTAGGTTCTCTCTAGGGTCCGTGTGAAGCGGGAGAAGTGGCGATGCGTGCATGAATTGTGTCTGTGGTCGCTTGCAAGCCAATCGGAGAAATGGTCGGCGGCGCTGGCATGATATGACCAAGAAGGCAGGCTCGAGATGAACTGACGACTTCATGTCGGGATTTCAAGCGAAAGCATAACATGGACGAGGAAGACGGGAGCTCATACAAAGACTGACGAACGTGTCTTTACCTAGCCGGGGTGGCACAACAAGGGGCAATGAATAGAACGTCTATCTGCAAAGTTCCCCGTAATGTCAGCCGTATATCGTATAGATGAAAATTTCACCGCCCGTATCATGCGATCCTCCCGCAACAGCTGAGCGCGGAGAGTTCCGGGGCAAAGGTTTGCTGCGAACTGGAACGCCACAGAAGCATCGTGGCAAACACGACTACCGCAGTCTAGGCAACACGGCGCACCGCTCATCGGGTCGACAATGAGAGGGTCCTCAAAGCTAGCGCGAAATATCAGTTTGAATGTTATGAAAAGAACGAACATTCGACATGCCTCCACAACGTCGGACAGGTGATACAGCTGCTACGGTGTAGTTCAGCGCCCGAGCTTGCAGGGTACGCAGTAGCACTGGTCCCGGAGGTCAGTCGCACGAGGCAAACATGCTGCTTCTCCTCCGTGCGTATCGCTTCAGATAGACGCGTGATACGACTTCAGCGAACGATGTCAGTGACCAGAATGGCCCAACGTGGATCCAATGTACGTACCGCTCAATGCATTCGAGCTGGCAGATTGTTTTATAATCAGCTGTATCGGAACGAGGTTACGGGATATGCTGGCAAACCCAAACGCCATGTCCTTCAACAACAAATACTTAAGATCAGGCCCCAGGCTACCACACTATTAGTAGTCTCCCCATCGGACTTTGCGGAGTAATGCCTGGACGGCAATCTGTTGGGTCAGAATCAGTAATAAAGCCAGGATCACAAGCAGTTTGTACAAAAGGGCATAGCTTTCTGAGGTTGACGTGCAGGGATGGAAACGTTGTTGTGCGCTATTGGACAATTGCCGTGCCACGAGGTAAACACGACAATCACGCATTGCCAACACCGGATCGGGCTACGACATCCGTCGAATTTCAACAGTAGTGGAGAGATGTATGAAGATGGAAGAACGAGCTCTCTGCCTCTCGCCGACGAACGAGGAGGATCCTTTCCGCAAAATAACACCGAGTTGGAGAATGAGATGCCAGCTCGACTACAGTGGAACAGAGCCTTATGCTAGTGGAACCGCGCCAAGCGATCAAGGCAGCCTCCAAAATGAACCGAGTACTGTCCGACATACAGGTAACTCAGGCGAAAATGCAGTCGCAGAAGTTTTGTCGCACATTTGTTCCGGCCCAATCTTGCCCTAAAGAGGGAAGTGTGATCGTCACATCGGGTCTTGCCGACGGGTACGAATCCGACGCCATAATTGTTACGCACGCGTTGTGTAGACAGAATGCTACAGGTAACAGAGGTGCTAGCACATAGTGTTGCCGGAAGGCGAAGGGGCCTTAAGCATAAGGCGAGGTAAGGTCGCCTTAAGCCGATTTGTCAGCACCTTAAGACACCTCGAGGCAACTTAAGGTCACCTTATGTGGCCTTCAATCAACGCCGCACGTTCGCGCGCGCCAAACCGTGACCCCATACGCTTCCTGCCGCCTTCCACCTTCGTACATCGTCCTCCTCCTCTTGTCATCTGTGGCCCTCTGGTCGGCCTTGGACTGAATTTGAAAATTTTGGATATGTACATATGCCCTACAGTTAACAATAGGATATTTTGTGCATAATGGCGTCAAAATATTCACCGAAATCAATTAACCGAATGCGCCGCCGCCCGCCAAATCGACAGCACGCTCGCTGCGCTAGCCCCTTCCCTCGACGTGGGTCCGAGCCCCGATAACCCCTATCTCCCTATTGAGTACTCCCCCGGGCCCTCTGTGCAGCAAGACCACGGCCGGCCGGCTTAGTGAGACTCAGAATTAGAGCACTAGAGTGTGACTGCGAGGCTTGGAAAGGCTTCCAATGGTACCTCATCTTCTGCTGCGCTATAGGGTATACCAGAGGCCTTAAGACGCGCAGAAGAGCAAGACTGACTTGAAGTAGATGCAGAAATTACATTTTATGATCCTGTCAGTCTCGAACCCGCAACGCCTGGGCGACTTCAACTGTTTGGGATACCGATAGGTTGGCACCACCCGATTCCTTTTTTTCATCATGTGATACTCACACATAATTCGTAGGATGAAGAGGTGCCTTGGCTGAAGAGCAGGATGGTAATGACTCTGATTTGGATGAATGTAATTTATATTTGGATCAATGCATTGTGGCCCGTCTATAGTACAATGTTCTTTGTACCGTCCTCGCGCACTTGCCGGTGGGGTATGAGCCTACTGTTTAAGGAAGCCCATCAATCGGCCTTGCCTTAAGCAACATAAGGCCGCCTTATGCCGGACCTTAAGCAACCTCGAGGCGCTTAAGGCCAGAAACTCCGATGCCTCGAGGCCCCTCGACCTTGCCTTGCGGCAACACTAGTTACTAGCACATCTAGGAGACGTCGGAGGACGAATTATCGCGAAGAAGACACTAGTACCTCGGGACAGGGGGCAGAAAAGTATTAATCTAACATACTGCTAGCGCGGTCTGACTACTGGCTGTGCAGTAACCACCAGAGCGGAAAGATATATCAAGTGATAACTAAAAACAAGGATACAGAGAAATATAAGACCGTCTTAAAGACAGACAATAAACCGTAGTCGCGTCGAACTTGCGCCAAGGTCTCGTCTATTGTCGAAGTGACAATACACTTGCCTCTATAGGATAAAATTCGGACGGAATAAGCACGGCAAAATTTGAGCGACTGCAAGTTCGCCTGTATGACGACAACGGAGTAGATTGACAGCTACGGACAGATCAAGGACAAGTACAACATTCCAATTTGCTTGCTAAACATGAGACAGTACACGGCCACCATTTTGTAGCCCTAATCGGCTAGTACCGAGCACGACTGGTATCCCGGGACGATCCTCCGTTTTCTGCAGGGACAATGTCAGACAACACGTAGGAAGGGCGCATTAATAGTCATGCTCACCTGCGGAGCCATTTCGTCCTCGACCTGGGGCCCTTCCGTTGCGGGCAAACGCTTTCAAGTTCTTGATGTTCTTCAGGACCGGGGTGGCCGGACCACCAGCACCATGCGCCTGTGACTGTGCATCGGAAGCCGGTGGGCGCAGCTCGAACAGCAGGTCGCCGCTGCGGTTGAATACCGGCTGTGTCAGTGTGTACGACGACATGCCCGGATAGCACGACTCCCAGGAGCTGGTGAAGTACGAGAATTCTGCGACGGCCTTGTCCAGCTCGATCTTCGTCGGCATGACTTCCGTAAGGTACGTCTCAGGCTTGAGATACACAAGGGCACCCCCATGTTCTTCGGCCTTGACAGCTTTAGTTTGGGCCTGCGAGGATTCGACATTGATCTTCAGGCTTCCTCCTTCCTCAGTGCGCACGGATAATATAGCCTGCCAGTTGGACTCGGCAGCAGCACTAGCCGGACAAAATGAGCCGAGCCCCGCGTAGTAACATGTAGACGCACCTCCAGCTTCGCTCAGTGGATTCTGTGCTGGACAGTTCGAGGGTTACTTTGCCGTACATCTTGATATCCATGGAACCGATCTTGTAAACAGTAGGAATCTCGAGACGGTTCTCGGTGCGAGCTGACGCAAGGAGGTCAGCTTCATTTCGCAGCATACAGATAACGCACATACCGCTGACAGAGAATGTGCCGCTCGTAGTGTAGTTAGCACCCCTGTGCTTGTAAGTGTAGTTCCAAACATCGCTGCGCTCCCACAGGTATTCCAGGAAGTCGCCACCATTGACTCCTTGGACTTCCCCGAAGCTACAGACGGCACCTCTGCGGTCTTCACTGGACGCCCAGCTGGCGACCTTGAACCGCCACTCCCCGGACTCGGCGACAGTGAAGGACGGGACGATCGTGGTAAGTGCGTTGACGCTGGCCAGGGAATACAGGAGCTTCTCCTGCAGGAAAAGGCCCGAAGAGATGCCGACAGTACCGTAGGATAAGTATCTTCCAGCGTGGGCGACCCAGTCGGTGGAGTAACGGAAGGTGTGAGCGGGCATCGGGCGCCCCAGACACATCCCCAAGATGATAATGGCGGGTTGGGATGGGCTCGATTGCTCCGTCCTGACTGACTCGGTGATGGTCCTGCGGGAGGATATTTGGAACACGATACTCGTCAAGCCGTACAGCGGCGCGTTCGCGAGCGACCTCCAGACAGGTATGCTGAAGAGGACGTGTTTCCCAGAGGCGACAAACTCCGAGAGGCAATAGTAGCGCAGGTAGGAGACCGCAGCTTGAACCTTCTCAATCGCTCGTTTCGTGTGGCTCGTGAACAGTTGGTCGAAGCTAGAGAACTCGTGGCGGAATTGCATCTCTGGTAATCTAGCAATGAGCGTGGAGAATCAACACAGACGAATACCCTTACGGCTGAAATCCAGAATGATATGTTTGAAGTCCACGTCAGACTCGGAGACTTCCCGAAGGTTGGGAGGTTTGGCCGACATCGACTCCTTGTACGCAGGCGACTCCCGGAATATCGCTTCCCAGTCAGCGAGGTCCTGCACCAAACTGGCGTGATCAACCATCTTCACGCTGACCTGGAACGCGATGCGCCAATTCTGGTATGAGAAGTTCTCGGTGCTACACCGAGGTATGAGCAAACCGGCTGTTGGCAGATAATATTAGTAGACGTACCTGGCTTCGGATTGGTAGCTCGACATGGGCTGCAAGAATCCGTCCTTGAGGTTGATGACGAGTATGGCTGTGCCGTCGTTGCGGAGACGAACAACGGGGGCCTTAAATGTGACCTTGAACTTGTCTTCGAACTGCCAGGAAGTCATGACCGAGGCCATGTAGCGGTTCACGGCGGTCTCGGAGAGAGCGGTGATCTGGTCGTAACCACACATGTCGCCTTCCTGGATAATTCTCCGCCATGCCGTTGTCCTTGTGTGCATCCCACCGCCCTCGGCCCCGTCCCGACCCGCATACCAAACGGCACTCTCGTCGATGTTGATGTCGCCGTCCTCCCCGTACCCTGTGATAGAGCGCCAGCGCAGATCGTGTTCGTAGATGATATTGTACCCGGCATTCTCGATGATGTTCAAGTATTCGTCGGAGATGAAGGAGATGATGTAATCGACCCATGTCAGCACGGTCCCGTCTTCACTGTCGAAATCGACATCCCCGAAGAACGAGAAGGCTTCTAGAAGGTGACTGCCTGGATATAGAGGTCAAAAAGATGACGTGGAAGTGATGGCGGAGGCGCATGACATACTCGCGATATCGACTTTGCATCGGATGACATTGCCATCGTGCTCCGGTGGCTTCTCATAGGAGAAGTTCATTATCACAGCGATCTCCCATTCGCTGAAGCTCTTCACCGGCTGCCTAAGAAAAGAATCAGAATACGTCGAATCATGTGTAAGCGACCGACGTACCCTTCCCACTTGCTACCATTGTAAAGGAACACTTCGTCGACGACGAATGTCATGATGACTTCATCGTTGCACCAAGCCGTGACTCGAGGAGTCCCAAATGTGATGTAATAGGAGTACGCCTGGTCCATGTACCGCCACGTGCCACGATATTCCGCGAAAGATGTACCGGACCGGTCGCTTAATGCATCGGTCTGGATAGAGACAAGCATAGCAGCCTTCAGCCAGACGGTGGACAGGTAGTCGTTGATCTTCCTGAGTGATACGCCGTGGATCTCATCCAACTGAACTAACTGTCGCAGCGCGACGTCGGCGATCCACGAGTAGTTAATTGTGGTAGGGACGTCTCCTTTGTCGTTCTCGAAGTTGGGGAGAGAGAACAGGACGTGATGGCCAGCGGACTGCAAGAACTCGAGATATTGTTCGAGATAAAATTCGAGAGACTGTTGTCCTTCGACTGGAGGAGCTGGCTGATGCGTCCCGTCTGGCTCGCGGATAGACGTTCGGATGAGCTTCGCGCCTGGTTGCCGGTCAATGATATGCCCGCGAAACCAACACCCGCGAGCTTACTCTTGTAATCAAACACCAACATCCGAATCTTGTGTTCTCCGCCCCCAATCGAAGCAGTATAGCCTGCGACCACGTCGATTTTGAACGGTACACGGTAGGTAAACGTGGTATTCTTCGGTATGTCTCTCTTGCGAGAACTGTAGATGATGATACAAGATATGGTTAGACAAGCGCAGGGCGACGTTGATCAAGACCAGCTTACTGATTGGCGTTCGCAGTCTCATTTGCGCGCCCATGGTCGAGATTGTAGTGACCCTCGGCCACCGTGATTTCCAGGAGCATTTCATGATTACAGAGGGAGACGAGCACCGGCTTAGCGAAGAGAGCTTCGAACATCAGATCGTCTTTTGAGTCGTCCGTACGCTCGAAGCTTGCCGCGCGGTACCGGCCGAGATGCCAAACGACGAGCGCAAGAGAGTACCCTACACACCGAGGATGTTAGCGACGAGCATCTAAATCAAGAGGGTGACGCACGGTGCTGTCTTTCTTCAGGTTTGAAAGGCCCATTATCCTCCACATGTTTCCGCCAACAACGATCCGCGATGGACCAGAGAGACAAGAACTGGTCGTTACAGTACTCGACGACGTGTTTAGCGTTATTATCGCCGAAACACATGTTGAAGAGGGAGAGTGTTCAAGGAGCGCTGGACTAACGGTGGTGCGTTTGAGGCTTTATATATCTACGAACTGGCATCTCGTGTTCTGCACGGCTGTGGCTGAGACTGAGTGTCCTGTCAGTTAGTCCACGGTGCAACGGCACCCGAGAAAGATTGGAAGACCTTGTGACGAAACGTTCGAGCGCGTGATTCGAGTTGAGTGTATTCGAGTGCCGGATTGGAAGGAAATTCTGCATGTTTCTTGGAACCGGATCAGAAACGGTGCGTCCCAATTTTCGTAGGCCGGGAATGGCGTCAAAAGCCGCGATCTACGGTCGCGAGCAATACGTTACTTGCCCAAAGAAAGGCAATTCCTTCACAAGGATGTACCAGAATGAGACGTGGACGATACATGTTAGGACCTCGTTTTCTGGGAATGCACGTAAGGGAATGTGCCAAGATTTAGCGGAGTTTTCGAATGCGTACATCAATGCTATACACAACCAGAAGGAATCAAAAACGCCACAACGTGGACCATCGTCGACATATGGGCATCGCTTACCGTCGAATGAATGAAGGGTCCTCCCGAATAACAAGTCGTGGCTCGGCAAATGAACATTCTTCATGCTGTATGTTAGGGTTCAATTCTTCTATGCTGTCAAAGGTACGCAACGTGGTTTCATGCAGGTCAGTGTGAGATGGCGCAGATGATACGACCACACTAGTCTTTGCCAGTCGTGTGTGGGCGAGTCTAAGAATTGGTTACTGTCAAAACTTCAATATCGGACTTCAAGTCACTAACCAACTTATCATCCGTTCCGAACTTGAAATCGTCGTCAGAACCGAACGGGGATTACGAGCACTGCTACGGTTCTTCATTAGGGGACTACATTCTGGGAGCGAATTGCCGTTATTGATGGAAGTCAGCTCGTCCATGCGAAATTATGGGAGAACGGGTCAGAGTGTATGATGATCTGCATGTCCTGAGGTGGAGCCCCACCGACCTAGGAGCGCGGCCCGCATCGACTGACCGTTACGACCTCAGAAGGTGATACACGCGGGCTGACTTTGAAAGGACCCTAGTGGAGAAGTGATGGGTGCGGTAGCGGCAATCTCGGAGCTGCTGTAGCGTAACACCATTAGACCGATAATCGCTGTTGCTGCGGCAATGCTTGGTGCACGCTGCGAGGGCCATGCAAAACACCGTTCAGACACGCGGCCTCCGACCAGCATCTGCGACTAACAGAGTTAGATTGCATCAGGGGATGGAACCCTCCAAGTACAAGGCACAACACACCACGATAAGACTGCCATGCAGAGCGTTCTGTAGCTTCAAACTGGCACGAACGACACGAATGAGCCCCATTGTTGTGTCTCCGTTTGTTACAATTCGTCCAAGGAATGTATATACCGACTATAGTCGAAAAGCTGTGAGGTTTACATCCACCGAACACGAGAGTCGAGACAGACGATAGCCTACTGACGCTCAAGCTCTTGGCCTGAGCGTCCCGCAGCCATAAACGGAAGAAATACGTTCAAGCAACTCAACGTTGGCTCCGAAATCTGATTCATTCTGCATCGGGTCGCGCTGCAAATGTTGTAATTGTATCGACACGGGGGAATCAATACGCAGCCAACATGTCATAACGTCGATGTCAATATTAAACGACATATCGTCTTTTCGTCAGTCTCAAACGAAATTTCTGCGCCCGCCTTCATCTTCATCAGCACCGGGAATTGCGATCCGAAGCGCGTTGAACATGAGCAGGACGGGTTCAGAGAGCAGACCAAGGCCCCTGTCAACGCGGAGCGCGGACGACCGCGCGAGAAGGCGGCGGTGCCAGCTTAGCTGGCTATGGGTTGGCGCAGTTCAAGGGCGCGACCGTAAACTCGTTGGTGGCTATGCCCACTCTAAAGCACATCTCCGTCACCCTCGTGCATTCTGACCGCGAAAGCACGTAAATGCGCCTGGGAGCGAGGCCATGTGGCGAACGTTGCCAGTATCATCCCGATATGGCGTGTAGCACATCCATGGGCCCGTGAAGTCCAGTCCAAATCCATCCAGCTCCAAAGACACTCAATGGCCCACACCGCTCACCACCGCCTTCAGCCTCTGCCGCAGCCTTGAACCCTCGTCCGAGGTCGCAGCGGTAGCGCTCGTGGGTTCCGCGGTGACATGCGTCGCATACGTAGGGGGCACGGCAGCCGACTCCTGTATCACCTTCCGCGCTGGACTGGGAAGTACTTGTTCGTGGTGTATCACCGACGGTGGTGCCGATGCCGCGTGCGCTGGGACGTGCTCAGGATTGTGCAACGGCGCGATGCCAGAGAGCCGCCCGCCAAGCTTGGCGTCCGCAGGAACGTCCGCGTCATCCACCCACTCGATGCTCTCGCTGAGCACTGCAACGCGCGTCCAACGGCGGTACCGCGTATACTTCAGGGACAAAATCAGCCACAGCAAAGTCACACAAAAACTGAGAAGGCGCACCTTGCCCAACCCGCCTTTCGCGCAGCCGCCTTCCCACTTATTGTCGCCATACACCCACCCATCGGGATCCGTGAACGGCTCCTCGTCCTCGTCCTGCGTCCTCGCGTCTTCGGCAGCCTTCTCGCCCTTTTCGCCGTCAGACCCTGCACTGCCCTCCTTCACATGCGCGTCGATCTCCTTCATCCTGCTCTCCGAGCTGAGGTCGAGGCTCGCGCCACGGAACTTGCCTGCCGCGCGAAGGATTTTGCCTGCGCTCGCGCCCGCGCCCTCTTCGATGAGCGACGGCAGCGGGCGCTCGACGCGCGTCGCGGACGAAGCGCCGTCCTTGCGCACGACGATCTTCCACTCGGGCTCCTCCCAGCGCCATGCCGCGGTACGCTTCATCCACCGCCTGCCTCCCGCCTTCGATTTCTCCTGCGGCTTCTCTTTCGATTTCTTGTGCGCATGCGACGGGGCGTCTGCCGGGTCCGGGACGTACATCGTCGTTGGCGGCGGCAAGCTGAACGCAGCAGGCGGAGCGCAGGGCTGCAGGGAGCGCGAGCACCATGAGGGACGTTCGGCGGGGAGGAGCGCGGCAGTCCAGTCGAGGCCCATCCACCAGCGTTGATTCTCGTATACCGTGAACAGGAAGCGTATCGCACTTGGCGGGGCATCCGCTTGTTTTTCGCTCGCTGCTCCAGAGACCTTGCCGCTGGGTCTCAAAGCAGCGATTGATATCGATATGTCGGGTTGTGGAGAATGGATGCTGCCCGAGAGCGGTGTCCCTGAGACCTTGGCCCAGGTCCAGTACACACCCCAACGGAAGTGCGCACTCCGCCAGAGTGCACGTCGGATGAGCACGGCGAAGGGTGCGCGGTGTAAAATGATGAGACTGCCAGCGATGCCGAGCAGCGTACGGATGCGCACGACGCCTGTGAGCGTAAGGAGGAGATACGGCGGGTATACGAAGGCCAGGACACGGAGAGTGGTATACAGGGGAATGGACGGCGCAGGTGATTCAGATGTTCCGGTTTGAGCTTGGTTTGGATTAGGTGGATTGCTGGTTGGTATAGATAGCAAAAATTCATGAACAGTCGTTAAATCCGACACAGTTCGCTGCAGTGTCTCCTCCGTCGCAGGTTGTGGTTGAGTAGCGTGTCGTGCGGAACGTCGTGTGATCCACCACCAAGCGACAACAACGACAACCGGAAGCAAGTATCTACGACCAGACAGTCATTAAACCAGCGTAGATGCAGTCGAGTGTACGTATCCAAGAATAAGGCTCAACTGACGTACCTCAACACCACCTCCGACCCTAGGCATAGTCCCCACCACGCCGCAAGTAGCAGCCAGCTCTCGTCCCAGCTCCCTTTCCAGCTCAGTATTTCCAAAACCCATCGCACAAAGCGAATTTGCGGCGCTAGCGAGACGAGCGAGATCGTGAGAGGGGACGGCAGCATCGTGAGGAACTGGGTGACGGTGCCGACGACGGGCGGCCTCGGAGAGTCTTGCGCAAGTTTGGACATTATAGATTATGGTGTGTGGGGTTACAAGAGCGCATCAGGCGTCGTTTGAGGCCGTACAGAGTAGAGAGCGCGGCGAGTGCGCTGCAAGCAGTGCTCAGACGAGACAAGGCCAGAATCACGAGCCTCGGAGGGGGATTCTTGCCATTTATATATAACGCCACAAGGATGGCGCCTGCGGACAAATCCACTACACAAATTGATAACCCACTAGTATGTAAACACAGACATTGAGTGATATATTGTAAGCGAGAGATTCCATTCTCTTCATTGAATACGAAGCGTCCAAGAGAGATCTAGGGCCCAAACTAATAATACGGATGGGAAGAGTAGGCAGTCAACAATGCAGTAGCAGCGGCAGGAGAAGACGGGTGCGATGTGTGAGGTGAGTTCAACAGAATACGAGGTATGACAGTTACACAAAACGTCCACGAAGACGGCGAGGGTCGACGTGGACGCGATGCAGCACCCGCCGAACAGCCGGCCTGTGTGATGGGTGGTGTCGGCGTGTGGCGTAGCGTGTACTATGGTATTTGGCTGGCCCGGAATCCAGCAGGGCGGTGCCGTCTATGGATTACGACGATGGGTAATTTTCAGTGGAGCGCGGGCGGGCCAGGGGAGTGATGTCGAGGGAAAGTGTGATGATGCGGCAGCGGTGGTAGGGCGGGTGGTAGTACGGGAAAATAATGATGACGTACGACAAACATGCGCATAAAATCCTGCAACAGCGCGAAACAAGGAGGGAGGTGACAAACAAGCATAACAATGAAGCGACAGTGGGGAGGAGACTGAGTCCATGTGATGGGTGAGGGCGACCGAAACCTGAGTAATATGCAAAACGAAGAATGTGTAGATGGATGGCAGAAAAGTCCGAACCTCATGGCACATCATATCAGGCTTCGTGAACATTATGGCCACTCCGCTCAGATACGCGAGCCTGGGTCCAGGGGACCGAGCGGTCCGTACTTTGCTCCCGAACCTCCGCCGCTTCGCTTCTTTACATGTGTCCGATATGGCTCTGCCGCCGAGCTGAGGCCATCCACGGGTCCTGTCGACGAAACCGGTGACGACGCTGCTGTCCGTGACAGGGGCGTGTACTCGCCAGGCCTGTCGGACAGCTGGTACCGCTGCGGGCTTGGCGTCTGTGAAGCTCCACGATATTGTGGCCGGTCGTCGTACCCGTGCTCGAGCATAGATTCGAGCTCCGAGGCCGATACGCTCTCGCCGCTGACGGACGCTTGGGGCATGAGACCTATCGGCGGTGGCGGATACGACGCGCTGTTCTCGTTGTAACCACCGATTTGCGCGGCCCAGTGCTCGTCTTCTGAAGATGTAACCGATATAGTATCTGATCCTCCATACTGGCTATGCACAGGTGATCGAACCGTGAGAAGCTCACCGTTCGCAGTCATGTACGAGCCATGTTGGCGCTCGAATTCGCGTCGTCGACGTTCTTCACGGCGTAGCTTGCGCAAGCGGGATCGCTCCCAGTCTTCCCAGCGCCGCAACGGTATTGAGGGGCCAGAGTGTGCGGCTCCGCCATCTCCATGCGCCTCACCCTTCGCTTCACCTTCGACCTTCCTGTGAAAACGACCGTATTGAGCGCCGTGATAGTTATAACGCGATGTGAACTCACCGTGTCTCTCCCCAAGAGAAGTCATCGAAATGCCAGAACGCATACACCGGCAGGATGAGATTCCATACTGGCAACGCCGCAAGATAGATGAGCATCCAGAAGACGTACACCACTTTGCGCGTTGTGATCAAGATTAACACGGCTGGAAGACCTAGAACTGCAATGAGCAGAACGAGAGGAATGGCTTCCTCGAACGTCTTAGGCGGGTCGAGTGCCATGTTGATAATGAGGGAATACGTCAGGGTGATGGCAATCGGCAGAACGACGGTACCCAGGAGATCCATGAACACCACGAACTGCATACTGAAGCAGAACGTGCCGCAGAGGTTGCGCACGAGGACCAGCTCCATGAGGTTGTGGATGGTCGAGTTGATCCACCGACGGCGCTGCGAGAGCAGAATCTTAAACGTGTCGGGGACGACGGTCCTGCATCTTGCTTGCGGCAAAAACATCATCTTTCGGTTTGGGAACGTTCGCAGAAGGATGGTCGTCAAGAAGCGATCTTCACCGAGTAGAAGTAGATTCTTCTCGTGAAGAGTGGTGACGATACTTTGACTGTACTCCTTGACGATTTCCGGCTTGATAATAAGGGGCACCCAATCCTCGCCTGTCGACTTTCGCGCCTTCAATCGGAACATGGAAAAACACCCGGGTAAGCAGGAGACACCACCGAAGACGGATTCGAACGCCTTTGCCATGTGGTGTGAGATGAAGTACTCGAAGACCTGGATGGCGGTGACCCATGACTGTCTCTTGTTCGCTATCCGGGTTTCGCCGCAGACACCCATAATCATCTGATCGTGGTGCATACAGTTGACAAGGTACTTCAACGAATCGGGGGCAACTTTGGTGTCGGCATCAACCTAGAAGCCGAATATTATTAGCAGGTTCTCCAAAGTATGCAATATCGCCACCATACCATCAAGCAGACCTCAAAAAAGTCAGGTGTGACCCCCATGAGAATATGGATCTTCCGGAAGAGATCGAAGTCGAGAGGTGTCATTCGATCGTTGTACGTGACGCGGGAGAAGAAGTTCATGAGGATAAGCTGACTGTCGCGCTTCCCTCGGTTGCCTGGTTTCTTGTCTGTCGCCGCCTCCCTCTCTGTTCCACATTTGACGACAATAATGGTAGGTGTACGGCGTCCTGCAACAGCTGCAGCCAGAAGTCAGTAGATGAGCAGCCGCAATAGTAAAGTAAAACGCACTATAATGTCCTGCGTACACCATTGCTCGGTTTTCCGCCTTGACGCCTGCGCCAACGGCATTGTAACTCATCGGAACAGGGTTTCCAAACCTTGGATCCGCCTCCAGTACACTGACACAAATATCCGGTGTACTCTTCTTTTCTCCAGCACCGGTGATCATACCGTCCGCCACGACGAAGAGCAGTTTCCGCGCGTCCGAGTAGGTCGTTGTTGATATCGAATCAAGGGTCGTACGCAGCGAGTCCTCGCCTTCCGAGTAACACGTTACGAGGCAAACTGCGAACAGCTCGGCGCCAATCTGCGCGAGCGAGACGATGGGCGCGGTACCGTCGTTAAGAAGTGTGGAGTTGCTGGACGCGAGGGAACGCATGGACTTGCTCGGCACCGTAAGCTTCTTGCCGCTGGCCCACGGGGCAGTGCCGTTCGGGTTATCAATTGACATGTTCGCGCCTTCAGGCATGACAGCGGGGCTGATGGCCGAGCGGTTAAGCGACATGGTGTCCGGCGGGCCTGCCAGCCTGGCAGAGATGAACCAGCTGAAGATGCAGGACATGACGAAACGGACCATGACGAGCGATAGAATGACGATGAGGCCAGCGTACAGAATCAGCTGGGAAGCGAAACAACCAGGCGTGATCTTGTCAATGTTTCCGGCGTAGTAACGTTGGATAAGGCACGGAACTGCGGCCCTGGTCTCTGGGTAAAAAAAGAACAAGCGTGTTCCGTCGCGCCCGCTGTCTCCTGGCATCTGCGTGAGGATCTGGCGAATGGCGGCGTCAACCGAGTCGCTAGGGATGGGGGTGGGGTGAAGAGCCATATAGGAATTCATGTCAAGGACAGCACCGTCGAGAACAAGATAGTTCTGGAGTTGTGCTACGTCGGACCAGTCGTAACCAACGATGAGACTAGTGTTCACCATATTGAGGCTGGAGAGCGTTTGCTGATTCAAAGTGGGCAGCGTGCAAGCGTTGTTACCGCACGGAGCTTCTGCAGCTGCTCTGAAGCTGAGACCGTTGCAGGCAGGGTAGCTGCTCGCGTCGCGTTGAAAGAGTGTCGTGATATCTTGGCCGGGCGACTCGAGTAATGTTCCAAAGTTGACTCCGTTGACCTGTGGAGTCTTGGTGACGTTGACCAGCCAGCCCTGGACTCCGAGCGTGTCCGGTCTTGTTCCTACGCGAACGAACTTTCCTGCAGTCTGCGCGCTCCCCGGACAGAGCACCTTCTGAAAGCCGACGGTGAGAAAGCCGATGAAGGTGCACATTATAGCAATGATGAAACAAAGGCCAATCTTCTCTCTCCATGCCTGCTGTATCTGCTTTTCCTTCAGGCCTCCAACAGACGAAAGGAGAAATGACGGTGCCCAGAATGTCACGATTCGCGAAAAGATGCGCCATGCGTCCCATGGGATCTCGGTTGAGGATACATCGGAGCCACCAATTGGGGCATGCTGTGGTGTGATGAGCGGGACCGGTGCGACGCTGCGCTCTGGGCGTGTAAGAGTTTTTGCACGTCGAACTGTCGCTGAAGAGTGTGGTGGTCGTTGGGTAAGGATAGGAATGTCCGATGGGTCGACCTTCCGAGACATCCTACGTCGAAACGAAAAAAGAACGAAAGCAATGGCACAGCGGCCGAGGAAAGTAACGAGTGTCGGGGATTGCCACCAAAGGCAAACGTAAAGACGAGCTTGACGACGCGGGCGACGTTGACGACGACGAAAGACGGATGTGTTGGCGCTAAGTGGGGCATCTTGATTTGAGTACAGACATGGTTTAATCAGACAAGTCCATAACAAGCTAGATAACAGGTTGTAAGACAAAATTAGCCTAGCAACTTGACCTCGAGATGACTGCGGGCAACGACAACGGCACTTAGCAGCGACCTGACACAGTCTGGAGCTCCTGACATGTCCGTTTGCGAGTACATTTACTCTCCTATATGTGCCTCCACCCCAGCGATTGCATTTCTCCCCGCCGCCAATCTTAATATCTTATCATTTAGGACCATGTGAACACTCGCGACAGTATCGGCAGCGATTCTCCACGTTTCGCGAGGCCACGTCTATCTTGACTCTACTCTTCGACGACGTCTCTGAATCCTGTCAGGATGGTCAGCGCAAGTGAGAAACAGGCATTGCTGCCGCGCACCCGCAAGGACAAGAAAGCTCGCTATGCCCTGGTCATTCACGGAGGGGCAGGGACAATGTCGAAGGATGGGTCGACACCTGAACAGAGGGCGAAGTACAAGTCTGCCCTCAGGAGGGCCTTAGAGGCAGGTTATGCCGTGTTGAAGGAGGGTGGAGAAGCAATGGACGCGGCTGTTGCGGCAGTGTCGTCCATGGAAGGTCAGTAGCCGGGGATATATCGCCGTCGCTCCACAGCTTAAAGATCTCGCGCGCAGATTGCCCACTGTTCAATTCTGGCAAAGGTGCGGTATTCAATGTCGAAGGCAAGGTAACGCAACGCGCCCACCTATTTGACGCGTGGCTTACCAGGCGCGCCATGACAGAACGAGCTCGAGTCCTCCATCATGCTGTCAAAGCCCCCTGCTTCACATGAGGATATCCTTTCGTCCCGACGAGGCTTCGGTATCACGCTCTTGCGCCATGTCCGCAACCCGTCCCAGCTCGCGCGCGCCTTGTATCTTGCGCCAACCGCTGCACCCCATACAATGCTATCTGGCCTACCCGCTGAGAAGATCGCGGAGGAGCTCGGCGTAGAACTTGTCGACGAAAGCTACTTCTTCACCGAAGCACGGTGGAGGGAACATAGGCGGGGGCTTGGCCTTCCCGAAGAGCCTCTACCTTTCCCGGTCAAGGAAAACGCAGGGGCAAAGGACGTCACTCTCGACCAGCTTCCCACAGGTACGGTTGGAGCTGTCGCTTTGGATACTCGAGGCTGTATTGCTGCCGTAACGTCCACTGGTGGACGTACCAACAAGTTAGCAGGACGTATCGGGGACACTCCTAGCATGGCGGCTGGCTTTTGGGCTGAAGAGTGGAATGTGAAGGGTCGTCTCCGGAGGTTCTGGAACCAGGTCACAAGAAAAAGGAACAAGGTCGCGGTAGGTGTTAGCGGAACGGGCGATGGCGATGTGAGTATATATATGCGTCTGTTGACAATATGTACTGATGGGCTTGTTGCCATTGCCTGCTAGTATTTTATCCGTCTTGCTACTGCCTCTACAGTCGGGCGCCGCATGAGGTATCTCCACGAGCCGCTCGAGAAAGCGGCCAAGCATTGCGTAGAGGAGCTTCGGCGAGATGGTGGTATTGGTGGTGTTATAGCGCTAGACAATAAGGGAAACGGTGCGCATAGCGTATTTTATCCATTCAAGCGTCGTCCTCAAATATTTTCGCAGTCGCAATGCCCCTCAACTGTTCCGGAATGTACCGAGGTGTCATTCACGAAGACGGTGTACCCAAGACTGCCATCTTCGATGACGACGTTCTGAGCTGAATAGCCGTCGATACCTTTGAAAAAGTCGCCATTGTTAGATTTTATAGAACCTTTGTATCACATCTACTCGAGAAACGAGTTGCATCTAGGCTTGAGCGAACGCCACGAAGCCGAGCGTTTAGTGTTGAACGCGCCACGTAAGGCAGGAATATCAATTTTGTTCTCGACCTGCATGTCGTCTGCGAAACGACCCACTGTGCAGGATGTTCGAGCACGGCATCTCCGTACCTTGCGACTACTTTCTGTTTTAGGTCTTTCTCTCGCTATCTTACTGGCATTTGCGGCTTCGCATCTCCCACTATTTGACTCATCACCGCTCCTCCTGGTTTCACCTGAAGAAGGCCTTCTGGCAAAGGGAACATCCTCTTTGCTTCGCTGGGATACGTTTCACTTCGCGCACATTGCACAAGAGGGATACGTCTACGAGTATGAGTGGGCATTCTTCCCCGGCACGCCGTTCGTCATGCGAGCCTTCGGCGAACTCTTGCGCCGCCTGCGGGCGGACAGCAAGCTGACAATCGCCCACCTGCTGGCCGGCGGAGGTCTCGCATCGCTACTATGTGGGACTACGACCACACTGTACGACTTAACGATGCACTGCTTCAACTCGCCGTCGGTAGCGTACCTGACTTGTCTACTGTCGCTGCTCCCGAGTAGTCCGGCTACTTTGCGCTTTTCGGCGTCTACGGAGCCGTTCTTCACTTATTTCTCGTATAGAGGTAAAGAATATTATGTGACTTGATTACCGCTGCGCTGACATATGGCAAGGGATGCTGTGTTGTGCTAGGTCCGAGTGGCTGCATGCATCGTTGTTCTTCGCCGTGGCGTCAACGTTCCGCTCGAACGGCTTCATGCTCGGAGGGTACATCCTCTGGGGCCTGTTTGTCGGCCCATTCTTTGGTAGACAAAGTGCAAGTCGCGTTTTACTCGGCGTTATACCTGTTACTTACAAGCTCTGACAGATATCCTTGTACCGTCTTACAAAGGCTGGGTTTCTCACCAGCCTAGTGTTCACGCCTTTCTTATACCACCAGTATAATGCATACCTCACCTTCTGCGCTGGCGAAAACGTCGGTGATACACCGCCCTGGTGCTCCTCGACGCTACCCTTCATATACAGCTATGTCCAGGAAAAGTACTGGAACGTGGGCTTCCTGCGCTACTGGACACCCTCACAAGCGCCGAACATTTTGCTCGCTACGCCCGTTCTCGGCGTGCTGCTCACATTTTGCGTCAAACATACGCTCAACACCACGATTCCACTTATTCTATCCCATCCCTTATTCTCGCCCCTTTCAAGGTTATTCCCGGCTTCTCTCCGAATAGCGCGTTCGACCCCGTCGTTCCTGTCGAATAAGGACATCGTCCCCCACGCTCTGCACGCGCTCGTACTGGGCCTCGTCCTCCTCTTTGCCGCGCACACGCAAATCGCTCTCCGTCTCGCGGCGTCGTTGCCGACGACGTATTGGGCCGCAGCATGGCTCGTGGTCGAACATCCCCGTGCGGGAAAGTGGTGGGTAGCCTGGAGCGTAGTCTGGGGTGCGATATCAATCGTGTTGTGGGCCGTTTTTCTGCCCCCTGCTTGAGAAAGCAGTAGTAATAGGATACGGTGCTAGTATATGATCTAATTGTGCGAGGGAGCGTAGGGTGCCATAGGGCGAAAAGCGAGAGGAAACGGGACAGGAGAGATGTAATGCGAAGTGCCCGATCGTGCCACGATGCATGTTTATGAGGTGTCTACATGAAGGTGCATGAAAGATGACAGAAAATGGCTTTGCAGAGAGAAAACAAAGACGAAAATTCGAGTGTAGAAGAATTATGCGAGGGACGGCGCAGGCGCAGGAGACTCTTCCCGGGCAGCCTCCATGCTGACCTGGAGGATGTGCGAACTGTCCGAATGCGCGATGCCCACTTCGGCAAGCTGTGTGTCGCGATGAACGCCTAGGGCCAGGATGTCGCCCTTCTCGAGGTCGGCTGCGTCCTCGTGATGCCTCTCAACGATGTGGATGTGGAGCTGGTCGCGGATGACGGCCTCGGGCGTGGAGATAAAGATCTTGCCTTCCCAGAAGGCGAGCACGGTGAGCACGAAGAGCACGAGCCACGTCACGCACATGCAGATCGTCATCACGAGGTTCCAGATGTGGAAGCCCTGCACGTCGAAGATGTCACCCAGCTTGCGAAGCGTTAGAATCCAGCCGACTGTCAGTTGTGGATCAGTTTGTGGATAGCTAGTCGAGGGCAGGATCGCGTACCGTTTGGGAAGGTCAGTGCCCAGCAGCCCAAGATCTCGCTCAAGTTTTTGTGCAGCTTAAACCAGTAAGGCAGCGCGCCAAAGATAAAGAAGAATATTGCCAGGCCAAAGAGCAGCAACGCCGCCATGATGCTGCCTGCGTACCATACATCGCCGGCAACATCCGAGATGAGCTGGCGACTCTTCAAGCTGAAGACAAAGCTTCAGCATGCGTTACAAAATACGATAAAGAGGGGACACACATGTCTCTGGAGTAGTCTCCAAGGTTGATGAGCGCAAGGGCGGTGAACCCTGGAGGACCACAGGCGATGAAGGCACCGTTAGCTTGATGGCCGTCCATGAAGCCAGTCTAGAGAGCTGTGAGACCTCGAACGTAATTTCGGAGGATGATACTCACAGTCATGATTCTGATAAGTGAATATAAGCATCACGATCAGTAGTGGAAAAGTTACGGACAGTGCTGACCGGAGGATATAGATGCATATATAGAAAAAGGTCATGAAAAAGCCGAGACCTGTGCAGAAGTGTTACGGCGGCCTGATCAACCCGAAGTGAGAGGGCATACCTTGGAAGATGTAGCCTGTGAGTAAAACTCCCAAGGCTCGAGGCTCTTCTGGAGCGATGACCTTCAAAGTGTTGAATGCAACCACTCCGACGAGCATCTGCTCATGCGCATTCAATGTATATCCTTTTTGAGCTAGACACCGAAACGTACCATGGGAAAGACCTATGTAAATATTGTTTAGCCTCAATAAAGGTTATTCGGAGGGAGTGACATTAAATTTACCAGGAAGGCCCACGCTGGCGTGAACTTTGCCAGATCATGCGGTTTGTTAAACCAGACCATGAGCATCGGGAAACAGATCGCGACAGAGAGTGCAACATATGTCCTGTTCGACCCGTTAGGCCCAAAAGATACCAAGCTAAATTGCATCAAAGCGAACGAACCAGAATAAACCGTAAATAAAGTTCGGCGTGACACGACCCGACGGGATTCCATAGTTAATGGTGCCAATGATAATAGTCGCAAATGACAAGACCTGGAATAGTCTGTGTATTAGCAGGGAATTCAAGTCGTTATACGTATGAACAGACCATAAGGGGTACGAAGATCCCCGTCGCTGGGTCAGTAATGAGTCGACGAGCTTGCCGCGGGTAAACTGCGGGTAATGTCAAACCGTGTAGTGAAAGGCAGGGGCAAACGTGGTCACGTACGTATTAATTGGAGAAGAAGCGTACTAGTGTTGAGAAGAAACAGCACCATGTTCAAGAAATAGAAGACAGTCTCGACGACGGTCAGAGGATGGCCGGGGTGATTCTTCAGCCCAGCAAGCGTTACATATACGGCGCCGGTGCCCATACCAATGGGATACTAGCGAGAATTTTTGAGTCGTGACCAAAGAAAGCTAGACTGAATCACGTACTGCTTGCCATGACCATCCATGTATGCGCCGCGAAATCTGACTAACATGGGCCCTTGCGTGGGCAATGGACTCTGATCTGTGAAGCCGGCGAGGGACGCTATCTCGCGACATGGGAGGGCTTCGAGAGATGTATTGTAGCTGTTGTGAAAGTCAAGATCGACATCAGCATCTGACCATGGGTCGCACAGAACGGAAAAGCTTACCAGAAGCGATGTGTAGAACAGAGTATAGAAGCAGAATCTAGGTTGGTAAGACAAGTAACAGGTCTCTATGTCTAGAGAAGTTATTGGGCGTTTCTAAGCGATAAGGGAGACTGCAGGTCTACTGCAAGAGGAGAGTGGGGCAAAGTCCCGAAGCATTCGCGTCGTTCTTATATTCCACGAGAATCGAAGCAAGAATATAACAGACGCCAAGCAGCAGTGCATTCTTGAGGTTTTACCGCCACGAGGTCTGCCGCAGAGTTGTTATCGGCTACGCCAAGATCTAGAGTGCAATCTGGAGCGCCGAGGCGTGGGTGGTTTCGGGCCTCTCCGCTGGCTTCTCACTGGCTGGTATGGCGCACACAAGCACGACCAGCCAGGCTTGGGCGCAGGTAAAATCATCACCATCGCATAGCAGCAGTAGCGATATAACGAGGTCTCTTGACAGCCGAGCCTTGGCGGATTCTAGCTCCTGCTTGGCGGACGGGGCGTGGTGGCGTTGGTGCTGCGGGAAGACGGCGATTTGTGAGAGGTCAGACACACCACACAATATGCATCATGTTGGCCGAATGTTCCGGCAATAAACGAGGCCAGTGTCATGAGCTGTGTGAGGACTACAGTTGCTTCAGCATCAGTGTCCTTACTGAAGAGAGTTAATTCGGATGTCGGAAATGATAACTTCAGCTCAGGCCTTAGAGCAATGTAGGCAAGAGCACAGGAAGGATGCTAGAGAGACAGGAATGCGGCGTAGGCAGGTATGCATCACAACATGTTTCTTGAGATATGGACTTTGCGATGAGGAAGGAACAAAACTGGAGTAGGCGCTTGCTAAGTCAAAAAGCGGAGAGGTTCGGGAAATGACAGGAATGGCCGAGACGGGCCTATGTACAAGTGCTCGTCGTACAGTAAATTAATGTACGGTCTCTTTGCAAATGAGGCCAGTGAAGCTACTACGTACGTCTCTACCTGTGGAAGCTCTTCTCTGAAGTTTGGACAGCCGATGCACTTCACTGTACAGTAGTCTCCGTTGACCAAGCAAATAATATTCGCATGCGACACGAGATCCTTATTGTCGTTCAATAGTCCTTTTTCATATACTTAACAATAGATACATGCTGAAGTTATCTCTCATGTGGTAATTACCGATTAGAGGGCATGCCTTCCAATACTCAAATGGCAATGACACTAGTACTGACACATACAGTAAGTATAATGGACTCAGTGATTGTGCTTCGTTAGTTCTCATGCGTATTTAATAGACAGGAAAGCCGTCCAAATTCGACGGAGGAAGCAGCCGAATGATATACGATAGATTTAAGGTATACTCCCGCAAGTGGAGACAGGCGCAGCTGACTCTGGGAAAGGCAACCATAAGCTTCCGATCTTAACAGGGACAAATAAGAGGCGGAACTGATGCGCCTCACTCTCTGCCGCTCGAGTGAAGCCAGTAAGCGACGGGTGATTGCATAGCAAGCCGGACCGCAGTAGAGCCTCAGTGGATCTCAGCCGTGGCTAGTACTGGTGTGGTCCGGCATCATCGGACTCTGAGAGTGAACCTGGACCTTTCTGTGGCCGCCAACGTGTCAGGTAGCTACCTGGGGCGCACACATCTGTCTGAGCTCTTTGAAAGGCTGATGAGCTGCATAGCCATCATCAACTTGCACACGGTGGCCAGTGCAGCCAGTGCAAAGCAGTGTTCCTTTCTATTCTCGACCTTCTTCTGCAAGTGAACAAAATGAGCCGCCTTGCACCTCCCCAACTCTCGAGTCCTCAACGTCCAATCTCGCCCTCACAAAGGCAAGGTTGACGCTCGTTCATCAGAATTGGAAAACGGCGCATCAAAATACTAGCGCCCACTATCACGAAACTTGACCGCAACGACCACTGCGCTCGACGTCGGGCATGGTCTCCACCGCTGCGCAGTCTGCTGACCAGCGTAGGGGAGTCTGGGAGCCTTTGCCGAGGTTCGTATATGGATATGCTGTACACTCGTTATCACCATCTGGCCGACGAGATACCCGCCTTTCGAGCCGGACGCGCACCTCGACCTTCACGGACGCCTCCGGCGACGAAAATCTCGTTCATCGCGACGTAGTGTCACTCGAAGTAGGAGATGAGGTGTACGCTTTTGAGAGATACATTCCGAAGGACAAGGAGGTCGAGGGTATTTGGTATCGAGGGTACGTGTTACGCAGTCCTCGGCTGTTCGCTCACTGCATGACGTCGTGCCTGGCAGATACGTCGTGTGTACGTCTCGCCGGCCACCAGTAATATGGACATCTCCTGCCGACCCGTCCGGGTCTATTGGTCAAGCGCAAGTCAAAGTAGACGAGGCCCAGCAGGTCTTCCTTGGCATCTTCCCTGCTTCCCATATCTTTGTCCGTGATGAGCTTAGCGACGCGGAAGGGCGCCTGGCGGACATTGCGACCATGTTCCACAACGTTGCGAACGGGAAGTCCACTGTCAAGGACCTGTACGCGCAATGGAACCGGGATAAAGCCAGCAGCGACGCGCCTTCTCACGACGACGATGACGCGGATACCCAGAGCGTCGCGCCTGGTCGGAAGTCGTTCAAGCTCAATCCGCCTGCGGACCGGGCCAATTCCACTCGTGCGCGTTTGCCAGTGTATCCTGCAAGTATTCGTTCTGCCTCACCGACTCCCACGGAAGTCCAAGTACAGAAGCCGTTGCCCCCACGTCCGTCCCTTCCCCCCGGCGGCGAGACTGCATCCGGGGTCGAACAACCCATTGTCGACGAGATAGCGTCTGCACTACGAGAGTGGCATCTACTCATGTTTCAATATCTCGCGCGACGCGATTACAAGCTTTTCCAGGTTATTCGCGAACAGATCGAGGCGCTTCATCTCGGACGGCGGCAGCTGCTTTCCAAGACGCTCAGTTCAGAGGAGACGGCCAATCTACGGAGACAGTGCGTTGCAAGGCTGGTCCGTGGGAACATCATACAAGGCCTCGATCTCATCGTTCGCCATCCGACATGGGGTGGTCTAGTTACGGTAGATGTCGAGGGCGAGCTGGACGCGCGAAGCTGGATTAGTGCGGTCAGGATGTACGCGATGCAGGTATCTCTGGCCTACATGGATGTATCCCCATCTAATGCATCTGAAATACCCCGTCTCGGTGCCTCCATTGATTACGTGCCTACGTCAGGCCCGCACCCTAGCCCTGCGCCGTCCGCCTTCCCAGATGTCTCTCGAAGTCGCAGTACGAGGTCCCTCGGGTCGCTTGGCAATACCAAACTTCACCAGCCTTCACGAGCCAAGTTCTATCACGTCTTGCTTGACGTTCGGGCCTTTGTTGCGACACCTTGCGCACCGGGGGAGACCGCTGAGCTCTTCTTCTCTCTATACAACCAGGCTCAGTCTAGCTTTGTCTCGGAGGAGTTCTGCGTTGTGCTAAACCACAATGGAGTCCTTGCACGAGACCCCACACGACGTATACGGACGTTGTTCACGGACATTGTGGCCTCCGACGCGAACGACCCGATCTTTCTCGTCTGCTCCATTGTGCGGAATGGTGCGATGAAGATGGGTAGCACCATGGGAAGCATCACGGAGGGCAAGAGGAGCTCCGAGTTGTCGAGCCACCGTGAATCTGGGTCGACCGTCGCGCATAGCTGGGTCGATGTTGGAGAGACGAACAGCAGGGCAGACGCGCCTTCCCAGTTTCGAAGACCATTCGGATGCGCGGTATTAGAGCTGAGGCAGCTGAAGCAGATGGCCACCGAGGGCGTCGAGATCTCTTCGACTAGAGAACACACCATGCCAATATTTGTTGCCACGAATGAAGCCACGTTTTCGATGCTCCATCAAGATATCCTCAACGGTAATAACAGAGAGTTTGAGAAGTCGTCCAGGTATGCCTCCCATCCTTCAACGAGATAGACTTAAGTTGTGACACATTCACAGAGCGGAATGTCTTGCCGTCTCTATCAAGGTTTTCTATGGCGACACCGATACCATTGTTAGAGAGAATTCCTCTCTCCTTTACGATACCCCACTAACCCTGCGCCTCGGATTTCCCGATGTTGTCTTCCCCGGCGACGTACGGAACGAGTTATACATCAAACTTTGGAGCGCCGACTTCTCGTCGACACAGACGAGCACCGCTCGGCGAAGCTTCACTACTTTCACGCGTGGACACGTAGCCGCGGTGACGGGCAACGTGCAGGTGAGCCTCGAGGTCCGCGGCCGTGACGGGAGCAGGATCGACAACGTTATCACACGCTGCAGCGGCGAGACCGAACTCTCGCACTGGAACTCGATGGTCTTCCAACGCACGAGCCAGCCGACGTTTGGCGAACTCATCAAAGTGAAGCTTCCCGCGTCGGGCGCGCAGCAGTGGCATCTCTTCTTCACATTCAAAAAACGAGACACGAAAGAACGATCCTCCAGCCGGAGCGTAAGCGACGGTGTCGAGCGCCCCTTCGCATTTGCGTTCCTCCCTTTGTTCCCCGACGGCCGCGCGTTCCTGGAAGACGGCGAACATATGCTCGCGCTTTATCAAGCAGACCGCTTGAGTCAGCTTACTCCCAGTCTGTACCTCGACGCTGCGCCGTGGCTTATCGCAAACCAGAGACCTGATCAAGTCTTCGTTCCTGTGGAAATGCAGCGCCTTGCGCCGCTGCTGCGCGACAGCCTCATCATTCGCTCGTCGCTCTGCTCAACGAGGTTCACGCAGAACTCCGTCCTGCTTAGCCTACTGAACTGGCAAGGTATTCCCGACAAGGAGTTGTTGTCCACGATTCTGACCAAGTTCACCTTCGTCGGTGAGGTCGAGATCGTCAAATTCTTGCGCGATATCTTCGATGCTCTATTCGCTATCCTCGTATCGCCTATCAACCAAGACAGCGAGATGGACCATCTTGTGTTTACCGCGATCGTGACCGTTTTGGGCATTGTCCAAGACAGGCGGTTCAGCAACTTCCAGCCTGTCCTTGACGTGTATATCGAACGCCACTTCAATTGCGCGTCAGCGTCTTCGCACATGATTCACTCCATGAACCGCCTTCTGCAAAACCCAACATCAAATGAAACTGGTTCCTGCCTTCGTGCCGCTCTCAAGGTCTGGCATTATATCTTCAAATTCATCGCACGCTCGAGAGAACTGCAAAAACAAGAAGAGATAGGCATGGGCGGAGACGCACCTGCCGAGCCCCTTGAAGCTGGCTTCAAAAAGGACCTCCGCGCGCATCTCGCAGAGGTCACCAGCATGATGTCCACAAGTACGCCGGCTTCGATTATCGGGACGCAGACGATCGCCCTCCAGAATTTTACCTCTATCCTGCCTGAGCTTCACAAGGTGTTCTCCGTCGTCGAACTCGTGCAAATTGTCACGACTTTCGCGAATGCGATCGTTGCGACGAAGGGGAGGATCGTCATCTGGAAACTGATCATGTACCTCCAGATTGTGCGCGGTTTCCTCTTTGATGTGCCCCAGTCCCGTGCCTTGCTGGTTGATGCGGTCGTCATGTGGATCAAGCCTCATTTTGGGCGATTCGATGAGTACCTGTGGACGCAGTCTGATGGCTCTGAGAGTGCGAAGGATGCAGTGCGCATTGCTTGGCTCGAGAGCATACGCCTGTCGGTCACCGTGGTAGCGGTGATGCTTGATAAGCTCCAGCAGAGCTTAGTCAGTCCGACAATCTTGGCGGATCGCAACCTCTTGCGACAGGAGCAATACAACGTCGAGTTTCTGTTGACTCTCTTCCCGAGGCGAGTCGTTCGAGGAGGTGTTCAATTTTAAATGCTGACTTCTTCTGCAGACTACTCGAGTCGTACTTGGAGTTCCAGCATCCGGCCAATGAGCAAGCTATCGAGCGTATGCCTTCACCTTCGACGACGCCCTCTAGTGCGCCCATCACGTTCCCGGAGTCGTACCCATTTGCGCTGTTGTCACAACCGCCAAAGAGTTTGCCTACCTCACCTACGAGTGCTAAGATGTACAACGCGGGCTTGGGCGAGTCCGCTGTTGTGCTTCTCGCGCTTGTCCTGTCGTCTCCAAAGAAGGTTCTCCTCAATTTTCTCGAGGGTATCGTGGAGATCGAGGGCAGAGACAAGCTCTCCGCTCTGCTCACGAAACTGTTCAAGGTTGCCGCCTCCATAATGAACAACGATGCTTTCCCTAGCAACTGGTTGAATATCAACATCCTCGCGCATAAGGTGCTGATCAAGGTTTTCGACCCAGTTGGCACCCTCCTCGAGCGCGAATACATCTCGAACGAGTCCAAGGACGCAGCCTTCGACCCTGCTATGTGGAAGGAATCGTTCTACGTGCTGCTGCGGCTTCTCTCCTCGGAGCAGCTGGTGATTGAAGATTTCAGTCCACAGGCAAGCGACTCAGTCTCATCTGTGAATATCCTTTTTGACCCTCTTCTAGAAACGACGAGCCGTGTGGAGGCTCGCCGGAGATATTCGGGGAGAAGGTGCGGCGATTCTACTGCGGCTCTGGTCGGCGTTGGGGTGGATCGACGAGACCAGCGGTAGTTCATCATTGCAAGCTGGGGTAAGTCATCTGAACACTCGAAGTCCGGAATCGCTGCTGATTGTATTCGCAGAGCTATCAAGTCGCGCTCCATTCGCTCGTCGGACAAGTCGTCAACTTGTGCTTGAGCAATCATGATCAGCTACGAACCAACGCCGTGCACATGCTGTACTGCATGATAATAACCGAGTACCATGTCTCCGGGCACTTCGACGAGATCGAAAATGAGCTCGTCTGCAAGCTGGACACGCTTTTCATGTCCGACAGCAAGCGCGATGATATCTCCAGAGCGTTCTTCGTCGGTCACCTCCGGCACCTGTTCGATGCGTCTGAGATTGATAGCGAACTTCGCACCCGTGTCACCAGCTTCTTAGACTCTGTTGATCTCTTCCTGGAGCTGCTTCTCAGTGTCCGCGCCCTTCCCGAAGGCGAGGAGTTCGCAGACGATCGTGTGATTGCAACGGTATGTTCTCCACGCATGCATGGTGTGTTCCGCCATCTGACTTTCGAGAATCTTAGCTTCGCCTGATGAACTTCATTCGGCGGATTGGCAAAGATGAGATCTACATCAAATATGTGCACCAGCTTGTCAATGTACGAACTTCGTTCTCCACTCGCATGACAGTCTTTATCTCATCGTTCATCTAGATGCACCTTCAGGCTCAGAACTATGTCGAAGCTGCTCTCACGCTTAAGCTCCATGCTGATCTACACGAGTGGGATCTCAACACCTTCGCGCCACCTATGGAAGACCTGGGTCTTCCTCAACAATCGCAATTCCATCGCAAGGAGACTCTGTGCCTTCTCATCCTCGATTATCTCGGTAAGTTGTGGGCTTACAGCTTCGCTGTTTGATCTTATGGGTCCGCAGGTAAGGGTAAAGCGTGGGAAAGTGCACTGGAGATCTGCAAGGAGCTCAGCTTCCAGCATGCCGAAGTTACCTTTAACTAGTAAGTGCCTCCTTTTATCATTATGCAACCCAATTAACGGATCACAGTGCACGCCTAGCGGAAATCTTGCGGCATCAGGCCGCCCTCCTCGAGCATATCGTTACAGATCAACGTTACTATTCGGACTACTTCAGAGTCGCCTTCTACGGCAACTTCCCCGTTGGCATACGCAACAAGCAGTTTGTGGTAAGCTTAGGCCTCGATCGCGTTGTTCGATACAAGCCTTATACATGCTGTGCAGTATCGGGGATACGAATGGGAGAAGTTTGGCGCATTCTGCGAACGCATGCTCAACAAGCATCCCGGGGCACGACTGCTGAAGTCCATAGGAGATCCTCCCGTCGATATCCGATTCGGCTCAGACCAATACATTCAGTGCACGGCTGTTGTGCCTGAACCTAACCGCGAGCTGCCGATATTCACAAACCCAGATGTCCCGCCTCAAATTCGCACCTATTACGAGCATAGGTAAGCAACCCTCGTTACAGCCGACGCAACACGGTGGTCTCACCATTGCCCTAGTGCCATCAACCTGTTTAGTTATACGCGCCAGATCACGAAGCATGGGCCAGATGGCTCCGAGGAAGTCTGGTTGGAGAAAACGTATCTGACGACTGAAGAAGCGTTCCCCACGGTGCTGCGCCGCTCCGAAGTGGTAGATTCCGCCTCGGACGAGATATCCCCCGTTGAGATGGCTCTGCAAGAGGTCCAGCAAAGGACTCGCGAACTCGAGGCGCTGAGCATTCGATACGCTTCACTCGCCAAAACGGGCCAGAGTGTGACTACGAACCCGCTGGCCATGACCCTAAACGCTGTCGTTGATGCGCCGATCGATACTGGCGTGGCGTCGTTCAGGGAATCTTTCCTCACAGGTGACTATGCCTCGCGGTTCCCAGACAGGGTTGAACAGGTGGATAAATTAAGAGCCGCTATCGACGACCAGGTTGGTCCAAACATGCAGCTCCATTGCTGCCGAATACTGATAGGAAATCTTGCAACAGGTTCGGATCATCGACAGCTGCCTGAAGCTGCATGGACAGTTGTGCCCCCCCGAGATGTTGGGGTTCCACGGCACGCTAGAAGCGTTCTTCCGCAAGAACTTCCATGACGAGATCCAGCGGCTTGCCGTCGAGGCACATCCCCCTGACCCGTCCCTGCGGGCCGCACATGCAAACCTCGGGACCCCGACGAGACACCTCTCCGTGATCGAGCGGCGATCACTCGAGCCGCCGCTCGAGCTCGGCCACGCGCTCTCGAGGGCACCATCCGTCTCGCCTGGTCCAATCCAAGGGAACGGGCCGTCGCCCATAGACGGAAACCCACCGGCCAAGCAGACCCCGCTGCAGCGCGGCCTGGCGTACCTCGCGCGCCACGGCTTCAACGGCGTCGCGTCGGGCCCTGGGGACTCTGCGGGCAGCGACTTTGGCGAGGGGTCGCCGCACGACTCCTACATGAACGGTGCAGGGGTACCGATGGCGAGCCTTTCTGGCGCGGCATCAATCGCTGGATCGACGGTCGGGAGCGCGGGCGGCTCTCTGCGCGGTCGTTTCTCCAGGTTCGGGAGTTTGAACTTCGGACGCCGGGACGGTTAATGGGTTGATAAGAGGGTTATTTTTACTGTCCAACATCTGCGCCAACATCTGTGTTTTGTCCATTGTTTTATACCCCCGCGTTCGATCGTTCGCTTGCTTCGACGGACAATGTGTACCTGGAAGACAATTTCCCATTCTAATGTTGTACAGTGCATTTAGTATAGTCCTAATGGTGATGCTTGTAGAGATATATGAAGATGAGGGTACTCCTAGACATGAACTTCGTAGCGTTTAGCGATGGGCAACAAACAGGAATGAGAAGAAGAAGGAAACCGAAAAAAAAGGAAGAAAGAAAAGGGATACAATGCACATTATTAACAGGTGGATCTCTGGACAAGTCTGGACAAGGCGTACGAAAGCGCCCAGGGTCAAAAGTACGGAACAGGTGAGGAGCGCATGCGGGAGGACTCGATGGAATGAAAGTCGGCGGCGTGGAAGAGGTGGCCCGGGGGCATAGTCATGTCTGAGAAGGGGGCCTGGGGCGGCACGAGACGGTACACGGTGCCGTAGCTCGAGCGCGAGCTGTCCGAGTGGCCCGACGACAGGCCGGACAGCGACGCGGTCTCGATCAGGGAGCTGTACGAGCCCGTCGCAGGCGAGTCCACGGGATACGCGGCGAGCGATGCGGGCAGGAGTGAGCGCGAGCCGTACGAGAGCTCGGGGGACCCTGACTCGGCGAAGGCGTCTGCGAGATAGTAGGCGTCCTCGCCAGCCTCAGGGGGTATGTCGGATGAGGACGGAGAAGGGAATCTGGGGAGGCCTCTCGGCGACCCGGGGTGCTGGACGAACTCTGGGCTCGGCGACGCGGACAGGCCTGCGTCTCCCGTGTCGTTGGTGGTGTAGTACAGGGACTGTGGCACGGGAGTCAGCACGCATGACAGCGCCAGGAGGAGGGAGAAAAGTACATACGTATTTTGAAATGATCTTCTCGAGGGCCTGGGGGAGGACGTTCCACTCGAAGACCTTGACGTCCTTCTCGATGTTGCGCGGCTTGGGGGCGGGAAAGTCCATGATCTGCTGGAAGAAGCTCTCCGAGCCCGCGCGGTTTTTCGAGACGGTTTTGGGGCGGAAACCCTCGAGGTTGCGCCGGATCCTGTTCTTCTCCTCGATCTCGAAGCCCTCGCCGACGATGCCCTCGAGGAGGGAGATGATGTCGACCGAGGTGACGTAGCACGAGTCGGTGTCGCGGCGGTAGATGCAGGAGATGACGGAGTCGCCCTCGACGTACTCGTCCTGGCGGATGCCCTCGCAGCTGAGCTTGAGCCGGTGGCCCTCCTGCGCGCGGCGGAAGCGGACGAGGCGGCGGCCGATCCGCAGCTCGTCCTCCGCCCAGCCCGCGCACATCGTCTCGAGCGGCGTGAGGATCTCGAGCACGGCGCGGTGCGACTCGGGCGACTCCTCGCCAGGCCCGAAGCGGCGCGTGCGCATCAGCGTCTGCTTCCTGCTCTGCCGCACCGAGGCGATCGTTTTCGCACGGTGGCGCGAGCTTGACGCGCGCGACGCGGAGGAGCGCTGGCGCGAGGAGGGCAGCAGCGCGTGGACGCCGCCGCCCGGCGACGACGACCGTGGCCGCGCGGCGAGGCCTGTCGTGGGGCAGCTCTGCGCGCGGTGCAGCGCCGCCGGTGCGAGGTGCTGGCGGGAGGACTCCATGCTGTACCGGTCAGGGAGCCCGTTCAGGGACAGTGCTGCGCAGGTGGCGGGGGACGCCGTTAGCCGGTAGCGGGGAAGACAGTCGCGACTCGGCTCACATGGCAGATAGGTGTAGGTGCCGACGGTGACCGCGTCGAGGACGCCGTTCATGCCTGTCAACGCTTGTGCGGTGATGGTGACTGGCGTCGGCTCCGGGCAGTCGTTCTCCATGCGCGGGACGACGGCCTCGAGCTCCCAGACTCCGGCCTTGGACATCTGGCGCACGGTCGTGTTGAGGGCCTTGCGGCCCACGACGATGCGGAGATATGTCGTCTCGCTCGGGCGGAAGGTGAAGTTGACGGGGATAGAGATGGGGACCCCACCGTGGCCTTGCAGCGAGTGGAAGCGGTACACGCGGAAGAGGCCGCGGGGAGACACAATGCAATTGCTGACCGATGCTAATCACATCACGCTAATTAGAGTTGGACGCGCGCAGGACATGGAATAGACACCCACCGCCATCGTTGGCGTGCTCCTCGAGATCGGACAGGTGTGTTGCGGGATCGGGCATGATGTCAATCGGTCTCGCCCCGAGGCCGTCAGGGTGCGGGGACGGGAAGTAGGACGACTGGGCCATCGGGCGGGGAGAGGACATGGAGCTGCAGCAGGGAACGAGTGTGAGGGAAGGCACGGCCACGAACGAGAGTCGGCCAACGAGCGAGGACGTGGTGCAGCGCACAGGGCGACAGGGGCCTTTGTATGGCGGCGAGCGTTGGCTATAATAACCTGAAAGAAAAAGTCGGTTCTGGCACCGCGTGGGGGGAGCCCATACTTTATGTGGACTTGCGAGTTTGAGGTCGGCGCGCTGATCGACCGGACGGGGCCGGCATTGGAGGCATGGGTCGCTTAAAGGAGGTAGGTAGTGGGATCAGTCGTGGTCGTTTCATGTGCGGAGAAGGGAGGCCAGTCCTGCTTCCCCTGGTGACCGACGGTCCAACTCCTGACCGCTCGACGAAAAGGCCGACACGCGTGCCGAGATGGTGGAGGGTGCGCTCCCCTGGCTCTGGCTCGCAGGGCAGTGCCTATTCAATCTCAGAATAGAGTCTCCCGTGAGCTCGGCTTGTCGGGTGGGGAGGCGGAGAATAGAGTGTACGGTACCTCACCCACGGCCATTATCTTGTTTTTCATTTTCCTCCAGTGACGAATCGACGATTCGATTTGTTAATCACCATCGACCCGAGCCGACCTGTTCTGACGCCGCCTGGCTTCGCCTCGCAGACGCCTTCCTCCCCATCTACGATTCCCGATAGACCCTCTTGCCAATCGGGAAGCGATTCGGCCAACGCAGTGCCGGGCGAGGCGAACCAAGTGACCACAACCAAGTCGCCCAAAATGGCACCGGCTGCGCAGTCGCGCCCTGTCCAGTTCTGTTCCCGCCATCGCTGAAACATGGATTACATCCGCCGGAAGCTCGCCGTCGTCGATCATCGCGAGATAGATACAGATCACACAGGGGCCGCATTCAAGCTTCAAGTGGTATGATGAACAAGTTCCTGTATTGTCGGAAACGCCCGCCCTTGCTTCAAACTTCCTATACACATTGCCCGCCCCCTCCCAGCCTGCACAGCCCCCCCACCCTGCGCGCGCAAACATCAGGCGCCCGCGTCATGTATTCTACGACTGCAGACACGACGGATGCTTCGCGTCCCAGTGTCCCTCCTCCCCCTCGCGTTCGCTGGGCACCCAGACGCGGGCCGCGGGCGGAAGGTGCCCTTCCGCAGACGTGACCCGCTGGCAGGCGCTGCACCGTCGCACGAACAGATCCTCATAGGAGGCGAGGAGCACCTGCTCCCACCGATCAGAAGGGTCTCCCGTTAGACGCTCCATTGTAACATGCCATGTCCGCGGACAAGCGGGAGGGGGGGGGGGGGGACGACGCACCATGACCAACTGGAAGGACGCCTGCGGCTTGGACTGCAGCATTTTTGCGAGGTGCTGCGACAGTCGCTGGTACACCACGTAGCTCGATTGCGAGTGCGGCGGCTTCTGCAGGAGGGGAGAGAGAGAGAAAAAAGGGAAGGAAAAAAAAAAGGAGATGCGGCGGCGGCGGCGGCACGCATTTTGTGGTCCCTCAAAATTTTGGTCCTCGTGCAATCTCAATTCGCCAGACGCACCTTTTCGCGAGGTCCGAAGGCGGTCGCACCCTCGACGACAATGGTGGACTCAGGGGGCATGCTGCCCAGCGTCAGATAGACGGTCACGACGTCGCGTATGGTGAAGCGGACCATGAGCTCGCTCGGCAGATTTAATCTGCTCGGCCGTGGCGTTGCGGTCCAGACGTGGAGGCGATGGGCGTTGGTCGTGTTGTACGAGCGAATGTAATGGACGAGATCATCGACCCGTAATGGCGTTGGCGCCGCAGCATCGTCCGGGGGGAATAGGGACGTTTTAGGTTGCAAGGTGCGATAGGGCTGGGGCGAGTCTGGCGACGGCTGTCTGCTACTGAGGTCGGCACGTCAGTTTGTGCCGCGGCAAGAAAACGTCATTGGAGAGGGAGCGACCTACTTGTGTTTCAGATTTCTGCGCGGGTGGTTGAAGTCGAGGTTGCGCTTGTCCTCGGCCTCGCTCTCGCTCGCTTTCCTGAGGACGTCCTGGACGGGATCGGACTGGACTTTTTCCAGAAAGAGTTTGATGCCCTCGAAGCCGTGGCTAATGAGCGCTGCCTGTGACGCCGGGCTTACATTGCTTGCAATCGGGGACGTCGAAGGGGCGACGGCTCCCAGCCGCAGATAGGATGGCGTTTGTCGCAGGCTCTCTACACGGTTGCCAAGTTCTGTGAGGAGGCTGATCTGTCCTTTGAGGGCCTGGAGGTCGCTGCTGGCTGCGGCGGCGGCGGCGGCGGCGTCGGGGACAGCTGGAGACTGCGTCTTTGGCTCGCCGCTGCTGCTGCTGCTGCTGCTGCTGGCGGCGGGGTCAGCTGGAGACTGCATCCTTTGCTCGTTGCAGTCGAAAAAGGCTGTGAGCGCGGCAACCGACCTCGGCGCCAGAAGCGTGATTGCTGCCACTATGCCGCGAATGGCAACTCAGCAAGAACGTGACACCCGGCGGTCCATGCGTCGCCTTCCGCCGCCGCCAAGCCCTACAGCCAATAATACAGCCTGCGAGATACAAGATACGACAAAGAGCCGGCTGCACATCGTCGCAACAGCGTCAGCACCCAGCGCCCGACCTGACGCGTCGGAACTTTGCTGCGCGGAAACCCCAAGCGCGCTCGCCAGCAGAAGAGCAACGGCATCATATTCAGAGTAGGAACTGATGATGAGAGCAGCGTTGATGAACATGAAGCACAGGCGCGGAACTTACCACACAAACTCTTGGAAACTCTTCCATCGTCCCAGCTTTGTTTCGGGGCGGCCGGGAATTGTCTTAGATCGCGACCATCACGAGCTTCCGCTGCGCTGCGCCATCGTGTAGGTACATGGTGACGGAGACGAACCTGAGGCAGACTTTTGCGGGCAACATGGACGCTGCCACATACACGACCAAAACGGCCGTACCCGCCATCGTCTCAGGCGGCGACGTGTGCCATGAGTTCGGCAACGGACCATCATTCAAGCCGTACCCGGAGCCCCATCCAACAAAGCTCGCCTCTTCGTCGTTCGTCCGAGGAGCACATAGAGCGTTGCTACACGCCCAGTTCTCCCGCGTGTCAGCCAGGCATGACAAAGTTTGCGCCACCCTCTGCGCCTGCGGCGTCAGCGGGCTAGTACGCGACAGAGACGCGGGCAGGGATGTCGACGAGCCAATATCCACATGCGCTGCCTGTGCGCGCGGAAGGAAGAAAAAAAAAAAAAAGGCAAATCATGAGGTCAGCAATGCACATAGACCATCGGGGACACCACGGTCAAGAGACGGGGCCGACCTGCTGACCCGCCGTGCGGCCTGCTCGTCCCAGCGCGGGCAGCGTCTCCTGCACTTTGCTGCCGCGGCCGTGGGAGGCGGGGGGGCCTCGCACCGAGCCAGAGAAGCCCACGTCTCCGAACTCGTCGGACTCGCTCGTCTGACCGGCGAGTACGCTCCCGGAGACGATCGACGTGAGGGATGTGGTGCGTGTGAGACTGTGAGTGGTGTGCCGGCGGCTGGCAGCACGCGGGAACTCCCTGTAGTGTCTCGAGTTGCGCGAATTGGTCAGCGTCGGGGACCAGCTCGCCGGGTGCCCCCCTCTGCAGTGTCCAAGAGCGGGAAATACAACACTCGAAGCGTCGCTTTGGCGGCTGCGACCGCCGCCGCCGCCGCCGCGTCTGGCGGGGGCGAGGTGGGCTCTGTGGCTTCCGATGCGGGCAGGAAGTGGGTCAATGGCAGAGCGCGGTGTGCGTCGGCAAAAGGGTCTGATGCGCTCATGGTTGTCGTACAGCGGTGCTTACGAAAAGACGTGCAGTATGAATGCCAGAAGCTCAGCCAGTTTCGCACACAATTCGATTTGTGGAGGCCCGCCTGGTTTGCTTGTTTGACTACACAGGGCAACGGTAAACCTTGTTAGTAAACTTTGTTACCTTCGCTCTAATGCCTTTTCACACCGGGCACCGCCGGCTCTAATGTTCTGCTTACCGGCCTACAAATCACAATCCCGCTCCAACACGTGCCTTTTGGCGCCGGTCTGCCGGGCAGAGTGCGTCGCGCATCCGCGTAGAGTCCCACCGATTTTCGCTCCGACGTCCACGACAGCGCCGACGCTGCTCGTTGCGTCCGCCTCGACAGTCTCTCCATCTACCTCTGCTTTGGCTAACAACGAGTACACGGCCTTTTATCTACGACCCACGTCAGTTTTGCACCGACAGCCTATCCAACCAAAAAGTTCCTACTTCCAAACCCGTCCCGAGTCGGCGGACTCTCTCCCAGGTTTCCGCACGACGTCACACGCAGAGAGAGACAGAGAGAGAGAGCGCGAGGATTGAATGATCACAGCACTCAGGAGAGATGGTCTCGCGGCTAGGTGCGCCCTCTCTGCCCCGCCTCGTTTGGCGAACCCTCACCCGGCCGCGGCCGCTCGCCCCACCAGCATGTCCCTGACCTACAAGCGGCCGCCAGCAACACTCTTCACGCCCCAGCCCCGGCCGCTCTCGTACGCGGCAGCGCAGCGCTACCGCCCGTCGTGCCGCAGCGAGCCCCGCCTCCTCCGCCCGGGCTTCGCCTCCGCATGTGGTGGCGGTGGTGCACGGCGGCCGTACTCGACGCCGGTGCCGCCGCCTCCACCGACAGAGAAAACCGACGCCACCGCTGTAGATGGCGGCACGCTCCCTGGGGCGCCGCGCACGAAGAAGCAGAAGGTCGACCTCCACCCTGCGCCCGTGCGCCCCAAAACTGCCGCGGGACCGAGCGCGCCCAAGGCCAGCAGCAAGCCAGCGGTCACGGCGGCGGCGGCCACAGCGACGACAGGTTCTGTAGGTGCACATCCTGCGGCGGGCAGCACAGGCGTCGTCGCCCAGGCGAAGGCGGACGTCGAAGACGCGGCGCAGCACGGGATCCTGAAGCCGCCGCCCGAGGACGCAGGGCGGCTCATGAGGCTCTGGCACCAGGCGAAGGAACTCTTTGTATGTGTGGCGCCGCGCTCTCGTGTGCTATTTCTCATCATGATGACGCTGTCGTCGCCCTTGTTTTTTTCCGCCAGAAATTCTACGTGCGCGGGCTCAAGCTGATCCACACGAACCGGAAGCGCGCGAACGCCATGCGGGAGCGTGTGAAGAACGGGGGCCCGCCGCTGACGCGGTGGGAGACGCGGTTTGTGAGGACGTACCAGGAGGACGCGCTCAAGTGAGGCGCCATGTTGCTTTGCATGTCATCATTGCCCCGCACAACAAAGCTCACGCCGTGCGCCACAGGCTCATACCCTTTGCGCTGATCATCCTCATCGCGGAGGAGGCGATCCCGCTCGTGGTCGTGTACGCGCCGTTCCTCCTGCCCTCGACGTGCATCCTGCCGTCGCAGAAGGAGCGCATAGACGCGAAGAAGCGGGAGAAGAAGGCGGCCTGTGCGTCTGCCATGGCCGACATCTTTGAGGGCATCCGGCAGCGGGCCCTGGCCGACTCCTCGGCAGACTCCGCGTCCCTCCTGGGCTCCAGAACCGATCTCGTTGCCGTCGGCGGGTGCGTCTTTTTTTTTGCGCAAACTCTCCCTACTGCTGGGGGGAGGCACATGTGAAATAGGGAACTGAACCTTGGCCCTTGCTCCCATTTGGCAGCCTCCTCGGCCACTCAGCTTACGGTTGGGGCTCGCTCCGCGTACGCAGGATCCAGCGGCATCTGTTGCAGGTTGCAGGGGACGATGCCCTGCTTCTCAAGGAGGACATGGGCAAGGCCCTGACTCTGGCCGAGCTTCAAGAAGCGTTGGACGAGCGCGGAATGTACGTTATCTCTCTCTACTGCTGCCCTGCTTAAACCCCACCTGACCGACAACCCCGCACACGCACACACACAGTCTGACCGACGGCCTCTCGCACAAGCAGCGGCAGGCCCGTCTGCATTGGTGGCTTACGCAGGTCAGCCAGCACAGCCAGGCTGCAGATCCGGTCGCACGCCGAATCGTTCTCGTCGCTTCTAGTGGGGCCGGTCGTTTCTGAGGTGGTCTTAATTTATGACACTTGGGTAATTAGACGGTAATACACACGCATCCCCCCTCCCTTCCTGTGGTCCCGTGTGCCTGTCGCACACGCGTGTACGCCATCTAGGCGAACTAAACAGACGGACGGCATCCGATGCCGAACAGTGATATCAATCGGGCGGCCACAGGGTGCCAGACGGATGATTAGCGTGCCTGCCATACCGAGAACAAGAACGTCTGCGGGGAACATGCGTGGGATCCATGGGAGAGTGTGGGAACATGCGTGGGATCCCGTGGCGCAACAATATCCTGGGCAAGGTTACGACTTACGAAGCGGCACACCTCGAGTAGGCGCACGCACGCCAGTCCGCGGGTTCCCAAGGCGCAAGCATGACGGCCTTCTGGGCCAGAACGCCCGCAGCCTCGGGATCGGCGTGAGCAGCGGCGATCGCTTGCAGGCCCAGCGCGCGTCGCATTTCATTATCGCCAGCCGCCCCGTCGGCGGACGACGACGTCCCGTCGAGGATAGCGCGGGCCGACGTCGGGGTGCCCGCTTGCACAGCCAGGGCCGCGAGCTGCCGCCTGCTCTGCGATCGGGAGGGCTCAAGAAGGACCGACTTCTGCACGACCGAGAGCGCCTGCGGGACATCACCCTGGTTGCACGTGAGGGCGTCAGCGCTCTCTCTCTCTCCCCCTGTGGCCCTCCCAGAGCTGAACGGTTGCTTACCTGCGCGAGATGATGCTGCATGAGCAAGTAGTCGACGTCCCGGCGCGGATCCCGCCGCTGGCGCTCCTCGAGCGGCAGCGCGAGCATCTCGGAGAGAGCGGCATCGACGAGATTTTCGTCGTCGGTGAGGATGCCCATGCCGCCCAGTGCGTTGATAGCCATCAAGTTGTCTGGGTCGTCCGCGACGCTAGAGAAGCAGCGCGTGAGCGCCCGGTGCCATGCGTGCATGGACCGCTTATGACACGCACCTCTGGAGCAGCTGCGTATTCGCGGCCTCGCGGCCGTCGTTCGTGCCCAAGGCCCACAGGGCCTGTGACAGAAGAACCGCTGCATGGCCGCGTAGCTGCGCGCTATCTCCCGCGCCTGCCAGCGCAGACTCAAACGATTCGACCGCTTCTTGCACTGCGCCTGATTTATAATTTGCAATGCCAGATCCAAGGTGCGATTGCGTAAGGAGTACGGTGGCGACACCGCCTTTTGCTTCAGCCAGTAGGCCAGTTACCGTTGCGTAGGACTCCAGGGCAGCCTCGTAATCGCCCATTGAGAGGCGCAGCCGCCCCACGTTCGTGTGAGCGATGGCGAATTGCTGCTCGATTTGAGGGTCTTCGCTTTCTTCGTACGCCGCCTCCAGGAGCGCGATGGCATCCCCGATGGCCCGAATGGCGAGCTCGGTGTGACCTATGCGCTCGCACACAAGTCCGAAGAGGTGCAGGGCGTTGGCGTCCCGTGGCTGCCGCCTGCAGAATCGGTCCAATACAAAAAATGCCGGCGTAAAGGCCTCCGAAGCAGTCGCATTGTATGGACCACCATTTAGACGATCAAACAGCCGCCTCGAGAAAGCCACATCGGCGTAAGGCTGGTCACGGGTTAGGCAAAAGCTTATCGTGAGCGGACGGGCTACGTACCACAGCCGAGGGAAGCGTTATCGCATGCTCGAAGAGAGCGTGCTCATGCCGATGATCACCGTTACGCGCGGCCACTACTGCCTGACCAACCCACGCCAATGTATAGTCGGGGTTCAGCACTTGCGCGCGGTAGAATGCTTCATTGGCTAGTTCAGTGTCGTCATGATACAGATAGAATAAGCCCAGATTGGCCCAAGTGACAAAGTTCTGTGAAGTAGTAAGCATCTTACAGAGATTGACAGGAAGCAGCGGACCTTGTTGTCAAGCTCGAGGGCTTTGACGTAAGCATGCTGTGCAGCTTTCGGGTGGCTGATGAAGTACAGATCCCCAAGGGCGTGCCAGTATCGGTCGTTCAAGGCGTCAAAGCCAATTGCGTCCTTCACGAATCTCACGGCAGCCTGATGGACCTCCTCGTACTTCCCACTGCCCACCAGACGACGCGAGTAGGTGGCAAGAACGACGGCAAGATCGTAGGAGCCATTGCCTGCGGAGGCGTCGTCGAGGAAGCCGAGAGAGCTGCGATAACTGTAAGCATGCAGTGTCACCTCTAATAACGACTGAGACAGTTTAGACGCAGAGGCACCGTCGACTGCGGGGGATGACGAGAGCAGGTCGAAGACTTGATCCTTTGGTCTATTTATGACATGCGGCACGACGCGCTCCACGATCGAGGCCACCACCTCAGGATCTGACAGGAAAGACATCTTAGCGAGCTCGTACAGCGCATCCGCGGCGGTCTTCCATGCAATCCGCCGGAATCCTGGGCTAACGTCGACAACCGTGAGGACGACGCGAATGCTCTCAACGAAGGAGGCTTCGGCTCGTGCGGTGAAGGAAGCAACCATCTGCGCACGACCGAACTCAAGGTGTGTCTGCGCCAGGGTCAAGAGCACCCGTAGTTCCGACGGCTGTGTCTTGAGGATCTCCGTGAAAGCGTCGATTGCTTGCTGAAACTGGCCCATCTGGCGGTAGACCTCGGCCAGGAAGTAGGCGCAAACCCAGTCGTCCGGTTTCAGCTCCCGGGCATGACCAAGTGCCTTAAGTGCAGCGGCTAGGCGTGACGCCTTGCTGTAGGCTTCTCCAAGACGCAACCAAGACATTTGATCATCGGGCTCGCTTCTGAGGGCGATTTGGAATGCGTCGATCGCGGTAGGGTAACGGCCACGGTTCTGTGGATATTAAGTTGGCTTTGTCTGTTATGGACGGAGAAGGAGTAAAGCCCACCAGCTCTACAACTCCGACGGCTTTCCACGCCCAGGCGTTCAGTGGCTGGTATCTAGTAGTCGCAGCGGACTCGACCCCTCCTTCACCTTCGATAGTTCGGCGTGCTACGACCTCCACCAGGTCCCATTCGCGTTCCTCAGCAAAGCCTTCAGCCAAGCGACGTGCCGCCTCAGCCTCTCTCGGGTCAAGCTCGAACGCTTTTTGGAAGCATTTGGATGCGCGCTTTGGATCCGGCGGCGAACAGAAGTCGGCATAGTAGATGCCGAGCGAGGTGAACGCGGGAGCAAAGTTGGACAGTCGTTTCAATGAGGTGATGTAGCACTTGTACGCTTCTTCGCGGCTCTCAGAGTCTATACAGCTCATTATCAGCACATATAAAAAGGAACGGCTGCAATCGGCTCGGTAGACACACCTTCCAACTTCCAGTAACATTGCCCAAGGCGCCACCAGCACCGCGCCTGGTCGTACTCTCGACCCTCAAGGTTATCTAGCACTTCGAGCACAACTTTCAGCTCCTGGACACCACTGTCTGGGTCTGCGACCTGTGCTTTCGACCAAGCAAGCTCTTCTTTTGCCCGCAGGCCGTCGTCCAGGTCTTCCGGCAGGAGCTCCACCACCTTGTTAAATGCTTCACTAGCCTCACCCCACTTCTTCGAGTACTGCAAAATGTATCCGTAATCCATGAGACTGCGTATGTTCTCAGAATCTTCAGATAACACTTCATCGATGATGTGTCGAGCGCGAACATGATGCTTGGGTGGGAAGAAATGCACAAGGGCGTTGGCGAGCAGCACATTGAATGCAAGTTTCACCCTACAATTTAGTTGATGAACGACGAGTATGTCAATAACTGTCAGACGAACGTACTGAGGTAATTTGACCCCGTGGTTTCGCTCTTCCTCGTTGGTAACCTCAAGCCCATCCTCCGCAACCTTGATCGCGTTCTCATGGTCTTCTTCAAGGTGATATACCTCAGTTACTATACGGTTTGCAAGTACCGAGTTGCGGACATCATCGGTAAATAGGTCCTGGATACGGATGACCAATAAGTACGCGATTATATGCGATACAGCAACAAGGACCAAATATACCAGGATCGTGCTGACTAAAGCCTCTCCGAATTCTTCACGCCGTTGCTTCTTTTGTCCATCCTCATCTTCAGCATCCAGTCGTATTTCAACCAGGTCGAAGTATGCCCGGACCATTTGTGCTAACGGGGAGTCGAACATCTTCACGAACTGCGACAGCACAGATGTGTCGTAATCCACTGCGCGACATGAGCCACGACCATAAAAGAGTATAGTTTCGTACTCACAGAGCGTCTTCGCGTCCTTAGACTCAATGAACAACGTCCAGGCCAGCTCGTTGGGAATCTGAAGGAGGACAATTCCGCTGATGAGCTCCTGAACCTCCGAAGCGAGTTTCGCCTTCTGTGCCGCAAATGTCTCGGATGCCGGGAGGGCGAACAACAGCTGCTGTTTATGCTTCAACAACTTCGATTCTGCTTCTCGCCGCAGCTCGTCCGAAGCATGCGGATGGCTCATGATCTCTTGGTATAGCTCAGGAAGCTGGATGGAGCGAAGGTATTAGCAGCATGTATGACCAGCCAGGGATTAACACGCACCTTCGATGCCCCCCATATCTCCTGTCCGACATCCCTCTTGATCTGTTCTGGACCAGCTGCTCCGAGGCGCGTCCTGCGCTTCTGTACTTCTTTATCGAAGGCTGATTCCTCATTCTTTTCAAGAATGCCGACGATTTCCTCGAAAATAGGCAGGGAGTCATGGATTGCGGACTGGGCAAGAAATGTTGTCGTCGATGCGGGGCTCGTCGGGTCTGGTGGAGGCAGCGTGGACAACACGGAATAGAACGGAGAGCTGGGAAGCAGCAGCATAAGCGCATCTGCTACCTAAGCGATGTCAGTCGGAGAACGTGGCGGGTGAGGAGCCTCTTACCTCCATGGACCCGTACTGGTCACGCCGTGATTGTATTAGCTTCTGTAAATTCTCCGCACATTTGACGGCATCGTTTCTGTGGTTCTCGTCAGATGCTACGTTGCATAGGATGAAGACCAGAGACTAACGCTTTCGCGAACATATGAACGAGCTTTTCCAGAGACTCGGCGTACTGATCCCATTTCTGAGAAGCCTCATACAATTTAGTGAGACCCTGTCAAAAAATGTCACAACCTGTCAACGTGTATGCATTGCTGGACGAGAGACAGACGTACTTGCAAGGCCAAGGGCTGGTCTGGATTCGTCTTGAAAGCCTTCAGGTACATCTTATTGCATCCGTTCAGCATCTTTGGTCTCCCGACATATCCATAAACACGTTACTTGCTCGCTTTGCTCCACATCTCCAAGTTCCAGCAACGCCAGGCCGAGGAAGACGATCCTACGGGCCGTAGATTGACTAACTTAGAGTAATAAGCCGTATACGGGAACATACGCACGCGTTGTAGTTGTCAGGCTCGTAATCAAGGACATCACCGGCCGCTGCCCGGGCTTTCTCGTAGTCCTTCTTCGAAAGAGCATCCCTCGCGGCCTTTAGCTTGGTCTTGACAATCGCAGACATCTTCCGCAGGCGACCCGTAGCACACTTTCTGTATCACAGGGAGCAGAATGAGATCCCCCTCGCCTGTATGTTCTGCAGATTGTTTTTCGATTGTGCGTAGTGCGTATGGGAGGCTCAAAGACACAAGGAAGGGAGAAAAAGGATGACAAGGACGATATCCAAGGTAAATCGCCAGAAATCGAACTAGGAAATTCGAGCATCCACATCAAGCGCCCATAATGACGCGCCTCAAGCGCTATTTACCGGGCTTCCGGGCCCGGAGTCCGAGAGCGAGCCACGCCATTCAGACATCAATATTAGCTTCCCTACAGAGATACACGACGAGGAACAAAAGGAACAATAATACAAACCAGAGAATACAATACACTCAGCAAAGAAAGCCGTATACAGATAGCGCGATACGAGAGATAAACCAGGAGTGAAAAGGCACGGAGGGGTAACAAGGCATACGGGTATCATCAGCCGTCTTCGCTCAGCTCCCCCTCCTCTTTCTCATCCTCGTGAGCAGGCTCGGGGGGCCTGACGCCAGGATTTTCTGCGGGGCTAGACGCAGGCTGCGGTGGCTCGTTCTCTTCAGGTAGCTTCTCCGTCTCTGGCGGACTGACCGATGAGGGCGGAGGCTTCGAGTCAGCTGGAGCGTGTGTGGGAGCGCGCGCGTTTTTACTCGACTCAGCAGGGTCTATGGCAGTGCCTGCCATTGTATCGTCTTTGACTTGGGAAGGGGCACCATGCGACTTGATGAGAGCGCCGTTTGACTCGTCAGCCAGCAGCTGAGGGGCGCCCTTGGGACTCGAACCGTCCATCGCGCCATTTTGCCCACCATCTGTCGTTCTGCTGACAAATGTCGTCGGTGTTTCGTCTGGTGCGCTGACGTTCTGTGCGCCTTTTTCCACGTTCATCGGCACGTCCTCCGCGGTCTCAGGCGGTGTTGACAGCTCCATGGGCCTCTCCGAAGTGTCCGATCCCGACTTGTCGTTGTGTGGCGCGGACGGCCGCGCCTGTACTGGAGGCTCTGTCGCCTCTGTCGGCTGAGCGGGGGCCATGTCCACGTCTGCATCCTTCTCGTCCTCGGGCTTGGAGAGATAGGGCCCAGAACGTGGCCTTCGCGAGTTGAGGGCAATAGACACCGACACGGAGGTTGCCGTTGTCTCGCTTGCGCTTGAGCCCCTGCGCTTCTGTGCCGGCGGCCTGCGCCTCGAGCGCGTGGACGGCCTTTGCTCCTGGACGTCCGCAACGTCGCTGCGGGCCTCGTCCGCGTCCTGGAGCTCCGGCACTGCGGCCGCGTCCATGTCGACCTCGTCCGCAGCCGTCGCAAGCCCCGCGAGCGGCGACGCCACCGCGTTCGCAGTCGTGCCGCGCGGGTTCCGCGACCGCTTCGGCGGGTTGGGGTACGTGCCGTCTGCGTCGTCAATCTCTCTGCGCCTGCGTTTGCCGCCGCCCGCCGCCCTGCGCTTCCGCGGGCTCGCTGCGCGTGCCTGCACCTCGACCGCTTTGTGCACGGTGGGGGACGAGCCGTTCATGAGCTCGTTCATCGCCGCGGCCACTTCGTCTTCCTCGCCGGGATCGCGGTCGCGCAGCTTCGCAGGCGGCCGCCGCGCGCGCGAGGAGGCGCGTCGTGACGTGTCGTGGTCGTGTATGCGGATGTCATGGTCGTCGATGCTGATTGGGTTCTGGAGCCCAAAGTCTGCAGGGTCGAGTTCTGGCAGCGATAGGGCCAGTCCGCCCTGGGGGTGGTACAGTGGCAATGGAGGGCCGTTTGGACGGCTGCCGGACGCACATGGTCCCTCGTTGTTGTGCTTCTTGGACGACAGCTGCGTCTGTGGGGTGTTCGATTCCACACGCCCGTTAGGGTACTGCGAATCTTGGGACAGCGGAGCGCTCTCGTTCAGCGTGAATGATAGAGGCAGCGGACGGACGCAGTACCTTCCACACGGAGCCCTACAGGTTCATGCGCACTGATAGCCTTGTAAGTCCGGAGAGGCTTTCTCCGGATACTCGATGATGGCTGGGAAGATGATGGAGTCTTGGCTCGTGAAGTTTCTGGCTGAGCGGGGGGTAGGGTGGAACGTTGCTGCAGAGGAATCACGAGAGATATCGGACGGCGAGAGCCAGGTACCGTCATCGAACATGGATCCATGCAGACGGAGTGAAGCAGGCCGGATAGGAAGAAAGACTCAGCGACGAGCTCGCCGACGCGGTCAAAGGTCAGGAATGCGATTCTCCAGTCCGAGGTCGTTTGGGTTCGATCGTCATCGTCAAGAAAGGCATCTTTCTGATAGCAAAACCAGCGGCAGGTACGGGATTTGTTATCTTATCTCCGCAAGCGCCCATGTAGCCGAGGAACCTTTCGCAGACTAGTATTTCGTCGTCTCTTACGGCTACCACCGTGCCCCTAGGTGTGCACACAGTTCGGTTGTAATATAGCGACTACTGACACATTGTTGACCAACTGGTAGTACGGCTAAATTTTAATATGTCCACAAAGAGCAGTTACTATTATGCAAGTTACGCAGGACCCTGCTGACCGTGACAGGCAGCCTGCGGACATGACTACTCGTCGAGTAGGGTCAAATTGCATGCATCAGCTTTACCACTCTGACACATTAGTGCTTTGCGCTGCGTAAAAGCGACTGAAATTTTTCTGTTCGGCGCCATATGCACGCAGCTGCGGGAACGTCCCAGGCATTGGTCTGAACCTTCTCAAAGTACGCAGAGCCACATGTATTATGCTGTGCGGCTGGAGACAAAGACTCCATGCTTCCTACACGGCGATATGGCCTGATTTTTGTTCTGGCTGCGTACAGCTGGGAATGCGGCCGACGGGTGCACATGGGAGACAACTCTGAACTTGATTAACTTCGCGCAAAGATTGCAAACCGCAGATTAATTTAGTAATAGCGACGGAACTTCTACATCATTGCAGGGATGATATTTGCCGCACGGCGATGGCGATACAGAGATCTACGCGAATGACGGGTGCCTGCAAGTATGAGGGAGCTTTGATAGGTAAGGATTTCCTGCACGCTAAACTTGTTCGAACGGCGCACAAGGGATGAGCCAGAACATTTCGCAGCGTGTATCTGCCGAGATGTAGCATCATAGCTGCGGGAGAAGCGCTGTCCGAGAAGATAATCGTTGACGGACTTACTGAGGATAAACGCCTTCGGAACTCTTCCGCTTCGTACCACCTTTAGACGGAACAACTCCGTCAGTCAGGACCCTGGCAACGACCACAATAGACAGAAGCTTGCCTTCATACATTACTACGGAATCACGCACCTTTCCGGGGTGTGTTGGTTCTCGGCGCGCGGCTTGGACAAGGTTGACCCCCCTTCGACCTTCCTATTCCTGATATCGCGCGGAACTGTGCGCCGACGACTATGTGCCACCGTTCCGCTCGTGGTATCCTCAACGAAGGCCCGTCCGGGCATCTGTTGACCGAAGCCTAGTACACCGGGAGACGCCACTCCTGACTTGCGCACAGGGTGCGCGGATGTCGGTCGACGAGCTCTCCAAAATCCCGAGCGTCAAGGAAGGAGACCCAGGTAGTTGCGACAGGCACTTGGGAAGTGCGGGAGGGGAGCCGAGTCGGGACTTTGGCTGCTGCCGACCTGTGACGGCGCGGCCCTAGGATGCTAGTCAGTAGGAGAAGCCCGGGACGAGACGAACCGGCGAGCCACGCGTCGAGTCAGTATGTGTCAAAGGCAATACTGCACCCTCGTATTAGCGAGGCGTTTCCCATACGGAACGCATGGTCGAACGGATATTTGGAGAATGCTCTGTGCTGGCTCTCGATAGGTCGCTGACTGTTGTCCAAGGCTGTCCTAGGGCGATTAGATGATAATACAGTTGTGGCGAGGTTTTTTGTGTCATACGTAAGAGGCTGTGTGCGTAAACAGACAGAGGACGCTGAGGGAATGCTAAGTATTCAGCCGTCCTGACGGTGCGACCGCCTGGGCGGACATGAGTAAGGTTTGCAGGCGATTTGGTCCGCGAGCTAACATGGTTGCCATCAGCTGAGGCAGATTGAAGTAAGAGCCAGGGACTGAATACTTTTTTGTGTTTTATTTTATTTTGACAGCGCGTTCGTGAGTTCTGTCCGTCTGTCCGTTCCAGAACGCGGACACGCTGCAGTTGCTGTGTAGGACCTGTGTCGGCGCCTGGTCCCGGCGGGGCACGTGATACTACCGGAAATGGAAAGTGTAGTTATATACCGGCGCCTACCGCGCCGCTCTTGGTTTGAGTCAGCTTCTGTGAGTGCGATGGGCTCGGTGCTCAAATGACTCAGGATGTCGACTTGTGCTGCTTTCGACGCGAGCGCAGCAACGCAATAAATTCCCTCCCCAGGTAGCGTTTGCATGCGCAGTGCGAGATTGCAAATGCGGACGATTGAGGCTAGAGGCTTGCGGGCACAGCAATCCCGTAGGTGATGGAAAGCGGTTTTCGCCTGGCTGATGTGTTGTCAGAGTATGATACGTATACATCCGCCAAGTCCGTCGCCGGGTCGCGATAGTTCTATGTCCGTTGAACTGCGTCCCTGACATCGTCATCCGGACAACTGGCCGCCCAACCAAGTACACGGGCGCTACCCGCGACCGTGGGCCCTCGTAGGGAGATGTCGGGAACACCGCTCCTGCGGCGGCTTGACTCTTTCAGCTCGTGCCGCTTCGGTGCCGGCCTGTTGCTACTGATTCCCAAGAGGTGGGCTATACGCTCGCCGAGTCATTGGTATCATCCACTGTGGTTGCTAGCTCCGGGCCTGCGATGACCGAATCTAGCCACCGTCAGTATACCAGAATATAAATATTGGCCTGAGCAATGAGTACCAGCCATCATTCCCTCTCGTATCCGTCACTTCTCTGCACCGTTCCCTCCACCGACTCCAAGAGCTTGCGTCGTCATCATGTCTGAGAGCCGTAAGTCCTTCTCCCGCCACGGTGCCCGACGAGACTCACGCCGCACACACAGACTGGCGCATGCAGCTCAACAACTTCCTCCAGTCCAACGGAGGCACCAAGATGCTCGCCTGGGAGGTCTACTCCGCCGGCCCCCCGCACGCCGTCGCCTGGACCGCGATCACCTACAGTACGTCCCGCCCTGCCCGCTCGCCACACCCGCATGCTGACGCATGCACACACACTCCCACAGTCCACGGCGCCCAGTACGCCAAGTCCGTCAACCCGCGACAGAGCACCGCGATGGAAGAGGCTGCCAAGAGCACCCTCGAGCAGCTGCAGGCCCAGCGCAGGCGCGGCTACTAGAGCTCGGGCTCCCGCGCACACGTATGCTCCAGAGCGTCGTAAGTGGTTCCCCAGCTTGTGCCACGCGTGCGCAGCATGCAGGGTCGGCTGACACGTATTTCGCATAGCACGCCCCGCTTGTCTACTTATTCATATGTGTCCCCCGAGACAGCAACCCTCAGCCCTTGCCTAATATGTCGCACCCTTCTTTTCTCAGTCTGCCCACGCAGCCGGGGACTCTCCATCACGCGGCCGCGGCGCCGCCCTAATACGAACCCTTCCCCTCCGCTCTACTGTATTCGTAGCTCCCTGTGCTCCCTGCTCCAAAGGATGTCTCGCTAGGTTATTTGTGCCTTTTTACTCATGCTCTTTGTAGTCTTTGTAATCCCCCGCTCTCATAGTGTAGAAGTCATGTCTCTCCCTCTCTGTAATACGGACAGTCGGCAATAGAGCCCTGCGTTCCCTCGTACACAAGGCCAGAGTCGCGCGCGTGTGCCAATTTGCAGCGAGATACACGGGTATAGGGGTATGTGCTTATGTAAACTGACAACAAATTAGAGATGGCTCCGGTACAAATGTGGGTATCCTTCGTCTTCGTGGCGTTTTCCCTTCCGCGTCGCCGACCGATCGCGCGAACCGCGAAGATCTCACCTCGCCCCGATGATGTCCCGATCGAGCAGCGCGGCCGACGACGCCTGTGCCGCGGCGGCGGCGGCGGCAGCGGCGCCCCGGACGTGGTCGACGTACGCGGCGAGGAACCGGACCTGCTCGAACGTCTCGACGGCCTTCGCGCTGCGGCGGCGACGCACGAGCGCGATGGCACGCTCAACGAGGCGCAGCGTGTCGTGGCGGACGGCGCCGCCTGCACCTGCACCCGCGCCGGGCGCGTCGTGCGGCGGCACGTCGTCCAGGTCCTCGGGCGCGGTGCAGCTCAGCCGCGACGCGCGCGGGGGTGTCTCGAGCCAACCACAGAGCCCGAGCTTCAACGCCCAGCAGCACGCGACGAGGCCCGCGCGCCCGACGCCGCCGCGGCAGTGCACGAGGACCGGGATGCCGCGGAGCGTGTAGGCGTCGATGAGCCGCGCGAGGTGCGCGTCGAGCACGGCGGCGTCCGCGGGGGCGAGTCCCTCTGGCGTGGGGATGCTGTGGGCAGTTTCCCGGTCAGCCCTGCGGCGAGGCAAGATCGAAAAGCGGACTGTGACGTACCGAAGGACGTCGAGACGGAGTTCGTCGGCGGTCTGCGCGTACTCTTCCCACGGCGCGCCGAGGTACTGCAGTTCGTCGTCGTCGAGGCAGCTGCCGGGGGAGGGGGGGGGGACAGGCATCTCCGATTAGCATGCATGCACGAACCTGCGCGGCATTGCCACAGGGCCAAACGCGGGACATACCACACCACACAACCCACGCCAAGCTCCTTGATGCGCTTCAGATCTTGTCGCAGATCTCGGTAGACGCCACCCCTGCCGTTGACGGGGCCGTTCAGGCGCACTGCGAAGAGCCGACGGACGATCAGCTGCGGCACATGCGGCTTGCGGAGAGCAGGGTGACACGGACCTTTCTTCCCTGGGCACGACGAGAGGAAGAGGTTCCCGAGCAGTCGTGGCGGCCTGTCTAGCGACGCGGCCGCTGCGGATCGTCGGCGCATCGCCGAGGGCCTTTCGTACCGGGCGCGGCTGACGTCTGCGGCGGGCATGACGCTGAACGGTACGAGGGAGGGGGGAAGGAGAGACACACGTCAGCCTCAGCCGCGGGTGGTCGCTGGAATGGAACTCACTTTGTCAGACCCTGACCGATCTTTTCGTCGGTTGAGGTCCGCGACCACACGTAAGCGGGCGTTGGCGCGCCGCGGACAGGCGGTAGACCAACGGAGTTTGGGCGCGCACCCATCGTCACGACGGCAGAGGCAACCGAGACGGTGTGTTGGGCCGAATGCGTAGCATGGGATGACTTGATAGGCGCAGAGAAGACGGCCGCTTTGCGCACAAGCTTCTGGTTCCACAGCAGGCTGACAAAGCTCGTAGAGTTGGGCCTGAGTGCTTTGCGTATTGCAGGGACGGGCAGGTCGGTTACGGATTCGGGCTTCGTCCCCGGGCCCGGCATAGTGAGCGTCCGATAGAGAGGTAATGGTATTGAGCGGTGCAGTTGACATGAAAGGGGCAGGTCGAACATCGTGGGTGACGGCGCGATAGGTTGTGTAAGATGTGCGGCGATGACAGATAGCATTTCTGGGGGTATCAACATGGAGATACTGAAATGACTCATAAGAATAACACTTGATCGCAAGATTCCGATGACCTACTTAAGGGGATGTGTCTGTGATGTCTTGATTGGAGGTATCGGTTCCGTATTAGATGAAGGGACTTTTGCTTGCGGCATTAAGGATGACGATATTGCATTAAGGAGATCCTCTTGTAAAGTAGAGGGGGAGGGCATGTGCCTTATGATGGCAGGTTCGTGACATCTGAGATCGCGTTCGTCCGGGTCGTGTGGAGTGGCAGGCTTTCGGCTTGGCCACCACGCTTGGCGGTCAGCATACGCCGCTTGCTGTTCCAAGAGCTGCTGGAAATGATCTGGGAATTGTAAGGATAGTGGTACATAGGCTGTGGGTGCGCCTGGCACATTCGTGTGAGCAGATGACGCGTATTAGGGACATAGCAAGTATCTCACCCTTTGGGCCATGCTTCTGACAGCTGTACTCGCTTCGATGATGCTGTGAAGCTAAAACCCCCAGCTAGAAAGACGTTAGCTTTCAAACCACAGTAGATACCGGTAACTGCTTCACCTGCGCCGCGAGCAGGATCTCGCTCGGAGTCCAACGTGTTTCAACCTCGCCCTTTTCCGTGTCGTCTCGGTACGTAGTGTCATCGTCTGGTGAGCTGGGGGTCGGTATACGGGCTACTAACAGTCCGACAGCCATGGGTACAAGTCCCTCGAGGGCTTGCGAGGCGGGGGCTGTCGTGCTGGATGCGGGACGGTCGTCGAGCAGAAACAAGTCGGCCGACCGAATCTGAAAAGCCATCAACCAGATCTGATGGCGGCCTGATTTCAGGCGCCCACGAGAAACGAGCGTCGGGCGCGGACGCCCTTCGCAGGCGTTATGAAAGCCATTCGCTTGCACGTCGTTCGCTTCTGCGGGTGTGGCAGTGGAGTGGGGGAAGCTGATTTGGAACTGCGAGAAGCCGATGCTCGCACTTCTTCTTCGCTGCTGGGACCCAGAACACTCCATGTCATCACTGTGCCTTCGTCGTCTGCTACTGGCGAGGAGCAGACCCACGGGGCAGCGCGGTGAGGGAGGCGGTGCACAGGTCGATTAAGCGACTCCGAGACTGTCCGGCTGTGTCAACGTGGCATGGCTACATGGACGGCGAAGGGTCGATATCACCGCAGAAAAAAATCAGCACGAGGTGTATTCTTGGAGGATCAACTTTCAAAATGCGTTTCCAGGCCATTTCAGAACAAGTGGACTTGCATCACTTCCAACAAGAGCCCGGACGCTGACGAGCGATCAACGGTGAGCGGTACACCGGGTCCTGCCCTATCACGTGCCGAGCGAAGCCAACCCTGGTTGCGAGACCCATAGGCCCTCGTACCGTTCACCTCGCGATGCTCATGACTCTCCCGCTGTGGTAAGATACCGTACCTGCTGAGCTCACATTTTTTGCAAGTTGTCGAAGACCTGTGAAGGCAAGTGTCGGCACCACCTCCGCAAGCAGGAGAGCTCAAGAGATGATTCGCTGTTCATGTAGGTTGGGAATTCACGCTTATGCACAAAATGGCGTCATTACTCTCGCATCCGGCTCGCAACCTGAACACATGAAATGAACGGCGGGCTCCACAGCAGGAGCATCCTTGAGGCCCTGCACCATGCGTAACATCCCCAACGAGTCTGCCTGTCAGTAGCTTCAGGCGCTCTGGGGTGGCATATAAGACCTCTCTGCTCTTTGTTCTGAGCTTTCACGCGCCCGACATGGCTACAGTTCTCTCTTCTTGGTGGATTACCGTCGTCCTGTGCGTCCTCTTGGCCGTTGTAGGCGCGAATGGTCACTCGGACACGGAGCCGGTAAGCAACCTGCCGTTTGATGCGTTGCGCCAAGTTTACGCGCGTGGTCCAGCGACTTTACGACACCGAAGTCGACACCTTTGAGGCCAGGCAGATTGTCGGACTTCCCTCACCATCAATACTTCCCCTCAGCAATCTTCCCGCGCCTACCACGCATTCACCCCTCCCAAGCTTGACGCTGCCTTCATTGCTCCCAACAAGCCAGTCCGCATCAAACAGCACGACGAGCAGCAGCAGCAGCAGCAACAACATCAACGTCCCCGCCATCGTCGGCGCGGTCGTCGGCGGGCTGGCAGCGCTCTCCCTCGCCGTCGGCGCGTTCCTGTTCTGGCTCTGGCGCCGGGAGAAGCGGCGGGATCAGGAAGAGGAGCTCGCGTTGCGTGCAAGCGGCGACCCGGGCGCACCTGCGCCTGCGGAGAAAGTAGAGAAGGCTCAGGCTTTGGGGGGCGCTGCCGCACCGCAGGTTCATGTGAGCGCACACTAGGCGGAGGAGAGTTTTCGCGCGTGTGCTGACTGCGTTTTTTTGGAAAGAGCTTCCGTGACCAGGCGACGTACACCGATGCCGGCAAGCTCCCTCCTCCGGGTCGCGCCCGAAGCGGGACTGTGCGCATGCGCACGAGCGACCCGGAGGGCCTGAGGGCACAGAGCTGGGGATATCCCGAGGCTTGAGATGGCTCTCTGGCCTCTTGTGGCAGTTTGCCCCTGCTCTTCCCATGCTGGTTTCGTGCAAGCTCGCGCTGCATTTTTCTTTGGAAAAGGATGCACAGCGGGCGGGCCTCCACGGAGCGCAACGAATGGACAAGTCTGGCTATTCTTGCTTACTTTCTTGGATATGATTTGACCCTTGGCGCCCTGAGCTCTAACGACAAGCTATGCCTTGCACGAACGGGATTAGATCACTAGATTTACGAACAGAAGAACCAGCTTATGGGAATCACTGTAGGCGTGACAGGCTGTATATACGCGCCTAACCTCGGAGGTGCGAACGCCACATGTGCAATATGGGAGCGAGAAGGCCACAGGTGCCGAAACACGCTGTTGCCCGGCATCGCAGCATCCCGCCATGAGCTCCCAGCCGCTGTCACGGTGAAACAGCCCTCGCCCCTGGGCGGCGGCAGCAGCGACGTCCAGCGTCCTCCGGGCTGTGCAGCGGCAGTGACGCAAAATTGCCTCCTCCCGCCTGCCGCGGACGAGGAGCGGTGCGCTTCATGTGCGACTCGTCGCAGGCGAGCCCCGTTTCGCACGCGCACCCTCTGCCTCCGGGCGCTGCGTGCGATCTGCGCGGGACTCAAGCGGTGCGGATCCTAGTATGGCTGAAGGCGTGGGCGAGGTGTCCAGCATTTTATTTTATTTTATGAAGTCGACATCTGGGCAGGGGCGCTCAGGTATACGTATCGTCCAAGTGGCAAGGCCAGACAGTACGACGACATGCTGTGGCATGCTTATCAGTTTACCTAATTTCGCTAATTGCATGTGGGGGCTGTGCGGGACTGTTGAACATTCCTACATGGTGCCATCTCCGGTCCAGTGTTTACACTGGTTCCGGCCCTTTTTCGCTCTGTGGCCCACTCCTTTGATAGCTTTCTATCAAATACGGATGTGCATCCTAGGAGACATCTATTCTTGCTCATAGAATTTATCACACTATTCTTTGCGGCAGAGGTCAGTTCTCTAGAGAGCATTTCGTGTGCGGACCTGGCGTTTGTAATCTTGATGACTTGCGGCGGTCATCACAGAATTGCTGTATCAGGACAGCAATCCCATCCTTGCTCCTTACGGATCATGTAACATTCGTTTGCACGTTAATTTGCACGTTCGTTTCCTTAGTCTTTATGCTCGGATGCGCAAATGGTGGACGCACGTACGCTCGTGCATAGGCCCGCCTTTTGCGCATCTTGACAATATGGCACCGTCCGGACTCTTCGTGTAACCCCATACGCACGAAATTCGGTGCTCTTTCGGCTTGCTTACATTCAAAGTGTTGAGGACAGGCCGGCGTTCCGCCAGGACACATACGCATCAGGGCGAGATGCGACCGCGCGTCGCGAGGGCCTTTGCTTAGTCAGCACACACTCACTTTGGGGTGCTATTTGTGCTTGTTAGGATCGAAGGCCCCTGCCTTCCATTTGAGGAACGGTCCTCCATCGTCTGACTTGAACCACCATCTTCGTCGGAACCGCGCGCGCGGCGGCCAGCCGAGCTCGCTCGCTCGCTCGCTCTCCGGGAATCTCATGCGGCAACTTGCACACAGGCGACATCAATGTCTCACAATGTGAACGACTTTGCCCAGGTCGTGCGCATCGATGCTCTCACGACGGAGCACGTCTCGCGCAAGCTGCGCATCGTCGGCCGGTAAGTGGCATTTGTTTCCTAGGAGACGCGGCATGGGCACGAGCTGACTGTCTCATCAGCATTAGGCTGTATGATGCTGAGAATGCGCTCGTGTGCATCGCAGACGAGCAGGACACCCTTCTCATTGACATCTCGCTTTGCCTGAGCGGCTTCCGCTCCTTCTCCTGGCTGCGCGAAGTCAACACCCCGCTCATGGCCATTGGATACCTAGAGAGATTGGATCTGCCGCAACATGATGTACGTTGCGGCATACACAGCTTAGTACAGCGCTGACCTCTGTATCACAGGACGGCGATGTACCGACACTTGTTCTTCGCGCTCTTCTCATACAGGAACAGAGGGCCCTCGACTTGAATGTCTGGAACAGAGCTATTGATGCCCACAAGGATGCCGAGCCGGTATCCTCTGCCGCTTGACTTGACGCATAATGATCCATAACCTCAACACTCGCAGCGATGGTATGCCATACATTTACATAATATATCATGCATGTACATCTGTACCCTAAATTAAGATGCTCTACTGAATGGATGAATGCTGTATTGAATGGAATTGCAAAGCCCAAGAAGACGAAAGGGGCCACTCCATTTTTATATATAGAAATGGCGAAACTATTTCATAATTTAGAGCCGAGCCTCGACCATCGGCTCCGGCTGTTGCAAATCGACGTGCCGGATCAGCCTGACGCTGTGCTCCTCGAGCTGGTCGAGCAGCGCCTGCCCATCTACCGAGTTCTGCACCGCCGTCTGGAACGCCTGCCACGTCTATCAACACCCCGCGCAACGCACCACTCAATAGAAAAAAGACGCACCTCCATGGTGTCCCAGCCGATGACGACAAAGTACTTCCTGTCGTCGCCGACGACGGAGCCCCACCCGGCGCGGTGCATGCCCTGCTCGCGCGGGATCGCGTCCACGACGGCCATGAGCCGCGTGAGGAGCGCGCGCACCGTCGCCGGCGCCGCGCCCGGCTTCAGGTCCCACAGCACGAACTCGGTCAGCGGCGCGTCGAGCGCCGTGAACGGCTCGCACATCAGGTGCACGTGGTGCCGGTACACGAGTGCGCTGCGCGCTGGCGCGTCGGCGGCGTCGTAGTCTTCATCGGCGGGGGCGGCGGGCGCCGCGTCGAGCAGCGGGTTGTGCTCGTCTTCGGTCGCGTCCCAGGCTGGCGGGCGCAGGCGCAGGTGGCGTTAGATAGGGCGCAGATGGGCATGGGAGCTGCCGAAGCGTACCTCTGACGTAGTATGAGTACTGGGGTTCCTGCACTTCTTGCCCCGTGCACACCCTGGAAGACGGTCAGCACGCGTGCTGCGAGGAGAAACCCGCGCACCCACCTCAAGTGCCGGGCCGAGCTTGGTACCGCAGAGGGCTGAGGGAGGAGCACGCCTGCCGCGCGAGCAATATCGTCGGGCACGAACTTGGTGATCTCGAGGCAGTGGGTAACGGCAGACATCGCGTCGTCTCGCTGGGCTTAAGAGGGTGGATACGATGAACTGTGGTGGGTTGAACCGTGGTGCGGCAGGACACCGGCCGGCCATTCCACATTGCTTTTATACCTGATTTCCATCGGAGGCCGCAGCACGCCAGCGCGCTTGATCACCTGAGGAATCCCTGACATAACACAAAAGAGGCGAAGCTCGGAAGCTTTTTTTCATAGCGCACGGCTTTGACAATAAGCCCGGTCCCTAGAGGACGGCGCCGCGGGCGGCTTTGATGCATCACAGCCAGGGCCGCACCCCCGCGCGACGCGGCACAGCTGCTAACGCGTGGGTGAATCTTGGAGAAGGTTCAGATGACGCGAAGACATAAGACACGTCGACGGCCGCGCGGCGCCGCAGGCATCGCGCACCGTCCCTAGACAATAGCTCGAAGCGCCGGGCGGGTCCTGTGCACGAGCTGAGCAGAAACGAGTAACGCGGCCGCCTTTCGGCGGGACAGGAAGGGCAGGGACTGAAACTTCTTGACAAAGAGATCTCGGTGCGGAAGCCGTTTAGCCAGGAGATACGAGGCCGACGCACGCTTCGTATACGCCGCTGGCGTTTACGTAGGGCCGTGATTCGCGCAAGGAATGGAAAAAGATACGCTCCAACACCTCGGCGCGCTGAAACATCGCAAGAGCAGGCCCCGACGGAGGAAGGCAGGAAGAATTACGCAAATTTTATATCAATTTTTCTACATGAGGCGAAACTGACAAAGCGAGGGGCAGGACGAGCAATGTTAGAATGCCGTCGGTACTCGCTAGGCGGACTCTCGTACCTGCAAAGGCACCCGAACGCAATACGTTTCACGTACTCGAACTTGGATGCCTCCACACCTTCACGGTACCGTCGGCCGCCGAGGAAATCATTTCTCCGTCTTCAATCGGGTGATGCTCTACCCACAACACGACGCCACCGTGGACTTTGGGTGGCGGGTTGGGAGGCAGCGGCGCGCCCTGTGGGTCAGCGTTATGTGTCGGCCATATCTCCAACTTCGTCCAACAAGGCACTCACCTCGAGCAGATCCCACGCCCACACCATCCCGTTCTCATCTCCGCAGATCACACTGGCCTCGCCATGTCCGAAGCATGACCTGCACCGATAACCTTCGACCTTGTGGCCCTTGTAATCGTTTAGCATCTTTCCAGTGGCGACATCCATGAGCCGGACGTGGGAGTCTAGGGTCGTAACGAGATAGCTTTGGCCATCTTGGGTTGGCACGACGGAGGTCACAGGAGCTTCCCGGGTGTCAGACAAAAGCAAGGCCGAGTAACAACAGACTCACGCCCGATAAAGTCTGATCGCAATTGGCCCATGCGAAGATCGTATGTACGCACGTGCCCATCGACTGAACCAGCCATAATAGTACCGTTTCCGACCCACAATGCCTGAATCGCATCTCTGGCTTCTTCGAGGATCTGTATAGGCTGGCGATTAGGCGAGCTGATAGGAGTCTTTTTATCAGACTTCAGATATAGGCGGAAAATCTGAAACATACCGAAGATCCCAGAGGCGCACTGTCGAGTCGTACGAGCCTTTGGAGCTGGTGAGCACTCGAGACACGCAAATTTAACCGAATAACGCTCACCACTAGCTACCACACTTGCATCATCGTTGAACTCCACCGCGTTGATCTTCCCCATGTGCCCCGCTATCCTTCGAATGGTCGCACCCGTCGAGACATCCCAGAGAAAGACCGATCGGTCCCCTCCAGCCGAAGCGAACCTGCTATTGTCGTGCGCTCTGCATCACAGCGGTTGACAACGGTCTACGGTCAAGTTCATGATATAAATAACACGCCGACACCAGGACGACATGCTTACACTGTGATGGAGAGCACCTCGTAGCCGTGCGCGGCGAAAACTTTGATCTCCGTCCCGAGAGTGGGGTTCCAGAGACGGACAGTGCGGTCTTGCCCGCCCGTGAGGATGTACTTCGCGGAGCCTTTGGCGTACCGGGCGACGTGCACCGGTCCCTTGTGGTTGCTCAGAGTGGTGTGAAGCGTACGTGCAAGAGCGGTCGGTTCCCGCGTAGGTCCCGCCATTTGAGATTTCCGAATGAGGTTATCAAAGCTGAATATCGAATACTGACTGTCTATGCTGTAGACGTTAGCAAATATAGTGGAAAGAGTAAGACAACTTTAGAGGGGAGTAGGATGGGAGCTGAACGTCGCGACTGATGGTCTCTCCCAGAGCCAGACGCTTACGGAGTAAGCGTCGTTGCGGGTGTATCCCGCCATCAAACCCAAGCCGCTCGGCACGGTCACGTGGGGCATCGTCGTGCTGCTGGCCGCGTCGCGTCTCTTACCGTCCTTTGTCGCTGTATTCTCTCTCCATGTCGGCACTCATATGTAAATATTATTTACTGCCCTTTCTCTGTGCATTCTTTTGAGCACGGGTTATGAACATGAATCAGAGCCCATACCATCATAATGTTCCGTCTGACTAGCAAGACTGGCTCAAGGTCAATTGGAAGACTGGCGAAGGGCACGCTCATGTTAAAGCACTTATGGAGCTGCATACCAATCCCTTCGCACGGCTTAAGTTCCAAACTTCATATGTGTGCCGCTGTTTAATGAGCAATATGCCATATTGATCAGTACTTGCAACTGGTGAAGAAAAAAACATGGTCACAGTCCTGCGCCTGTACGCTGAGGTGCGGCCAGACACTACCTTGGTCATTAAATTTCCTACAAATGCTTTGAAAAGCAATATGGTGAGCAATGTATGCATCAGATCATGTCTTAACGGCTAGAGCAAGTATTTTAGGTCATGAGTGTCAACTGTCTGGACATCAGAACTGTCATCATCAATATCAAGGCTAGCCTGGAGTATCATCTGTGCAACATTCAGAGATAGTTCAATGAGCAGAATCAAATCATCTCCATCTCGCTCATGCTTCCTGGTTAATGAGCACTTCTGCACTCTTCAAATCAAGGAACTTATCAGACCATGGCCTGCACTCCTCGTAGGTGATAAGGCTCACCTTGTTGGTGAGTGATGGAAGGGCTTCCGTGAAGCATACAGAAAAGTTGAAGATGCAAAGCCTTGGTTTCCAGAGTAAATGATAATACTTGGCTTGACCACAACATTGGAGCCTGGTACCCAGACAAGTTGGGCCATCAAAGTTTTTGCAGTGGCTTCCACCTTGGTCGATCTATTGCTCCATGACTCTGAGATCTCAGTAAGATCTTTTCTGATTGGCCATTGCTTCGGCCGCAGCTCGATGACTGGCACAGGGGCATGAGCCTTTGTGTCCATGTGAAAGACCCACGAGTTGGTCTGCAATCACTTGGCCATAGATATGGCCACTAAGAAGGCTGGAGACAGTCTACATGTACCACCTAGACTGTGGGGGGTCTTTTAGGGTGGGTTGGCTAATTTTTACATTAAAAATTTGCTAAAAGACTCGAATTTCTTGTCAAAGATGGACTCGGTCAGTGCAAGTCTCTTCTACAGTGAATTCATCATGTAATTGAACTATATGACCTGATGCTTGTTAATATGGCTGGGAAGAGTCATTGTTCAAATTGTGTAATTGCCCTTGAAGGTCCAGTCGACCTAACACGTTGTATAAAATGTACAGTGCAGGCCATGCCTCGCATTGTCAGAGAGTGCTTATGCATGCCAAATCTGTACAGGTCCTTCTGAATTCAAAAATTGACCCTCCAAATCTGGAACACCTGCAATAGTGTTGCCATGGCTTGGCTCGAAAGCTACTCAGCCATTAAGCCAAGCCACGTGGAAGCTGAGCCAAGCCGTTAATCGGCTCATGGCTTACCAGTGACTTGGCTCAGTGCGGCACAGCTTGGCTCTGGCTCATAGCTGGTCAAGCTGTCCCGATAGCGAAAGGGCCGCATTGCCTTGCTTGCCACCATGCCCAAAGCTTGCATTCAAGCCTCAGGAGAGGTAAAACAGACTGCAGCTACTCCTAGCAGGACATCTAAGAGGTGCAGGACCACTACAAAGCATGTTGAGTTTGAGAATGGAGCTAGTATGACTCAGTGGAGGGTTACAGGTGCGCATTTTTGAGATTCACCTGATCACATCTCATTCTCTGTGATACTTCAGATCTTGTCTTTGAAGAGCCTGTGCAGAAGTCTCCAATGAAGAAGAGAGGAGGGAAGAAGAGGCCTGCAACTCAAGATCTGGCTGAGGGAGAGACATTGATGAAGTGGGAAACACCAAAGAGAGGCTGTCATACACAGCAGGCTGCACCAGAGCTCTACACTGAGAATGAGAAAGAGGCACAAGCCCCAGAGAGACTAGACAGGTGTGTAACTGATTATAAATATGACAGCTGTTTAATAACTGGACTTGAGACCACATGTGAATCATGACACTGTAGCACAGTCTCCACACTCTGAAGATCATGAGTCATTCAACTTGTCTGCTGTTTCTGGCAGTGACAGCTCACCTACCAGTCCTACACCCCATGCTGGTCCTTCGCAAACAAGCTCCATTCCTCATCTCTGCAACTCCACATCAGCTAGCAAGTCCTTCGACTTTGCCTGTTGCTGGTCAACACTGGAAGTTGCTGGCATGTGGACCTGCTGGCAACAGACATGGCAAGCAGGTGAATGACATCTGGCCCTTCCTCCACACAATAAATAAACAAAGTTGCACAGGTAGAACTTGCTCAGCTTTTGCCCACTTTCTTCTGAATTTTGCACAATTTGCTAAATATATGTAGCCCAATGGTTACACTGCCAGACACTCAATACGCTACCATGGCTGGTGGCTCCATTTTCCTTCCTTTGATGGACTATTAGTTATCCATTTTAGATATTCATTTCAGACTCCGCATGTGCTTTGAGGCCTCGCCTTATAACCCACCTCACTCCTCCTTTGTTCTGTTTCTCAGTTTTTCTGCACGGAATGAAGGCATGTTCAACTTATTATTTATTCTTCTTTCATGTATTCACAGTTTCTCTGCATGGAATGAAGAAATAAAATTTGTTCCCATTCTCTCGTAGTCTGAACTGAGTGTCCACGGTCGTTTGCCACGACCATGTTCCAATATATTAATTAGACTTGCAAAGCAATGAGATTCAAAGCACCAGATGACAGGCTGGACCACAGCAAGTACGGACAATCCTCGGCAACATTTCTGTGACAACCACATCGATGCCTGGGTTAATGTGTGTGACAAAGCAGGCATCAGAATCACAGCAAAGAGTGCCACCACTTACAGTTTTTTATTTAGAATGCAGTTGGGAAAATCTCCTTCACCATGGACATGTGGACAGATCTTCATCTGTTTCCATACATGGCAGTCACAGTGCAATAGCTGCATCTGGTTACCAAGGACACTGGTGATGTGGACTTGCGTTGACACACTATGAGGGATACTGCGTGGATCTAATCAGAAGGCGGCGCCGACGAGGTCTGGCGACTATGCATTAGCTTATTCAGCTAGCCCAGTTAACCAAGTGTATTAGTGAGTGTTTTACTACGATACAACTGAAAGCTTACCTAGCCCAGTTAACCAAGAGGTTGAGATGGGGCTAGGTAGCGACAAAGGGACTCCTTTATATACTAGTCAGGCTGTGCACAGACCAGGCGTTACATAAGCAACTGTGCTACGGTGGCTGCTAGTGTCTAGGGGACTTCGGTGGAGGAACGAGGGCCAGTGTGTCATAGCGTATGACGTTGTCAGGCTGACGGAAATAGGGTGTCCGTTGCCAATCGGACTCAGAGGTAGTCGGAGGCTGGTGTATCATAGCTTATGATGTTGTTGGGCCGACGGTGATCGGATGTCCGGTGGGGATCGGAGTGCGGCTGTTACCGAGGAAGCGTGATGCGGCGCTTGAAGCGGCGGTGATACAGGCGCGTTTTGATACGCTGATGCGTGCCCGTCGGTGATGTGTTCTTAAGGTGTTAGCGCGCGGCTAGGACTTGTAAACTGGCGCCAATGCGCCGATGACGTTTGGAGGGCCGTACAAACGTAGGATAAATCATAGAAAATCAGGGAAAATGAAGAATAAAATGGGAGGCCGGGGCTATGCCCACGACAACTGGCAATGGTCTTCATTCGCAGCTGAAGCTTCGCGCAGATCTTATCAGCTTCCATCATGTCTCTACCAGACACACTGGTGAACATCTCGCAGCTGCATTTCTTCATATTCTGGATCATATCAAGATCACTTATAAGGTACATTCACTTATTTGCATCAATGTTTTATTTTAACAAAAAATAATCAGATTGGCTGGATCACCATGGACAATGCTAGCAATAATGACATCTGTGTGGAAGCTCTTGAGAAGGAGCTGAAGAGGTATCAGATTGTATTTGGCAAACTTTAGCGACGCATTCAACAAGTAATTTTTGAAAGATTCATTATTATTTCTCAATTGTTTTTCAGATGCTTCCCACACATTGTCATCTTGGCATATCAAAAGGTTCTCAGTGCCATAACCATGCTTGAATTTGCAAAGGAGTCATTACAAAACTTTGAGCCTGAGGCTTTTTCTCCAGATAATTTTCTTGATGCCATTCATCGTGATTCGATTGCGATGCTGCGTTCTCTTATACGAGTGGTAGATCTTACATAATTTTACTGCATCACCGCTCAACTTAGAACTCTTAAATATGTGCATCTTCTTTGCACAGACAACACTTTGCCAATATTTTGGAATCAATTAAAAGAAGTGCTCTTCAGCTTCTCTGAAATGTTAAGGCTCACTGGTCTTCAATGTATCTCACAATTAACAGAGCCACTGGGAAGACAGGCAGACTCAGCTACTGCATGCTGCAGATATAATTCAGCAAGGTTTGGACAAACTTGCTGATTATTGTGATTACAACTGGGCAAACGACATATATATTCTGGCTACAAGTAAGGGCAATTTTATTACCATCACCTATAATACTTACACCAGTTAGTTATCAATCCAGCTCACAAGCTGGAATTGTTTGGGCAGATTAGTTCACAAGAGAAGATGCACAATGCAGAGAAGTTATTCTTAGCAGAGGTATTGCACTTTTTTGTTTAATTTTTCATTAGAATATTCTGCTTACTGTATAAATATTCCAGATGCAAAAATACAAGTCACAGATGGCCTCCACCACCACACTGTCATCTGTTTCAGAGCCTGAGACTCAACAGCAAAAGGCCCACAACCTTTTGTTCAAAACCAAAGCAAAGGCCCCAGCAGCACAAACAGTGGAACAAGAGTGGTTTTCATACATTGCAGAACCCACAGATCCAAGTGTTGATGCCCTTGTGTATTGGCAGGTGAGTACAGCTTTATTAAACCTTGCATTGCAAATTTGTTCTCTATTTTACACTGAATTTTAACACTTTTTTTTCGAAAAATTAGGCCTCAAAAGCCAGATTTCCCACTATTTATAGCATGGCAATTGACATCCTGCCCATCCAAGGCTCTGCTGTCCCTTGCAAATGTGTCTTCTCATCTGGGAAGATGACAGCCACAGACCGGCGCAACAGAATGGGCAGAGATCTAATGGAAGAGCTGCAAATGCTGAAGTTTCAGTTCAAACAAGGCCACTCTGTATCTTTCACACAGGGATTGGGCATGGATGAAGAGATCTTTGACTTTGAAAGCCTTGGAAAGGAGGAGATATACTCATATGTAGCAACATCGAAGTGAAACGGCCAATGGATTGCGTATTTTGCGGTACCCGCGTGAACTACCTTCCGTTTTGGGATGGGTAGCCGGCTCAAGCCGCTATAAGCCGCGGCTTAACCTGCGGCTTGACTTGACTCGGCTCAACCGAAAAAGGCAGAGCCATCAAAAGCCGAGCCAGAGCCGAGCCGCGCCGAGCCGTGGCAACACTAACCTGCAAGACCGTCTGAAACCAGACTAGGTCCAACGTATGCTAGCGCTCGGGCGACTCGAGGCACGAGAGAAATTTGGAACTTTTTGGTCGCAAAAAATATGCGAAAACAGCCTGAAAAAATAAGTAAGAAAATGCCATATTTTTCCTCCCGGTATCCGGCGGCCCGGCGACTCGGCAACCCGGCAGCCGAGCCGATTGTCCGCCAGGCCATTGTCAAAGCGCCCGTGGCTGCGGC